AAGAGAAACTCTAACACAGTCACGAAACCAACTGAGCCTAAATTTCTTGCATCTAAACCCATCGCCGACCCTCACCAGGCTTGACTATAGGATCGATACAGCTTGAATTGATTGGCTTGATTGATTAACAAATCACTATGGCCTAGCTTGGCTTAATTGGACTATATGTTTAGTACAGTTTGATTATTAACAAGTCTGTGTCTCACAAGGTACTGTTCCAAAGAACTAGAGGCTTCATCTCGCTATCTACAACACGCAGCTACAAGCATGGAATGGTTATGACAAGACCCCTCGCTCGACCGAAATTCTCCTCCACACGGCCGTTGAACCTCATGTATGTGGGGCATCAAGAACCATCCTCTATCAGCAGCATCCACAATGATAGCCATCATAAAAATAAAATAAAAAACACCCAACGATGGGACGCGATACAAAGATTCATTCTACCGCGCCCGTGCTGCGACCAGCTCTGCCGAACTCAAAGTCCCACTGCGATCAGCAAATTTCTTATTGACTTGGAAGAAATCCACAGAGATGTCCGTTTTACAAAACTCACTTCGTTTCGGTTGGTTAACATGATCAGCAAAGCCCTCCCTCACCCTTACTGCACGTTCCTCTGGCAGTGGGAGCAACCTTTTGGGGACGTTGTTGTCAAGGAGAAGGTCTTCAGAATGTACCGATCTTGCTTCCTTGGATAAACTGAAGAGCATTTCCTTCCTAAAGAGGAGAAGGGTCACTGGTGGATACATGATTTGGGCGTGATTGATGTCATGGAAGGTCTCAAGCCAATCAAGCCTAGCAATTGTGCTTGAGGTCTTTAACCAATCCAACCAAGCCTATCCAAGTATGCTGGATGATTGACAACTCTACCCAGAAGGCCGGCAAGAAGAAGGACTAGCTTACATGACACGGCTGTTAAAACGCTCCATATAGTTGGGAACTATGAAATCAATTAAGCTGAATTCTCCGGCTTGAGTCAATTAAATCAGTTTTTTCTTTCCGAGTGGGAAATAATTGAATTGATATAACTGAACAGAAGACTTCTGCTATCTGCTATCTGCATGCTTGGTTGTTGCTAATTCCGAGACCTTATTATCTTGGTTGCTTCGGGGCGAGTAAATTGTGGGTGCGGTGTGATTACTTTGCACGACACGAACGCAGATGAGTGACTCGTTAGCTGTATTTGGACTTGAAATGTTGTACGTTAAGAGTTTACCAGGAAGGTGAGGAGGGACGAAGGTAAAAGGAATCAGATATGAGACCAGTATAACGAGTGCATATAGTTAAATGAAGAAGTGTTCGTACATCTGGGCTGATGCAAGATGGCGGGAATTTGATGCCGATACAATATTATTCTGTAATATCTATGCTTGAAAGCTTACGATGCGAATGTCAAACAACATCCTCTATGGTCCACATGGTGACATGTGTAGCATTTGGTCAGATTAAAAGGCCGTCTCGTCGTCAATGGGTGAGCCAAGAGAGTTATCATTGAATTGGGCGCCAATTCGATCGTAACGCTGGAGTAATTCCGGCCACCTTCGCATGTATGACTCCGACATAGACGTACGGCTGGTAGCAGATCTCCGATACTTGTTGATCTACGAACAAAGTGCGATGCACGTATCGAGTGATAGAAGCGGAGAGCCGTGGAGAGTTGATGACACCGAACCCACAATTCTACTCCTAGGATAGACATCGGCTGCGTTCCTGCATGAATCTAGCGTTCGAACTTACGTTAGTTGCATCCAACGGTACTACCGTTGAGGGCTGAGGAATGTATTGAGGGGCGGTCCTGTAATGTCATAAATCTGGGAAGGTCTAGCCGGGCTTCGTCCGAAGCTTACAAGAAGGCCAATGGCGTCTTCGGGAAGACCTAACTTTAGAAGTCGACGGGCCAGTAGTGTAGCGGATGTTACAGGTTACATGTTACCGATGTCGATTGTCGAGGAGGCCACGTAGCTAGATCTGTTCTGACAGTCAAGTGACAGTTTACCTGCATGAGACCAGAGCTGATAAAGTTTGTAGTTTGGGGGTACCCGATAGCCGTTGGCGTGACCCTTGTTCAAACGACGCTCAACCGGCTGTTCGCGTGTTGCCGCGGATCACAGGTGGTGACACCATGAGTCAAGGGACCGTGGGGCGGGGCGAAGGCCTGGGACGGCATTGAAAAGGACCGTAATGGAATGACCGCCCGTCGAATGGAGACCAGGAGAGGGTGGCAATGAGACGGAGAAGCGAAGGTGGCGGGCAATGAATCTTGACTCGGTCGCCAGCTGCAGTCGAAATAAAGTTCAACGTGGGGCTACATCATGCAGTAGTCAACATCTCGCGTGTAGCGCACGTGTAAGAGAGATGTCAGTTGAGAAGTACGTAGTGCTATATAGCAGTTTCATCGTTCTTACCCCGCATCCTGCGGCAGTCTTGAAATCGGGCGAGCAGATTACAGAGTGACCATACCTTGATCTCCGAATCTCATGATGCAAGTGCGTTGAGATCTTCAACTATCCCGGCTTGCAGATTCTGAGACGAACCGAACTGGGGGCCAGGGTTGATATGCGGCTAAGCTTCGCATCTTGGAGAACTCGTGGCTCGCGTATACAAGCTTGGAACTTGTAACGATTGTGGGTCCTTGCTTTCCTGCTCGGACCTAGTGCGGACAGAACGACAGATGATGAATACAGTAGCTCTTTGTGTGCTCAATAGAGTCTTGTCCGATATAGAGCTTGATCAGTATTGCTTCATGACAACGATCTTGGTTAGCATATCCTCCAGCTTCGTCTCTACTCGTCGATAACCAGAACCTGCAGTGGGGGGCAAGATCAACGAGGAAACAAGGCATGTCGTGCATATCGTCCCGTAGTCGCGTATTTAGTAGCTATAATAGCCGGTTGTTATTACATTGCGGGTACCGGAATTGGTATGCGAATGGTTGGGCATCATCCCAAACTTACTGCTGGCCTGCTCGGAGCTCGATTACTGCTGTGGGGATGAGGCGTCGGCAAAGCCTGCGGGTATGCTTGAAATGTTGCCATGACTCCTGCTCGAAGATGCGCTGTTGGGCCATCCGGATTGATAACTCCGCTCATCTCCGTCCCTGCACTGTTGCAAAATGGTTTGGGCAAGCGGAATGAGGCGACCGAGGCGGAAGCAGATGGTGTCGAAACTGAAGAAGACAAGGCTCCGGGCTCAAGGAGGAAGTGACGTGGGACATAGGGTCAGTATGTCTCCGTGTTTTCAAGGTCTATGGACGCGCAATCACCACAACCACGTTGTTCAACGCGGGGTCACTCACTGGCTGAGGAAGGCACGCGCGAGATGCTCAACTCATAGCACTCGTGATATTGGTATGCTTCGTCTCGAGGTGCCTGTCTAGGTGACCGGCAGCCTGTCACGTGGGTGTCACAATGTGCTTCTGCACCAAGTTGGCTTCCAATACAAGTTTGATTCCTGGCCAGCGCGTGCATACATCGACGTACGATGATGCTCACCGGTTTAAAGAGGGATAAAAAGTGGCGATGAGTCTAGTAGATGCGACTTGCTATCTGGGGAGTAGTGCGCCTGCGCCGGTGGACATGAATCACTTGAGCACAGTGCTTCGATTGTAGTCTGATGGCAAGTTCCACCACGCGGCGGACGCGTAGAATTGCAACAGTATAGGCCACCGCCCGAGGGACTACGCTAGACTAACAAATGGCCTCGTGGACTTTTGTCGTTTTCGCAGAAAGGGGCAGCGGTAGGATGACGAGCCAAAGCCACATGGCGTTGGTAGGGGGCGCTAGAAACGATCACGTTCTCTCGAACAAGTGCTGTGGCTTCGTGCAGGTGCAGGTGCAGATTAGGAGCAAGGTCAAGGAGTTCGGCACTTTTTGGGTATGTAGTGGAGGCGGCCTTGCAGTAGATGCCCCTCTTTAGATGCGGTTTCCACAGCGTTGCTGCAGCTTCGTCACCTGTGCCAAGGCCAGGACGGGTAGCTCGCTTACGATTGACGGTGCTGAAACGCGCTATGAAAGATTCTTGAGAGGCTGGCGACGCGCATCATGGAAGCTGAGAGGTTTCCTCAGCAAGTGAGATGAGGCTGAGGGGATCTACAGCCGCAATGGCTGCGTAGGGACAACAAGGCCGGGAGCGGACTGCCGACGCATGAAAGACATTGCGTGTATTACTATGCTCGAGCTCCTATGTGGCATGACAAAGCTGCGTCGACTTGTTCAGGTTAGAGATGGGCAAGGAGGATGGAAGGAACGGCCGTCGATCGCTAGTGAGGCAAGACTAGATGGTGAGGGCTAGTGGGGGTCAAAGCAGGGGGCGAACGACATAAAAAACAAAGTTTGGAAAGTCATTATTCTTTGGTAGCGGTCCAACTGCAAGTACGTCTACCAGAGTATAACGTTGAAGGGGGTCATCTGTCGACGCAGGGGAAGCAACGAACAGCATGCATCCGTTGCTCGGACAGGAGTGGGACCGGCAAGCAGTTGACTCGAGTGGCAGGCAGCTCAGGCAGTGGATTCACGCCGAGGTTATCTAGGTACGGTCTTAGCCAGGCACACAGACGCGCCGATACAGCACAGGTACGGCACACTACTTGCGCCAACCTGCAGCAATTGGCTGGGGTCTCCAAAGGCGGCCCCTGGAGACGCTAAGGGGCATCTGGCGCGTTGGTAACCCGCAGTAAGCCTTGCCTGCTTGCTCTCAAAGGGCCTTCACAAGCAAAATAATCCGCGTCTTCATTTTTATTCCTGGGGTCTTCTTTTTTTGTGTCTTTACCCCAATCACTGCTGCTGCAACCCACTGCGCGCTGCCTAGAGTTCCAGGCGGCTAAACAGCGCTCGCACCACCACCAGCGTTGCTTACGCGGATGAAGGCCGCTTCAACCACGCCCAAATTACTCTCTGCTGGATCTACATACCTTCCGACACAAAAGCATAAACAACACCACATTCAACGGTCGGCACACACACTCTCTCTCGCACACAACGGCGCTGCCGTAAGCCGCACACATGGCCACCTCACCACCAGGTTCGCCCGCAAACGGCGTTGCGCGGCCCATGAGCGCAATGATCCGACCGAACCGCAGCTCCAGTCGCATGAGCGTGAGCAGTAAACCCGGTGGAAGCAGGGCCTCAGATGAGGACAGCAGGACGGCAGTCAAAGTTGGTAGGTGCATTCTCAGGGTCCGCTTCAGATCAGCCATTCTAACCATAGTCTAATGCAGCTGTACGAGTGCGGCCACCACTGCAACACGGCGAACCGGGCTATGAACTCATTCCACAGCGATTTCGCGGCGCCCTATGCCACGTCACATCTCCCTCAAGTCTAACTATAGATGCTACCGGCGGAAAGAAGGTCTTCGTCTTTGACCGCGTATTTGGCGAGGATATTGAGCAGGAGGGCGTCTTCGAATACGTATCAGACAGTGTCAATTCCTTCGTACAGGGCTACAATGTCTCCATTCTTGCATATGGCCAGTCTGGCGCGGGAAAGTCGTATACCATGGGTACCACAGGCCCGCGAGACCAGGCAGATAACGAAGTCATGGGTATGTCGCATGTTGCATGATCAAAAGCAAGACAGTCGTGCTGATTTAGACTAGGCATCATTCCTCGCGCTGCCGCGCTACTATTCGAGAAGCTTGAGGGCCCCAGCAATCGAGCTTCATCGTCAGGTATCCGCGCCCCAAGCAGCCGTCTGTCGGGGATACACAACATCTCCTCCAAGTCCTCGTCATCCGCCAATCGCAACTGGCAGCTCAAGGCGACCTACGTTGAGGTAAGATGGGCCCAGACGACATGAAGGAAGAAAAAACAAAAAAACTGACCAATCCAGATCTACAACGAGCAACTTCGCGATTTGCTGATCCCTGAACATGTGGCTCCCAATGACAGGCCCCAAGTGAATATTCGCGAGGACCGCGACGGTCGCATCCTCCTAACTGGCCTGACCCAAATTCCTATCAACTCGGTCGATGATATGCTCGGTGCGCTCAACTTCGGCTCCGCAATCCGGCAAACCGATGCGACGGCGGTCAACGCCAAATCTTCGCGTTCACATGCTGTCTTCAGTCTAAACCTAGTCCAGAAGAAGTCGTCACCTGCCGCGCCTACCCCGACTCGCGAGAAGCGCCGATCCGTCCCAATCGAGATGATGTCGGGCTCCTCGAGCGAGAGCTGGGTGACAGTCGACAGCAAGTTGCATTTTGTGGACCTGGCAGGAAGTGAGAGGTTGAAGAATACCGGAGCGCAGGGCGAGCGGGCTCGGGAGGGTATATCCATCAATGCAGGGCTGGCGAGCTTGGGCAAAGTCATCTCGCAGCTGTCGGCACGTTCCCACGGGGGCTATGTCTCGTACCGCGACTCTAGGCTCACGCGCCTGCTGCAGGACTCGCTTGGCGGCAACGCCATCACCTACATGATTGCTTGTGTCAACCCAGCCGAGTTCCACTTAAGCGAAACCTTGAATACCGTCCAGTACGCGCAACGCGCCCGCGCTATTCAAGTCAAGCCCCAAATTCAACAAATCCATGACGACAGTGATAAACAGGCAGCCATCGACCGGCTGCGGGCCGAAGTCCAATTCCTCCGGGACCAGATTCGACTGTCTGAGCGCACGGATAGAAAGAAGGCAATGCCTCAAGAGCGTCACGAGCGCGAAGCTGAGCTTCAGAACCAACTGCTCGATGTTCAAGAGAACTACAATGCCCTCAGCACCCGTCACGCTAAGCTAATCTCCGAGATCACCAAGGCCCGCGACAACCAAGAAACGGAGACGCCTATGCTCAAGGATGCTATTGGTGACTCTGCACTTGAGAGGCTGAAACGATCCAATTCTTTTGCCGAGGCAGTCGAATCCGTCGTCTTGGAATACGAGAAGACGATCCAATCGCTTGAAGCCTCCCTCTCCAACACACGCTCATCATTGTCGAACAACGAGAGCGACCTCCTGGAGAAGGAGACACGCATCGCAATTCTCGAAAGCCAGAACCATCACCTGCAATCACGCATCCAAAAGGCGATGGAACGGGACGCAAACAACGAAGAGTATGTCCAATCGCTCGAGCGCCAAATCGATAACTCAGCGAATGGCATTGAAAAGAACGATACCATCATCTCTGAGCTACGCGAGAAGTTGCACAGGGCCCGTGAGAACGAGACAAGCAGCGAAGAATACATCTCTACACTGGAAGAGCGTCTGGCTGAGAACGAGCAGGAGACTGAGATCATGAATCGTGAGATTGAGCGGCTGAAGCATGTCGTTGAAAGGCAACGCAGTGTCGCCAAGTTGGACAATCTTCTTCACGAGCTCGACCACAGAGATTCCACTGACGAACCCTACGTCAACGGCCATTCCAAGACACCTAGCGATCCATTCATCGAGAAGCGTCCTAAGCTAGAGAAGCGGGTCACTAGCGAGAGCATGCACCAGTTCGGCACGCCCGTGGATGCCATTCCTGAAGAGGCTGACTCTGAGCGTCCTCTTACAGCCAGCACAGCTGCTGCTCAGCATGACGGCGCAAATGAACCAAAGGACCGTTTTGCTGTCAAGGCTACTTCAACTGTAGGCGATGAGCCTTCTAGCCCAGCGCAAACTCGCTTTGTCAACGACAAACTCGAAACTGTAACTCAAGAGCTGCTTGACCTACGCGTGGAACATGAAGGAACGCTTCAAGACTACGAGAAACTTGCTAGCAAGTACCAAGAGGCTTTGCGGACCTTGGCCGCTCTTCAAGATTCTGTGGACGAGGCGCGCCGTAATGGAGTAACGTCGGTGCCATCCTCCCGACCAAGTTCTTTCTTAGCAGAAGCAGGAGTGAATGGACTCACAGCAGAGGATGAACCACTATCGTCCTCGCGTACATTGTCTGCGGAATTGTCCTTAGCGGAGTCTGGCAATCCAAGTATTCCAGACGACGAGACGGAGGTTGGCCATGATGAGACCAAGGCCCGACGGGTATCAGTCGCCTCCATGAACCAGGAGCAACACATTCCTGACACCGTGTTGGTCCAGGAGCTGAAGGCTCTGAAGCTACTACACAACGAGAAAGAGGAGCGTATAGAGAAGCTTCAACAGAGCTACTCCGAATTGCAGGAGGAGCACCAAGACACACTCGACTACGTCGAAGAGCTGAAATCGGAGGTCCAGAAAGCCCAGATGCAGGCGAACCGGCCATCTTCACCATCTGTGCATATGATCCGCCGAAAATCTAGTCAAGCAGTTCTCGCGAACGATCGTTCTAACCGCGCATTCGCCTCGCTTCGTAACATGGCTTTGGATACGCTTGAAGAGGACCCCGACGCCATCCAGAACTTCGAGCTCAACCTCAACACTATCATGTCCGAGCTTCATGTGCGGTCTGAGCGAGTACAGGATCTGGAGATGGAGTTGCAATCCGTACGCAAGGAGATGGAAGGCAAGATGACTCTGATCAGTGGTCTGACAAAAGAACGCTCCAGCTTGAAGGCCGGGTCTCCTCTCGACATCTCCATCGTTGCTTCGATGCAGGATCAGATGAAGCAGAACGAGGAGCACATCAAGGAATTGAAAGATTCCCACACTCAGCGTGAACAAGAACTCAGAGCGCAGATTGAGAACCTCAAGGCCTCTGCCAGGAGCGTTGATCCATCTGATGATCTACCATCACATCGCCAGACGCCTGAGGCGATGCCGACTATTAACGGTCACAACGAACCTGAAGATGACGCTACTCGCCATACTCAGCTCGCTACGCTTAGTGACGAGGCTGCCCACTGGCAATCGAAGCATCTCGAAGCTATTGAAGCTACTAAGGCCTCCGAGAAGCGACATCTTGAGACTGTTCGCGAATTAGAGTCTGCGAAGCAGCGGCTCGAAGTTGATCATGCTCTACGCGTATCTGAGATCGAGCAGACTCGAGGCGCTGAGTCTGAGGCTGCTCTAGAACAGGAGAGGACCAAGCACTCTGATCTCATCGCTACTTTGCAAGCCGAGGTTGATCAGCACAAATCCACGGCTGTCAACAATGCTGCCCGCCTTGCTGAGCTTGAAGAATCTCACGCGAGCATTATCCAGCAGATCGAGGAAGACTCTGAAGCTCGAGCGCTTACTGAGAAAGAACTCGACACTCATCGGTCGCTTGTTTCCAACTTGGAGAGGCAGATCGAAGAACACAAGGCAGCAATTGACTACCACCAACAAGGCATGGACTCTATCCAGAAGTCACATGCAGTCGAGCTTGAGAAGCTCACACTAGAGCTGACGACCCACCAAGAGACATCTGCCTCGCTCGAAGCAGATCTTTCCAAGGCCAAGTCCGAGATGGCGACGCTGCTGGAGGGTGTTTCGGCTGCCCTAGGCGAGGAGACTGATATCAGCAACGTCCAGTCTCATATCGAAGCACTGGTCCAGGAACGCAAGTCCATTACTAGCAAACTGGAGGAGGCTGTAGCCGAGCGTGAGGCGGCTAGGAAAGACCTCACGGAAGCCACCAACCAAATCGACACGCTCAAGGGCAAGATGAAGGAGTTCGAACTCATCAACGCCGAGACATTGAAGGAGCTCGAGAAGGTCAACGAGAAGGAGCATAAGAGCGCCCGGCTTGTACAAGAACTTGAAGATCAGCTCAACCAGAACTGGGACCAGCATGAGGCTGCTAACAACCGATTGTCAGCTCTGCAAACTGAGCGCACTCGTGAGCTTCAAGATGCCATGAACCACGGTGAAGAGCTTGAGAAGGAAGTACAAGAGTCACGCATCAAGATCGCACTCTTAGAGGTAAGCTTATCGCAATCTTGACTTATAAGAACAAGCTAACATAACTAGTCACAACTGGTGGACGTGAAGCGAAACTCTGCTCGTGCTTCTATTGATCCTCGTGAAGACCTTCAACGATCCAACTCGAACAACTCCACTGCGCGCAAGAGCACCGCGCACACGTCTCTGCCCTCACCACCACCTGCCATCCCTCTCCCCCCTCTTCCTCCTGGCAGCCCACCACCTCAGGCCAGTGCGCCTTCTCCCCCTACCTCGCGCCATCAGAGCAAAGATATTGCGCATGCTCAATTGGTCGAAGACCAAGAGGCCCGCATCCGTACCATCGAGAAGCATTTGTTCGCTGAGAAACAGCTCACAGCTACCCTTGAGGATGCCTTGACCGACCTCGAAGCTTCAAGCACCAAGACCAAGACTGATCTGGATCAGTTCAGGAAGAAGTGTGCTACCTTGGAAGAGGAGTTGAACGTGATGCGCAAGGAGCGTAGCGCAGCACGCCACTCCCTTCAGGCTGTTGAAGAGGAGCGCAATGCCCGTCTTCGTGTTGAAGCTGAGCGCGCCCACCTCGAAGCTCGCATGGCAGCCCTCAACAACGCACAGAAGAAGGGCAAGAAGAAGGGCACCCTAAACTGCTTCTAAGCTTCTCTGCTTACCTACCCACACAAACCTTTGACCTTCATGTATCTGCTTCTTTGCCACCTACTTATACCGGCGTACTCTGGAAGGGATCTTTACATACCGCGCGCTACATACCCCCGATGCACCTGCTCTATATAGTTTGCTCTTCGATGCTCTCAGGAGCATCTTTTCTTCGACATGTCTTTATGCTTTCAACGATTTGCAATGTTCGCATCTCTGGCACACATACCGTTGGACGCGCTATGGTCGGTTGGACACTGAGAGGTCCTTGTTTGATACCTCTCTTCTTTCTTGCCTTTTATGTTTGCATGCCCCATACCCCTTACCTTACTTCACTTCACTTCAACTACTTTCCTAATGTATATTTTACGGCAGTTGATGGCTCAGGTGAGCACTAGGTTAGAGCTGAAACCAAGACTTTGGATTGTCTTCATGTTCATCATCGGACGAGAGATTGCTTAGTGTGTGCATAGCGAAGAGAACGAGCGAGCGAAGCGGTGAACATTTCTTCTACCTTTCTTGTTTCTACTTCGGATTCTTTTCTGGACACTAGGCAGATGATGGGATATTTGATGGATGATTCAGGGGATGAAAATTACATGCCTTCTTTCTACCTATAAGACACTATTAGCCTGAACTTGCTATGACGAACTGTGACTCTAGTGTATTCACTGGATCGTACCTCGCCTCGTCTCCATGAACGTAAATGCTGAAACTAACTGTAGGCTACAGCAGGCAAGCCCTCGACATACTCCATCACATGACCCTCATCATCTGCACTCTCATCACACCATCACACATCATGAAACCTGATCGTCACGTTGACGACGCGTAATCTCGCTTCTCGGATTCTAGACGCACTATGCGATGGGATCGTGGCTGCCTACCTAGATAGATCTAAGCGGCACACGCTAACCTAACCGTGCCACTTCCTTCTGTTGCGAACTATGCCTCCATCCTTCCACAATCCCGTGCCTCATCCTTCTACACTTCCAACATCTCCGTGCCGCTGCATGTAGCACAGTAGCGGCGCGGATGCACGATGGATGCGGTGGAGTGTTGGTGCAGGATCGTCGTATTATGTTTCGGAGGATTTGACCCAGATGGGCAAGTGAAGCAAGCGGAATATCGGAGACGTGGAAGTACTTGCTCCGGACCCCCTTGCATTACCTTTTTTATAGATCCAGATCTTGTGGCGTAGACGTAGAGTAATGCATTAAGATGTGTTTGTGAGATGTAAATAGGAGTCTGGATGTTGACAGCATGCCCCAGGTGTTGGTACGGGATCTTGATAAGTGTTGTTACTCGGGGAGTGTTTTTTGGGCAAGGTGTTCCCAACGGATAAAACAAATATATTGAATAAATACTTAGAGCAAAGACGGAATGCTGGCAGTGACGAAGTCGTTGGGTTATGAGTATGCGTATACGTTCTATTCGACAGGATGGATTAGGCTCAGTGTTTGTAGCAACATGAGAAGATGTAAATGTCTGCACCTTCTGGAATTTCTCTCTGCCACTAGAAGACATAAAAGCTATTGCTCGCCAAAATCAATGACTCTCCGCGAAAAGTATTGGCCAAGTATCGCTCTACAGCTGAGTTGGTGATTTCAACCCATGAGGTTGAAGCACCGGCATGCTATGAGATCAGTGATGTCTTGTGAGATTTTCTGGAGAGCAGATGTCTCCAATTACTACAAAATCTGCATATGCGCAAGATAGTACTTTGACGCCCATTTTGATGGTACTTACTTACTATGTGATACTTGCGCGCTGAGCCGTTCTCTCACATTATGCCTTCCGGGTGGGTGGGGCCGCAGGTAACGTGAAGCAATGGCTGAAGAAAAGATTGCTGTCTGGCATGTACGCTATATTTCCATCGGGATGCATCATTGCAGTACTGTGGAATTTTCTGAGAGGGTATGCCGAAGCAATATTGGAAGAAGATAGATGGTCTAAAAGTATCTAGGGTATGGTGATGTGCAGGGAGCTGAATGCCGCCGCGAAAGACTTCAGTCGCTTTTCATTACTGTGGAGTCTTTTTGGAAGGAGCCACTGGCACGAACATAAACACGGGTTCTCCAAAGATATTATGTGACAGAGAGTAGATGCTGGATGCTGTGACAACAATTATCCCAAATATGCATTTCGTTGGGGATGGGTGGGAGAACTGGATGACCGAGGCTGGTTACATAAGCGGCGCTACGGAGGCTCGGCGCCGGACAGCAAGCTAAAATTTCTGGAGCTCAAAACCACTTCCTACATCATCTTCATTCCCAACATCGCAACGCGTTTCATTATGCGCGCTTCCAACCATTCACCTTGATCAATACTAACACAAGGAGCGCGTATGCTTCACAAATCAGGTAAGCTTTCTCCATCCCCGCGACGCCTGCAGAAGATTATCACATACGAACAATCCAATTCCTACAGCACCGTGAAGGACTACACAACTCTAGAATTACAATGATGCACTCAAGCACAGCAGCATTACCAACGCGTTCATATTGAGTAGTTGCTGACAATACTCTAGTGTCGCAATCACCAGCGCAAACAGACTCCTCGTCTCTTCTCAATCTATCTAAAGGTAAGATCTCTTCACCTTCTCTACTACACCACCCGCAGAGTGATGAAAACACGACACGGAAAGGCATTCCTCGACCTGAATATACAATGTCGACACCCTTGCTTTTAGTTTCAGCCTTGTCTGACACTGCTAAATCTTATCCCATTTTTACAAGACGCTTTTTCGCGATCAATGTGCTAACTTTGGTCCTTGCAGGTACATACTCCCATCCGCATGAACCCTTCCACCCTGCGAACACTCCTGGCTTCCTGATGAAATCTTGATGCGTCGGGCGGACATAACGTATGCCTTGACCGGCATCCATCAAAAGCAGGCGTACAAACCTGTGGGTGTTCGGAAGAGGCTTTACTTGTTGATAACAGCATCTCTGATTGCCTTCACACTACACAGATTGCGTTACGTTCTTGCGGACTGTCCAACTAACAGGGTTTGCAGGTATGACAAACTCTCTTTTCCAGCAGACGGTCCATCATTGCAATGATGATTCTTTTGATATTCACACTGTGTGAGCGGCGGCGTTGTAACGAGCGTCCGTCGTCCTGATCACTACCACAAAATCTGATTTAATGAGGTAAGTCAGAACCGAGGACCTTCTTCTGGGAACGTTTACTAACATGAGGCAGGCTGATTCTTGATGGACTCGTACTTTTTCATCCACAACGGGTGTCGCATGTCTTCTTGGACGTACGCTGACATCTCACTCTCAGATTCCACTACGACTTTTCCAGATCTTCCATTCTATACTTTTTGGTAAGTTATACATCTCCCACACTGCACCCCACCCCTTGTATGATGAACAACATGATTTCGCTGTGTTCTTTCTTAATTACATTGAAGATACAATCACCTTGGAGAACTGACCCCTATACCCTATTGTCGTCACTTGATTGCACACTTTGGTTGGACTGGTTTGCTAACCACGTATAGTGACTCAGTTCAGTTCGTTGCACTTGAGCAGATTCGCGATGGCGGCAGCGTATATAGTAAATGCATTTTTTTTAACCACCACATCTAATTCTTTGAATCTCATCATAATGGCGCAATGTCTCAACAACTGCTGTTGGAATGATCCTTGAATGAGTGCATATGTTCTAGTTGCCCACCGTGACCGCTCTTCTCACCGCATAGCAATCCGGTGTATCAACATGTTCATGAGGCCATATCCGCCAGATCCCCGAGACAAGATCCCCTGTACCGGCAGATTCCAGCATCTTGGGTCTTGCGTGCGTCTATGCAAACCACATTCGGCCTGGCTCGCGTCTAGATGGGCACCTGCATGAAATGGCGGTCAAGGGACAGGATGGCCGCGGTTGTTAAATGCAAGAGCGAATTAGCTGCAGGTACCCATTTCCGTTTCGCCCATGTTACTTGCAGTAGTATCTGTATATCTCCCGAGCAACCAAGGTTTCTTTCACTATACATTGCGAGCGGGGAGAGCTGAGGTTGAATCACAATGATTCTGTTAAGTGTATGCACGGCCCGTTTGTTCATCACAGCTCGATCGTCTTGCAAACACTGTCTATCACTCGAATCAGATGACTACGTGGAGAAGGCCGAATCCAGTATAGATGAGAGCATGAGTTGCGTTGTCTCGTGTTGTGCTGTTTAATGCTGAGTTGTTCTATCCTGTCTTGTGGAAAAGAGGTTAGTTTTGACGCTCAAGAGTATTGGTGCCGGATGACGTGGTGCGTATAGTGTGGGGTTTCTCGGTCAGTGGCGTCTCGCGTCCAGGGACACGACCAAAACGTGCATCTACTGCTCAAGTTGTGGGTTGGAACTATTGGGGTTGGAAGCTGAGTAAGAAGTTTCCTTGGTTTCGTGGTGCTGTAGCTGTATTGATTAAGTGGCATGGCATGGCATGGCATGTCATGAGAAGTCAGCAGCGAGATAGTGCGGGCAAAGATTAGACAGTCATAAGTGTGTGGACTGTGGTCTCTACGGTTTGAACTGTTAGATCAAGTGGGCAAGGCTGGATCTACAGACTGACACGAGGCAATGCAGGTGATATGCAAGCATTTGCGGGGGATATGTCGGTGGCTCTTCTACTGCACACAGGCCGTAGGTTGTCCAGCTCACGTAAACACTAGCCCCATTGACCAAAGGAAAAATCTTCAAGGACAATTACAGTAGTTCACGGGTAAGTGATAAACATACATGCTTCGGGCCGAAGCCTAGCGGAACCGTTCAGCTGACGTTGTATGGAAGATACCGATAAGAGTTTCGGAGAGCGGGGAGTATCCGATTGTCCGCACGCTTACGAAGGTCTTGAGACGGCGGAGTTGATAAATCGGCGATAACATGGGCAGCATAAGGTTCGTTGGCTGGCTGGACTTGATATTCGCCGAGAGCTGTTGTTGTCAGCTGATGTGCAGTAGCTGAGATGCTGCGACACACGAGTGGCTGTTTCAACAAGTAGTGTTGATAAAAGACAAATATAACTGCGTTACATGAGTTCAAGGTTTAGTTACACCGACGTCGTCGTGCAGCGACAGCGCCACAATATGAAGCTACGACATATTGTTCTATCGTAATCGGGAGAACGGTTGGCTCGAGGCTGAACCGTTGTCTCGCTAAATCGTTGCTTCTCCAACGGTGGACTCCTCACTTCTTATGGAACCGTATATGCTTTTGTCAGAGGGGCATGATGGAGAAAACAAAGTAAGTCTGCCGCGATCGAGCGATGCTAAGTCCCTCCTGCGTCAGCGCCCGTCATTTTGGCCAACTCGGCGTTGCAGAACGGCCCCAGGAACCAGGTCGTTTAGGTTGGGTGCGCAACCAGAACCGGTTTTGCTGAAGAAGCACAAAGACACGACGTTCTTCGGGAGTGACGCAAGCAGACACGGGGTGCCTCGCGGTGGGCTGCCTATATGCTCGTGCCGTGTCGCGTGGTTCTTTGGTGCCCCAGCTGTGGTTGCATGTGGTGGTGCTCGGAAGGGCTGAAGAACGATGAGCGTTGGCAGACCCTACCGATTCGGGGGGAAAAACGAAAGCGGCCTTTCCAACTGATGGCATCTCGGTGGTGCGCACCATATCCGGTACGGAAGATGACTTGCATCGCACCATACTCGTCTCTGGTGCAAGCTTGTCAGTCTACTAGGGATGGATGCACGATTGGCTGGGTATTTAGATTTCACAAACTGCCTGAATGCGCAATCATAACACGGAGTTTACTAGATGACATCGCTGTTCATTGTTGACCTGGTGATACTGCTGCGCACAATTATCGTTGATTGAATTGAGAAAAAGATGGTCATCAATAAAGCATGCTAGTCAGAGTTTGTCGTACGTCTCTCTGGTGACAGCCGCTGGCCGATCGAGGTGAAAATTCGGAAAAGGAGAGCTCGTGTCGGAGATTCTATGCCCATCAGGCATCATTCAAGGTGGGCCGGCAATCTACTCGAATAGCCTGTGACATGACAACAACACGGGAGAAAGATTCTGGAAGAACGAGGGCCCCGGAGTAAATCTTGATGGTCCCTGGCCCCAACAGCTCGCCCAGAGCAAGACGAAACCTTCGTCGAGTGCGCATGGACAGCAGTTCCATTGTCACTCAGGGTCCGTCGCTGATGCGCAGGGACTGACAGGAGGAACGACGGAATTGCGCGCGTCGGGAGGGAGCGGCCAGCTTGGAGTGCCCGTCGAAAGTATGGTTTACTCATGCAAACTCTCTTGAAAGAGGCTCGGTCTATTGATGACCAAAAGCAACTTTGCCGTAACTCCGCAAAGGTTCCCGCAGAGAATAGAGTTGGGACTTGCGCTCGCTGCCGTTTCGTCGATCACAGGAGGTTACACGACGCGTCGGACTCTCCACAACGCGCCGTGCCCTGCGTCTTCTCGAAGACGCTTGAGATCATAGTTTATCGATGATGACATGTGATGCAGCTTGGAGAAATCCAGTTCTGTTTCACTGTTTTGGAAGTTGTCTTCGCGAGCTGCACTCCACGATGCTGGAGGAGCACATCATCGGCGCATCAAGGACGGCCCTTTCACTACGCTACTGACTCAAGCAGGGGATGAGCTTGACGGTCTATCTCGCCGTCGTTGTTCCGGGCTGCCGCGGGAAGACTAGAGGCACGCCTCGACAGCGAAACCACGTTGACGGGTGCCCACCACGGATTCTGCCAATGGCCGCATCCGCTAAGCCCCTGACGGCCAATGGAATAAGGCTGCATGATGGCCATCCAGGAACCTGCCACAAATCAGGAACCGGCGCCGGAGCGAGGATGAAAGGGGTGGAAACGTGGGCCGCGGCGAAATGACAGCTTGATGCTTGCTTGTGCCTGTGACGTTCCTGACGCTCCCTTGGGATCGAAGGATGGCTGCAGGATAGATGCAGGCACCCAGGGGGGCAGCAGCGCGAGGGCAAGGCAGCGCGAGGGCAGGCAAACCGCAGGTACTTGACGTGAGTATATTCTCAGCGTGGCTTTGCGGTGAGGGGGACGTGTGCGCTGTACATGGGCGAGGCTATGTCTCTCGCGCGGTGAATTAGTCGTGGCCGTACATAAGACGCGTGCATGGCTAATGCATATGTATGCGCGCACGACAAAATTGGCACTGCCATGCACGTCGCGTCACGTGGGGGAACATAAAGGCAGAATGGCCGCAAAAGTGAAGGCAGGGGGCCCAATGAAAGGAGTCGATAAAAAACATCTTGCAACAATTTGTGCTATGGGCTGCCATGGGGTGCCCGATGTTGGGCACTAGGCTACTTTGGGCAGCCGAACATTCCTTCCTGCTAAGCTTGGAACCACCTTCGCGCCGTCCTTCACCACTCGCCCCGAGCCTTGACTGTCAGCCCCCGTCTTCATTTCGCGCCTATTCACTCCACCCCCAAGCGCCACACTCGCATCTCCCCCAAAAACAATCGCGTCGCCATGCTTCCTGCGCTGACCGCTTCACAAATCCACACGCTTCCCCCACCACGTCTTCCTGCGCATAACTGTGTTTCGCTCGTGGACTACTAACCCGTCGCGTCTCTCTCCGCCCATCTGCCGCCAGTGCCAACGCACGCAGCAGCGACCGCTCTCACCATAGCAACAGGCCGACTGCTGGCCCTCTGACCGCACTTGTCCCGTCTAGGCCGCCCGATCTTCATTATTACGACTCACAGCGCTCCCCGAGCGCCGCTTCCACTCTAATCTCTTGGTCTAGCCTGGCGACTCGTGCAAAGACCCAGTACTGTACCCCTTCCTGTCTCTCATTCCACACGCCATCAATCAATCACAGCAGCCTTTGAAAGCCGGCGTGTTTTCGTTCGTGTGGCTCTGACCTCCATCACATCTCGCTCCCGCTAGATCGCTCCGTCTTCTGTTCCCCCAAGCCGAATCACTGGACCTGGCCAACTTTCATCTCCCCTACCTTCGATTCGGAAATCCACATCCCTACTCCCCCGAGCGCACAGGCACGCTCAAATCTCCCAGCCCGATCATTAAGCCACCTGCGCTATGATCACAAAGTCATTCCTCTTTCAACCTCACTAGAACATCCTAACCTGCGGAATACTACCCGTCTACCGTGGTCCTGGGCTTGTCTCCACACGCCCTCCCAACCGTCGTCTCTCATTTTCTCGACATTCCCGCACCTGCATCAACCTGGACCCTTACAACACGCTCCTATCGCATCTCAAACCCTCGATACGCACTGAACTCCCCCTCCCCCTCAACTCTACGACACCTCCATTGACGTACTTGTACTGTACCAACACTACCTCCTGCAACTTGAATCATCACATGAGATGAACTAAAAGACACTCGAGCATCGAGCATCATCGCCCAAGGACTTCACAACTGGTATGTCTCTACTCCTTTGTCCACCATCACGATTTCTCTAACATGCATAGTCCTTCCCATTGGAAGCATCTGCTATTACAGATCTTCAACACAAAAGGGTACATTCACATCAATATGCATCCAGAATCACAAGCACAGCCGCATGGCTGGGCCTCTCTTGAGGAGAGGTATGAGGTGATGAAGGAGATTGGTGACGGCAGCTTCGGAAGCGTCGCGCTTGCACGCGTTCGAACTGCGGGATCCCACATTGCCCGTCGTGGTACTCTGGTAAGTACAACGTGACACAGGAGCTAAGGTATCAAGTCCACTGACGCGTCATAGGTCGCGATCAAGACCATGAAGAAGACATTCGACTCGTTTTCGAGCTGTCTTGAGTTGCGAGAAGTTATCTTCCTACGATCGCTACCACCACATCCTCATTTGGTACCGGCTCTAGACATCTTCCTTGACCCTTACAGCCGAAGGCTTCACATCGCCATGGAGTTCATGGACGGCAATCTGTATCAACTCATGAAGGCACGGGACCACAAGCCAATGGATGCGCACAGCGTGAAGAGCATTCTCTTTCAGATAATGTCCGGACTTGAACACATTCACGACCGGGAGTTCTTTCACCGCGACATCAAGCCGGAGAACATCCTCGTCTCAACATCGCAACAGAACGATACGTCGCACCCGTTCCGTCGGTACTCAGCAATGATGACTCCCCCCTCAACACCTCCAGCCTACACGATCAAGATCGCCGACTTTGGTCTAGCGAGGGAAACACACTCCAAGCTGCCATATACAACCTACGTTTCAACCCGGTGGTACCGTGCGCCCGAAGTGCTCCTCCGTGCTGGTCAATACTCAGCGCCCGTCGATATCTGGGCAGTAGGTGCCATGGCCGTCGAGATCGCAACCCTGAAGCCGCTTTTCCCTGGTGGAAACGAGGTTGACCAAGTCTGGAGAGTATGCGAGATCATGGGCAGCCCTGGCGGTTGGGTTAACAAGCACGGCCAGCGCGTCGGTGGTGGAGAGTGGAAAGAGGGTGTCAGGTTGGCGCAGAAGCTGGGCTTCTCGTTCCCCAAGGTAAGCCACTCAGAAACCATGATACAATATTTCAGCTAATAGTCATCTAGATGGCCCCGCACTCAATAGACACCATCTTGCCATCACCACAATGGCCTGCTAGCTTGGCACAATTCGTTACTTGGTGTTTGCTATGGGACCCTCGCGCGAGGCCCACTTCTCGACAAGCCCTGGATCACGAGTACTTCCAAGATGCTGTCGACCCCCTACGACTGAAATCGTCATCATCTCGATTGTTGGGTCGCAAAGGATCCGAAATCTCCGGCAAGGACTCTCCAGATGCATCGCCCAGACTCACCTCCAAGACCTCTTCATGGCTTCGACGATCGCTGGTCGCTCGTGAGAGTGCCCCCGCAGTCCCACAACACACCACACAGCAGCCTTTGTCACCTCGACCATCTCCAGCTCACACGAATTCCGATGTGAGTGGGTCAACTAAGCAGCGCCCTGCTGCTACCAAGCGAGCTACGTGGACAAATGGGGCTTCCAACAATGGCGCGCCTATCCCCATTCTGCCTTCCATCAAGCCAATCTCACCACTTTCGGCCGAAGTCACTGCACAGGCGACTGCCGCAAGCAAGGTCAGCCGACAGCTCTCTGTCAATTCACACGGCAACCACTATGCAGATGTACACCGCCAAGAGGCAGAAAGAGCTCTGAACGGACAGTCCGAAGTCACTTCTCCTGTCAACGGACAGAAAGAAGGTTTCTTCTCGCACCTGCGGAAGCGTGCTCGGCGCCTCTCAGGCCGTTACCAGACCCCCATGTCGCCGAATTCAGACGACATCGAGGCCAACGCTGGGTGCGCTCCATGGGCGGCCACTAGCGCCAGGCAATCCTTGGTTATGGATCAATCACAAGGCGCCCAATCAACTTCCACATCCGACTTCTCTGAGTTGGACAAGGCCCTGCAACATGTGAGGGACAGTGTCGAGGCGCACTCCCAGCAGACTGCCTCAACAAAGAGCTCGCGCGTTGCAACCAACCCCATGCTCAAACGCCATCACTCCGTACCTCACGGCCCCGAGCCCCGGAACTCCGAGAACGGACCCAATGCTCCAATCTCCTCCAGGACACGACGAGCGCTACAAAACAAGTCTAACCCATCAAATCGGTACGAGACCCCCAACGAAGAAGAGGAACTGCTCAGCGAGGTTCTTGCATCCGCAACCAAGGCTGCAAAGAAGTTGGACAACCCAAAGCCGCAAGGACCCCGCGGCCCTGCTGCATCCTACTTGACTCCATCACCATCACAGAACCGCAACAGCGTGGGTTTCGGGCAGTCGGAGTACATGACACCCAGTAAGCCTATGGACATCTCCCAACATCAGAGCAAGAACCAGCAATCCGTTTCCAAGTGGCCCACTCCACCCGATGATGGTTCAGACTGGGCTTCAAGTGTGGCTGCCAGCCTCATGGCAGCTCAAACCCGACACCGATGATATCCAACATCGCGGGACCCATACTTCTTTTCGCCTTGCCTTCGCTGCATGCTCTTCCATCCATATAATTGTAATTTGGGTCACCGCACCCGCTCATTGTCGCTTCCTATACGACCGTACGACATTGAGCTCTCCCGTCTGGAACGGTGCACGATTACAGAAAGATAGACACAGACGCTACGCGCTGCAAAGCCCTCAAAAGCAAAGCGCATTCTCTGGGACGGTGTTACTGGCGTCATAACACATCATCGTCCTTTTGCGCAACCACCGTCGTTTTACCATCTCACAACATTAATGTTGTCGTTTCCAATATCAGCTCCACATTCGCTCTGTACCACCACCACATATTTTCTTTTACTAAGTCATCATCTCGGGCGGCATCTTACATCATACTTGTGGCGGATCGGCACGAGGTTATCGTCTGTTCATTTCGTCGGAAATTGTCGATACCTTACCCGCAAGTTACTTGGGTCTACTGCAGGGATTGTCCATGTTTCGGGATACCCTGTGTACACCTTGCTTCTGTTTCAGATTTTCTTTGGCGCGCCTTGTTGGCGTTATCCCGCACTGTACTAGACCGAGTTTCCTTTATGTGCTTCATTTCGTCGGCGGATACCCCCAATTTGCGTATTTGGCGACTACATCATACTATCATCTTGGTTACTACTACATATATCCTTGTTGGTTAAAAGGGAAGGGGGGTGATCGAGGGAGGCAACCTTGTTTTCTTGGGATACAACTTGGTACATGGGAGGTGGGTAGAATAGTTTTTTGAGCGATCAACTGGTCCTGTTTCAACTCTCCTTGCGTACCGCTTTAACCTGCACTCTCTTTGCGTACTTTTATCTTGACTTTTTCTCTCCCCCACATACCAACCGTTGTAATATGTAATAAGACATAGCCCAGGACGGCTAGTCATTATACGTTTCTTGCCTCGCGTTATTCGCATATGGCTCATGGGAAGGAGTTCGATACCACCTGGCTTTTTTCTTACTGCAAACCGTTGGTTCTGGCCGGACCGAACGCCTATCTCATATGTAACATTAGTTAGCTATCCCCTATCATCAATGAAAGCTGCTCGCTTGTCTGCCACTGTTGCGGCACCAGACTGCAAAAACCACACCTAGTCCCATTCTTTACACTCATGCCTGATCCTGGGAATCCACCCGCCTTAACGAGCACGAGTGTGTGCTTTCGCCACAGGACACGCAACACTCTTGCGTCAACTCGACTAGACAACGCATCACCCGCCACAGCTATGAACCCTTCTTACGTTCATAGGGAGTCAAACTAGCCACGTCTTCCGCTTGGGCTTTGGACTTCAAGCATATCCCCTAGATATATCAGACCCTGAGCTCCGAGATCATCGTCGGTCCTACTCAAGATCGTCAACTTAGTATACAAGCGTTTCCCTACTTCATCCTGCCTCGACTTGAACAGCATCTTCCTAGATAGACAGATGAAAAGGCGGGGCGGCGCCTAAGTGCACAGCGGCATCCTCGCCTGCCCCGAATAATTCAGCATACCATGATCGCTAGCTCAAATGCAGACCAAGTCCGTGTGTGGTGATCTTGTGTTGTGCGTCTTGTGCTCCCTCGCCTAGTCGGTGTGAATGGCGGTCGTGGGGAGAGGGAATGAGAGTAGGACGATAGGGGGTTAGGGGGGATAGGGGACGGCCCGCTGCATACGCACACACACTTGCATGTGCAGCCACAGCGGAAAGGAGGTAGAATGACGTCGACTACGATAACGATACCGGTACCGATACCGACACTAGGTAGTGAGTATTGTTGCTTTTCGAGTGTAGGGTTTGGCAGCATTAAAGGGGGAGATTATCGGCGGGAAAAAAAGAAAGCAGGAAAGATACTCTGTGATTGCTATGAGAACGTACGTCGTATGTCCACCTGACTGGCGTCAAGTGTTTCGCTGGATGAAATGCCGAATAGATGGAATAAAGGATAAGATATATTGATTTCCGGATAAACCTCAAAGTCGGTGTAAATGCGTAACTGCATAGCCAACCCAATTCTCTACGTATCTATAGAACGCCACCCAATGCTCATGCTCATGCCTAATATTGTCGCCCCTTCATAAAGAAAACCTTACCATCCGCCACCAGCGGTGACGGCCAATCCAGCAACACGTTCCATATCGCTCTGCTTCTTCTTGCCAACATCGCTTTCTACTTTGATATACGATGTGTATATCAGCTTTTGCTGATCGACGCCTGTGATATCAGACCAATGCGCCATGAGCTTCTTCATGCGTGATCTCGATATCCCATCAACGACATCTTGCTCAGAAGAGTTCCCGTTCGTATGCGCATCCGTCTCCTCTTCTGAATCTGTACCCGAGAAGTAGGCTTCGTCCACTCTTGCGAGCCACTCTTTCTGCTCCTTCGGGCCTGGCTTTGGTGCTGGCGCATCTTCATTCACCTCTTGAATCCCTTCATAGACACGCACTTCTTCTACCTCCTGGACCTTGACTTGTCCACCGCCGTTTGTACATCCGCCCGGACAAGCCATGACCTCCACATAAGCATAATCTTTTACACCCTCGCCCGCAGCAGCGGCGGCACCGCCTGGCCTCCTGCTAACACCCGTTTTGCCGCCCGGTAACCTACTGGCTTTAGCTGGTTTGAGTCGCCGTACCAAGTTTTGTATGTTCCTGAAACCGTAGAATCGTGCTGCTTTGATTATCGTTTCCGAGCCACGGACGACTGAGTATTCTACCACATCAGCATTACGACCCCGTGCTACTGATATCGAAGATCCTGGATTTTGAGCTTGGTATGTTTGAAGTATGTGGTGTAAGTATCCGCCGGAGGGGCCAGCGGCTGCGCTCTGGTTCTTCCGGCGCGAAGGAGGGAATAGGAAAGCATCGATCTTCGAATCTGGGAAGGGCGTCCGGTCAGCAGAGGGAAGCGGTGTTCGTGGAAGCGAAGCGAAGTTGATGCCACGGGCAGCGGCGAGATGTAGTATCTCACGAGCTGTGATTACACAATCGGTATCTCTTATCTTATCCTGTGACTGATCATAGCTAGGTAACCACGCAGCCGAGGTGAGCTCGCCACGGCTGGCCTCGAGTTTCTTGTCAAAGCATGGCATGATTGCGAGGTGCCAGATCTGGGATGGTGGCACGTTGTATCGTTCGCTGAGGACTGACTTGATCAATGTGCCGGTAAGGGCTTGCGGTGACTTGAGACGCGAGAGATGTGGGAGGACGTATGGGTGTGTCTTCTCGGCGTAGCAAATCCACCCAGGACAGGCTGATGTGAGGATGGGCGCTTTCGGTGTAGTATCGATTGCGCCCTCTGTTCCGGGCTTTGGCGACGTCTTGGATGCTTCGGGAGAAAGGGCATTTGTGACCTCGTCTGCTGCCGCCACAAGACAAGCCTCGCGCATTGCGTTGGTGTCGATGACCCAGGTGAAATCGCTTCCCTGCTGGCCGCCAGACTTCAGGCCTGAAGGTCCACTGAGGAGTTGCGTGATCATGTTCCCAGCCTCTACCTCGGAGATGTTGAAGACCGCCGCCAGACTTGCGCGAGTCTGCGGTGAGACGCTGGCGACAAACAGCTTTCCTTTAGCATTGTGGCCATCCACACCGTTCCCTACTCCATTACTAGTATGTCCGTTTGTTACTCCATTCGTCCCATTATGTGCCAGCCATGGTGCGCGTAACGACGGGTAGGTATCGAGCGTTGTGAGGACCTCTGTATGCGACTGCAGCGACACCAGCACCGCTTCAGCACTTGTTACACAGCCCGAGCAGGCAAGACAATCGGTAAGCGATATCGAAGCGGGTGGCGGCGGTTCTGAGGCAGCGGCTTTCTCTTCGGTCGTGACTTCGTATGGATTCTAGCATAATTGTTAGAATGCGCCCGCCTATGACGCAATGCGATAATCGAACTCACCGAGTTATCTGCTTGTTGTACTGGAAGCGTCTCTATAGGCTTTATACACGCGACTCCCGGCGAAATAAAGTCGTTAAGGTCGTCTGCAGAAAGAATGGCGCTCATGTTGCGCCGTATTCTAGTGGGGGAGGGGCGACAGGCGCTATTGCGATGCGACTCAAGGAAAGTTGTGAAGGCAGGAAACACCTTTCTATCCAGGCAGAAATAACAATTCAGAGGAGAAAGAAAGAAAGAAGAGCGCAGCACTACTTAGAAAGTCCAAGTCCCTCGCCCCGATGTCGCGGAGAAAGCAGTCACGCAACGCGCCGGCCTATCGATAGGCTCACATTTCCAAATGATTCCGATGACAAACCTCCGCGGCGAGTTGCCACACTGGGTATCCACTCTTTCTCTATGCGCACCTTCTACTTGTCACGTGCTCGCGCATGCCAACTTCGAATACAACTGAAGAAAACAGCCACACTTGGCTACATTAGCTCCCGTAATATAGTCGCTCACGGAGTATAGGAGCATATAGTATGCGGGGTGCATCCGTCCGGCAGATTGATTTAGCCTGGCAAGCCGTGCATCGAATGGTGGTAAGGAAGGCCGCAAACATGGAAAGTGAGCAACATCAATATAGTATTTCGCTTTACTTCTGACCATGCTGTGTCACTGATTCTGAAGTCTTCGTCATGTTTTCCTTCTCCACGCGTCCACAGTGCTGCTGCTGCTGCTGCTACTACTACTACATTGCGCTCATATGCGGCGCATTTCTATCGATACCCTGGGACTGATGTCTCCGAAGAGCAGTGCAAGCTTCGAGGTTGCGAAAAGAAGGAGTCTTTGGAACTCGGCACCTAGACTGCTAACGACATGTGTCTTCTTTGGTGCCTTGTGGTTGTGGTTCAACATAGGGACGTCCGAAGTCCCGCTACCACCAGATTCATTCGCCTATATACAGACCGAGAGCTTGAGAGATATCTTGAACACCACCCTAGGGGTATGTATGAGAACGCTTCAATTGACACTACCATTCGCTAACACAGCTCAAGTTTGAGAAGATTTTAGTCCTCAACCTCCCCTTCCGTACTGACCGCCGCGACGCGATGAGTCTTTCAGCCGCAGTTTCCAACGTCAAGATCGAGTTTGTTGAAGGTGTGACGGGCGAAAGTATCAATGAAAAGGCATACCCCCCACCGGAAGAGAACAGAAAGCATTCTGCAGGTATCCGAGGAAGCTGGAGAACGCATATGAATGCTCTACAGAGGTACACGGGCTCTGAACTTCACTACAAGATGGCAGTGAATTAACACCATGAAGGATAGTCGACCAAAATCTAACCACGGCCCTCGTTTTCGAAGACGATGTAGACTGGGACATTCGCATTCGTCAGAACCTACAACGATTCGCACTAGCATCACGCTTTCTATCCGGAAACCACGATACCTCTAATTTGCAAGGCAAGATCCAAACACATGCAAATACAGAAACAGAAGACACTGCCTTCAAAATCATCGACACGTCAAACCTCCCAAAGACACTTACGTCTCTCCCCTTATCTTCGGTACCTTTTCACTCCAGCACTCCCCAAACCTCACCCTATGGCGACCCAACAAAATGGGACATACTCTGGCTTGGACACTGCGGCACCGGCATGCCACGCCCAGTACCCAACCACCAACTCCACCGCCGCAGCGACACTACTACTACCACCATCCTAACCCACCCCAACGACCTCTCAGTTCCCTCCCCACAGCATCTAAAAGCCCACCCCTTCCAAAGCGACCCCGACGCCCTAGGCACCACCTTCTCACCCCACACACGCATATATCACCACGCAACAGGTGGCACCCTTTGTACAGTCGGCTACGCCGTCTCCCAACGCGGCGCCCGCCGCCTGCTCCACCAATTCGGCGTGAGCGGGTGGAATGGCATTTTCGACAGCGAGTTAGGCCGGTGGTGCGCTGGCGATGATCCAGACATGGGAAGGCAGGCCCCACAGCACTCTCATGCTGCTAGGAGTGGTGGGGGCGTGGGCATAAACGGGGATGAGAGGGTTTGTGTAACGGTTCAGCCACCCATCTTTGCGCATCATCATCCAAACAACGGGGAGAGTGATATTGGCGGGTTGGGTGGGGGTTATGCAAAGAGGTATGAGACAAAGTATCTGAGGTATAGTGTTAGGATGAACCTAGGGGCTTTGGTTGGCAGGGTGGGAGGAGAAGGTAAGGCGGAGGGTTTAGTGGATCAGTGGCCTGATGGGGAGGAATGAGGGTGGCCATGACAGGGTTTGGGTAGAGACAGTCAAGTGCAGTGATATAGTAGTGGTATTCTCCAAATCCTTACTGTAGCTGTTGTAATCCACCTACCACGGCTTTGGCTCTTAAATCACATCTCCTTCCTCTCCTCCTATGCATACACGCATCTGCAAGAAATAAGTCTTCTCGGTACCTGCCGAGGCGTTCTCCCTATTCTCCTCCAGGACTATGATTATAACGGGAATGAACGACTCGAAGGTATCATCAACTGAACAGCAAGCGGCCGTCCCACCATCCTCTCCATGTAACGCCAGTAAAAAACCAAAAATGCTCCCTTTATACGATGCACAAGCTCACTGGGTATAATGACCTTGCGCCTTTTGTGTTCAAACAGATTCAATGCGTGCTGCAGATAGTAGCTTCGACATGGCCCCGGGCTCTGATGGCTGTATGATCAACTTGCGCCTGTGTTGTGCGTGTTATCGCTTCTTGTGTGATCCAGGGCTTTGCATATAGAGTGCTGCGAATTTGTAGTCCTGGTCGTTCGAGCTGGTCATCGATGGCTTCGTTCCAACGGTTCTTTGGTGCTCGACTCCATCACCTTTTTCTAATAACCGAGACAACATGCAGGTCGTCAAACACAACTGTTCTCCGCATGACAAAATCACTTCCATCGAAATATTCAACTCTTCCATGTGATCAGGCGTTCACTCAATCAACGGCTTCCGTACGCCTCCTACAATTGCAATTCCGAGTGCGCGCAAGCCTTCTGGGTCATTGGATCGAACAATAGTACTGGCGGGTAACATGGGGTTGTCAGGCGTGACGTGTGCGGCGTCCTTGGCTGCCTGCTCAATGGCTTCCATCTCCTCTTTGCAACCAGCGTGGTCGAATGGACATACAACAATGGGCTGACGGAGCAGAATATCTCTTGCTGACGACATTTGCGCCTAACTTCAGTCAGTGGGATCCACAACTTTGATTCACCAAATTCAACTTACCTTGACTGTGAGATAATACTCTATCTTGTAGAGAGTACCAGTTGTCGTGAAGCCAGTGACAGCGTACATGGGAAACTCCTTCTGCCCTCTCGGTATAACACCTGCATTGTCTCGTAAATCTTTTGCAGGGAAGACCAGTCCAAGGTTGGTGAAGTAGCCTGCTTCGGGCATCTTCACTCCGACTTGCTGCTGTGTTTTTGCCAATGTCTTGACCTTGCGAGTTGGTTCATCTCCCTCGTGATTGAAGATGATCTCCTCGTCTATGCCAACGGTAATCTTTTGTATTGTGACCTTCTTTGCCTTGCTCAGCCAGTCCGGATTAGGACTTAGTTTGATGTACACTGAGACTGGATCCATTGGGCCATAACTCCATCTCGGCAGGCTAATTCCAAGAGTGACCAGGTGATCCGTTACTCGTTCTGCGCTCTCTGGTCGATTGTACATGCCAAATGTCGAGAGGGTATCGTATCGTTGTATCGGTACAGCAAAAGGATACTTTTTCTGTTCCTGCGGCCCTTGCTGCACTGTCACGACGAGTTCGTAGAATGTCTCAGCGGTCCGGCTAGGTAGTTGCAGACTCGCAGGAGGTACCCTCCTCGCTACTTCCTCTCCACCACGCCCATAGGGTATGAAGATGACAAACGGGAGGTCCATGCATAGTATACTCTCATGTTCTCTTCCAGGCGAACATCGATATAAGAGCATTTCCTTGCCAACGATATCGGTAATCTCTTTGCGCGGGGCTGCCAAATGCTTCTTGGTGACTGAGTCGGCAGACGGGTGTATCGTTTCGCGCCGGTGCAATGCAATGGTGACGAGGGAGACATTGACAGGCGCTGATACGCCCACGAGTGGCCGTATCTCGACCTTGCCTTCTATCCGAGGCTGTGGTATGTCAGCATTAGCCCGGTACCCTTGCTGAAGGAGAATCGGTCATACAACGACTCCGGGTGGGTTGTATGGAGCGCGAGACGTCCAATGAGAACAGAAATAGGGTAGAGACACGTACGAGTGTTGCTGATATGCCTGGATAACCAACCAGAAAGTTACTGTTTGGCGGTCCTGAGACGCGAACGAAGGCCGACATGTTCGTTTCTCGCAGCGCAGGCCTGGGAGGGCAGCGAGCGCTGCATGGGCGTGAATGTGGCCTTTCAGAATGTGGTCTCTCGGTCCAAGTCGCGCGTTTGAGGCTTCGAGGTAATAGTGCGCCGACCAAGTATGCCGTGCTTGGAGCTAGGTAGCCTTCTGGGCAGCGAATTGTGGGGGTGGAATGATGTCGGCGCCTCGTATCTTGAACCAGCGGGGCTCTGGGTGGCAGTGAAGCCGGTGGATGCGCGGCGGGCCGGTCGGTTAGGGATGCGATATGGATACGGTCGTGTTTGGAGTGAATGCGCGGCGGGGATACTGTGGTGGATTACGTCCCGAAAGTCGTAGGGCTGCCCGAGTGGAGCTTATGCGGCTGGCGCTTATGATGTCCAACGTCTACCGTACTAGAGAGCGAAGAGGGAGGAGCGGGATTTTGGCTATAGCAATGACGATGACAGCGAATGCAGGGCGATTGCATACAGTAAACGCAGTGTGATAGGCGCGCGATGTTCTAGGCGCGGCGAGTGTGGAGGTAGAGGAGCTCTCGACTTCGAGGGTCCGATTCGTGCGCCATCATTGTTCCTTCCAAACCACAAACACGACTCATCTGCACCTGCGACCATGTCCGTCACGGTGAGTCCGAATTCCTTGATACTTCGAGTATGCTGCTAAATGCGACTAGCTGCACACCACAAAGGGCGATATAAAACTCGAAATATTCTGCGAGGCTGTCCCCCAAACCGCCGAGAACTTCCTCGCTCTCTGCGCATCCGGCTTCTACAACTCCTCACCCTTCCACCGTCTGATCCCATCGTTTATGGTCCAAACCGGCTCGCCCGCCTCCGATCCAAAGTCCAAGACTTCCACCTCCATCTATGATACGCCAAACCAACTGTTTGAGGATGAGATTCGGCCCGCGTTGAGACATAACGCGAGAGGAATCGTGAGCATGGCGAACAAGGGAGCCAATTCCAACGGATCACAATTCTTCATAACGTTTGCCCCGGCACCGCATTTGGATGGGAAGAACACCGTCTTTGGCAAAGTACTAGAAGGGTGGGAAGTACTGGATGACATGGAGAGCGTTCAGGTGGATAAGAAGTCAAGACCACAGGAGAAGATGGAGATCAAGAGTGTCACAATTCATGCGAACCCGCTGGCAGGGTGAACAAGGTGCGATTAGGCAAACAGTGGCTGCAGGGCGACATCATCTAAGCTGGGAACGTAATGTGTGATTGGAGCCTGAAGGATGTCGCGGCATTTTGAGAAAAAGAAACAACGAATCAAAGTCTGGGAAGAGGATACCATTCACACTACCAATATTGGACCGGAAAGATATCAGATCGCTGTAGGCATCACGAAGCACCGGTACAAGGAAAGAGTGAGCTGTGGAATCATATCATATTCATCATGGCTGGCGAGGCCTTGGTATCTACGAAGCGCCGACCTAATGCAAGACGAGTCAAGAAAATCTAAGAGAGGTCCAAGCTATCCACCCTATGCGCCATTGGTCGTGGTTCCGTTCGTCAAACTCGCCGCATGCTCTGCCTCGTAACCTTCCGTCTTCATGTCCAGCAATCCTAGTTCCTCCTCCTCAGCCTCTGTCCGCTTGTAGTCCTCAACCTTAATCTTGGGGTCGGGCTCTGGTGCTGTAAAGCTCTGGACGTAACTGCTGGCAAGAGGGTCCTCGAGGACAAGAGTGAACTTGTCTTCGCCGTTGATGGCTGCAGAGAGGTTGTGGAAGAAGGTGTTCCACTTCTGCTTTGACTCTGTGTCCATCGAGTCTCCTCCATCACCAGCGTCGAAGATCGAGGACTTCAAATCATCACGTACTTGGGTCAGAAGACCTTCGATCGTTGTAAACCTGCCACCAAGAGTACCAGGTTCAACACTGAGGTTGAGCTCGAGGCACGACATAGCGCATGACTCGGCTTTGAGGATGTCTCGTGATAGATCTTCCTTGCTGTCCACGGTGACTGTGATCCGACGACCCATCTCAGGGACTTCGCCTCCAGTCTTGACTTCGTTGCTTCGATCTGCATTATATTAGCTAGTGAACATTGTTGATCATCGGTTGAACCTACATCCGCAGTGGTCGCACACTGTGCTCATTAGGACGACTTGCTTGAAGTGGGGAATGTTGACCATCTTCATGTTTGTAGTGCACGACTTGGTGCATCCTGGACAGCTGGCAGGGAATGAGTAGACCTGGTTCTCCACGATATCGTCCTCATCCACATTGTTCACCATAGGGGCATGGGCCGAAGGCATCTCCGGGTACATCTGTGAAGCGTGGTACTCTGGTCGAATCTCTGTGGCAGGGGCCTCGCCGCTGGTATCACCGAGACCAAGCGCTTCGTTCTGTGCAGCAGTTCGTGGGTATTCGTTCCGAGAGTATTTGCCCGCACCAAGTACGCTTGGAGGCTCAATCGAAGAGTTGCCAGCCGGGTCGTCAATCGTGACCTTGAACGGCAGTTTCTCTCCACTCGCCATCTGCTTGATTGTGTTGATGACTCCCTGCAACTGCTCGTAGACCTCTGGTACTACTTGCTTCCTCTCCTCCTGCTTCTGCTCCAGGTCTTGTGCCACCATCGCGAGAATGCCCTCTACGTTTGTCAGTTGTCCTCGGCCAGGCGGTATCTCTAGATCGATGTCCTCCACTCGGAACACCGCGGTGTCGCTCTTGATGATCTGACGGCTCAGGTCGTCGGCTGATTCGACCTTGAGGGTGAACTTGATACCTCGTTGCTGGATTTCGCCGGCAGGTTGAACTTCGGAGTTCTTGAAGTGGCAATGTGGGCATGAGAAGGACATAAGAACGATCTCGCGGAAGAAGGGTATTCTAGTGAGGAGGAGGCGCGTAATGCCCTTGAAAGTGTCAGCTCAATCTCGTGTTGTTCTCGGATGCGCCTACATCCTCGTGACAGTTCATGCACATGCTCTCGATCTCGTCGACAACCTTCGTGTCGTCGTCTCCTTGTTGGGCGCTCGCCTCTGCGACCTTGCGGCCCATATCCTCGAAGAGGTCCTTTGCAAGGCTCTGTTGCTGTGCCATACTTGCAATCGATTAATTTCGTCGTAGAGTAGTGTTGGATTGAAGAATCGTGCGTGTAATTGGATTGACTTTCGCAAGTTGTGATGACATAACTTCTGGAAATTTTTGAGCCCCGCGCTTGCATAGCGGGGTGTCGCTAGACCCTTCCATGCAGGTGCGCTTTCACCTGGGCACTCAGCCCTACGGAGCTTATAGTGCAAAGTCCATAAAATCGAGCCCCCCCGTACCCGAGTCCTGCGTCTTCTTCTTGTCAAGCATAGCTTGCAGGCCGCCCTTCCGTGCCCTTTGTCTTTGCTTACTGCTCGCGTTCATCGTCTTTGGTGCGACATCCTCCTCTTTCTTAGTTGCTTTCGTTGCCTCCAAATTTGGTGCTGTATCCGAAAGAGGCCGTAATCTCTTTACCAGTTTGCGAGGTTTTCGCTGAAGTGTTTGAAGCGTTTCTCGTTGACACCGTAAGCAGGTATAGCGAGTGCTCTTCTCAGGCTCCGATGACTTCTTGCCAATACTTCTGTATTTCCCTATATTCGAGACCTTACATGACCATCCTGGGATCATGACATTCCCACATGCACCGCAGACGCTTCGATGGAAGGCGTCCGATTCCTTGTTTGGCATGTCGACTTCAGCATCTTCGATTAGCTTGTTGTGTGCATTACCCAAAAACGCTGCCGTCGTTGGCGAGGGAATGGCGAGGAGATAAGCAGCTTCTTGAAGGAACTTCGCCCTCAGTTGGGTTTGATCTGCTGAAGCCATGTGTTTAGAGAACCTGAATGATCTCTGCAGACCTCGGAAAGCTTCCTGCAGGTCCAGTATCTACACGTGCTCACTAGCTTATCGCAACACCGACCTCCGACGCTAGTGCTGCAGGTCCCTCGGTCGTGCTTTCTTCGACAATAGCCTCCACCGCAGTGTTTATTCTACGCGTATATCGTGACTTGTGCGCCTATGCACTGCGCAACAGAGATTTCACCAGCAACTTTGTAGTCGCGCTACCATTAGCGCTCGTTCTCGCTAACTACCAGGTTACCAGCCGCGTTGAGTATGGCCGCCCCAGAGTTAGTAGAACAGCAGGGCCTGCGCATAGCAGTAGAAGGTTGCGGCCATGGAGTACTACACGAAATCTATGCATCTGTTGCAAAAGCCTGTGAGCTGAAAGGTTGGCCAGACGTCGATCTCTTGATCATTGGCGGTGACTTCCAGGTATGTAAACCGTTCATACTGCCTATCCAACAACTAACCTCATAGGCTGTTCGAAACGCGTCCGATCTCAAGGCAGTATCGATGCCTTCCAAGTACTATGCTATGCACGACTTTCACGAATACTACTCAGGCTTGCGCACAGCCCCGTACCTCACTATATTTATCGGTGGCAACCACGAAGCGAGCAACTATATGTGGGAGTTGTACTACGGTGGATGGGCTGCACCCAAGATATATTATATGGGCGCGGCCAATGTGATACAATTAGGACCATTGCGTATTGCTGGTTTGTCAGGTATCTGGAAAGGCTACAACTACAAGAAGCCGCACTTCGAGCGCTTGCCTTACAACAGTGATGACGTTAGGAGCGTTTACCACGTCCGAGAAATTGACGTTCGCAAACTGCTTCAAATACGAACGCAGGTGGACATCGGCCTCAGCCATGACTGGCCGCGCGGTATGGAGTGGAAAGGCAACTACCGGCAACTTTTCAGCTGGAAGCCAGACTTCGAACAAGAGGCCAAGGACGGCACTCTTGGTAGCGTTGCTGCAAAGGAAGTCCTTGAACATTTGCGACCACCCCACTGGTTTAGCGCCCATATGCATGCTAAATTCCCAGCTATATGGAACCACGCAGAAGCTCCGAATACCGTGTCCTCGAACACCGATGCTCACAACCCTGTTCCGACGATCGTAAATGATAGCGAGATCAATTCGGACAACGTAGATGAGGAGCCCGTACCAGTGCCCAAGAACGATGCGGAAATTGATCTTGATATGGATTTGGATGATGATGACGCGCCGCCTGCACCAGTCACAGAGCCTAAGGAGCCTCCGAAACCTACTAAGACGGAAAGCGAACCCCAAGTCCCCGAAGACGTTCGAAGTCTTCTACCAGAGTCTTTCTCGCGCCCAAAGATTGAGGCAAAACAGACCCTTCCCTTTCCTGGGGATATAACGAACAAGACGACCAACTTCCTCGCACTTGACAAGTGCTTGCCCAAACGAAGCTTTCTCCAGTTATTGGCAGTAGAACCACATACGCCTGCTGAATTACAACGGCCTCTACAGTTACAATACGACAAAGAATGGCTTGCCATTACTCGCGTCTTTGCCGATCATATTCAGGTGGGGGATCCGTATGCGCAAGTCCCTGCAGACAAAGGCGATGCTTTTTATCGACCTCTTGTGGAGAAGGAGATGAATTGGGTCGAAGAGAACATCATCGCAACAGGCAAGATGACTATACCAGAAGATTTCACACGGACTGCACCAGTATACGAGCCCGCATTAGGCATCCATGTCCAAGAGTCCCCGCAAGAGTACAGTAATCCGCACACACAGTCATTCTGCAATTTACTGCAGATCCCGAATGTGTTTCATGCGTCAGACGAAGAGCGGGCACAACTAGCGCAAAACGGTCCGAGACCGGAACAACAGCGGTCCAATCGAGGCGGGGGGAGAGGCGGAGGTGGACACAGAGGGGGTGGGCGTGGCCAAGGGCACAGAGGTCGTGGAAGGGGCGGAAGGGGTGGACGCGGCCGCGGTGGACGCTGGTGATGATTTGACCATCCGCCTAGCCCAATACGAAAGTTGAGATGATGCAAAGCAAGTGGTCATCAGGCCAGCACATCCAGAGCCGCACTACTCTATTCAAAACCCCAAGCCGTCTGGTAGCCTACGCGTTTTTCATGGACTTGCAATATGCTCCACGATGCCAGTGTAGTCGTATGCTGATTACGAGATTGTATATATGACCAAAAGTATTGGTGCCCAAGACTAACAGATAGCACACGCAGCTAGCGTCGTGTATCCGCTTATATCTGTAACTTGGGATCGAGAAGTCGGCTCTGCGCACCATTTGACATGACAGATGGCGCAGAAGTTTGGGGTCTACCGTTGTCAAAGACCCACAAGGGTCCGGGCGCCGGACGTTTTGAACGAGGACCCTGCACGATGATGTCGACTAGTAGCCGAGTCAGTGCGTCTTCCGCGTACACCGCACACCTAGCTCAGGCATTTTCGTTGGAGCTTGTACAGTTGTCGCAATGGTTTGCTGGCAAGCGCGCAGCCGGCAACCGCATACACAAGGCCGTGTTTTGGAAACTATAGCCAAAGCGGTGGCTGTGATATTGGATGGCTCTTGTCCTACGTCAGAGGCCGGCCATACTCGCGATGGGCGCAGCGGACCCGACGAGAACACTGCATGCGGGTTCCCGTCGTGCGGACACAGTTTCAATATAACTGATATGGATAAAGTGCGAAGATTCGGTCTTGTCTCGCGACTGCCTGGTGATCGCGCTGATCATCAACATACTAGTCGAGAGTTTATTTGACTCCGCGAGCCGATGTTCGCAAGCTGTGGCGAAATGGTTGCGCGTGCTGCGCAAGAATAACCCCATGGCTAGCAAGGTCGCCGCTGTTTGGTTCCGCATGACTGGGCAGAGGCGGCGGGTCGGATGCGCAATCCTCCCAGCACCCGTGCGAAGACGTCCGAATTCTGGTTCGACGCTCCCAAGCGGCTTGGGGCAACCCTTACAGTCATGACAGTCCTGCGAGCGGTACTATTTTCAGGACGTTCAACCACGGTACTGTGCGACATGAACACTTGTCGCACGCGGTTGCGCGCCCGTTATGGCGGTACCAAAACCAAGTAGCTGCCGGCGGAACGCTGTCCAGAACGTGTCGGTACGTCATACCCTGACCTTAGCGCCGCCGTTATTATGCATCGAGGCCTTGCGATCGGCGGGACAGACCCTGAATCGTTGGTCCCTGGCCTGCTCTGCCGTGGACACACGGACCTCGTCCACATGCTCATCCACACACGCCCTGGTTGAGTTTAAAAACCTTTCGCCGCCCTTGCTTACCCAGGCTTTGTTCTATATTTCGGCATATATCGTCTACTATCGCTTCTAGCTTTCACCTTTCCCACCTTCGCTACCCCCTATTTCCGGTCTTCGCTACAGCCTTGTATCTTGTTATACTATATCCGGACATTGCCACACTGAAGTCTGGACCATTTATGAGAAGCCACCCGCGACACATCGCCCGTAGATCATAGTAGCTACCCCCAAGTCTATATCACATTACCTGTGCTATAAACATCTACATCCCCCACATCCAACCCACACACACATACATCCGACCGTCTACCACTACATCACTTCGACACCACTACCAACATAATGGCCTCACGCTTCGTTGAAAACCTCCAAGAGGTCCTGATTAGCCATCCCCACCTCAACGTTTCACTCGACGACATCCTCGCAGAAGAGAGCCGCAAGAGGTCGTCTTCCCAATCATCTGGCAGCTCAGAGACCCGTAGGTCAGGAAGCAGCTCTACACCAAGCCCGACATCACCCATCGCTACCGAAAGCAAGCTCAAACGGGCTTTCACTCTGGGTAGCAAGAAGGGTCGCCGCACGTCATCATGAATGAAGAATGATGCATCCATCTCTTGGACCAACCCTACACACCTATTACGAACTCACGAAGAACGGTTATCAGACCTTAATGACATCACTAAGACTATCTCGACCAAGCGTTGGAAGAGACTAGTCTGTCGCCTGACGAGCGCCGAGCCGTCACCCTTCATTGCCTAGCCGGCAACCGGACGATTGTTCAGACGTCATCATCATCATCATCATCATCACACCCTATAGCGTGGGCGCTAGCACCTAGCACTACGCACCACACATGCCTCAACGCTATCGTCGTTACATGACCACAATGAGTGTTTCCGTGATGGAGAGTCACGACGGAATTTATTAGTCGAAACATTGGACAATGGAGCAGCAAAGTGTTCAGAACTATCTTCTTCAGAAGACGTTTGTTCACATCAAAGACGTCACACTTCAGTACATACATACCTATTAATTATACAAATTTCTGCAGTCAATGTTTTCTCGATGCTGCGATTCGGTACCTTGGAAGATACGTTCGAGTATATCCAGATAAAGTGATACCAATCTACTATTCAGTGGCAGAATTGTTTGCGTCAGCATTTGGCAGGGGCGATGCTCACAAGTGCATTCGTACTCACTCGCATGTGTCTTACCTCGCCAACTTGGCTCGCAACTACCCACTTTCAGTTATGCAACCCCTACCCACAAGTCTAGAACAGCCGTGTGCTTGACATTCCTCTTACTCTTATCCCAATTCTCACAATATCTCTACCACCTATCGTTATCCACATCTGATTCATCATCAACCACCAACCACCAAGAAGGAGGAAAACAAATGACCGCAACAACACCCACAGTCTTGATTGCAACCCTAGAATCCCACCTCACACCCACTTTAGCCTTCACCTCTCCACCAACATCCCCCTCCCAACCTTCTCTCCATCTGATCGCTCCACCTACCCTTGCCAAGCTACGCAACATAGGCTCCGGTCGTGTAAAAGACATGCATTCCCTCGGCCACTCCAAACAAATCATCAGCCACGTTCCCCTCGTCGCTACGCCACAAACTTGCAGCAAGATCAACGACGCGATGCATGCAGCAGTAACCATGAATGGGGAGAGATTCGCCGCGTTGAGTATGTTGCCTATAGAGGGCAAGGAGGCGGCAAGAGAGTTGGCAAGGTGTGTGAGCAAGATGAAGTTTGTTGGAGGTTGCATTGCGATGACTAGGCAGACTATATTGGAAGGGGCGGAATGGGAAGAGCTTTGGGATACCGCGGACAGGTACCGGGTGCCAGTTCTGTTGAGGGACATGTGGCCGGTGGGCTCCGAGGTATGTAGCTGTCCATGTTTTGGACATCAAAAGAGGAAAAAAGGGAGAAGAGGAAGATGTGGTCTGACATGCACAGATACCGGATTACCAACACGCTCTTCCTTCTACCGTGTACACGCCCCTCTTAACACATGTCCATACGTCGCATGCTACTTCTCCTCTCCCCTTGCTACACCTCTATCTCAGCTCCGTCTTCGACCGATACCCTACTCTACGTCTCATGCTCGCGCATCCTGGCGTCCTAACCTCCCTCATCCCACGTATCGAGATGCTCCTCACCGCTATTCCTGTTGCGAATAAACCGAAGCGAAGTTTCCTGGATGTCTGGCAGCACAATATCTACCTCACGACGGCAGATACACAAGACATGTCGAGCCTAAGAGCGCTGCTAGAGCAGATACCTGTGGACAGGGTGTTGTATGCAAGCAATTACCCGTTTGAAGAGAGGGGGAAACAGTTGATAGAGGAACTCAGAGATAGTGGGTTCTTGACGCATGTGGAGTGGGAAAGAGTTGCTTGGGGAAATGCAGAGACTTTGTTCAATCTGAAAGGAGCAAACACGAAGGGAGGGAGGAGATAGAACACGTCCGGCAGGCGAACCGACCTGAGTAATGCGCTTAGCCTAGGAGATAGTGAAAATACCTAGGAGAGAGTCTCCAAGTATGTGAAAAGGTTGTTGATAGCTTATTTCCATGCATTCATGTGATGTGTATATGAACGCCCTGTCAACTCATGACTCCTGGCTTGTGGTATCTTTCATGTCAAATCATCGTCGTGCCGCATCGCCTTCTCTCGTCGCTCGGTCGGTCGTTGGTATGTTCGACGCTTATTTCTTGCCCGACTTCTTGATTCCCTGCGAGCCGGTGTTGAGGGGACCTTTGCCCTTGCCGACGGTCTTGGCTAGTTCCTCACGCTGCTTCTTCTCTGCATGTCGTTAGCACATCTGTCGTTGTCCTCATTCTTATGTTGGCACTTCGCAGCCTGTGGCGCTCCACGCTTCCGGTAGTAGGATAAGGGGGGTACGCACCAGCAGCGAGCTTCGCCTTGTATGCGACATCATCTTCGTCGAGCTCGACGGCCTTCTTCTTCTTCTGCTTGTTGTGGATGGGGTTTGTACCCGCTGTGGTATTCTGTCAGCCTTTGACCCCGCATCAGTTTGCGCAAGAGTTATGGCGCTCACCTCCTTGTCCTGAAGGCATCTTGTAGAAGTCGGTTGTCTTTTTGGTCCGGTGTTCGGTGTGTAGTTGAAGGGGGAGAGATTTATTCGGAGGCGTCGAAAACGTTCGGCGGCTGCAAGGCGGTGGGAAAGGGTCTCGACGTCTAAGAAAAGTGGGATGCGCACAGCCACAGTCGTGTGGCACTAATGCACGTGACTAGATCACATGCTGACACGAAGGCTGGCTCCACGGCTGGAGCTCATTTCAGCGCTGATGAGATTCATTTATGACCGGGGATACCGCGGCATATCATGTGCGCCTGTAACATTGCATTACCGAAAGAGACATGCGCGACGCGTGGTGTTCTCCGTGGACTTCATGTTGGTGAATTATTGGTTTAAGCTCGTTCCAGCGCTGGCTCCCCGCGTAGTCTCCAAAGGATGCGATATGATAGTCACCGCCCGCGCAACCAGTGTGCCGACCCACCCGAACTCCACAGCTGGCTATCAAGCGATGTTCTCTAGCATGAATCATGCGATATCTGTACTTCATTCTTAACATGAGGTCGTCCGTCTCAAATAACGAGACGTTTCTCAACGCCTCATTTGCGGCAACGATGCCACACATATGTTCTCCAAGAACTACCCTCGTGGTTTTAAGCATCGATAGCCTCGAAAATAAGAGAACCCAGGCGGCAGCCAAAAGCTTTGTTTCGCCGCGACTTCCTTGTGACTAGACTTGGCGTGCTTGCGACCACGAGGAAAATCTACCCATTATCGACAGTATCGCCGGCTAACCTAGCTGCTCACGGGCTAGATGGTGCACTAAACGCCATATCGGCATCAATCCGGCTCGCTTCTCCCCAAAACAACGGCGCCTCAACACTTAGCTCTATCTCTTCCATTCGTGGAAAAACTATGCGACGCCTCTCCGTCCATCAGATGAGCAGAATCCCTCCGTCAACACTGAAATCCCAAGCCCCAGATTCCCCAGATTCAAGGGCTATGGAGACTGGAGTGCTGGGCATGGATACATTTGGCACTAGAGCAAGCTTTCCAGGCGCTCTGGGCGTCTTGATTCGTGGTGATATTTTGGATAGAGGCGTTTCGTAGCGGCGTAGGCTCGGATCCTGGATGCTGGAATTGGCGTCCCCGAAGGCCCATGGGGTTGATGGGCCTGACATGGGGCAAGATAGCCTTCCCCGGGTGGCATCTCATGTGGCATGTATATATGCCCATCGCAGTCTCCGCTGTTTGCTCTCCACTCCAGAGCTCTACGAATCTCTCGCTGAATCGTTGCGAAGTTCGAGCCGGAAGCCTTCGTCAATCGTTACGAAGTCGATCACTATTGTTACTTTCGTTTTAGAAGAAGCCCCAAGAGACTACCGCCAAGATGGTTGACAAAACCAGGGTGTACAACTGGTACATCTCGCTCGTTGCTGCATCATGCATGGTGCTCTACGGTTACGATGCGTCTGTCTTCAATGCTTTACAGAATTCGAAGCACTGGATTGCCTACTACAACAACCCCGGACCCAACATCATCGGTGCTATCAACACATCATACACTGTTGGTGCGGTTGTAGCTGGTTTCTTCATGGTATGTCCTATCTTTGATGTCATCGGTCCTCCGAACCCGTTGCTAACTTAGCCTTGTGTAGGCTGGACCCCTTGCTGATTTCGCCGGTCGACGAGTTGGTATGGCTGCTGGATCCGTCTGTGTCATCATCGCAACCATCATGCAAACATTCGCTCCCCGTGGACAAATTGGTGTCTTTATCGCTGGTCGTGTGCTCATCGGTATTGGACAAGGTCTCGCTCTTACTGCTGGTTCCATCTATATCGGAGAGCTTGCTCCTCCCGAGATCCGTGGAAAGATCATGTCCTTCTGGCAGATGTTCTATTCTGTTGGCTCCTTCATCGCATACTGGATTTCCTTTGGCACCTCCAAGAACCCTAAGAAACTGGGCGAGTGGGACTGGAAGATGGTCGTCATTTTCCAGATGATGGTACCCATCCTCATCCTCTCTCAAGTTTTCTTCATCCCAGAGTCCCCTCGATGGTATGTTCAGAAGAACCGCAACTACGAGAAGGCTCGCCGCTCGCTTCGTCGCGTCCGCGCCACCGAGCAAGATGTCGAGGATGAGATCACCTCCATCCGAGAGGCTATCGAATTCGAGGCTGAGGCTATTTCTTCTGGTTTCTCTGCTCTGTGGAAGGACAAGTCTGTCAGGAAGCGCATGTACATTGCGATGATTGTCAACGGTGGCCAGCAGATTACTGGACAGGGCACACTCAACTCCTACAGCTCCATCATCTACAAGAAGGTCTTCACAAGCGCTGACACCATCTCCCTGATCAACGCTCTGAACGCCACTTTCAGCATCATCTTCACACTCAATGCTACCTGGACTGTCGATCGCTTTGGACGCAAGTTTCTGTTTATCGTTGGTGGTATCGGCATGGGCATTTGCATGCTTATCGCCGCTACTGTGGAGACACAGACACCTACACTTCCCAGCGGAGCAAAGACTGAGCCCGTTGGTATCGCGATTGTGTTCCTTATGTTCCTCTTCGCTCTCTTCTGTAAGTCACTCACTCTCCCATTACCACCTCGACAAGAACACACACTAACATTCATCACAGATAAACCCTCTTGGGGCGCAACAGTATGGATCTTTACCGCCGAAATCTTCTCCATGAACATCCGTGCCCAAGCCGTCGGCATGTGCTCGCAGACCCAAAACGTAGTCAACTCCATCGTCCAGCAATTCTTCCCCGTCTTCCTTAAGAACGAGGGCTTTTACGCTTTCTACATGTTCGCCGCTATCAACATTCTGCTCGCAGCCTTTGTATGGTTCTTTGTCCCTGAGACTAAGAAGGTTAGTCTCGAGGAGATGGATGCCATCTTTGGTGGCCAGAACCACGTTGTTGAGGGCGCGGCCATTGAGGAGAAGGACCCGGCAAGGCACCACAGTATTGTTGTCGATAACGACGCCAAGGGTGCTTCGGAGAGGGTTGAGAGGGTCTAAGTGCCCTTGAATGACTGTTGCTTATCTTATGGTTGGTCCTGGTGCTTGTGGAGTCATATAGCACATGGTACTGTTATAGCGTACCAAGGTCGAATACCATTTCTTTCAAACCAACACCGCCACGGCTACCTACCGTACAACTCGTGAAACATCTGTCTCGTACTCTCTCTTAGAACCGTGGTCCAGCATAACAGAGTTTTTCGCATAGCATTTACCATGTCTTCTCGTGTTGAGCCTCCGTACTCTTTCATAGCACTACAATATCGATACCTCGACTTTCACCATACTCCAAAATGTCAAAAGCGACCATGCCCGTAGTTGAGACCAGGTCTTCCCTACCACACATCACACACTCTCTCCTCTCCCAAAGTTTCGCATCGATCCGCTCCTCACGAGCTCGTGTCATCGCGCCTCCCAATACGTATATAGACAAACCACCCCCACGTCTAACTCTCATACACCCAAATACCTCTACTCAATCCACCAACCAGCCCCAAAGCGAGCTTCCACCTCCGCTCCCTCCACGCCCAGCACAGTCATCAATCCAGGCCCTTAGTCCCCACATCAACATCACCATACCCATCCTTGTCCATTTGCCCTTCGAACGCCCCGTACGCTCAACCTGGCGGCGTTTCCCTGCACGCATCCATCACCGCGACGACGACGTGCGAGATCATTGTGCGCCGGACAACCATGGGTGGATGGCGTGGCAAGAGCAACGTGTAGCAGATAGTCAAGCGGAGATAGGTATGATAGATTATGATTGGGACGGAGGCAGAATTATGAATCTTGCAGAGCAGAGGAAAAAAAGGACAGCGAAGGTGAGGCAGAGGATGGTCGAGTGCATCGATGGAGTTGAAGAGGGATGGAAGGTGGATGATGCGGAAGAGAAGGTGATAATGAATACCACAGACGAGCAATTTTGCAGGGAAGCATGGCCAGGATGATGAAGAAGAGGACAAGAAAGATGAGGAGGGTGGATGGTGAACACACATAATAGATGCCTACAGGTTGTGAAGTAATCTAGAGGAAGGGTTGGCAGTGCTGAGTACATGGCGACGGAAAGACATTTCCCTGGTGCCAGCGCTGATGGGGTAATAAGCGAGGCCCAGATATCGTCGTAATACCTATATCGCTTCTTCGCTTATCCCACTAGTTTGTGACGATTTAATCCACTGTAGTATCTTATTCCTAGTGCACATGACGCCGCACGTTATTTACAGAGGGTTTGTCCGGGTTAGTATCGACCTGTAACCTATTAGCAAGAATGAACAGGACCGAGAGCTCCGTTCTCACGTACAAATTCGCGCTCGCCATCCTTCGCCACAACAAGGTGACCTTCATAACCTAACATCCGTTTCGTTTTAGTATCGGCTCTTGCAGACCACGCGCCGACGTCCTCGTTGACTTTGTCCAACACGAACGTAGTGATCATAGACGTGTTGAAAGTGACCTCGTTCACCACTTCGATCCACAAGCCTATGCAAAGAGTGGATTTGGCGAAGGTAAGAGATCTGAGGGTGTCCTTGTGCCGAGTGATCACTTCGCATAGATCTCTCTCTCTAGCATAGAGTCCTTCAAGTCTCAACGTACGAAGCTTAGGCCATGTTGCTCCAAGACCAATGAAGTCAACGATAGAGCGTCCTTCTGGGATAGATCCGCCGTCCCACATGGGTTGATCAAGATACTGCCAGTTCAATATTCCAAAGGAGAAATGTTGCAGGTCTTGCGATACCTTGAGGACTTTGGCTAGGTTTTCGAGCTGCTGTGTAGGTGAATCGATGACGGTCATAGAGTGTGAATTCTCATGCTGGACGTTAAGAATGGACAAGTTGAAGTTCAGTCTGACCAAGTGTTGAAATAGGTGGCTTCCAGCGTATAGATCATTTGGTTCTGGAAACGCAAACACGTCTAAGGAGAGTTCGGTGCATGAATGTCCTTCGCGAGGTGCTTCTATCGTAAGTTGTCGAATACCCGTATAACCAGACATGAAGATGGCACCGATGAGTTGGCGGAAGGGATGATCTGAATCGGTGGTACGATTGTCGCCGAGTCCACCAGGAGGCGCTCCTCTTGGTAGCAAATCACGTGTTATCTTGCGTTCTATTGGTATGGTGTGTTCATGCGGCGAGTACACAATTGATGAGATGTTCTGCATGTTTCCAAGGCCCCGTTCAATCGAGTGCAAGAGAACACCATCAACTTTCATGCTTTCTTGCGCCTCGTATAGATCCTGGTATCGTTTCCATCTGATAATCTGTTAGTGCTGCTAGTTTGCATATCGTGTCCTGAAGCCGTCCAGTGCGATCTGCGTCATCCAAAACGCTGCGAATGCCTTTTAAGTACATTTTGGCGTTGAGATACAATTTGGGACAACGGTCTCTCTCATATAGGCCATCCGCCCATCATTCTACTACATACCTGGGTCGCATTGCGAAGAAGAACTCCGACGGAAATCTACCGGTAGCGTTCTCGGTTCGAGAGTAAAGGCGACTGTCTCTCGCGAGCAGCCCGTCGTAGAGTGTCCCATCAAAAACGATCTCTCTGACGTAATCTGAATATATGGGGTGTAGGGAGACCTGTATTGAGAACACAATGTTAGCTCGTATCTGCAAATTGCAGCTGCATGTTACTAAAACGTATCCTAGAGGTATACGTTATGCGTTTCGCTGACCTGATAACAACGTGGAAGCCCACAGATATCTTCAGGATATGTTTTGCTGTTGGACAGAATCTCGTAATTGGAAGTTGCTTACGTTCTGGAAGGCGCCCAGCGCTTGGTATCTTGCACAAGCTACAATGCTACGGAACAGCGCCGGCGTAGCGTTGTTTCGAAACGTTCTACTGACAGCTCTCGCGGCCTTGACGTCAGTAGCTTGGAGATAGTCGAATATTTCGATTTGGAGTTCAGCTGGTAGTAGCGTGAAAGAGCCCATCTTTTGGTGGTTCCGAATCTATGCCGTTCAGCTGCCATGCTTGTAATGGTGGTGTTATTGCGCTAACCTTTGAAATGCTTGCAATATGAGAAGTAAGTTGTATCGACGTGTCTATACTGATGTAGCGGTGGCGAACTCGGATAATCAAGGTTGATGTTTGCTACGAAGTAGAGTGCATGTGGGCAAGCTAGGCTGCAGGGCGGGAACCGGACCAGGGTCACCAATGAGGAGAGAGCGCATGACCACAGACTACACATAGGAATGAATCACGCTAGAGGATGCAAACGATGCTGTATCGATTATAGTGAGCTTTGGGGAAAGGTCTTTAGAAGTCGAATGGTAGCCATTCAACTAAAGGCTAAGAGTGCCGCGTTTGGACCAACAGTCGTAGATTAGATTTCGGTTCTATACCAGAACTTGTATTTACTGTTTCCTTAGCTTGCTGAGCGCGGCCATGACGCCTTCGCTCATATTCTCCTCTTCTACTTGCTTTCTCTTTCCTGGTTTTGGAGCAGTTGGGTGAGCCTCACTGCCCTCCGAGACACGACCCAGTTCTGCCTCGCGCATTGCCTCTTCATCGTCTTGATTGAGGTCCTCAGCAAGTCGATGATCAGGACGTTGGTCTGCATCCGACCCCAAAGCTGCAAAAGGAGCGGATCTCGCCAGCTCTATTGCAAGAGGACCAGCGTCGTCCACTCTGTGGTGTGCTGTGTCATCAGCATCCGCTGTTGTTGGCATCTGCTCCTCACCTTCTGCCATGGAGATGTCGTGTGACATAGTCGCTCGATTGCTGTCCTGACCAACACCTCGCCTCGCGGCCTTCTTGACTCTGAAGGGCTCCCTGACGGCGTTGCACCATCGCTGAACCTTCTTGTCACCCCACCCTGCTATCAGACCGATTTCCTCAGGCCCAGCGTTGATTGCAGTGCGGATGCTACCAAAGTTGGACACTAAGCCCACTGCATCCGTCTTGTTTATACTACGTGGTACAGTAATGAATTCGACCATCTTCTCCGAATAGGTCCCTGCTTGCTGAGCGCGAATGCCGGTCGGCGCTGCGTTTTCGAATGTCTTGAAGAGTTCCAAGTAGCGACCGGCCTCCTGTGCGCTCCAGCAAAGCATGACTGTGACGTTATTGACCAATGACGTCTTGGACAGCTCTCTCAGTGGATCTTCGTGGTTTTCAATGTCGACCATGGTAAGAAGGATGCGAAGACTATACTGGCCCTTCAAATCCCGGATACGGTTGTAGATGTATTCTGGGTGCAGGCGGTGGTACTTGAGTGACAGGAAGAGAGCACATGTTGTGGCGCCAACGACATAGTCGGCTGGAATATCTGAATACTCCCATGCGACAGAGCGCACGCTGTTGAGAATGGGGTTGCCTTTTTGTCGCGGTGAGACTAGGATGGAGCTGGGACCAGATCGCGATGGCAAAGCTTGCGGTTTCGGCTGCTGGACCTTGGGCGCATTGCTCGGCGCGGGTGGATTCGATGCCTCGGAGCGCGCAGTCTTCGCTGCATTTGCTAGAGCGGCCGAAGCAGAGCCACCGGCACGCAGCCTATTGTCATCCATACTGGTCAAAGACGAGCGGTGCAGGCATTGAAGTGCGGGCGACGGCTTTGTTGTTATTGTTGTGCTTGACAGCGTCGATGAATGGTTGACACACCCTAACAATAAACGCGGTTTGAGTTGGCCCGGGGTGTCACGTGAGCAGCCGAGACGGCGCTGAGCCCAAACCGCCGGTCAACCCCATCATCTCCTTCACATCTTCGCACCTCCAGCCGCCTACACACCACCTGCGCATCCCGCCACAACCACGCCCCCGACCATCGCCCGCACCCGAATCCTCGCCAGCGCCGACGCCCGCTCTCTTCGAATGCGCACTATTGAGTAGAGCGCCCATCTTTCTGCCGCGGTCGACCCGCGCGGAGGACGCCAAGCGCTTCATTACGAGCCCTACTCTCACCACCACTGCACGCTCTCCAGCACCTGCCTACGAGCTTTCCACTCTTTCTGCACCCCTTCAGTCGGCCTCTATGTCGGATCAAAGCGCAAAACGGCAACGTTTGGACTCGATAGGAAGATTCTCACCCGCCAGCCCGCCCTTTGACGTCGCTGCCAAGGCGAGCGGCCAGACGACGAAGACGCCCATTCACCCTCGAACGCCCACATCACCACCTTATTCCTCGATGAATTCGCAATCCCATGGAGGTTTCGCCCCGACTAACTCGACGGCGTCGTCGGACCGCTCCCCGCAATCCTCGCTGCCAACCTCTCACTCTCTCTCACAGTCGGCAACATCGGCATCGAACCAGCATCCCTTCCCGACCCCCGCGAGCACTGCAGGCTTCATGTCTAGTGCCAACATCGACAGCGATGGCGATGCGACGATGGAGGAGAGCGTAGACGATGACACTACACGGTTAGCTGATCACAGGCTGTCCAACCACAACCGGCAAGGGGAATCGCCATACACCGAAGACGGTCGACTACGAGCTGCCCAAGGTATTAGCGGCAACCAATTGTTCAAACTCAACAATGAAAGGATAGAGATATCACGGCCGCACCCTTCGGAAAATTTCATCACACTTTATAGGCTCACGCCGCTCGCCAGCTCAGTAGCGCGCAATGATCCGGTAACAGGCGAGAAGATTAACAAGCTTCGCAAATCCTACGAGGGTCATATAAAGCAGATGCAGATTGCCGGCAAGCCAAAGGCGACCAAGATGGACGGTGTCTTCCGTAATCTGTTGCTGATGCCCGAAGAGATTTGGCAATCGCAACACGTGCAAAATAGAGAGCCTGAGAAGAAGGCATTGACACCAGATGGTACAGCATTGGGCTCGGACTTCAGCAGACTTCTCGACGACGCATTCGCAGGCACCGCTCCTGGGTCTCTTCCCAACGCAGAAGCTGCCAAATACAAGGCGTATCTCGGTACAGACGATACAGCAAAGCCGAAACCACAAGATGTACCACCACAGCGGGCAACACCCTTCACTTCGTCCGCACCAACACCAACCAACCACATGAACAGAGGCGCAGTGAGACCAGAGCGATCCAGCTCAAAGCGTGGCTACACCGACGCTGCATTCCAAGGCTACGGCGAAGGCTTTGGGGACGACTACGCAGACTCAACCGGAGGCGAAGACACACCAGGAGGGAACATGGCGAACAAGAGACGAAAGCTCCAATTTGAACGAACATCACATTCAGTCGAAGTAGGCGGCGCACGACGATAGCGACCTCGGATTTTTCTTTCGCACATATAAACTTAGCAGCATCGGGGTTTCCAGGTCTCTCTCTCTCTCCACAATCGGCGTTTTACGGAAAATCGATCACGAAAGCGACGGCGACATTAGCTCGACTGAAAGGCTTCCCACCACCTCCACAACAAACTATTCTTATTGGCATAATGCGCGGCAGCAGCGAGCGAGTTGAGTGATCGGGGTATGACGACCATGACATTCCATACCTCTTATACATACATGAGGATCAGATTGGGGCGCCAGGATGTTTTGGTTTGTGGTTTTGCGCGCGCGTTCTTGGTTTCTGAGCTTATTTTCTCACTACAACCATTTCGAAGTGTGCATATTTGGGCAGGCAGATCCCTCATGATACCCTTAGGATACCACGCAGCATATGTGGATACCTATATAAAACGAATCGAATCGTAAACTCTAAATGTGCTTCATCTTCTGCGCGGTGATCTTGAATAATCTGGTACTCAAGCAGGAGACATGGAGATATTGCTACGATATTCCGCGAACACTCATGGTATTGAGTCTTCTATAAAGGAGCTCTCGTTTTTTGCGTTTTACCTTGAAGGCATACACGTCTGATCGCTCGTGCCTTTAGATATTCTTCAGTGACAGGGGCTTGGAACGTTATTAAAACGTCTTGGATATTCGTTCGTTCTCTTGTTGCAGGTTTCGATGAGCGCGCTGTACTCCATAACTGCTTGTTCAGTCCGAAATCGAAGCTTGAGGAAAAAATGCTCTCTTGGACCAAACCGCAAGGCAATCATGTGCAATCTACCACCAGACGGAGGATTAGGTCCCCAGTGAAACAAGTCTTGTGCTTCTCTTCGAAGCCAAAGTAACCAAACGGAACGTGGCAAAACGTCTCTACTTGTTGCAATCACGAAAGATGCGATGGTTGTGTAGTGGAAGTATCGAATTAAGGGGATGTCAGCCATGACTGCCTCATTGCGGAGAGACTTTGGGTTTGCAGGGATATTCATCCACCATAGCGGCCAAGTCACCAACCCACGCAGTACTACTACTTGTGTAGTATGCAAGGACGTGCTGCATATGGAGGCCAAAGAAGTTTTGGATGTAACTCTTGATTCTTACAGATCATAATATACACACCTCAATATGGTTCTATGACTGATTATCGTCACCAGCAGGGCCCTTCTCCTTCTCCTCCATATCCATCCTCCGTCCTTCAACAGTGAAGTACAGACTCTTGCTCGCGCCCTCCAGAGCACTAGTAAGGCTTCCACCAATACCCTGCAGCATTTGCACAAGCTGTGCTCGGAGACCGTCGCGACCTCCAGGGATGCTACCAACCCACTTGGTGCCGTCCACGTCGAAGACTTTGCCTTCTACTCTTGCACCTAAGAGCATCAGCTTCTGAAGACCAGTTTGTACCGCCGGTTCGTAGTAGTCTGGGTTCGCTTTTCGGCTTGGCGCAGGGAAGTCGGGCTTCGAAGGCGAAAGGATGGATAGGACGGCCTTGAGGTATTGCGGTGTGACATCAGGGAATGCTACGACGGCGAGGGGGCCGGAGAGTAGAGGTTCCAATTCCAACTTCAACTTCCTGTTGTTTGCGATTTCATGTGCCCGTCTTGAGAGACCATGTGTAAAGCGCTCGTCCTCTGCGTCATTACTTGTCTGCGGTATCTGCGCGCTCGTCGGTGTCCGCGGGTCCGTGGGGTGTTGTGCATGATCCATCGTCGACTTTTCTGGATTGAAAAACTCCACAACCCTCAATGCACTTGCAAAGATGTTCGTCTGGATGACCTGCATCTTAACTTCCTCTGCAAGCGTCTCTTGTCCATTCTTCGCCCTCTCCGCATCCAACTTGCGTAATGCAATGGCCAGCTCTCTTCTTATGCTCATCCATTCCACCGCTTTGACATTGTTGTGCTGGAATATCAGGATCAGAGGTGAGGACTTAAGAAGCGACTGGTATTGCCGGTGTAGTTGCGTTTTGCGGACCTCTGGGGGCTTGTGAGAGGGCGGTTGAGTAGGCGGGTATCGTAGTACTGGGGGCGCGGCCTTGTATGTCTGCTGGATTGGGGGTGCGGGGGTGGTCGCTGAGGTTGTTGCTACCGAGGCGTAGGTTGCAATTGCGGGTAGAGAGATGGGGCGGGTTGGGTTTGAGGTGCAGGCGCGGAGGGCGCGTGGCCGGATGCGTATCCGTGGAGGCATTCTGAATGTTGGTAAGTACTATTCCAACAGATCGCGTCTCAGCAGAGTAATTGGATTGCTTACGTGAGATGTGGTCGTGGAGCAATTGAGAGATGGGTTCGCATCTCCAAATATTTCCATGCGCTTTGGAAATCAGAGTGGTCTGTGCACGGTTCTCTTAGAAGGCAGATCTCCCGCGGTCGTGTATCACGCACGAGGCATATCACAATTCAACTTTTCCTTTTCTGTCTAAACTTTACTGGGCTGTTCTGCTCTTCTATTGTAACTCTGATCAGACACCGGCATAGTTGTGCGCGTATGGCGGCTTCCATTTGTAGAGCTGCATGGCAACCGCGGATACAAAGAACATCAATTCAAGGCCATCGATATGCTAGATATATAGCTGTAAGTTATCGCAAGCAAGTTTTGCACTGGAGACAACAAAAGTGATTCGTTATTTAGACCGACTCAAGAAATCGATTATCGAGATTCTGGGCACCAACTGGTGGTATATCACCACAGGATAGCGAGCAAGGTAGGAGCAGCACAGACTGCCAACTCATCTTGACTGATCGTTCCCCAGATGAGTCTCACTCCCTTCTCGTTCGAGGTGGCTTTTTGCGCCAGGTAAATACCGGGATTTGCTTCATTTCTACAACCCTCCAACTCATTACGCACAGGCACATTCAGGAGTTTTCCACCTTCTACCCCTAGGCCTACGTGTACAAAACAAGCTTGAAGCTCTGATCGACAAGCATATGACCTCGATTGGTGCTTCAAAGCTGTCACTCTCTTCCATCACCACAGAAGCATTATGGCGGCAATCTGGTCGCTACTCCGCCAACTCGGAGCTCCTGCGCATCAAAGATAGGAGGGAATCTGGTTTCCTACTATCGCCGACCCATGAAGAAGAGATCACATCACTTGTAGCTAGTATGGTACACTCCTACAAGGACTTACCCTTGAGGCTGTATCAAATTGGACGCAAGTACCGCGACGAACGAAGACCACGACAGGGATTATTACGAGCTAAAGAGTTCATGATGAAAGATCTTTACACGTTCGACCACTCTACGGAAGCCGCGCTAAAGACTTACGAAGAAACACGAAAAGCATACAATAATCTGTTCAATGAGCTCAGACTGCCTTACCTTGTCGCCGATGCCGATTCCGGCAACATGGGAGGAAAGCTAAGCCATGAGTATCATTTTGTTTCTCCCAAGGGTGAAGACAATGTGTGGTCTTGCAACTCATGCGAATATGTCGCGAATGAAGAGCTTGTGGAGAAGAGTAGCCAAGCCGCAGCGTCAGATAAGGACAGCTGGCATGCCTTCACCGGGATAAGTGTTGACAGGAAGACAAAGATCAACGTATGGATCCCGCGTCCGTCCAAGGGCGTGGAAATACCAGCGAATCAGGGACATGAGTTTGTTAATCTTCATGCTGTCAAGAAAGCACTGCCAGAGAACATTGAACTAGATACTGGCATCGAATCCTCATCACTGCCTTCTTTGCTTCAAAAGACCACCGATACCATCGACCTCTTTGACTCCTCTCTTACCTTCGATGAGGATAATGCCTCCCTTTCTAAGCCTCTGTCTTCCAACTCACATCTTACAACCATCGAAACCGGTGACCCATGTCCTCGCTGTTCCGACGGGAAACTCGATGTTCAAAAAGCCATCGAAGTGGGCCACACCTTTCACCTTGGCACTCGGTACAGCAAACCGCTCAACGCAGTAGTTGCATTACCAGACCAGAATCTCTCATCGCCAATCCAAATGGGATGCCACGGCATCGGTGTTTCGCGTATCATTGGAGCCGTAGCGTCACTTCTCTCGGATGCCAAAGGCCTGAATTGGCCAAGGGCGATAGCACCTTACGAAACCATCATTCTCACATCTCCACAGACAGATGAGAGTGATGCAGCAGAGGTTTACGACGCAATCTCCGGTGACGCCCGGCATGGCGATGTGGATCTAGTATTGGATGACCGATCAGGAAAGAGCATAGGATGGAAGCTGAAGGACGCAGATCTGATTGGATACCCGGTCGTCGTTGTACTGGGTCGGAGTTGGAAAGATAGGAAAGAAGTTGAAGTGCAGTGCCGGAGATTAGGGGTCAAAAAGGATCTTGGTCTAGGTGATCTAAGACAAGAAGTTTTGAGGCTGCTAGAGCAGTTGTAGTATATCTGTACAAATAGGTTCACGTGTGAATCGATGACGAAACTGGACACGACTGCATGAAATAGGCGTTATTGCAGTGTATGGGTATTCTGGTGCCAACCAGGTCAAGAGTACGAATGTGCGGGTTGAATCAAAGCAGAATAGCCAGTGAAGATCTTGGTAGCTCTATGGTTATTCCTGAACATGCAGCTAAACCATGTTGACGCATCCAAAACACCACGCTAGCACGCCAAAGCTGTTCCTCAAGCGCTTACATATGCATTCTGTGAACTTACCAACACCAAGCAACTCATTGATTGCCACGCGTATATGGTCTTCGTGCCATCACGAACTCAGATACCATTGCCTTATAACTCGCCACGATGAGCGAGCCTTCCCGCACCATTGTGCCCATCCTACAAACAGTCGCAACCATTGCGCCGGCCATATACACAGGTAACACAGCTTCAATAGAATCTCCAGAGATCCGCTGAAGGCATACGTTCAGGCTTCACTTTCGCATACAGTCATGTCGTCATGCCGCCCCTCATCACGCATGCCCCACCAAAACTTCTAGCAAAGCAATGGCTTCAAGCCTACCAATTCGCACCCATCTTCGTCGCTCCCCTTATCATGTCGGGAGCTTCGAGTAATGTTTTACTCGGATATCTTTCTAGGGGTTCCTCTTCTTCAGCAACGTTCCTGTACGTTATCGCGGCGCTTGCGAATGTTAGTATAATACCGTATACGGCGCTGTACATGGAGCCTGGGGTAAACGGTGCTGGGAAGTGGAAAGCGCAAGAGATGTTACGCGATGAGGGGTTTTCTTTGAAGGGCATTGGGCAGGGTACAGATAAAGATACGGCGAGTGAGGGGGCGAAGAGGTGGGCCGGAAAGGTGGATATGAAGACTATCGCTGAAACTTGGGCGAGAACGAATGCATGGCGGTATGTTATCACTGCAGTTGCTACTGTAGTCAGCGCGACTGCTACGATTATGAGAAGTTAGGTTCCTTCATCTATGGTATGGGTATCTGATCTATACTTCCAACTTTATCCTCCAATACAACATCTGCATTAAACAATTATCCAGGGAATACTCCATCTATATCTCTCCACCACTTTCAAGGCCTCAGCCTTCATATACCCCTCCCCCGGCCACGCATGCTTCCGATAGTTTCTCTTGAACAGTTTCAGATGCTCCTCATCATATGTACCTAGACACTGATCCACGGTATTAGGTACTGGCCCATCATCCCATACTTTTGGCACGTCTTCATAAGATTTACCTCTTACGGGTACACGTATTAGTCTTTGGAGCTTATCGCTTAGATTAGTGAATATTTTTTCTATTGTTTCGCCGTCGCAAAGCATATAGCCGATCATGTCTTCGTAAATAACGCCTTTTTCGATGTTGAGGATGATGGTTCGGCCACCAGATTCGTAGCCTAGGGATAGTACGAGTATGTCTTCCAGGTCGATGTTGTCGGGATCATCGTCGTAGTCCTGATCAGAGGAGTTACTGTCATCGTCCAATGTACCTGTGTTGTTGCTGTCTTTTTCTTCATCTTCGCTGTCGTCCCCGTTCGTATCGCTCTCATTGCCGGTCTCTCTTCTTCATTCCCCATTCCTTCCACCCATTGTCGAACTCCATCTTCCCCTTCAAGCACATGCCCGCGCTCGAAGTCCTCTCGAGTAAATGCTGGGTAATCCACCAAATCGCTCTTGTAATGTATGTTCGTGATCATCTCGCGAGAGTCTGTTTCGTCGATATATGGCAAGTACTTTATGAGCTCAATCACAAACAATGATTTGCTCAAACTCTAGGTCGCATCGGCCATGATGTTCGGCCATCCTTCTGGAAGTGGATATTTGAGCGCTGAGGAAGGCAGGTAGAAGCCGGTCAAGAGGGCGTAGTAGTCGCTTAACATGGTGACTAGTTGGGCAAGTCTTGGGGGGTTATTGGACGCCATGTTGACATGACGCTCATTTCGTACAAAACTCTTGCGTTTGAAGCTCCAAGAGAAAAACGGAGAAGTTGAGTTGAGACTTTATATCACACTGTGCCGTTGGAAGAGCCAGGTTAGCATAGTCCATGTTGCTGCCTATGCACAGACGCAATGCCAAATCGACCGCAAAGACAACTCATATTTATCCTCGGCAAAGGGTGGCGCAGCTGGCATTTCTTGGTTTTTGCGTTAGTCTCCAGGACGAAGCCTTTGCCGGACTGTGGTACTCAATGAAGGGGACAGTAGTTGCTGTGAACACATGCCAAAGCAGGATTGTATCTTGAATCTCGGTGTTGGGATATATATGCTACAGGTACTCTTCCAAACACAGATATACAATTATGCACGTATCTCTCGCGCAGCTAATCGTACATTTGAACATTGTTGTGCACATACAACGATGCATCGACATCGATAGAAAAACAGCTAGCATAACTCTTGGCCAAGAACAGAAAAAACCATGCGCCCATCAACGACATAAACCTCTGAGTCGTCTACTAAAGGTGGCTTCAACCTTATGGGATAACTTGTGGTTTAGATTTCGAAGAGGGCAATTCTCCTGGCTTTGCACCAACTCGCAATCTTCCTGGTATTCTACGAACACTTAGATTGGTTAATCCAGATTTCTTTCCAGACTCTGATCGAGGCGTTTCAGACACCCCTGAATCATCTTGCGTAATGTTTGCCATGAACCTCTCCGTGTCCGACTCGTAGAAGTCAAACCGAACGAATGGCCTCGCATCGGTACCTGCTTGTTGAGGTCTCCCCTGCATCCAGTTCTTTGGCTCAGCATCCTCTTCACTCATAGCTGTACGATTTGCTGGGGTGCGCCCAGTCAGTTGCTCCGCGAGAACTAGAGAATCTCGTAAGGACCTGCGTGGACTAGTAACGCGTTTCTTGCGCTGCCTGAATGGTTCTGTAGTCCCAACCGCTTGCCATATAGCCTTGTGCGAGCTGAGGTTATCCTTTTCTAGTTGGTCGACATTCTTGGTGCGCACTTGTATCTCTTTATCGTCGTCCATATGAGTAGTCGAAGCGCTCGTAAAGCCAATCTCTTCCAAATAACTTGAGAGCTCCAGATTAGGCTTATTGCGGTTATTGCTAGCCGCTGAAGTGCCTTTTGCACGGTCAGGTACTCGCGGAGAGCTTGAGAATTTTATAACTGGGGCTGGGGCTGGGGATGGGACTTTTCCATTTTTGCCGGACGATAGAGGAGAAAAATTCTCTTGTTGAGACGCCTTCAGTGCAAGAGGGTCGGTCTTTTTCAGGGAGCTTGAGAGTTCTTGGGTTGGAGTTGAAGCTGGAACGGTGGATGTGACTGTGTCGGCTTCACCAGACCCGGTTGCAGTAGCTATCTCATGTTGGGCCGTTATCGATGCAGGACTCATGTTCTCCGGTATAAAGTCTGCTATCGTTGCCGCCGCAGTTGGAGGCTCTAGTAACAAGCTCGCTGGTGCCTGTGTTGTCTCCTCATTAGGTTTGAGCTGAGCCAATGTATCTTTCCGGTGCCGCACCTTTGCAGGGCCTTCCTCGTAGCCCTTCGTCTCACGGAAGGCCACGTTTCGTGCCCTCATCTCAGCTCTCCTAATCTTTCTTTGATGTCTCCTTTCAGCTTTTCTCTCACTCCTTTCAGCCTGGCTCATTCCATTCCATTCCTCTCTGGATACGTACCCCCCTATTACCTTGTTTGGTGCATTTGGTGCACTCAATCCTTCCCCTTGCTCTTGAAGGTGCCATTGGTTCAACTTCCATTCATACAATTCTCGAACATCTCGATCTATGCCCTTTTCCCTCAGCACAATACTCTGACTTACCGCACTCCGCCATGCTCGTCTCCTTCTTTGTAACTTCCCTCGTCCCAAATCCGCGTATGCCTCCACAGGGAACCTGTACGGGTTGGAGATCAGGGTGTCTTCCGTCGTAGCTGTGCTCACATTTTTTTTCTGTTGCGGTTGATCTTCAGCTTTGGAAGTCGTCCCTTCTTCCGGCAGTGGTGTTTGTGTATCTTGGTTGTCTGACTTGTGCAGGGCATCTACCTTGTTTTGATCCCCGACACGAGATACCGGTGAACGCTGTTGTCTAGAGTCTGATGTCGTGCCATCGTGTTCTGAGACGTCGTCTAATGGATTACACTCCTTCGATAACTCGCTGGCGGTTGCTACCGTGCGTCGTTGCGGTTTTCTCCTGTAGATCTCCTTCTTTGTAGGTATGCATGCTTGGTCGCGATTCTCCGATGGCGTTTCTTCGTTTGGAACTTGACTCTTCAGTTTATCTGACTTGCATCGTTCCTTTTCCTTTATGCCTGTTTTGTATCGGATCAAGAAGTCGGCCAAGTCTTCCGATGCCTCCGCATACGTGAGCACAGTGTGGTCTTCGCTTCTAGTCTCGGTCTGAGCTGTCTCAGATGGTTCGTTCTGTGTTTGTCCTTCAGTTGTCGTATCACCCTCTTGCACCTGCCTTTTTGCTTGCTCTGCTGCCTGCTTTGTCACCAACGCTGCCGCCCCAGCCCGTCGGGAAGCCTCGGCAGCAACAAATCTTCCTCGTTCTTTCTGTTCAGTCAATCGCAGGGTAGTAAGCTCTCTTCGTTTTTGCTTGTTTTGGGACTGAGCATTCGCTTTCAAGAGCTTGTGTGTATTAAGCTCGGTTTGTGTGATGACTTTCTTGACAGCTTCAATGCTATTTCCAGAGTCCAAGTAAACAGCACCAAGGATAGCTTCGAACGTCTCGGCAACATTATCGTCCGAGGGTGGTGTATATGGCCATTGATGCAGCAACAGATTATTGTGTATACCGAGTGCATGTCCTCTTGCAGATAGAACAACTCTGCTTTCTGATGTAATCCTCATCTTACTGTAGTCACCTGCTTGTTGTGTTAGCTTCAATACATGAGCTATGCGTTGGACATACTAGTGGTGTTTCCCGTCTGGAACCAAATCTCGCATAGAGCTAAGCCGAGAACTCTATCACCTAGCAGTGCCATACGATTGTTTTTGTCAACCTGATGAAGCATGCCTTTGAAGTAAAGTGGTATAACCGATGACGTGACTTTTAGCGCTTCGATGCACAGCATCTTGTCTCTGAAAGTGTATCTCATACATTCTTCAATACGCCCTACTCTCGCCGCTGCATCAAGTAGATCATGACAGATAACTGGTGGAGGCATATGCCATTGCAACCGCTGGGCCTCAAGCGCCAGGTAAACCTTATCTTTCCGTTGAAAGAGGTCTGAAGTACGACCTTTTGGACCAACGTGCTCGCGTTGCGCGCTGCGGTTCTTGGAGAAGAGATTGTGAACGCCAATTCGGTTCCAGATGCCCTTCTCGAGCTGGGGGCGTAGTGATGTCTTCAGATAGTTTGTGAATGTGTCAGGTTTACCTAAGAGCTTCTTTGATAGGCGGTGACGAAAACGCCTCAGTGACCCGAACCATTTCTTCCTAGGAGGCATCCTGGAAGAATTGTGTTGCCTGCACTATGAGAAGACTGAAGTATGTCAGTAAACGTGCTCTGTCAGATATGCTCCGTCCTGATTGGACGACAGGGCACACGCCGCACGGTACGTACCGGCGCAACGTCAACTTATGAGCGAACATCCTATGACCGACTACCGGAATTGAAGCGCTTTCTTCCGTGCCAAACTCAAGATATGGGGGCTTAATGCTTATTTTCGATCGTATCGATGATGGGAGAAGTGGTGGAATGCATGTAAGGGTCACCGGTGCTATGGACGAAAATCCTTAGTGCATCGACCGCACAGACAACCCTTGCCACCTCGACAAGACACATTCCTTAACCACAACGCGGAGTTTTATCAACAGCTACCAATTTGACATTAGATATCATCGATTGTTACTATAAAAAACGTATGGAAACACCACAAAAATGTCACCAATGCAAACGGTTGCTCAATACTCTAGCATTCGCCACTACGCGTGTAACCCTAAAGCCATCGTTACAATATTCCCTAATCTTCAGGTTCTTCTCTCGATCGATTCTGTCGCGGCCGAAATATCAGTAGAGGACGACTAACTTCTTATGCATGCCGCAAATCGGGCCCGTATGGTAGCCATCGCGTACAATGACCATTGTTGGCCGTTGACTAGGCACCAATTCCGTGATAAAGGCGGCCGAGATATTGAATTGAAGACAATCGAGTAGCGAGTGTAGTTTTTATAACGTATGAGGAAGTATTGTTGTACGTGTGTGAGGGACTGTAGGAAGGTGAGTAGACGAAGTAGCACTTGAAGTGGCCATATATGTATCTCGAGCAGCCGCTCTTCACGTCATCCGTTGGGCAGGAGATACCCGGAGTTCATAAGTGTACTACGCGTGGTATGACATGTAGTATCTATCAGCTCCAAGTCATGTACCTACACAGTATCGAGCGATAGCGTGTAGTAGTGACGTCAAACGCAGCTATTAAGTCGTTCAAGTCATCACATACGAGCCACCTTGCCAATCATGAAATCGCTACGTATCAGCCTAAGGCTTAGCTATGTATAAAGATATATCCTTGGCCTTTGGTTGCATGGCTCAGCGATAATTTGTATCACGAAGGGGTGATACATGCGCTGTATAAGGAATTGCTAGGAAAAACATGGAGTGTTCCATTCACGAGCCTTCTGGCTACCCAGGACAGCTATCATAGGCTTTCGCCCTTCAATCTATGACATCAGCCTCCTCTTCAACGACTTCTTCGCCGGCCGTACGCTCTGCGGATTAGAAAACACATCCAACGGGTCTATCTCCGCTTTGATACGCTCCAACTTTTCAACATTACTACCCCAATATAGGCTCGCGCTGTTTTTGCCTAGTGCAGGGTCTACATAGCCTGCGTATGCTCCTTGATCGTGGTTTGGTAATGCATCGATAATGATTTCGTTCACGCCGGTAAGGAACTTGCGAGTCTTGTCATCGACCTGGTGGAGTGTTAGTAAGGAGGTTCGTTTGTAAGAGACATGCGATCCGCTTACCTTGCCGAGAAGATTCACAGCGTATGATTGATGGTAGAAGAGCGCGTTGCGGTGTCCGTACGCTGTAGCATTAGGCGCCACATCATTGATAGCACCGCCCTCCAGGTCCCAGATGATGAACCACAGCGCACCTCCTTTGTCTGCTTCATCAATATGAGTGAAAAGTCTGTCAACTGTATCGTCAGGTATGATATCTCTCTCTGTGTATGCGAGAGATTTGGCGTAGAAGTTGGACTGGATGCCACCCACAATCTTCAAAGCCACATCTTCGCTCCAGTGGCCCACCACACCAAGCCAGTCATTGAGTGCTATCGAGTCATAACCCGAGCTCGATGGAAGACGAGAGGTAATATTCAGGCTGTCAAATTCAGCCTGGCTGCCGAAGAATGTGCCCGTAATGATAGCGCCAAGTTGTTCTGTCAATATGTATTGACTCGCAAACTTCCTGGAGAGTTTGGGATCAGAAATGAGTTTCTGCCACTTCTTGAACGCCTCCGCCTTTGACACAGACGAGCCGCCATGGAAATTGTACGAGTAAAGCACTGCTTCACCAGGCTCAGCCTGCGTGCGGACCTTGAACTCTGTGATTATCCCGAAACCAGCTGCAGCTCCCTTCATCGCAAAGAAAATGTCTGGATTCTGTTCTTCCGAAGCACGCACTACTGTCGAGTTCGCCAACACCACCTCAACTTCTTCTACGTGATCGAGTGAGGAACCCCACATTCGTGATGTCGGTCCCAGTCCACCTATCGTTGCGTGGCCTCCAATGCCTACTTGTGGACAAGTACCATGGGCGATGGCGCGCTTGCCGTTGTCATGTAGCCGCTCAGTGACATCGCCTAATAGCGTCCCACCACCGATAGTGGCCTGCCAGGTAGACTCGTCCATCGAGAACTGCTGGAAAGACTTCATGTCGATCACAATGGTGTTATCCTGACCACCTATACCATAGTTGGCGTAGGAGTGTCCACCGCACCGCGGCTGAACTTTGAGGCTGTTGTCCACGGCGCATTTGACTATCGCGGCGATCTCCCCAGTCGTCTTAGGATAAGTAACAGCCGCTGGCGTTACCGGTATACCGAGGTTGTAAGGCTTGACGTGTGATAGTTGGAAAAATGGCGTGTTCTTGAAAGCGACATTCTCTTTTCCGACGGCCTTCTCGAGACACTTTTGCACGGGAGAACTGGAGGTGTTGCCCATTGTGTAATAGAGAGATATCTAGTCAGAATATCAGCTGCTGGCCGAGCCTGAATCGATGCTGAATGTATCAAGGGTGTTCTTGTTGTCAGTTGAACATTTGCGGACATACGTAAAGGTGCTCGGACACGACTCTCACCTGCTTTGTAGCTAGGCCGCTGAAGGTATCTTACCCGTAACTGTACTTGATATCAGGTAGAAGAGAGGTGAATCAAGGAAGATGGAGAAGCGTCTAGGCACTACAAATAATACTGCGGACGAACAACATATACACTGTCCAGACACCTTGCAAACACCCGCCCAATCACCCAGCTCACGAATAGCATTAGCTTGTCAAACCTGTGTTCTAACCGTGCTACCGAGAGCGCCATTTGAGCTACAGGTGTCACCCGCGTGGTTGCGGCATGTCTACGAATACCGGATAGACGGTACTGGATGAGGCGGCGGCTATGAGGCGTGAATGGCCAGCACTAATATGTGCACCTAACGACAATTGGAAACGCGTAACGGTGCCATGCCTGCGATGCATGTTTCAGCCTTGGCCTGCCGCGCAGAGGGGACATTACAGCGAATCCAATGGTCGGTGGCATGCCGTTCTGCTACAATCGAGAAGGACTGAGAAGGATGCAGGATGTGTGTTGGCTCCTGGAGATCGCGTAAACTTGGAAGTGGCGAATGTGGACGTCGCGAGTCAGGGATCGCCCTCAGCCACCACACCGCCTTTGACGTCTTTACGAGGTGACCGACTGTTGATTTGCACTCTTGCCAGGCGCTCATGATGGAGATCAAGGGCATCATCATCTTTCATATCTACCGCCGGTTTTGGCCCTCAATACCATATGCTCCTTGTTCGGTGATGCGGCATCACCTCTGCCTGCTCCCTCTCCTTCTCTTTCGCAAGGTCATACAAGAAGAAGTCGATGAGAATAGCGTTGACCTTAGCTTCCGGCTTTAGCTTTAGGATCTCCCTACGGAGGAGCTCTACAGCCCAGATACTGCAACCTCGTATCTGCATTTCCCAGGAGTGACCAGAGTCGATGATCTCAAGACGGCGTATCTTGTTCTCCAGAGGCGGGCAATACCAAATCATGCCTAGTGAATGTAGCATTTGAGGAATACGGTAATCTGTAGATGCTTTAGTCGGCCAGAACTGTAAACTTAGTGATGATAAGGTTGTATCATACCTGCAAACATGGTGATCTTGTCGATGTCGTTGAACTCGCCGTATCCCTCACCTTCGAACGCAGCCCACAAGTCTGCAACGAAGATCTGGGCTCGCTTCAAGAAGCGTACCTTCTTGTTCTCGAACCTGCCTTCATCTCTGAAGCAATTGAACTTCTCGGCGAGTAGATTCACGAGACCGGCCGCGGAGTTGTTTGCATCTTCAATAAGGGTGATGACACTACCGTCAAATTCCTGCAACGTCAGTCATAAGTCGATTTGCTCTCATGTGTTGGTAATCCATGATAAACACACCTCCTCTAGAATCTGGCCTGCTTCTCTCAAACACCGTACCCTCTGCTCGAACAGGGGAATCTCTTCGTCAGTACCAGAAGTGAAAACCGTTCGCAGTACTTCGTCTGAACACTGTTCTTCGTCGACCCAGAAATCTGGGCTAGTGATCGGGATGTCTTGCTCCAAGGCTCTTTGTAATATCGCGACCAGACTATTGTATCCAGTCCATCTCTTTCCCTTGTATACTACTGCAAATCGCTCCTCATCTTTCTTCTCGCTCCAGAAGCTAAAATTTAGGAGGTCCATAGTGAAGATGAAGTTGACGGTGCTCTCGTCTTTTGGTTTCGGGTGCAGCTCATGCTCAGACCAAGTCTTGGTAGAGTACGCCCGTTTCTCCATCTCATCAAGGACAAGCTGTGCTGCGACTTTGGTAGACCGCATATCGAGAGCAACGTCCATGCTGTTATCGCAAATGAACTGGGCATTCTCCAGGACTTTGGTTTCTGGCGGACCTTCCTCTTTGGCACCGCCACCCCAGTGCTTTCGCATAAGCTCTAGCAGCTCCAAGTCGACTTCGTCGTCCGACATGATGATGGATGAATATATACGCTAGCTCCAAGGCACTTCTGCGGCCGCTCGTATACAGTCGTTAGTAAGCTCCACAGGCCCTGGAGGTCCAAAGCAAGTTTTTATTGTCGCAGTGAGCAGCGACCAGCGACCAGCGTGTGCCCCGGCGCGTTCAAGGCCCACGATCCACTCATAGGGCGCTCGTTTAGGCGCCAAGCTTCGGAGGCTGAACGCAAGCGGCGCAGGCCCTGTGGAGCGGCGCTACCCAGCAGCACTGACGTCTCTCACCTGTCGCCTTTACTTCAAGACGGGCGGTTGTCCAACTTTCGCATGTCGTAGTCTCGCCCACAACACGACTTGCTTTTCGCCCATCTCCACCTCCGAACCCGCAATGGTACGCGACAAGTTTGCTCGACAGAGCCTCGGTGGCACTCTCCATCAGCGCATCAAAGAGGTAGCTACCACCACGCGCAAACATGCCATGTGCCAGTCGCTAACAGGATCTAGGCACGCGTCTTGATGGTTGGAGCTGGCGGCATCGGCTGCGAACTCCTCAAGAACCTCGTTCTCACCGGCTTTGGCGAGATTCACGTTGTAGACCTCGACACCATCGACCTCAGCAACCTCAACCGCCAGTTCCTGTTCCGCAATGAGCATATCAAAAAGTCCAAAGCATTGGTACGGCAAAAATACCCTGTATGAAGAGGTGATAGTCCTTGCGCTAATAGCCTGACAGGTTGCGAAAGAGTCGGCTGGCAAGTTCAACCCCAATGTCAACATCGTAGCGTACCACGACAACATCAAGGATGGCCAGTTCAACGTCGCGTGGTTCCAGAGTTTCGGCCTTGTTTTCAATGCGCTGGATAATTTGGATGCGCGGCGACATGTTAACAAGATGTGCCTCGCAGCCAATGTTCCGCTGGTCGAGAGTGGCACCACTGGCTTCAACGGGCAAGTTCAGGTTATCAAGAGGGTGCGCAACACCGATTCGAATACTTTACCAAACTTTTGTGCTAACTGTGTTCCAGGGCGAAACCGAATGCTACGATTGCACCCCGAAAGACGCGCCCAAGTCCTTCCCAGTATGTACCATCCGGAGTACGCCCTCACAACCCATCCACTGCATAGTATGGGGAAAGTCATATCTATTTGCTGAGATCTTCGGCACCTCAGAAGACGAAGCGCCCGAACTGGACCATAGCGAAGATGCCGACAACGCAGGCGAAGTTGCGAATTTACAGAAGGAGGCACAAGCGCTGAAGCGCATTCGCGATTCCATGGGTTCCCAAGACTTCCCGCGACTCGTTTTCGACAAAGTATTCAAGGAGGACATTGAGCGGTTACGGAGCATGGAAGATATGTGGAAGACCAAGCGCGCGCCAGAGGCATTGGACTACGACGCGCTCATGCAGGAATCGCTGGGTGTGGGTGCCGGAATAGCGCAGCAAGACCAGGTCACATGGAACGTAGCGGAGAACTTCGCCGTATTTGTAGACAGCATCAAGCGACTCAGCACCCGGCTGGAAGAGACGCGCGCAAATGCCGACATTGGGAATTCGGTACCTATTCTTAGCTTCGACAAGGACGATGTGGATACGCTGGACTTTGTCGTTGCGAGTGCAAATTTGCGTTCACACATCTTCGGCATCGAAATGCGGTCCAAGTTTGACATCAAGCGTAAGGGAACGATCATATGCTGTCGGGACGGCTGCTAACAAAATACAGAAATGGCTGGCAACATCATCCCTGCAATCGCGACTACAAACGCCATGACCGCCAGTCTCTGCGTCCTGCAAGCTTTTAAGGTTATGCGCGAACAGCTTGACAAAGCCAAGATGGTCTTCCTTACTCGTAGCACTGAGCGCGTCATCTCGAGTGAACCACTGCGACCACCAAATCCCCACTGTGCGACCTGCGGCGTATGCTATGCCACACTGCACGTCGATACGTCGCGCGCAAAGCTGAGCGATCTGGTCAACATCATCCTGAAGGAACAGCTCGGTTACGGAGAAGAATTCAGCGTCAAGCGTGACTCGGATATACTCTATGATGTGGACGAGGATGTACATCTCGACAAGACTTTCGAGGAACTCGGTTTCAAAGATGATACCTTCCTCACAATATCTGATGATTCGGAAGAGGACGCAAAGGTTGATCTCGTACTCTCTGTCATACACCAAGACTTCACCGAGAATGCAAACCCACTAAGGTTACCTGACGAGGTTAAGATTGCGACGAAGCCTAAGGCGCCCGTCCCGGAGACCAACGGCCATGCGACTATCAACGGTACTGTTCCGAACGGTACCTCCAAGGATGCTAGCAATGGGAGCGCGAATGGTGCTGCGAAGCGCACAGCCAGCGAAGCAGGTCTCCAGGACGAGCTCGTCCGGAAGAAGGGCAAGGTTATGGAGGAGCCGCAAAAGAAAGACGATGGCCACATCACTATTGAGGATGACAAGAACGATGGGGCGATTGTCATTGATGACGACTGAACAAACTTACAATCGCAGGCTTGACTGCTGGCCGCAAATTGGCGTGTCATCATCTCATGCCGCCTCGTCTTCTTGGTTGGCGACTACCGAAGTGTCCGATATGCTTCACTTTTCTTGTCCCGACATTGGATCACAAGCGTTCGAGCCTGGTCATCTACGTTCATTCAACTCGTCCCACCACATCTTTGCACTTCGAACATCGGTTCGCCAAGCCGCGCGCCCCCGAAGCGCAAACGGCATATAGATTTCCTTTTTCTGTACTATACAACAATCAGTCGCATGGAAACGTTTTGGTATAGGCGCCTCTTGGATTAATAGGCATAGCTCAGTCTAAGGAGCATTTGGTGGAAGGAAGCACATCTAGAGAAGCCACTGGGCCGTCTTGCAAGGCCGGAATGGCACTCAGCGGGAAGATGTCAAACATCGCAGCAGTCAGTAAAATCAGATGGCAGATAAGCCACCATCCAAATTCACAACACAATTATGTGCGTATTTATTTTCTGCGAGGAACAATGCTGCGTGAGCAATTTCAGATGGCTTGCCAAAACGATTCAGAGGGATACGTTGTTGAAGCTCAGCGGCATTCAAATCTGTTCATCGTTAGGGGATACCTTCCCTCAACACTACCGTGAATCTACACACCTTTTGTCATGTCTGTTTCCACGTAGCCGGGCACAATGGCATTGATGCGGACTTTGTGGCTCGCATACTCGGTAGCTAGAGCGCGAGTGAAGCCCAAGACTCCTGCTTTTGACGCCGCGTACGCAACGGCTCCGTAGCCGCCTTGCAGACCCAGCAGCGAGCTGACATTGATGATGACGGGAATATCATCATCGTCCTTAGTCCTGCCTCCCAGATAGCCATTTCTGTTATTGTGGGCAACATGGTCAGCATATATGCATGTAGATAGAGGAGCCAACGTGCGCATATACACAACTATTGAGTGGGTTGCAGTACCGTAATAGAAATTTCGTGCCTTGCATCATAGAAGTAAGATTGGTTTTAATGATGCTATCAATGTCCTCTTCTTTCAAAGTAGAAAACAGCTTTGCTTGTGTCATCCCAGCACAATTCACTACTACGTCGATGTGAGAGGGATGGGTAGGGTACTTGCGCGTATCTGGCCGGGGGAGACGAGCAGCAAAGGGAGACGAGGTGTTTGATGCCCAGAAGGTCGAGCCGTGAGATATGTTACCAGCTATGTGTCCATGTTGGTATACCAAATTCGATGTCTCAGATGGTTCGGACGCCTCGATATTGGGAAGGGAGGCTTGAGACGCGGACGATGGCAGAGGTGATAGGCTTGCTACAGCGGTTTTGAGGTCTTCCTCTGAGCGAGAGATCAAGGTGCAGCGGTATGCATTTTTGGAGAATAACTGCGCGATTGCAAGACCGATGCCTCGGCTGCCACCTGTGATGAGGATGTGTCGTGGACGACTTGCCATGCTGAGGTTGGTACTGTTCGTCTTTGGACTGCAGTCGATATGTTGGCCAAGGAAGAAAGGTGCCAGAGATACAGCTTTGGTTTGAGAAGCGGTCACAACAATTGCATTCCAGAAAAACTTCCTACGAAGAAGGTAGAGGAGAGATACGAACGTAGATGATGTAAGCCATAGTGCGTCCACGCGAGAAAACGTGACAACGCGCGCCTCCGCAACTTCCCCGCGAATCCGCCATCTCTCTTGCACAACATCACACTCCACATCTCGGATTCGACATACCACACTCAGACTCCTCCTAGCCAGCAATTAATCTCAGCTTATACCACACACTACAATGGCAGACGAAAAGCCTACCGAATACGTCACCTTGGTATCGAACGACGGCTTCGAATTCAAGATCCTCCGCTCAGCAGCATGCATAGCGGGGACGATTAAGAAAGCACTGGACCCATTGTGTAAGCCACCCGTTATCATATGTATACCACATCACAAGCTAATAGAGTGTCCCAGCTGGCTTCAAAGAAAATGCCCAGAACCGAGTCGACCTACCTACGATCAAGTACGTCTCCTCGATGACCGACCACAGCCCCAATAAACAAGACATACAAAGGCGCTCATCTAACAAAACGTAGTGGCGTAGTTCTGGAAAAAGTCTGCGAATACCTATACTACAACCAAAAGCACGCCGAAAGTAAAGACGTCTCAGATATGGACATACCACCTGAACTTTGCTTGGAGTTGTTGATCGCGGCGGACTACCTAGATGGTACGTAAACAGAAGTTATGTATAGAGGGGAGGGAATCGTGCTAACGAGTTCTAGTGTGAGAGTATGACTGAAACATCCTGGATACGCTTTGTATATCCTCCTTCACTGCCGTTCCACGCAAAGACACGTAGTACGCGGACATGATATTTGACACATACACGCGCGCGCTTGCGCACCTGTGTTCTGCGAGAACAGAACATGGATAGCAATGGGAGCTTGATGCGGAATAAAGGAGCAGGAGACATGCTACTGGAGGCGCTCGTGTCCAGAGGTGTAGAAGAGGGAGGACGCCGTGCGCATAGCGTTATTCGGGAAACATGTAGTCTGGGCGGAAGGAAGTATGAGGACAGACTCGAGTCTTTGCGAGAATGAAAAGGAAGTGCTTCCTGGTGGACTTGCAACTCTGTACCAAGGTTGCGACTATCATTCTTAGCTACTCAACAGCCTTTATACCTCTCAACCTATTCTATTGCTACCAGGTTTCAAGTCAACATGATGGATTCATTTCGCCCAGATTTTACATGTATGTTGAGAGTTCGAATATTCATAGCATAGCGAATGTACTCTGGATTGATATTAAACGTGCTAAGCGGGTGATGAAATGGTGAACAAGGTGAGTGCTCTAGCTGATAGCGAACAAGAAAAAGAAAAAGAAGCGCCTTAGCGCCCTATGATAAAACCCCATGTTGAATGTTCAGCTGAACCAGCTTTCTCCACTCTTCGAGATGCTCGCTTGATAACGGTGCATGTATATCGACAAGTCGTCCTCTATTCTTCCTGCGCCCAAATCTTCTCTCTCTGTATCATGCGCTCGTTGTCCGTCTCCTTGCCACCATCGAGCGTCTTCTTCCACGCAAAGTATTCTCCTAATCGGATTTCAGCGTAGCTCGCATAGTCGAACTCAATAAGAGAGATTTGGGCTTGAATCAAGGCCCAGATGCCCCAGTAGAAGCCGGGAACACCGCGAAAGCGATCGACCTGTTCAAACAGCTCCTCGAGCTCCGACTCCTTGTATGTCTTGTTCTGGTGCGCGTTGAAGCTGCGGAGGTACTCGCGGAGAAAAGCGCGGCGGATGGTGCGTGTGGGCATGGCGCTGTAATCGCATTCGAAACCGCCCCATTCGGCAAAGTGGTTTACAATGTCAAATGCAGCAGGGGCAGGCGTAGCATACTCGTAGTCGATAAAAGACACGCAGGCAGCCGTCTCGGGCTCGTCAGAAGCGCTTGATGCACTAGAGCGGCGCGAGGCAGCGGCAGACGAGGGCGAGGGCTCGATGATCACGTTGCCTGAGAGGAGGTCGCAATGGGCGAAGACAAACGGATTGGAGCCACCAACACCAGGCGTGTCACCCAGCAACTCAACTAAGCCCTCGAGTTCTTGCATCAGCTGGTCTCTCCTTTCCGACTGCGCGGTGGTGCTTGTCGGCAGCGCAAGGATCCATCTCTGCATAGTAGTCCACAAATTCGGAATAGGCTTGCCTGGCGTGAGTGTGGCCATGGCCGCCAGAGACGCACGCTTGTTGTTTGAAGTGAGTTGTGCGGGGGCAGGACATGTGCTGCTAATACTCGATATAGGTAATGTGGCATGCCATTCTCCCAGCCTCTGAGCTACCCCTCGCCATACTTCTGGCCGACGCAGATCGGCGGGCGCACACACGCTGCCTTGAATGTACTTGTATAGGAGACCATTTTCAAACCGGGCGTATAGAGAGGGTGCGAGGTTGTGGCGCGCGAGAAGCGAGTGGGAGCGGGTTTCCTCTATCGACTTGTTTAGTCTCGGCAATGAATGCTACGGATGGGAACCTACTCTCGCGGTCTATGAGGACGTCTGTTCCCTTTCCGTATGCGCGCAGCAGTATCGCATCGCCGTCGGCCTCGGCATTGGAGAGACCGGGCAGCTTGTTCACCGCTTTCAGAAGCTATCCGTCGTCTTAGCCGTGCGTATAGAAAAGGGCCCGTCGCCAGCGCATCACTGCGAGCATATGCATACCGTGTTGGTGATACCGTCGGTGAACCTCACAAACTCAATTGTGTCCTTGGTTTCCTGCCATTCTGGCCGCAGCGCGAGTATGAGGTTGAGGGCCGAGTTGTGCGAGTCGGAGTTGTCGTAGTACTGCGGTATGTTCCGGAGTGAATCGTATGGTGATTGTGCTTTACTCATAGTGATGCCTGACACTACTCCATGGTTAGTCGCTTGATGTGGTGTGGTGCTGGCTGGGCAGCAGCAGAGTTAAGAAGACATGGATAGACCCTTCCGTCGCATGTGAAAGGGCAAATCTAAGCAAACAGCAGTCGCACTTGACTGGATGCACGACGTACCAATTGGGAATAGCAATGCTTGCGCACGAAGAAAAAGGAAGTCAAGGCTGACTGAGCGATCACGGTGTCTTGTATGAAAGAAGGGTGCAGACAGAGCATGTGCCGCGATCCACAACCCACGGGGGTCGCGTGGGCCCTTTTCTCAAGTACTGCTCTTCCCCTGTTCTAGCCCCGCAAAGCGCCACACTGTCCGAAAGACCCTGCCCCTGTGCAACTGCCTCAGCCACATGACGTCCCTCGTCGTGCGCGGCCATGAGTGCACTCTGAACCTGCACTCCAAACCGAACTTGGTTCTGTCCATCTACCTCGCACACAATGGCCCGTCCTGTCCACCACTGCCGTCTGCTAAAGCGGATACCCGGCTCGGTACGTGCGACTTGTGGCTTGCTATGCACAACGACGTCTACTGCGGGGCTTACACTGTCACTATTCCACCTGCGGGTGCGCATTGTACCGCCGATTGGGCGTCGACCAACCACCTGCTTGATGGAGGGATAGCACATGCTGATGTACATGCTGGCCGTCCATGACGTTAAAGTGAAACGCGGCAGTCGCTGCAAGGGTTCATCTTGTTCATTGCTAAATCTCCCTACTGAGGGTCAAGGCCAAAAGAGCCTCACTGAAAAACGCCGCGCTTACTGCGCATAGGGTATATCCATAGTCTAAACACCAAACTTGAACTTGAACCTAGATCACACTCACCCCACCCATACCGTTGCGCCCAACATTTACAAGCCCTCACTGTACTTTCCTGCCAGTGCCTTTGCGCGCCCTCCACTTGTATGATCCAAGACCAATATCCATGGCGCTGCTCTGGAGGTTTGTCAAGCCATCAAACGACTCTTTGCCCAAAGTGATGACCTTGACGGTATTGCCGAAGCCTACGACAACACTACGCTTGCCTAATCTGGTCATTGGCCCAGGAGCTGCCACCAAAAGCTCGTCTTCGTAGGAGCCCTCTGTTGTGCCGTCGAGGTTATCTGGGATAAGTGGCCTAGATTGAAACTCCCCTGTGCTGGACAGTATCCACGCCTCCCACGCGTCACTGTCGTCAACGGCGTCGGTCCTTCGGTTACGCTTGGCAAACGCCGTCTCGGGAGATTTAGATGCATCCGGATTGCCTTGGATCTGAGCTCGCTGTTTGAGCGCCGATGCAAGCGCCGATGGATTCACAGCTTGATTGCCATCGTCAGCGCCCGAAGCCGTTGACGATGGCGTAGGTGACTGTATACGCCTTCTGATCCCCACAACACTGAGCGCATCCGTCGACTCCCACACCCCGGCAGGCTCGACATAACGCACTCTCTCCTTTGCTTGATCAAGGCCCCGACATCTGTGCTTCTCCCTGTCCAACGGCTTTCCAAGGCATATCTGTGACGACGTGTTGTCATCAAGATAGAAAGTCTGCATGATCATATGGCCGGAGTCTAATTCTGTATATGCGACAGCAAGCGAGTTTACTGTTGGAGCTCCACATTGACATGTTCGTCGCATGGGATACAGAACCCTAAATGAATGCGGCTTGATGTGGCCGATCTGAAAGGCGTGTACAAGAGCTCGGCTACTGAAGTCGAAGATTTCAGCCTCCTCGTCACGCAGTGCAAAGATGAGGCCTAGGCTGGGAACAGCCTCTATGCATCGAATCTTCGCAGGATTGCTGCCTGGAGGTGGTCCTGGATCGAGACCAGCGACTACTTCAGACATCGTGTTGCATTCCTCCATCAACTGTAAGATGTGGACTTCGCCGGGCTTCGTCACAAAAACGACGCTTGTGTCGCCATTGACTGAGGTGTATGTCGCGGCGCAAACGATGGGACTGGATGACACACGTCTAGTGTAGTGGATGCCTGTGCGTGCTTCGAGCTTTGTCAGATGTCCGTCCCGGCTCATGATGATGAGATAGAGTTTTTCAACATCCAACCGTGTCTTGATATAGACAAAGGTAAACAGAATGGGCGCCTGTCCGCGCATGTCGATCTTTGGGAACATGAGGAAACGCGACGCTGGAATATCCCATAGGCCAATTTGACCGCTATCTGCACAGATTGCAAGTATGTTGCCACCGTCATCCATGGCAGTAGCATAGATGGGCCAAAGCCTTGGTTTCATGGATGCTGTTTGCAGTGTAGTGTGCAAATATCCTCCTCGACCGTGTAGCCATAGCGCAGTACTCCTATCAAGGGATATACTGGCGAGATGACCTCTCGAGCAAGAAGCCAATTGCACGACGTCTAGATTCTGCGGCGTTGGTAGCGTCTTGATAGACAATGTGACTTCGTCATCTTCGCTCTCTTCAGCAGTCTTCGGAAGCCCACTCCAGAGAAGGTAGTTCATGAACAGTGTTACAGCCGCAATAAGTGTAACGACAATCAAAGCTGCCGGGAACGCGTGTCCACGCGCAAAGCGACGAAGCCCATCCATGAAAGACGACGGCGGCTGAGGTCGATCACGTCCATAGGCCCCCTTCGCAACAACAAGAACGGGGTCGTAGATACGAGCTACGAAGCTCGGAGCGTCAGGCTTGATAAAGCCAAATAATTCCCGAGCAGTGTTATGATCTTGGATCCTAAGCCAATCAGCGGGGGTCCTAGCCTGATTGATTGGTGGTGGGCTCCATGTGTCAGTGGCGCGTTTGCGTCTTCTGGACGTGAGGTTCCGACAAAGTGTATCGAGAGACAATTGCTTGCCATCGCTGTCGAAAAAGTGCCAATTGATAGCGAGAATGATGGAACAAATGGCCACAGTTCCAGCGAAGCGCGTGCTGAGTGGTACAGTACCCTCTATCAACGCCCCAAGCCAGGATTGTCGTTCCGCCCGGTTCTTCTTATTACTTTGGTGAAGATCCTCGCGCTGCAGCGAGTCTGAAAGTTCCATTCTTTGCACGTCCACGCTGAGCACCGCGACAAAGAAGGTCAAGTGAAAAACAAGGTCGAATACGAGTGTGACGGCAGCGAAGACGCAAAAGTCGGCTACCCAAGGTGAAACGAGCCGGGAACAAATGTACAATAAGGCGAGATTTTGAAAGGCAATGGCGAGGGATAAATGACCGACTTCACCCAACGCATTTCCGATTCGCTGCTGAGGAGGCATCTCCGGGGCTGTCTCGAGGACGACATTAATCAAACGAAATCTACAATTGTGTCAGCAAGATTTAATGTGAAGCAGCAGCCGTACGTACATATTTCCCAACCCAAAACAAAAAACAACTCCGGGAAACCATGGTCGGGGTATCCGCGCTAGATCGATTCCAAGGTAAGTGCAGAGAGTGAAACTGGCAATCACGCATATAGTCATCTGCTGGGTGGTTAGCAGTGAGAGCAGCGTCTTACAAGACTGGACCTACCTTGGCACATATTGTTACAAGCAGGCCAAACCAACTTTTGACTGCTCGCAACTGCATCATCCTCCATATGACATAGGCAGCGGTCACCATGTAGGATGCCGCGAGGAACATGTCGTCGTTTAGGGTCATTGGCTTGAAACGGAACTCATAAAGTCGACTTCGCCCGACCTGACCATCAGGTGGGAAAAGAGTCCACTCTGGAGACAACTTCTCCGCCAGAAGACGAGTCCTAGAGTCCCATGTATCTCCCAGGCTAGAGTTGGTCTGATCGAACAGCGTAATGACCAATGCATCCGCGGCACGAAGCTTGGTGTTGGAGAAGGACTTGCCGGCGAACACAGTGCTCGGTCGCAGAGTGACATTGAGTGCTGAGCGGATTCGTTTGTGGGTGTCGATGGTCCCGAGGAGATCAGGGTCCTTCTCCAGCGCGCTCAGAGAGCAGCCCCAGTACATCAACGGCGAATGCCAACCCCACTTCTCCCCCGGTGCTGCTACGACGCAGCCCGAAGCATCGCGGGCGAGCATGTGCTGATGGTCATGTGCGGTGCTTTCTCTCGTATCAAAGCCATCATTGATGAGGATTTCCTGGACATGCATTGCTTCGCGCAACACAGGCAGGGCAATTGCATTCATGTAGTCGCCATGCACCCAGACCTGCCGCACTACGACGTCGGCAGGTCGCTCGCCCTCGACCTCGGTGGTCGATGTCCAGACATGCTTTGGGAGGTTGCGTAGGGCGGCGGCGGCAGAGCTATCGGCTTGGAAGACAGCCTGGTAACAGAGGAGGACGGATATGGTAATCGTCAGGACAATGGAGAGCAGCCAATGCCGCGCAGTTGCCGTGCCGTGGGCCTGGAACGCCCGGCGTATGGGGTGCGAGGTGGATAGCCGTGGTGGTTCAGTGGTACTAGAAATTGCCGTTTAGCAGCGGCCTTCTCGTGGGACGCGTATTCGGTCGTCGCAGGGCAGCTACTCACCCACGCAGCGGATAGAGAAGATACCAGATCATTCGGGGTCGCGATGCCTCTTCTCCAAGGGCATGCCCGGGCTGGAGTTGGATGAAGCCTCAGCTGCGGCCGAGGGTTTGCGACGCACTCTTCGTCGAATGCGATGTGTACGAGTGTGGGGCGGCTCATTCATCTGTCGGAGCAGGCGCGAGGGACGGCCGGAAGGCGCGACTTGGTTTTGGATCTAAAGGCACGACGTCGGCGGGCAATGGCAATGGCGCAGCGTCACTCTGACTTTGCGGCAAGTTCCAAGGGCGGTCTTGGTCTCGGTGTGCATGATTGATTATTCGTGGCGTTGGGGCGCTGGCGACGTCGATTTCGCTGCCAAGAACGCGCCTGTCTCATCGCCTCGGCCGCATCTTGGTGTTACACCCTCATCCTGCCCTCGCCAATGGGCTCGCTTCCCTACAAGCGACTGCGCGCAAACCGCCCATGCGGCTTTCAGCTACGGGCCAGAACAACTCGTCCTACACACAAATCCTGCTCAAGTTGCCGACGCCCGTTCTGTTCAGCAGCTCCAAGCGGGACACAAACGCGGTAACATGCAAAGTGGGGTATGTCGGATGCGTGGCTTCGTCTATTCAGGAGCTGTCACGGCATGACTGACAGCATCCTAGTGCCCATCGTGGGTTCGCGGCGGCATCCTACATGCAGGGACCGTCCCACGCTGTGCCAACTGCTTGGGGTTGGATACTGTCCATAGCCTCAAGTAGCGCTTCTTGCTGTCCATCCGTGCACGCTGGGTATCAAGAAAATCTACAGTACATGTAAAGACGTGCAAAGAGCTGCCACACCAGCTTGTACCACACCGAGTGAAATCTCAATGTTGCTGCCCAATGTCTCCAATCTCGGTCCCATTACCAGCGGAGCCGCTTCTTTCTGACCCAGGGGTCTCCTCACCGCGGCTTAGTCGGACTGCCATCGCCATCGGACTACCATCACCATCACATACATTCACCATCACGTGCCCTGCATCTTCTCATCATCATCATCGTCGTCGTCATCGTCTCCATCCCCCTCCTCATCGGCATCTTCCCAGTCTTCATCTTCCTCGCCAGTGGAAGGACCAAGTACGTCGTTGAGTTCCTTCAGTATCTCATCGGCGTGGTCTTTCAGTCGATCGTCCTCATACTCCAGCATGGCGTAGAGTTTAAGGCAATTCTCCAGCCAATCGCGACTGGCACGCAGCAAAGATGTTGCAACCTTATCTTCACCTTGTGTCTTCTGCTTCCCCGCCAGCAAGTGAAGACACCAACCGCCCAGATACCATGCCTCGACACTGCCATCGTTCTCGCCCACTAACCGCTCCAACACTTCAATAGCCTCGTCTTCCATCTCAGCTTCCATGAGCAAGCGGGAAAGGCTGATTCGAGTTGAGTAGTCTGGAACCTTTGGGTTGTCTGGGTCGAGATCTTTCCAGAGATCCATACTCCGTGTCAGCGCGGACTTCGCTTCATCGGGCTTTAGTTGCGAGATCCGTATCGATGCGAGCGTCTGTAGTGGTTCTGGGTTCTCGGGTGCGAAAAGCAGTGCTTCGGTGACTGCGGCGTTGCATCGCGCTTCGGCGTCTTCTTCCCAGGACAAATCCGTCATGTAGACTTCAGCAATACCACAGAGCGAATTTGCTATCTTTTGTCGCTTCTCCTCTAACAGCTCTTCGACTTCATTATTCTTCACCCGCTTCCCTTCCAGTTCACTGATCTCCCTCTTCAGCACTTCAATGCCTTTCTCAAACCACCGCACACTCTCTGCGCCTCCCTCTTCGTTTAATTGTGCCAGCCATAAGAACTTTTCAGCTCCGTCGTTTGCGCCCTCGGGATCAATTACGATGGCTGCTTGAAAGGCCTCTCGCGCAGAATCTGGGTCGCCCAACTCTACGTTGATCTCTCCGAGAAGATTCAGCGCAGGCAGTGCTGCAGCAGAGGGTTTCGATGTGCCGGGCTGGAGTAGGTTCAAGGCTCTTCGTGCGGCGACAAGCGCTTCTTCGGGTTGTGACGTTTGTAGGAGGGTAGCCGCTTGAATTAAAAGTTCTTCTGGTGATGCTTTCGGCTTTTTCGACTCGCCGCTCTTGGCGCTCTTCTTTGTCTTGCGATCGGTAGGCTTCGTTTTCGCCATGATGTGAGATTGTGTGGTGTGGTGTCGTGGTTGTAGACGTCCAAGTTCAAGTTACCAAAAATTATTTCTCGAGATCGGCAGTCGGACGGAGCTAACGTGGGGAAAGCGCGCCCCGCCAGAGCAGCCTCAGCATCACTGCAGATGCCATCACTCTCATAATTTCCATACTCGGCTTTACACAATGGGTATTGAAGACCAAAAAGAAGAGCGGGAGGTGCTCGAGTCTATTTTCCCGGACGAGATCACAGGTAGCGCCCCCCTTGCGCAACGTCTTCTGACCATGTACTGACATGTCCGCAGATGTTTCCGAGACAGAGTTCCGAATCGCAATAACGCTCGACGATGGCCGCCACGAAGACGATGAGAGCGAAGAGGAGCAACGTATGCGAGTGTATCACGTCTACGGGCAAACACAAGCTCACGACTACCAGCTGTCATCATCCTAAATGTTTCCTACCCGCCAAACTACCCCGACGAAGCCCCCAGGCTCGACGTAACACAACCGCCTAACGCGCCAAGACACGCCTACCTCGATATACAAGAGGACAAGCAAAGACTCCTAGACTCGCTCACAGAGACGATAGAAGAGAACCTCGGTATGGCCATGATCTTCACCCTCGTAACCGTCCTCAAAGATAGTGCTGAGCTCCTCATGACTGAGCGCCAAAACGCAAAGCAAGCCCTCGCCGACATAGCTGCCGCCAAAGCCGAGGAAGAAGAAAACAAGAAGTTTCAAGGTGAGGCAGTCACACGAGAGACTTTCTTAGCATGGAGAGAGAGGTTTAGGAAGGAGATGGAGGATGAGAAGAAGCGGAAGGAAGAGGAGAAGGAGGTAGAAGACAAGAAGAAGCGGATTGTCAAGGAGGAGAAGAAATTGACGGGCAAGGAGCTGTGGCAGCAGGGCCTGGTTGGAAAGGTGGATGATGATGAAGATGATGACGACGTAGATGAGGTGGATGTAGGAAAGTTGAAGATTGAGGCGACCTCATAATGATAAAAGACATCGGCATGTTAGGTCAGATATATACCCATCTTGCATAATTTCGTGGGAGCAGTACGCTGCGAATATCACGGGTGTAGTATAAAAAGATCATACACATCTTATACCGCGCAGGTGCAACACAACACAGTCCATTGTGCTCATGTATCTGGCTTTATAACTCGTATAGGATGCCTCCTCCGTCCTCTCATAATTGTCTGCCCCTCTTCGAGTGCAAGTTTAGTCTCCATATCTACAATTCTCTGCATCTTCCTAGTAAGCTCTCTGTCCCTTCTCAGATCCTTCTCGTACGCTTCCTGGTTCTCCCTCTCCGAAAGCCGAATCGCATCTGTCCATTTCACCGTATCCTCGCGCTTCTTCAACTGCTCACTTACGAGCACATCCCACGCATCCTCCTGCTGACAGATGGGCAACCACCAATTCACCAAAAGAATCTTGGTGTCGAAGAGTTCGTTCTTGCGCTCTAGTCGCTGGTGGAGGATGCGGCTTAAAGCTGGAGGCTGGGGCTTTGTGAGGCGGAGGAAAGGTACGCCGTTTGCAGAGGCGAGTACAGGAACCCGGCGGGGCCCAGAGGTTTTCGCATACGGTCGAACATTGAGGACAGCTTTCTCGGGTGGAAGGCACGCGAGCCGTTCTTTGGGAGGTTTTGGCGGCGCTTCTCGGAGTGGCTTTGCTGGAGGGGTGCATACCAGTCCGCGGGGTAGTTGGGAAACCAGTTGCGTCAGGATGCTTGCGCTGGCTGTGTCTCCAGTAGTGGAGGCATCGAGATGATCGAGCGTCTACATACTGTCAATGAAACACGATAAAAACTGACGTGACAGATGACATACCTCATAGCCAGCTTTGAAGCTCAAACCCAGCTGATAAGGGCTCTGTATCTTTCTGTTCCGCCGGAATTTATTGCGAATAGCGTTGCGCAAAGAGACGCGGCTGTCATCTGGGAGTGGAGCGGAAGAACATCGCGACAGCAAGGCTCGATAGAGAGCGATTGCTAACAACAGTGTTAGGATGGAAGCAGATGTTGGTAGTCCGAGAATCTAACCTGCTACACGATGCTGTGTTGACTTTTTAGGCTGGAGGAATCGGGGCATGCATGAGATGGCTCGGTGGTGGTCTAAAGCTTGAGCTGTAACGCGAAATATTTGGACTGCGATGTCATTGTCACGTGCGCACCTCGTCGTTCTAATGTACCTACCTAGGTAGGTAGCTAGTACCACACTATGCGCCATAAGTTTCTGGATATTCACGTGGAGCTGCGAAGGATTCGTCATAGGCAAATCCTCAACAATTCAACGAGGCACGACATAGGAGCAAGATGTAGTATGGAATATGTCGTTGATAATCCTGGTCTCTTACCAGGCTAAATGGCTAGGCTAGCAGACCATAACTCCGTTCCATGCGGTTCGTTCCCTTCATGCCATACATGTCTTGCGTCGATCCATCCCTGATCAAGACTGCCCTCTTGGATCAGGTCCAGTGCTTTATGCGCCTAGAATGTTGTTCCTTCGGGCGGCTGGGGAAGCTTCTTGTTCTGAGGCAGCGCCATATACCTAATACGCAATTAGTCTTGCACGATACCAATTGGTAGGTGTACTGACCTTCGAAGCTCTATCAGTATCGTCTCCATGGTGAAATCCCGCTTCCACTGAGCCAGGCATGGCAACTTTGACGCGTCGACCTAACATCGTTAGCATGCACCCAGGATCCACGCCTCCAGTTGCCGTACCTTTCCATTCTGAGGGTTGACGCAGGGTAGGTTGATCTTGGACGTGAACTTGATCTCGGGAGGTGTGTCGGGGTAGTCTGGGCCGCAGTGGATCGATACGCTGTAGATACGGTTCTCGTGAACGCTCTGTAACGTGGTCAATATACGGTATGTTACGTGGGAAGAGAAGTGCATACGTGTGGTGGTCCAAGGATAGTACCATTCCAGTCGGACATCAGTAGGTCATCGCCGTTGTCAAGGCCATATGAACACGCCTCTGTGATCTCTCAGTAACCCGCTACTAAGCCTGAATCACCAGTCTTGCATACCGGCTCCAAGGCCCTTCTCGCCCTTCTCCAGCTCTTCCAGCAGACGGAAGTTGCGCGGAACTTTAGCGCCCATAGTAGCGGTGGTGATGTGTGAAGGCTGAACAGAAGTGTCGCGCGTGAGGAAGTGGGATGGACCCCGCTATACGGTATTGGGAACTGCTGGTGACTGTGGAAGATCTTGGACAAGCTTGAAATCCGATATAGAAAGCACGCAAGTTATTACCTGTGTACTCAGCGATAGACGCAATTGTAAGTTGCTGGGTGTCAAAATGATTGATGTTTGTCCAAAGATGCCTGTCGGACCCACTAGCGTCGATGGTTATGACGAGGCACCAGGGTCTCACCCGCCACGCGTGAATCGCTTGGCCCGTCCGTCGCCTCTAGACGCGACAACTATACGTTGCATCTAGCAATTCGACCAAACAACAACCAAATACCGCATCTCAAGCCACTTCTTTGCTTGCATAGACCGCCCAGATGCTTCGGCTCATACCAAAAGAATGACAGCACAAATCTTGGCGGCTGAACTAGGCAACCTCATACAGGACTCAAAGCGGAAGAATACAGAACTACGAAATGCTGCAGAGACGGCCCTGAAAGATCTGAAATCTCTTTCCAATACCTCTGAGGCCCAACTATCGGCTGGTGAGCTAGCCTACTTTCTGTTGGCTTACGCATGTTGACTGTAATTAAGATCTCTCTCGGCGACCTCATTTCATCTCGCCCTTCTTAATTGCCTGTGGAACTCAGAATGCCAAATTTGCATCCACTGGAATTTCATGCCTCCAAAGACTATGTGTTTCGCGTGCATTGCCACGAGAACGTCTAACAGAAGTACTTGAAGCATTCCGGGGATCAGTATCATCAAGTAAAGAAGGCCAATTGTAGAGTGCTTCCGATATGGCTAACGCTGCCAGGCCATGATATCCAGTTGAAGATACTACAGGCGCTGCCTTCACTACTCCAGAACTACTCTGCAGAAGTACGCAGCGAGTCACTATCCGCTGTTCTGCAGATCTGTTCAAGCCTTCAAAATGCGAAAAACTTCGCTGTCGGCAACACGGCTGCAGCCACATTGCAACAACTGGTCATTGTCGTATTCGACAGGGTCGCATCCGAAGATGGTATTGTACCGAAGCAGGAGTGTAGATAGGGACGTAGACTGACCAAGTACAAAGAGAAAGCCCTAGAGATTCCTACCACGACCGAGGTGAAAGGTGATGATGGTCAAGTATCGGTCAGACCAGCAGCGAACGATGCCTACAAGGTCTGTTTTTTCTCACACAATTCTGTACTTTCTACTGACCGAGCTTAGATGTTTACCGATCTCATTTCACTTGTCGTAGGGGAAAAGCCTGTCTTCATGCGATTCTCTTCCCTACCGCCAGCCTCCACGCTGGAGCTGATCGAAGCAATCTTGTCGAATCACAATAAGATCATGACGACGCATCCGGAGCAGATTTACATCATGCGAACCCAGCTAATGCCATTGATCATCCGCTCGCTATCCGATCGCTTGTCGTTTGCAGTAACCGTCCGTATCATCCGGATACTGCATCTGATCATCCGATATCACCTCGACACGCTTCCTTCCGAATGCGAGATTGCACTTGGTCTTCTGAACCACATGCTGGATCCCGAAGCTTCTCAGGCATGGAAAAGAGCTCTTTGTCTCGAGGTGTTCCGCAGTATTTACGCCGACTCTAGACTTCTTTTAGCGATATATGCGCTGTTTGACGCGGAAAGCGGAAAGAAGAACATATTTGGAGACAATCTAGCGGCTTTCGTGCGTCTTGCGACTGAGAAACCAGCAGTCATCGGTTTAGGTCAACAATCAACGGCTGCCGCTGGCTTTGACGAAGGTAACACCATGGTATCGGATCAAGCTGTCGCAGAAGCGGGTGCACTAGCTGGCGTTATAGGTGGCTCTGTGAGCGACAGCAGCAATAACACTCGTCCCTCTGGTATCAGCATGCAGTGGAGTTCTCTCAAAACTCCTTGTATCGAACATCTCGACAAAACCGAGCCACCTGCATTACCCGAAACGTACATCTACAGTCTGGTGTTGACCTGTATCACCAACATTTCTGAAAGTCTAGCAAAGTTTGTTCTTCCTCTGACCGTGCACCATGAAAGTCGAAATCGGAAGAAGACCAAGGCCGAGGAGATGAATGAGAACGACACAGATGTTGCATCTCCAGATCGAAACTCTCGGAGGCTTTCAAGAACCCATTCTTTCCGGAAGAAGACTATTCCAGTCAACCCTCTAGATCTGTCCGATCACCCGGCGTACCCTTACGTACAGACCTCAACAAGCTTGGTCACAGAATGCTGGCCTGCAGTCCTTGCAACCTGCTCAACATTTCTCAATGCTACGCTTGATGCGGACTACTACCGAGCTCTGGTTCGAGCCATACAGAAATTCACTCAGGTTGCAGGGCTGCTTAGACTCTCAACGCCGCGAGATGCATTTCTCACCACCATGGGCAAGGCAGCAGTCCCATCGAACTTGCTACTAGCCAACGCTTCGTCACCTGTAGGCGACAAGCCTGGTATCTTCTCCAACGCAAGAGGCATGCTCAGTGTAGACAGCTTCGTAAGTCAAGCTTCCTCAATGTCCACTGACAAAAACCGGGGTTCTTCACACGACGTGTCAGCACCCGCACTAGGACCACGCAATTTGCTATGCCTGCGAGCTCTGCTGAATCTGGCAATCGCACTGGGACCAACGCTACAATCAGCCTGGTCCATAGTATTTGAGACGCTACAAGTAGCTGATCTAGTAATGTCGTTGTCGAGCCAGACTAGTAGTCGTACATCTGGATCTGGAAGCCGTATGGATACGGAAGCCATTACGGAGAAAATGGAAGCCGAGACCTCAGCTGTGCAGAGCGCCGCGCGCAGACTCTTTGAAAGTACTGTTGACTTTCCTAACGATTCCTTTTCTGAGGTGTTGCAAGCCCTCTGCTCACTTCTAAATGGTGTTTCGCCTTCAGAGAGCGGACAAAGAACGCCAACTACCTCTGGCCGTCCCCAGATTCTCCATCAACGTCGGCTTGGTAGCGTATCAGGAATCTCTCTCAACACAGATGCAAACTCTCGCGATTCGGCATTTGCTCTGAACAAAATCGGAGAACTGGCGTCGTTGAACGAAAGTAGATTATCGCAATATGATCCCGCTGAAAGTGGATGGGATATCCTGATTCGAGAGATTGTACGTTACTCTACCGACAGTCGTAAAGCGACATCTACGAGGCTGCTGGCAGCCGACATCCTGGCAAGGACAGTCAGGGAGATCGCTGAGCTTTCCATGTCCGATGAGCAGCGCGAAGAGATCCAGGCCCGCATACTTGCTGCGCTGCAAAAGCAAATTACTGACCTCCACCACTATGATGGGGTCAGCAAAGACACGATTACTGACACAGACATACGAGTTCATCAAATAGCCCTCGAAGCACTCAAGGGTGTAATTGAGCAATGTGGAGAGTCGCTAGTTGCTGGCTGGACCTCTGTCATCGAAAGCTTGATGAGCGTCTTCACTCAGAAAGCACCATCCATACAGGGAGTCACGAGAGACGCAGATGCCTCGGACCTCAGCAAAGACACCGATACCACTGTAGACGTTATCTCAAGGTCTCTTGCTCGATCTGCATTTGCAACAGCCAACCTCGTCTGCTCGGATTTCATGACGGCTGTTCCGGATGCTTGCCTCTCGACGCTTCTGGAACTCTTACGCAGATTCTGCTCCCAGCGAGAGGATTTGAACATGTCACTCACTGTCAGTCTCTGTCTCAAACCCATGATATACACCTAACCTGCTATAGGCGATTACCTTCTTTTGGAACGTGTCCGACTACCTGCAGTCGCGGACCGACCTCTCGTTACTGGCGGAAGTTGTTATTCAGACCAGTGACAAGGAGCAGGTTAAACAAGCCGTACAAACGCGCTCAAAGGAGGGGAAGACTGCAGCTTTGTGGCTTCAAGTTTTGCTAAATCTATCATCCATCACAACAGATGAACGCATCGAGGTGCGACACTCTTCGATCCAAACGATACAAAGGATCTTTGAGAACTGTTCGGACCAGATTTCTCCAGAAGTGTGGTTACTATGTCTTCGCACTATCTTGTTCGGGATGGTAGAGACCAACTTGAACATCCAAAACGACATTCGGCAACAACGACCACGCAAGGACGATCTGAACGAATGGGATGAGACTACAAAAGCCGTTCTTCAAACCGTGACTGTTCTCAATACGACTTACATGGAAAAGCTGGATACGTCTCAGCTCGGTAATGCGTGGTCAGACCTACTCGAACTCCTAAAGCGCTACTTCGATTACCGCTCGCATGCCTTAGGGGCTTCGGTATTTGGTGCAATGACAGGGGTACTATCTCAGGCCGAAAATGTCGATGTATTGGGCACAGATTCTCTTCTTAAAACTGCGGCGGTATGGAGAAGCTACTTCGACTCTCCAGATGCTCGGCAAGACGCATACGAAGAGGACAACCAAGACGCCTTTGTAGCCTACGCAAAGGCTTTCAAAGCGATCTACCGCCTGGCAGATCGACCCCTTGCCACAGATTTGCCTTCTATGCTCGCGAATCTCGAAGCCTGCGTTGTCAACTCAGACGAAGTCGCTTACTCTTCGGATCTGGACACTATGACGACGCTTCAAAGTCAGGTCATGGAATGTTTAACAATGGTCAGGACAGAAGACACTGACATTCCACCGTATCTATTGCGTTTGTTGGGTCGGTTCATTACGCTACCATACACCTCTTTGGCCGAATACCCGGAAAAGCGCGGGCCCACCTTTGTCGCGCTTTCAAAAGCCTCAATGACGTTGCTCCAAAATATTGCTGTCAAACATGTTGACCTGAAAGAGATATATACAAGCAATGCATTGTCATCCGCTCTTGCCAGCCTAGCACGACCGATCGAAGAGAAGTACGTGTGGCAGCGGGAGGGCAGAGCACCGACTTTATGGCAAAAGGCTACTACGACGTCTACAGCTATACTTGAGTCAGTATTGCCACACCTTAACGCCAACAAGGAAATTTGGACCACACTCGTCGACATCGCGTACTGCATCACGCGGGCGCAGTCATTGCCTGGTACCCGGGTTTCTCTTGAAAAAGATGAGCAGTTTGACATACAATCTTTCACTCACCTTCGCGACCTCATCACCCTACCACTAGGCTCCGCTTCGCTCTCAGATAATCTCCGTCGTACCTATACTCGCAACCTCTTCTCCACATCTTTAATTCACAGCCCTCTACCTGGAGAACTACCTGAAATCACCACCTCACCCCTTGAGGAGCTTTACAAAATACGTCTTGGACAGACTGCGGAGCTGGACTATACATGGCGGCCAGATATGAGCTATGCCTGTCTCTCTGAGCTCTTCGACCTTGTCGTCGTGAATGATAGCAGTCCTGAACGCATCAAGCTGGCCCAAGCAGCGGCTCCATATCTCATTCTCAGATGTGCACTTCCGCTCAAGACATATATTGCAGACCAGCCGCTTCGCGGTCGTATGCCCGCGCCGGAGTCGCAGAGGCGCGAGCTGCTCTTTGTACTGGAGCAACTAGAACGATTGGAGAGCGAGCCACAAGCAATACCTGATACTCCGGGAGTAAGATCAAAACACCGCAGGCACCTGCACAGGCTGTACCCATTGCTTCTCAAAGCGGCGAGGGTAGCCAGGCAAGATGCTGAGGTGTTTGAGCACCTGGCGAAGCTGACTGATCTAGTTGGTGATGAGTTTGGGTTAGATGATGATTGAAAGTCCTGTTGTACTACCAAACAGACATATCCAACTTTGTAGATTATATCCACGACGATGATGCTGCGACATTGCCCACGTGATTTCCAGCCGCTCGACGAATTACAAGACGTTTCGTGCTCTACAGGCAGTTCACTAATTACATGCTACCCGAGGATGTTCTCTGTATTCTATATTAGTGTAATAAGGAAGTGAATGACTACGGATACCCCAAACTAAAGGTTCAGAAAACAAGTTGCCTTGTACTTTGTACAGCAGACCTCGGGGAGCTAAGCGGATCCTTGGGGCATCCCCGCAAAAGCACAGACATCGGAGACCTCAGCTCGCTCCACACATTAACTTCTTGTCGCGGAACACTCGCGCGCAGGCGGAATTAACAATGAGCGCAACATCACCAGCGGATAGGAATACTGCGAGCGATACGATGAGTCCGCCGAATGACTCCAGCGGCAACGCCAAGCGAAAAAACGAGAATGGCGCGCCTACACAGCGCGCGAAGCGTAAGCAAACCTCTCATGCACCAATTGTTATGCGACCAGAGACTGACTTGGTATACTCGTCTTAGGCAATAGATATATAAGTATAGCATGTAATGAATGCAAACGGCGGAAGATTAAGTGCAATGGCGAGACACCATGCCAGCGCTGCGGCAATCTCAATCTGGAGTGCGCCTACGCTCCCAACTGTTGCAACTCGTTCAAAGATAGCGACGAGTTCAAGCAAATGTCAACACACATAACCTCTCTGCAACAACAGGTCGACGACCTCTTCCAGAACCTCAGCGCGCTCCGGGCCCAGGTCGATGTGCAGAGCAACGGTTCCATCGGCACACCATTCAACCCAGACTACCAGCAGACGCCTATGTTACCGCCTACATCCGCCCGTTCGCGATCGAAATCCTTCAGCAAACATCCCCGTTTCCACGGTCCGACGTCGAACGCATTTAATGTTGGGGTGGCCAGGTCGAGCTTGAAGACCATGGGCATAAACGCGGGCGAGGAAGGCGAAGACGAGGGCATCTTAACTCGCGACGCAACACCTAGGGCGTCTCCTCCAATACCCAACGCCACCTTGACAAAACGTCCCATGCATGCGGACAAAGACCCGATATGGGCCATCTCGAAGCACGAGGCTATTCGTCTGGTGCATGTTTGGCACGAAGAGATGGGCATCATGTATCCTATTCTGGAAGTTGACAAACTGTTGCGCTATACCGAGATGCTGTTCACCTTTGTAGAAGCAGCGGCCAGGTCGGGCCTGATGCAATGCGCTCTCCCCGGATCAGACGCAATGATGGATGAACAGATTAGCGTATTAAAGCTCGTTCTCGCAATAACACTAGTCCTTGAAGGCGGAGGAAAGGATCCTCTGGGCGAGAGACTCTTCGAGAACGTACACAAGATCGTCTACAAGGCCTTGTCCGAGCCTGTTAGCCTCCATGGAATCAGTTTGTTGGTGCTGACAGTGAGTAATAGATTCTTATGTCACTGGACTTTGCTCACAAACGTAGGCCATGTATCACTTCACTCGGGATGACGAAGCTATGGCCTGGCGCGTGATTGGCCTAGCTGCACGACACTGTCTAGAGTTGGGCTTACATCGTCGCGATACATATGTGGCTCTCTTCCCTGATCCTGAGGAGCAAGCAGCAGCAGTTCGGACTTTCTGGACTATCTACGTGCTAGATCGTCGGTGGAGCTTCGGTACTGGGATGCCGTTTGCTCTGCAAGATGCAGACATTGATACAAATGTACCGAAGCCGGACATATCTACGCATGAGTCTACACCGTATCTCAACGCCATGATATCATACTCTGTCATCGGCTCTAAAGTATGGAAATCTGTCGCCGATGTAGGACATCAGGACAAGATCAACAAGGACGACATCTCTTTTCTTGACTTTCAGGTTCTTAACTGGCACCGTAGTATACCGGAGTCCTTGAAGTTCGTTCATCCGGATAGCGGTAGACAGGTTGAACCTCCTGCGCGAGTTCTCCATCGTCTACAGGTCGTACTCTACCTTCGAGCCAACCAGATGCGAATACTCATCTACCGCCCAGTTTTACATACCGCAACTACAATCATGGAGAACATTGAATTCGCACATGTCGTAGTCAAGGTCGCCAAAGACACGATCCGCATACTGACATATATCAACCAAACATCGGACATCTACAGAAGCCAGCAGACTATGTTCAACTATTTCCTTATATCGGCGCTGGCAGTACTATTCCTAGCTGTTGCTCACGCGCCAGCTGAATTCAGCCAACAATCTCGCGACGAGTTCTACATGGCTCTCGAGCTCGTCCGTGGCCTATCGTCAAACTCGTACGTCTCGAAACGTTTATGGAGGACCATCAAAACGATCAAGGAAGTTGGACCTCGTCTCGGGCTCGTCATACGTAATGATGATACACAAGATGCACATTCATCGGCTGCTGTAGCAATGGCAGGTCTCGCAGGCCACTCGATGGATGATTTAACCCTGTTCTCGAATGGCCGTAATGGGTCTAATCTTGATACGCCACATGGAATGGCTAGTGACTTGACGACGTTGTTTGAGGCTGCTGGGGGCATCTTCAATCTCAATGGATTTGGGGGATCGGCGAGTGAGCTTCCTAGCTCAAATGGAGAGTTTGTGAATGGGTTCTCACATGAAAATGATGAGCTGGCGAGGATCCTGAGGGACTTGTTCTGATGCATAGCTACTGAGCCAACACTATTCTTCTGATATACACTATATGCTCATCTTACTATTGTAATACTTGTTAGGGGGTTGAAATACTATCGTGTCGATATCAAAAACTATTGTGATTCTTCACGCCTATATCTACCCAAGTTCGCAGGGCCTGGCCAGATCACGTGGCGCCCAATCGCTAAGCTTGGCCAGGGCAACCTTCGATCTTCACCTGCCAAAACACAGCTGGAAACATACCTCTGCGACGCTTAAAGATCAGCCGTACTGATTGCCAGGCAGAATCGGCGCAAAGATACCACATTGTCCTCCCTCCAGGCTCTGCGCTCGCTCGACCCCTCACCCACCGGCCTCACCTGGATTACGACTTTCGCCGAGACCTTCCCTGCCCGCTACCCCAACGCCAACACACATGCGATAACAAGGCTGCAAGTGCAGCTTCACAAAAGAAATATATCCTAACCCACAGCCATCTTGCTCAACCCGGCGCCTTCGCTTCTGCCACGCCTACCAACGATTACCCCCCACATTCGCATTTTCGAACCCCTCGTCCTTGGTATCCACGCACGCATTGCAGCTGCGCGTCATAACCTGAGCCGCGTCTAGACAGCGGCCTCGGCGTCTTTGTACCCAAGACAGCATGTCGTCTTCTTCGCAGGTCACCGAGTCGTGGATCGCGTCCTTTTGCGGGCTTTTGGGCCACGAATACTTCGCTGAGGTGTCAGAAGACTTCATCGAAGATGATTTCAACCTGACAGGCCTGCAATCGCAGGTGCCCATGTACAAGGAGGCCTTGGAGATGATACTGGACGTGGAGCCGGAGGACGATGAGGATGAGGAAGAGGAAGAGGAAGAAGAGGACGAAGAAGACGAGATACTAGGTGATGAGAGAGCACCGGGCTACCGAAGGGCAGGCGACCGCAGACATCTCCGCATAGCATCTGATCTCAGCGTGATAGAGAGCTCCGCTGAGCTGCTCTACGGACTCATACATCAGCGCTACATCACCTCACGACCAGGTATACAGCAGATGGCTGAAAAGTACGAGCTCCAGCACTTTGGTACCTGCCCGCGCGTAAACTGCAACTCCTGCAAAGTCCTCCCCGTCGGCCTCAACGACAGCCCTGGCCACGAGACAGTCAAGCTGTTCTGCCCTTCCTGCTTAGACGTATATACCCCGCCCAACTCGCGCTTCCAGACCGTCGACGGTGCTTTCTTCGGCACGACTTTCCCTTCGCTCTTCTTCATGACCTTCACGGACCTCGACATTGGCGGTGGGCTGCGCAACAACACGTCGAACACTATCGATGCACTACAACAATTACAATCGCAAAGCGCAGATGGCAAGTCGCGGAATACCACACCTTCAAATGTCACTTCCATAAACGGCGTCGCACCGCACAACCTTGCACCTGGCCTCGGTACAGGCAGCATCTACGAACCACGCATCTACGGCTTCCGAGTCAGCGAGCGCGCACGATCAGGGCCTCGAATGAAGTGGTTACGGATGCGGCCTACAGACGTTACTGAGCTCGACGAAACGAGAAGATACTGGGAAGAACATGACGAGGATGCAGACCGGCCAGATGACGATGACCTTAACATGGTCGATGTAGCAGAAGGTGGCAAGGGTGCGCCAGTAGACCGAAGAAAGAAAGCTATCCGCACACGACGACGGCCGACAAACGGATCCAACGTTGGCGGGGGCAGCCCCATGGACACCAACGGTGTCGGAGCAGCTGCGGGCTAGAGGTTCTCACAGATGCTTGTACCTTTTAACCCCAGTATTATCGTACCTAGGCCAGGGACGTCGAACAGGCATATACTATTGTATCTTCTAGCCGATGCGAAAAGGGCGCGAGACCAAAGGAATGCCATGTGTGATTGAGTTGGCTTAGTCAAGGACGTTCTTGTTACCTTTTTTTTCTTCACCATCACAATTTCACACAAGGAAGCAGAGCATGTGGGTTGGGACTATTGGGTCGAAGTTTTCTAGTTATTGTTCAAAGAGGGACGTACGTATAAAGGGTGGAAAGCCTTAGCGAATTCTTGATGGAGTTTCCGCCGAGCATGACTCCATGAGAATCCAAGAATTTACCTGTTCGCTTCTTCTGTCGAAACCATAGCGCTTTGAGAGTCGAATTGGCGTGATGCTTGTGAGAATCTCTATAGTGATAGTGGGTTCCACAGAGACTGCTATGCACTGTAGGCATTTTGGAGACGTGCGTCTACCGTTTACTGGGTTTGATACGAGATATAGTCATAGAATGGATCTTCAAAGTCAAAAGAGATGGAGTGATAAGGGTCACACGTGATCAGGATACGATGAGGATTACTGCTACATACTCACTCAAAGAGCCATAGCAAAGGGGTAACTAGATAGAAGATTTCCTCTGCCCTTTCCAGGTCCGATCCAATCATTTACATCATCGATAACCACCTACATACACGTACACAGCATGAGGTCCCTTAGACTCCGTTGAAACAAAATGGTATAGAGCGATATATGGTGCGCAAAAACACAACTGAAATGTAAGCAGCCGCAAGCTTATGCACGATGTGCCCACTCAGCGAGTTGGTTGGCCGAATCAATAGAGTCTTGGTTCTTCTCGTGGTGGCTCGTCATGGCCATGCCTGCACCGTGACCTTCGAGCGAGTGCGTTGACATGCCTTCGTCGATTATGTCGTCGTCGTCTGGAATCTTGACTTCGCGGGTGAGCTCAACATAGTCGTAGGCGAACTCGCCGATTTCGACATCATCGATACCAGCAGCTTCTTCTTCTTCGGTGGCACGGAGCCTGAAGGCGGGAACGAATTTGCCAATGAAGTCGAGGGCTCCGAGGATCAGGCAGGTTCCGAGGAAGGAGTAGGCGCCGCCGGTGAAGGAGTCGGCGAGTTGGTAACCGATTTGTACCCAGTGGTGATTTAGCCAACCTCCCTCAATGACGGTGTAGCCGTCGAGATGCGCAATGTAGTCACTGCGTGATAGTTAGTAATGAGCATATCGAGACCGACATGGTGTGCAACTTACGTGGCGAAGAATGCAGTGAGGATGTTCCCGATGAAGCCGCCAACGCCGTGAACAGCGAAGATATCGAGGGCGTCGTCGCAGCGGAGGAAGTACTTGAGCTTCGTAGCGTAGTTGCAAGCAACACCACCGCACACACCAAAAATAACTGCAGCCCAGGCAGCGACGTATCCAGAACCAGGAGTAATACAAACAAGACCAGCAATGACACCGGAGCAGAAGCCAACGGTGGACCACTTGCGTTCCAGACGGTAGTCAACCAGGCACCAGGTGATACCACCAACACAGGCTGCGAGATTGGTGCATACAGCAGCCATAACAGCACGGAGGTTGGCAGATAGTGCCGAACCGGCGTTGAAGCCGAACCATCCTACCCAGAGAAATACGGTACCGATAACGATATGCGTGACATTGTGGGGACGGTAGTTGAGCTCCTGGGTGCCGTGACCACTTCGCTTTCCAAGCATGTACGAATAGGCGAGGGCAGCACATCCGGAGGCGATATGAACGGGAGTTCCGCCAGCAAAATCCAACCCACCCATTTGGAAGACCCATCCAGATGGGTTCCAGGTCCAGCACGCAATCGGGTCGTAGATGATGGTTGTCCAGATAAACATGTAGATGATGCAAGGCAGCATACGTCCTCGCTCGGCGACAGCTCCAACGGCAAGCGCAACACTGTGTGTGATTAGCTTCGGCCAAGTGATTAAGCGTGGTGAACATACGTGATAGCAGCGAACATGCCCTGGTACACGCAGAACATGAGATCAGGAATACGTGGGCTCCCCACCGAAGGAGCACCCAGCACATTCATCAGACCGAAGTTATCCAAGGCGCCAATATACTTTCCAGCCTTGTGCGAAAAGGCTAGAGAGTAACCCCAGAAGAACCATTGAAAAGAGACGACGGCAGTCGCCATAACAGAGAGCCATAGTAGCGATAACGCCGACTTCCTTCGCGCCAATCCGGAATAGAAGAAGCTGCAATTCCGTTAGACTTGTGTACATGGTTGTAAAGTTGCAGGATGGATTTTGGTTACTGACCCTACACCCGGTATCATGAGAAGCACGAGGGCGGTTGATGTAATCATCCAAGCGATATCGCCGGGCTAGAAACATGGCATTAGCCCCGCGTTACCATCAAAACCTTACAGTTCCGTCTCTGGTAGCCAAACTCACGTTGTAGAACACATTGAGATTGTATAACCTCGAATCCCCTCCTGTGGCCACTGTGGTATTACCGAACGTCTCCAGAGGGAGTGTGGGGTCCAATCCCGAAGTTACTGGATCCATCTTGTCGTTTCCCGGGTCGTCGCTCTTTGGATTAAATGTTTGTTGCACTAGTATTCGTGATGTGTATCGGTAATGCGCAGTTCCTGACAAAGAATCCGAAAAGGTGGTAAGAATTATATGGACTCTAGAGAGTCGTAGAGAAAGAACAGAGTGCGTGCAGGAGGATGGGAAAGTGAAGATTGGTCGATCGCTACACGTTCAGGGATCCCGTCTCCAAGTCTGCAGTTGACCGACCCTTGGCGTCCGCCCCAAATATTTAGGTAGCTTGAACAAGCAAAAAAGTAAAAAAAAAAAGGTGTCGCCGCTGGGGAATGCACAAACAAAGAGTAGGTGCAAGCGCGTGCTAAGTGTAAAGATAGGCAAGTCGCTTGGTTGACGAGCTCGCGAACCACATGAACCGAGGGGTCTCTGGTGGCTATATGGAGGCGGAGCATAGGCAAAGAGCATCAAAGCTTCATCCGTTTGCACTACAGAATAGGCGACGCCGCTTCGATAATCTCCCGGCAAACAGGCATGAAAATCCCCCTCTCCCGAATGCACGAACGCCACGGCGGTGGGGTGTTTGATAGCTGGTGACGGGATGGATAGTAATGGCCCCAAGGCCCTGTCAGCCAATGTCCGACTACGGGTCGTCGCTAACCAAAATGCCAAACTGCAGGGTGCCGCCCACACTTGGACGCGGCGCTGAGCCTTTTGCGGCTGTGGAACCACACGTGTGGGATGACAGTATGATCGATTACCGCGAGGCCTGGATGCGATCAATCTTGGTTCCACCACCAGTGGAGTAGTCTTGATGATCTTTCGCTGTCTGTGACTCTGTATCTCTTTTTGATCGACGTGACCACTCGTTCGCTTCGTCTTACGATACCAACCAACCTTCATGGGAGCCCGGGAGTCGCATCAGACAATGCATCAATCGAGCCCCCTCAGCACTGCTCATCGCTATCAGCGAAATGATCCGAAGACATTGTTCACAGCTTGGGAGAGCAGTCAGAGCAAGGGTAGTGATAACGTGAGAGCGACTGATAGGCTACGCCGGATACTTGGAGTTTGAAAACAAGTCCAGGCCATCCCTGGTCTAACATCTTCGGGTGCTGGGCAAGCCCGCATTAGGCAAGGTGCGTGCTTAGCGTAGATATGGACATCAAAGATACCATGCAACATGTCGTTCCCGAGTACTGCATGGGGAATCTTGGGGTCTTGAGCTTGTGTCTTGTGGTGTGATCACTGTGTTAGAGTTTACAAGTGCTATACTTGAAGTCAATCAAACTTGGCCCCCCGGGTGCCGGCGGAGATGGCCTCAAAATCCCTTATCTCTGTCGCCGTTTTCCTATCCCACGCCGAGCCGTGACGGCCACTCTACCCACATCCCGCGACTCCTCCGCAACCGCCTCCAACAACCTTGAGATGCACCATGCAGGTCCAGCGGGGATCCTCACCCCTGGCATCATCTCATCATGTTTCTGTCTGCGTCTAGAATAGCACTGCACCAGACTGCCGGATTCGCTGTTCGCCTCGTCTACCGCAATCGTCTGTCTTGCATTGATCCATCTTGCTTTTGTTTGCACCAGTAGCCGCTATCCCTGAGACTCACCGATCAATGTCGCAGCTAAGTACATGCGTCAATGTCGCTCAGTCTGAATGTTTGGACCCTGTTACTGCCCTATCTGTGCATTTGACATGAGTATTTATGTCGCATTTGCTCGGAATACCGACATTATGATTGTTGGCATGTGAGTATACAGGTACGATAGGTTGGGACGGTTGAGATGTGGGTACAAGGCTGTCATGTTGATCTGGTCTGGAAGCCTTGTGAGCTGTGATACGAGGAACTTCTCGGAGCGCTGTCTCGGGCATGTTTCCAAGTCCTGGTCTTGTATTATCCTCCCACCTAATTGCACCGATTCCTTCAAATGCTACAGGTCTTTCCCCATCCTTGCCTCGGCTGATGCTCTGGAAGCTCAGTAATCACCAGAACTGCTGTTGCACGCGTTGCTATAACACGTCCGTATCGACGGTAGCAGGGGCGATGCCACCCTGGAATAGAACACTGCGTCGAGAGAACTTCATTATAGAAAACTAGAAGTGCAGGTACTAATGTACGGTCACTTGCATAGGCTTGGGCTTCATAGAACAAAGCCTACTGCCACGGTTTCCGATTCGAGGGGGAAGGCTATCGTACAGCCGTTCTAGTGGCTCAATACGCCTGCCGTCAAGGTCTCCACTTTCTCCATAACGTAGGCAACTTTACCTCGTTTGCTTGAACTAGCCTGCGCCACGGGCCGGAGGACTGTAGCAGATATGCACACATATCCGAGAAAGGTGTACCGCGGTAAATCATGGAATCTGGTGGGAGTTTCCAGATCCGCGAGCGATATCTTACGCATGAAGAGGCGTACCGGGTCCTACTGGAGTGTTTGCCCCTGGTGTTGCGGAATCAGTTCCGGCCCTCTTCTTCTTTTTCTTTTTCCGTGGTATCAATGCCGGCGGGTTCATGACAGCACTGCGCAGCGATAGATAGGAGCCGCAGGTCATGCAGAGATTATCAGGAAGATCTGGGTTACAGAAAACTATCTCGAGTTAGCATTCTGTTGAGTGAGTAGGTAGGTGTATTGGCTTACTGCTCAAGCACACACTGCAGACAAAGCCAATATCCACAACCTTCCTGTGGCAGAAACATGCTGCACGGAAGTCGACACCGCCAGCGCTGGGAACTATCAGACTTGTTCGTGCTGTTACGTCTGGTAGGAATGCCATCATCAGATACTGTAGCAGACCTTCTGGTCGGTCCGGCTTCATGTATACACCTCCGGTGGCATCGCTGGCTTGCTGCAATAGCACAGTATCACCAGCCAATTTCAAGATATCTATGGGTATTCGCTTCCTTTGTGCGGCAAATATGGAGTTCATGACGGGTATGTACTGGTTTGCGAGGTCGCCGGATACTGAGACAATGAGGATGCGAGATGTGAGGGGTACGCGGTCGACGTGGGTATTTTCAGAGTCGGCGAGTGCTGCGAGGGACGTGCTCTCGGCGGAGGCGGCTGTTGGAGCATGGAGAATGGTTTGCTTGTTGATGTGGGTAAGGGCCATGGAGAGAGCACCGCCAATGAGTGTCGTAGGCGTTGCCTCAATATGACTCTCTTTCGTCTCGTTGAGCAGCTTGACAAAGTTTCGTAGAATAGCACTTTCTACGACAGCGAATGGTCGGTACTTGTTCGCACTCTCTGCCATGTGCTGTTCCTTGTCGTTCCCATGTCCATTCGTCTGCACATGGCCGTTTGTATCACCACGCCGTACCTGAGGCTGCGGTTCAGTAGGTGTGGGGTATAGAAAGGTCGTCTTGTGCGAATGTGAAGCTATCACAGCAACCTCGTTTGAATTCCCCGAGGCCAAATGCGCGTTGATAAAGACGAGGATGTTGGCTAGGGCGGCGGAAAGCGAGAGCGTCGACGACAGATGTGCCCAAGCATGTGGGTTGGTATCGAGAACGATGGCAAGCAGTGACGGCGGCGGCGCTGCGAGGTGTTAGTCGTGATCACGTTAGCTGAGGCTTTCTGATTGCATGCCTTCTTCTGTCTTGACGTGACGGTCGGAACCGTCGATGGTATTCATTGTGCTGAGATGTGCTTATCTGTGCACGACTTGAGGGCAAGACGTTCTGTTCAGGGCCAGTGCATGATTTGGAAAGGCGAACGAGTCTTCCTCGTAAGGTTTGACTTGTTGGTGGTGGGAATCCAGCCGCTGCTCTGTTCACACGATGAGGTCAAGTTCGCGACCGCCTAACACAATGCGCCCGTGCGTTACCCGCGTTCCCACGTGAGTGCTGCACCGCGCAGTGATAGACTTGTGGCTTACAAGACCCATATATTTCTCAGACTGTATATATAAACAATATGGCTTCCCGCTCTTCTCTGGAACTTGTTGCGATGCTGTGTACGTCAAGATATCGATATAGGAATCAACGAGCTTTACCCTTCATGACTCGAACGCATTCCTTCTCAAGGATCATTGGAGTTCATGCTGACATCCCGAGGTCTCGTTTATGCTGACATCTCGCCAATGCAACCTTATAGCAAGAGCTGGAGCTGGGTTTCCCCGCAGGCCAGGATAGGCCTATAGAAACGACGAGCTGCTCGATTCAAGACATGTTGTGAAATTGCCGATATGTCCGGCTCTCCAGAGCTAACGCGTCAACGACAATCTACCGAGGCTCAGGAGACATGCTCGCCCCACGCGAGGTAACCATGGAAAACGAAGCACGCTGTTGGTGGCCGAGATGTCTCCTCATCGAGAACTTGCTCTTATACCAACTCCATCGTTGTACTGATTCGTCTCTCCAACGACTCGGTCACCGATTAAGGCGCCCGGCTAAAGTTTAGTCTCAACGAAGCCTTGTTGACTTCGCCGTCACATTTCGTGCGTCGTCTCACAACTTAAGAGCGGACGTTCGCCTATTCTATCCCTCAGCTATACCTACTGCAAAGTCGCCAAGATGATCACGGAAACGATACGACGAGTCAACGGCTACGAGAAGGATGCCTACACATATTATCCCGTCATCATCGTTGGTGCCGGCGCATCTGGCATTGCCATGGCCTGTCAGCTGAAGCAGCAACTTGGATTTGATCAGTTTCGCGTATTCGATCGACAAGCAGGCATCGGAGGAACATGGTGGATAAATCGGTATCCTGGAGTTGCTTGGTAAGTTCGCAAACTCTCCGAGATGATGTGCATGGCAATAGCCAGATACTTTGAATTTAGCCGCCACCGTACTTTCTACAAACGTGCTAACACAACACAGTGACGTACCCGCCGTCTTCTATTCTTTTAGCTTCGCCCAAAATCCAAATTGGACCTCTTTCCACCCACCCGGCAAAGAAATCGTGCGCTACTACCACGAGGTATGCGAGCAATACCGCATCACAGACAAATTTGAACTTAATACGGATATCGAAAGCTGCAGATGGCTGGAAGACGAGCAACTATGGGAGGTCACTCTCCGTCGTATGGTGGCAGGCATGGGCGATCTCTCATCAAAGGAGCGCATAAAGATCGCACAGGAAAAGGGCGAGCATGCAGTATACTCGGAGACTGAGATTGTAAAATCCAAGGTTGTGATCAGTTGTGTGGGAGGATTGGTCGAACCAAGGGGCTGGCCTAATGAAATCAAGGGCATTGAGAACTTCAAGGGCAAGATGTTTCATTCAGCAAGATGGGATGAAACCGTCGATTTCACAGACAAGAACGTCGTCGTTGTTGGCACTGGATGTAGCAGCGCGCAACTCGTTCCCCGTCTACCCAATGCGCCTTACAACGCCAAGTCAGTCACTCAATTGATGAGATCACCGCCGTGGGTTGTTCCGGCTCCATCACCGCCCGGCGGTGACGAGTGGTGGGAGAAGAATGGTCCTAAGATCATGAGGAACGTACCGGGGCTCAAGGAACTAGCCCGTTTCCTTATCTTCGCTGGTGCTGAAGTTGGTTTCCTCAAGCTCTTCCCCAATACACCATATGCCGAGAAACAGAGGAAGATATATGAAGAGAAAACACTTCAGAGCATGCGGAAACGCGTTCCTGAGAAGTACTGGGACATCATGACGCCGGACTACGGTGTCGGTTGCAAACGCCGCATCTTCGACAAGCGGTGGCTGCGCAGCTTGAATGATCCAAAGATTGAGTTGACTACTCAGCCGCTGAACAGGGTCACTGAGCATGGTGTTATCATCGGCCCCGGTGCGACGTACCCCAAGAATGCGAAGAGGGAAGACTTCCCAGAGCGAGAAATACCCGCAGATGTCATTGTCCTAGCAAACGGCTTCGACACTACGAGATGGCTCCACCCACTCAAAGTCATCGGCAAAGGCGGACAAGACCTAGTACAAGTAATGGAAGATCGAGGAGGCGCTCAAGCTTACCTAGGCACAGCTGTCGATGGGTTTCCAAACTTCATGATGATCTTTGGTCCTAACACAGCAACTGGGCACTCGAGCGTTGTCATGGCCAGCGAGAGTAAGTTCCAACAACAAGCATACAAGCATGTTTCCGAGCGCTTTTCACTGACATCCAACCCCAGACATGGTAAACTATTCCTTGAACTTCATCCGCCTGCTTCTCACAAATGAAGCCCGCACCGTCGACGTCAAGCACTCCGCCGAAGTCGCTTACACGTCTGAAATTCAGCGTGCGCTCAAAAATACTGTGTGGCAGAGTGGCTGCTCAAGCTGGTACTTTACGAGCGATGGCTGGAATCCTACCGTCTATCCGTACACACAGATCGACTTCTGGCGAAGATGCACCTTTCCTAGGTGGAATGACTGGAATATCGAATATACGAACAAGGGTATTGCGAGGATGAGGGCAAGGAGGGTGGTTAGGACGCTTGCGCTTGTGCTTGCGATTGGTGGGGTGTGGAGATTTAAGCAGAGTCGGCTGGGATTGAAGGATGTCAAGAGTTTGCTGAGAGGTGCGGTGCAGGGGTCTATAGGGAATTTGAATGAGGTTTGGGAGATGATGAGGAAGGCTTTGCTGGCTTGATAGTGTGGCTGGAGATTAGGAGGGTTCAAAGTGGGGGGTTGGTAATATTGCATTTGATGGGCATTGTCTCCGTTGTGTGTGTAGGATCAAGCGACTCTGTGGATGTGTCTATCTGCTTGATAATCAGACAAGCTACTTTTGAATATTGACTGGCGTATGCCGCATCGTCCAGACCACACATCGTCATTTACTCAGACCTAGACTTTGACATACGCCGACTCCACTCGGTACCACGGGATTCCGGGGTCTGGCTTCACGGAAGCGCAAACAGATCTCTTCCGACACGCTATTATAGTACCATATCTGATCGCTAGCTAACGGTGGACTGACATGGGCTAGACTCCGCCAGCTCGTAAGTTGCGGTGTGCTACGTGCATTAGGCACGTCTATCAACTGGTGTGTGTGCCGAGGTATACACAGTGTGAGCATCGTGATTCAAACAGTCACGCGCATATTTGGAGAGTCTGAAGTGAGAAGTCATGTAGATAGTTCAACTCGTATCGTCATGCTGAACAATATAATCCATAAGCAATGTCCTTCCTCCTCGCTGCCAAACGTACTTTTCCTATACCAATTCCCATTATCACGTCGTTGTCACTATCTGATAAGAAGATATATGCATAGGAGAATAATAAGGAAATGGATATCTTCGCAAAGAACAATGCCACAGATCCAAGAAAATCCCATAAGATGACTTTTCCGTTACGCAAAAGAAAATCGTGACATCATGCTCGAAGGTCGAACTGTTCATCTCATGCCTCAATTGTAAGATCGTTTCCAGCATTGAGCCAGTCTACGTCTCCTAGGCCCATATTGTTGTCAAGAGCCGATTCGTCAAAGTTAAATGCCTCGCCAACCGCATCCAGGTTCAGCAACTGATCAAAATCGCCATCGTCGAATTCGTTGTTCAGCGGTAAGCTAGAGAATAGCATCTCGTCATCCCGGTGGTGGTTGATGTTGTTTGCGAATGGATTTGCTGGAAGGTCCATTGTGCTCCACTTGTTAAAATCCATTGAGTTCATGCTATCGTGTGCGTGTGAGTTCGTTGCAGAAGCTGTGGCATTAGCCATATGCGATTCTTCAGCGATAGTGATACTGGGCATTTGCTCGTGATCGGACTCTGGCGGCGTAGATGCGAGGAAAGTCTCGAGGCGACGAGCAACTTCCTCATCCGTGACGTTAGGCTGATTGTGCTGCTTCTCGAGAGCGAGCATATTGGTGGTGCCATTATCTGGCGGCGGTGTCAGGGTCGAGGGTCGTAGATTTTGCGTCGCTGTTGTCGCTGCGTTGACTAGGTCGAGTCGTCTTCCGGCGTCTACAAGGTCCTCTACTGTAGTTACAGGTGAAGGCTTGGGCATTGGCACAGCTTGAGCGGCTGCTACAGGAGCAACATGGATGCCTGCTTTGCGAATGGCGGCTTCTAAGAAAGCCACAGAGTAATCGGCAGCAGCGTAAAGATCTCGCAGTTTACCCATGACAGCCATGCACTGGCAAAAACCACGAAGAGACGACCGGCGAGTTTCTTCTTCTGGCGCCTTGATGTCAAGTAGGTGGATGATGATTGCTGGTAGAAGAACGGTGACACCCGTTGTTGGCAGGTACTTGACGAGGCCGCCAACGTCTAGACGCTGTGCGATCGATGTGATAGCTGAAGCTGCCCGACGAACATTACGGCGAGAAACATCTAGGAGTTCAGATTCGACATTCTCTTTCGTCGGAGCGCTGGCTGGGCCGCCTTGTGAATTTGGTAGGACCTGAGGCCGATGTAATGCGGACAACGTGGTGAAGAAGACCATGTGCAATAATGACCTCGCAAGATCGATCGCTGCTTCACCGCTGGGCGTGTCTGTATACTTGGCCTCTTCCGGGAGTTCCGACACCCATTTCTGGAGCTCTTCATCGCATGCTTTGACCTCACTAGTCTCAGGATCTAGTTTTTTCGGGAGCAACATCATAGTTGTGCGGTCATTCTGAAGGCCGTGGTTGTTGTTCAATACGCAGTATTGTTTGGATAGCACATGGGATATGCACAGACACAGTCTAGCCTTCTCAATGCACATGATAGCTAGTTGTCGCTGTGCATCCACGTCCCGTGCCACACGGCAGTCAGCCGGTAAGCAAGTGATCGAATCCGGAAGAGGTGCAATCTCGAAATCGTCCAACGTCAGCATAGGCACATCGAAGTCTTCAGTCTTTATCCTTGTAGGTCGTCGCATGCCAAGCGCAATGAGTCGGTCACGCATGTAGGTTGACCACCATATCCGCTTCCATAATTTGACGCGTTTGCTATCCAAGTTGGTATTATCTGGATTGCGGTGCAGTCCGATAGTGTGGGCGACCGATGTAGCGACACCCATCCAATGCCAGGTGTCTTTCTGGTCATCAGGAGTCTCGTAGTAGTACGTCAGCAACAAAAGTGCTTGGACAAGTGACACTCGATCGGACTCGTAATCAAAGTCGTAGAGGATCTGAAGACATGATTAGTTGATTGTTCACATGTTATCGGACCATTGTAGGCCCGTCGGTCTTCACATGTTGGCATGTGCTCGGAATATCGGTGTGTCCGAAACACTCCGATAGTGTTTGAGACCGATACGGCCGAACGTGATTTGCCAAGCCTTCCGAAAGGAGATCTCAACTTACTCTAGTCTTTTGGAAAAAGTCCTTGCGCGCGTCTTTTCGAGTAGCGTAACCTGCGGTGCGCAAGTGTTCCATGTCAACAAACGCCGATCCGGCGAACATGACGGCCTGGAACAAAATCAAGCTGACTTTTCCTTTGCTGCCGTCACGTCTATTCACCATTGTTAAGAAGTCGTGTAGATCCAAAAGTGGCATGTACGGATGGACAAATTCAACATATGCGCGGAGCATTTCACCGCGAAGATTGCCCTTTGGTACAGATAGTGCGCCTTTCTTCTCCAGATACGCGATCTCGTCAGGTCCGATTTTGGCCGGAAGGGGTTTAATAAATCGAGGCAGCTCGCCAGGGGCAGGCTTCTGTGGTAAACTTCCAAAGAAAGGTGCTCGAGGTTCATTCGAAAAGGGCGAAAATGGCAGTGTAGGTAAGCCATTGATTTGGGAGGTAATGGAGAGACGACGCTGGATATCCGAAATGCTCGCGACAGAATTGATACGATGGCCATGACTTTGGTCTGCGTTGCGATTAGCCCAGAACGAGTGATGAAATACTTTGGTGAACACACATATAGAGTGAGGTACATGCTCGTCTCGTCTCGATTCTGCCTCATGTGACCCTCGTGACGACGTTCGGTTCAGGTTTTGGGCACCGTCCAGCGCGTCACGCGATGCGATTTTGCGTGTTGCGTTAACTGGTGTGCTTGTGTTTTCCGTGACTTGGTCGTCGTCTTTGCTCCATTTCCTGCAGCTGTCAGTATGAGGCGTACATTTGGTGTAGGTGCATTGGCAGCCATTGGCTAGAATGCTTTCGGCAACTGTAATAGGTGCAACGCCCTATAAGTGGCTAGGCCAGAAATACCGAACCCTCAGCCGATGGGGGATGACGACACGGGATGGAACATGCCATATCGAAAATGTTGATCAAACAGCAGTGCACGTTGCTTGTGGAGACGTCGTCGGATATTGCACGGGAATGTGGAACTAACTTTTTGCGCCTGCTCTCCGACACAATGCAATCGACTTCGTCTAGTCTGCAATTTGTGCAAGGAGCGCCGTGCTCTGTGACATTGCATCGCACTTTGCGAGCTCGACAACATTGACACGCTTTGGAAGCCCTCCTCTTTACTGAACGCCCGGTGGCATGTCCGTCAAGACCGGCTTGGGTGGCTTTTCGTTTCGGTGCTTGGATTTCGTTGTGATGGTCGGACGGGGAAGCAGAGTAATCAGACATGGTTGCAAGATATTTCTATCTGGTGTCTGCGTTGGAAGCACGATGGGTTGCAGATAGCGTTGAGAATTCCTACCACACGCGAGGGGTCTGGGGGCGCCCGAGGATTATAAAGACCATAATTCGCGAGAGTGGATTGCATGTCAGGGCTAGTCGTATGCTAGGATACGCAGACAAGCCACGCTTCACCTGGTGCGCTTTAACGCTCATGACGCCGCCCGGTCCCCACTGGGGATCGTTAGTTGGTACCCCAGTCCCCCAGATGCGGCTGGTCGGCGCTTTATCCTTGGCAACTAAGACGCCGATAACCCTCGGATGTCATCGGGACAAAGCCCGCTCCTGGATCCAAACGCGTCTAGCAACGTCAGCTGCTCGTCCATTCCTTGTGCACGGGAAAGATGCCGCGGTTCTTCGATTCGCTCAAAGCCGATTCTGCCCTGCACGCCTTACAGCTTGTGAACGCCAAGAGCACGCTCGCGCTGACTGCCACAGACATTTGGCACGCGAGTACCCAACTCATTGACAGAAACTCGAGTCATGGAAGTTGTGGGGTTCGCGGCACTTTCGATTCGCGTAGAGTCCCACAAAGACGAGCCTGGCGTAGGATCATCGCTGTAGAGTGCGGAAATGAATATCCCAGGGACGGCGCGATTGGTGTCTATGAGCGGAATGCCATGACCAAGCCAGACAGCTCTGGATTCTATAGCCGAAGTGCTAGCCGTCTCGGGTGCACGTGAGGACACATAGGCGTCCAGGTATGTTTGCGGCTTTTTGCCAATCGTACGGACAAGTCCATTGCCCCGACGCAGACCCCAATAAAATCTGCATCGTCAACCTTAGTGGGCACGGTGCTTGCCGTCTTCTCTGATCGGATGAGAGTTGACTGACCGCTCCAGCAACAATTGCTTCAATTGGTGTACGGACAAAAGATTACCATGGATGGCGTGAACGAACATTGCAAGAGGCTGAGTGAGTTCATGCAGTCGGCGCTCGGAGCAAAGGCTCTTTTCCAACTGTGTGGTCGCGGTAATGTCAGAATGGACGAGTTAGCGAACGCCTGGAGGTTGATCTCTGGCGTGGGCTAAAAAATTGCGGGGAACGCACGCTTTCCCATCTCGGTGAAGACTCGGACTACGCCATGCCGTTGCATGTGGCAATGGGAACGCAACCACCAATCTGCAGTGATGCAGACGTTCCATCCTTCCAGATTGCCCCTAGATGCTCGGCAACCTCCTGCACCTCCCGCACAATTTTTCTCTGCATCAGCGATCGTGATCGAGCATCCGCGGCCGCAGTCCGTCCCTACCCGTCGGTACCTGAGAGGCCTTCTGGATTATCCAAACATCTGGGGCACATTACACTGGTCATCTCTTCTGCAACACGGACATATAGCGAGGATCATGTCAAGCCTTGATGTGCATGTCTAAAGCAACCATTTTAGCGGTTCCACGCAACACGATCTGCAGGGAAATGGCCGTCGCACGGCGTGGTCTGGTCCCTTGGACGTTCTCCGCTGATGAGGCTCAAGGTCACCTGTATGTACCCCGGAGTACTCACCGTGTCATCATTGCAGAGTCAGAGATCATGATTACTTTCCATCGATTCGTGTACCCCGTACGGGTACGCAGCCTGCGTGTGGGGCTTACCGCCGACATCACCCGTGTTCAGCGACCCGCAAGAACGGGGTGTCTGGGGTATTCGTCTTTCTACTCCGACTCCGCCATGATTTGCATCCATCACTCTGACCATTGTCGTGCTCTGAAACTCGTACAAGCTTTCAACCGTTGGGACGGAATCGTTATCCGCTAAAGCCCGGAAAAGCACAATCCCGTGCAGTCAGAGGCTATGCAACGTTGTGCAACTAAACCTGTGGGACAACCGCTACAGGATAAGCTTTGAGCTCCACTTTGCGAATCTGGAGTCAAGGTCTTTAGGCCAGCGCATCATCGGTGCTACGATTAGTAAAGTGTGCATGTATCAAGTGAAACTGGTATGTATGTACGCGAATTTAGAGAGATGAATACGAGTGGAAACACTGTGACGGCAGAAGTAGTTTACTGAAATCGTCAGATTTATGTCGCCTTTGCAAGGGATCTGATGTATCTTCCAAGAATGCCTCTAAGATCCAATTCCCCTACAACTTTGACGAGCCCTTCGGTCTCTCCATTGCCTTGGTCTTATTCTTGAAGTTCTTTACGAGCTGCCTCACACCCAAGTCCAGCATTACGTCTTCTGAACCACCTGGTATCCGTACACCTGGAACCTCACGGTAGATTCCTGTAAGCATGTTAGTTACTGTCTGTGACCACCCTAGTACTCGATATACTTACTCTCAACCAACTCTCCTTGCCCACTCTTTGTGTATCCATTACCGCCAAACAGCAGTTGCGCCGTTTGAGCGCACTCGTTCAAGACAATGCCACTTTGTGCTTTGACCATAGCTGTCAATCCACCTAGTTCAACATCTGCTGATGCCTTTGGTAAATGTACCATCTGGTATACAAACTGCTCGACCCAAGCCCACTGAGACTCCAACAGAGCACCGGCTTTGGCTAGACGGTGACGGACAACGGGCTGATCAACGAGCGGCTTGCCGAAGGCTTCGCGTTTGAGGACGTACTCCATTGCGGCGGAAAGGGCGACACGCGCTTGACGGGTTGCGCCAATAGCAATGGTGAGCCGTTCGTGGTTGAAGTTTGTCATACTGTGAGGGTTGACGTTAGCTGGGGTGGTTCCTAATGCCCAAAGTTGCCTTACATGTACTTCATGCCCATGCCCTCCTCTCCGATAAGATTCTCGACTGGCACTTTGACATCGTCCAATTCTATGAAAGTGGTCCCTGCACTGACTTGACCGCCAACCTTCAGTCGACGCATATTGACTCCTGGGTATCCTTTCAAGGGCACAACCAACATCGATAGACCCGTGGGTCCTGGGCCACCAGTTCTTACTGCCATCGAAGAGTAGTCCGACCAGATGCCATTTGTGATCCACTTCTTGGTTCCGTTGACGATGTAGTGCTTTCCATCAGGTGTCTTTGTAGCAGTCGTTGTGATGTTTGCGACGTCTGATCCGGCTTCGGGCTCAGTAATGGCAATGCAAGTTCGCTTCTTGCCAGTAAGGAGTTCGGGAAGGAAGCGCTCTTGGAGCTGCTTGTTGCCAAATTTGATGATAGGCGGTACGCCGAAAGCCATGCCAGTCGTAAGAGATCCAGAAGGTCCGGCAAGTCCGGTTCGTGCCATCTGGTGAGCCTGTTAGTTACGTCCGAAGCGGGGTTGGCAGAATAAGGCTTCCATACCTCGTCGGCATAGATCATAGTATGAATATAATCCCATTCCTCGACCTTGACCACGCCGAGAATGTCGTGTATACCCAGCCTCTTCAACCATTCTACTGGCAAAGGAGCCGGGAGCGTAGGTAGCAGCATGCCTGCCTTCGCGAACGTCTCAAAGACATGTTCAGGTACAGTCTCATTTGTGTCCCATTCCAGAGACTTCTCCATCAGATACTTGTCCACGAACTCGCGACATGCTTTTTGCCATCTCAGATGCGTCTCCTTGTAGTATGGAGACGGTAGGCCGACGATGTAGGGCGGTTCGGAAAACGGGACGAAAGCGGTGGAAGACATGGTGGGATGAAGCGGATGAGCCGGGGGTAGAGCGGAAGGTGTGAGCGACTGGGCTCTGCGTCGTGCTTACTACATGATGGTGTTGCGCGCAGTATATGAAGGGCGCCGCCGCTAACGCGTGGAGAGGAGAAGTGGAGGTCCGGGGTAGCTTCATGTGGGCCGAGGTTCGCCAGGATTACACGCTTCCGACATGTCATGTACCGACAACTGATTGAGGCGCAAAACCACGCTACTTGAGCTGAAAGGTGTACGCATTCACAACTTTATACAACAGCGTACGCTGAAGTTGTCTGTTATGTGTTACGTTAACAGCCGAGCAAGGTAAAATATTACCTAAGAACTCATGGACCCGTCCAGGGTACGATTTACGTGCAACACTGAAAGACGTGCTCCTTCAAACGAGCACCACGATTGCACTCATCGAGACCGGAACGCATCAGCTCCAACGTCGATTTTGGTGATGGCTCAATTGACTTTTTTGGTCAACAATGAAAATACCAACTTCTTTGCATTTGCACTCTACATTAGTGACCAAGTCGTACGATCTGAAGCACTTGGGTTGACCGCGTTAGCAAGACATGATCTCCAACGACATCTTCGTAAGGCGAATCCGCTCATTCAGGAAACCATTATGGCTGAGATACCGAGTCGAGGCTACAAAACATGGAAGGGCGGATGGTGCGTTGGTCAATCTTTTGATGCAGGTCAAGTCGTCCAAGACGTTCTTTAGATGGAATGGCTCTGTTAATGCCGCGAGTCTATACATGGGATCGAGCGATGGGAAGAAGAATGTGAGTAACGCGTGGACATATGTTAGGTAGCTATGCTCGAGTAGTTCAGGGACTGTAGACAAACGTAGTTCAAGAGTTAATAGTCGATACTCGACATAGGTACTTACTTCATCCAGAGCAGGTATTAGATGCTACAGTCTCACAAACTTTAGGATACCTATACTTTTACCACTATCAACTTGAGAACTTCATTGCCCCGTCGTCACAAACATCGGACCCATGACAACTTCGTACATTATAGAAAATGTTGGTATTCTAGTATTTTTTTTATAGGCACTGTCTACGAGGAGACTATGATACACGTTCTCGAGCTAACGTCGTAGTGGCAACGCAGCCGAGAATTCATATAGTTCAAAGAAAGAAAGTACCGTAACTTACTTACAAGAGTAGTTCCAGTACTAGGCTGCTTGGAGACCATGAGTGAATGTCGCCTGCTTCCTACGAGAGCGATGTACGAGAGAAAACTTCTAATCTTCCTCGATTTCACCCTCCTCGCTTCCACTGCGGAGAGCGCGGTCTTCTTCTTCCTTCTTTGCGGCGGTGGGTTCGGGGACAGGAGTCTTCGACTTACGGTCGGCAGCACGTGGAGAGTAGCGAGCGCGCTGTGAGGAGGTCAGTGCCATGCTATCAAGATAGATGGGGCATAGTTTTACGTACCTTTGTCTCACGGTCACGTTTGGAAGAGCTCTCGTCGCTTTCCCGACGGCGTCGAGTTGACGAGGTGCGACCACCACTGTCGCCGTAATCCAGTAGACTAACAGTGGCCTCACGAGGATCAGCCCTGCTAACGTAGGATCGCTCGCGCTCGACTTCGCGCTCGCGACGCTCACGTCCGTAGTGATCACCACCGGGGCTGCGACGAGAACGCTCATAGCGATCGTCATCTCGGCGCTCACGACGCGGGGGAGGAGACAAGCCTGTGCTATCGTTGTTCCTGTAGCGCGCCTCCCGGTCCTGCACCGCACGACGGCGCTCTGCAGCGTACGGATCATGTTCAGGTGAGCGAGTTCGCGTACGATGACGACGATGAGAATCAGAATGCCCATTGCGATACTCACGATCTCGGTCGCGCCTATCCCTATCACGGTCGCGATCATCGCGCCTGCTCCGGTCCCTGCGATCGCTTTCCTTCTCCTTCAAACGGGACATGAACTTATCGAAAGCCGACTCGCGGAGGGTATCTGATTTCAGTGCGCGATACTCGTCTGTCTTTTCAACGCGGGGACGTACCACTTCCCAGGTCTCTGATAGCGACACTGGCGGATCAAGATGCTTGATGACAGAGCGAAGTTTGTCCACAGCTGAGCGCTCGATGTATTCTTCATCTCGACGTTCTTCCTCCTCGCGCTTCTTGACCTTCGCGAGGACGTAATTGTAGATGCTATGCATGGACTGTTCGTCAATATCAGCGGTGCGAGGATCTTTGCGCATAATGTTAAGGAACTCTTCCACAGGGGTCGATGTAGTGACCTCGAAGCGTTGTTGCTAGCAGCAAAGTTAGTTGAGACCTGATAAATAGTTGAGGATTAGCCTACCTCCAGTACGTCAAGCGCCCTTCGGCGCAGGGTGCGGAATTTGCCCTCTTCTTCCTCCAGAGCATCACGGAACAGATCAAGTGGCGAGGATCCGCTCTGCCCAAGCATAGCCGTGTAGCGCGGGTCATCCTGGATGGCATCATGAATGTCCTTCCACTTGGTACCAGCGCGGAGCAGGCCGCTCTTCCTAAGATCATCTAGGAGCTCGAGGAATGCATCACGGTTCTTGCGCTCGACACGGTGCTTCTTGCGTCGCTCGGCTTGGACCTTGTCGTTGTGTTCGCGCTGGAGCTGCCTGATATGCTTCTCGAATTGGTTCAAGACGTCCATTCGAGTCAAGGCTTCGAACTTCTCGCTGTTGAATTCGTGGTTTTGCTCCAACTTCTCCTCGGCCGCCTGCCAGCGAGTGAATGGCTCCAGATCCAAGCCCTGTAGCAAACTCATGACCTCGTCGAGAGCGGATCGCCTACTCTCTGCCTCTTCCTCCTCATGCGCCTTCTTCAAAGAGATGATGTATTCCTCGAACAGAGCCCTGCGCTCGGTATCGTCCTTGGCGGAGCGGAAGATGGTTTCCTCTTCGATGATCGGCAGAGCGGTCTTCCAGCGTGTGTAGTACTTGATTTCGGGGTGCGAGCGCAGCATGGCGGTGAAGTCGGACCGTAGCTTGGCCTGGCGGTCCTGCTCCTTGTGCTTCTCCTGGGCGCGCAAGTCTTCGCAGTACCTCTTGAAGGCCTCTTCGCGCTTCTCTGGCTCAGGAATAGCGCGCCAGTTGGGGTCATGAATACCAGCGCGCACAGCCTGCAGCCAAGTCCAGTCAGGCTGCACTTTCATCTGCCTGAGCACCTTCATAAAGGCAGCCTCAGCCTCTTGCGGGGTTGAGAACTGGAGCTCGGTGCCCGTTGTAAAGCTGATGTTGGGCCGGTCGCCGCCAAAGCCAGATTCACGGTCGTCGCGGCGGTCACGATCACGATCATCGCGACGGTCGTGTCGGTCAGGCCGGTACTCGTCGCGTTCGCGCCTGTTGTCGTATGAAGGCGCGCTCGAGGCTGGTCCCGCTGGCCATCCGGCAGGACCTGCAGGGGGAGGGCGCTGGTTCTGCTGATTCTGGTTGTACTCGTCGATCTTCTTCTGGACAACGTCGGGTATTTCCCACCTCGTCTCAGTAGTGCCGATCTTAATGTAGTATCGCCTGCCATTTGACATGTGCGCCGTCCAGCCAGTGCCAGGAAGTGCACGCTGTATAGTGTTAGCTTTCGCCCAACATATATGCGCGATGGCCACATACCTCTACATCGTCCTTGAGCTCGTCGGGCTTCTCCCATGTAGTGGCCTGGGTAAGCCTGTTGTAGTAGTACTCTTTGCCATCCGCTGCTGTCGCAGCTGACCAGACGGGGCCTTGGGGCGCTGGGGTCGCGTATGCGGGTCCGTTCATTGTGACGGTTGTTGAAGATAGCGCGTGCTTGACAGGTAAAGTGAGGACGCTCGTATGCGAAGAAGATGTGGAACTTCTTAGCGCACGGACACCTTCACTAGCGCAGAAGCCGGACCCCTAGCTCAGGCACCGTATTCACGTGCGCCTTCACACTCACGTTCACTTCGACAACCTTGCGGGCAATCATGGCAGACGCTGAGGAGACGCCGCCCCGTAGGAGCCTCGAATTCGCGGAGAGCTCGGTCCTGGAAGCTGTTGTGCCTGCAAGTTCCGACATCAACATCAAGAACGAAATCGACTCTTGGAATGGTGCAGCAGATGACAATGGCTCCATATTACCGTTCTTAGCACAACGAAACGTGCTGCTCCTTGGTACGTCTCAGACAATCCGACAAAACTAGCATGTCTCTTACTCATGCACAGGCCTTTAGATGAGCTCCTAGCTGTATATGTTGTCTTCCAAACACCACTGTTAGAAGAAGCGACTTTGAAGTCGTACCTTGCGAGACTGGTGATCCACGTGGAAGCTTTTGCATTCAGTACAGTTCCTCCGTCTGACCAAGACACGAAGGCTACGCCTCCCAAGGAAGTCATCTTCTCTGGTACCATCAATCACACAGATGAGCCTACGGTTGTCAACCATGGTGAGGGGGACAGTGCTCATACTTATGTTATCTGGAAGGTGGACGTTTTCATAGGTGAGAAATTCAATCGATCTATCATGTATAGTATCTGATCTGGAGCAGCTCGTCCTCAGGGCAGGTATCATAAGCCCGCGGTGTACTTCCAACCCACAGCCTCCTTCAAGCCCACAGAAAGACCGCAAAAGGACGCATTAGAGGACGAATACCTCCCAAGCCGTGTACCTACGCCTTTAAATCTGCTCCAGGCTTTTGAGAATGACCCTGGACTTGTTGGTATCCATCCAAGGCTTTCGGCAATGCGTATCAGCAAGGTCACGCCGAGTGCTCCTGCTGCAAAAGAGATGGCTCGACCAATTCGAAACGGACAGAGACCCCTGTTCCGCGTACTTCCACCATTAATATGGAGGATGAGGTATTCAAGGATCCAGGCGTCGTTAAGCGACCTGTCGTTGATGGCCTCTTTGGACCTGGAAGTCGCTCAATTCGCTACTTACGACGTCAGAATCAAGAAGGTCAGTTTGAATCTGCATGGAGGCAAGGTCAGGGAGTTGAGTGACGAATTGGATACTACGACAAGTCACAAACCTGGTGACCAACTGACGTTTCTGTACAAGATCTGGCCTGATCTTGGCACTGACGGGACGCCAGCACTCGGGAGCAAGGGTTATTATTTGACCTTGAATGTTGAGGCCAATGTTACCATGTCTGATCAATGTCATCCGGATATTGCTATTGAGTGGAAGACGCCCATCGACTTTGCGTCCGACCAGGCCCTCAGCTTGACCAAGGCTATCCATCGGCAGAGTAACTCTACAACACAAAGCGCGAATGCAGTCAACCCTGACTCTCTTGCCACTCAAGATAGTCAAGACCAGCCTGAGCAGGACGCTTCAAAGAATGACGTTAACGTCACCTTGACAGTATCTGGGCCACCCAGTGTCCAAGTCGGCGAGACCTTCACATGGGATGTATTTATAGTCAACCGGTCCGATAAAACACGAAGGTTAGCAGTTCTCGTCATTGCAAAGAGGTCTCGCGACTTGGGGAGGCACAAGTCACATCCATCTACATCTTCTGTAGGCGGACCTCGAGGGGACAGAAAGGAGCTGCTCGGAATAGCGATAGTCGACGAAAACGTCGTGTACGCTAAGCAAAAGAATGCGAGGACAGAGACAGCGGAGTTAATATGCTTGACGACCGACATCCGTTTAGGGTGAGTTATAATCAGCAAAACTATGGTGAATTGGACATGCTAACCTGCGTAGGCAACTTTCACCTGGCTCTTGCTATACAGCTGATCTCAAATTTCTTGCACTCTCTGCAGGTGTGTTATCTGTGGAGTCCATACGAGTCGTTGATCTGGTTACCAATGAAGCTGTTGATGTTCGTGATTTACCGAGTGTTGTTGCTGTGGCCTCGTAGGCTCGCAGTAGACTTTACACAGCTGAGACTAGCACCCTGTCGTTGGGGTGTGCAATATATATAATATGCTACTGTCTTATCTCTGTGTTGCGCTGATGCTCGTAACCAATTGGATTATGCTTGTGACGCCAAGAATCGTTATCGAACTCAGCAGGTGCTCAGCATACTGGAGTACAGGTGTTAGCATGGAGCTTGATCAGCAAGAAAGTGCTAGCTGTCTCAGGCTCACAACTCGAGTTGGAGCATAGCTCATGGTACGAACCGGTAGCCGCGCGGAACTAGGCTGATGGCAGTTCATGTCTGAAACTCGTCATTGGTGCCGGCCCGCGAAACTCTCGCCACTATTCCCAGCACCTCCGCATCTGAACCCTGGGCGGCGGCTGCGCCTGCACCTGCTCCTGCTACACTTCCTACAAACTGTTCTCATAATCACAATAGCATTCTCGCCTGCCCTCAGCCCTTATCGCGCATTAGAGTCTCCATAGATAGGGCCACTTATAGCCGCACACGGACCTCGCGGCTACGTTCCATAACGTCATCGCGATCTTCAAGCAACGCTACACCTAGAGCTTTTCAAAGGACCCATACTCAACATGAACAGCACCAGACACAGACTGCTTTACCAGCTAAACAGTCGCTGGATTTACGGGAAGATTGTGAGCCACTGGTATTGATACTATATGATGGTCGACTAACTATTGCCAGCCCCTGCTGCACTCCATAGTATTCCTTTTACAAATGGCTGCAGTCAGTTTGCTCACGCGCAAGTACAACCAGTACTATGCGGCGCGACCAGTCTTGACCACGATGATCACCAACGCCGTACGTGCTGCCCTCTTACTATAGACACCCTCCCTGCGTATCGCGAACCGTTGCCGCGCAATTTTCGCATCGAAATTCGCGACATCCACGCCAGACCCGACATATCTTCGGACATGACGAAAAAGGAAGGTTAACACCGTCTGCAGGTTTTGGGTGGCATTGCGGATACAGTAGCCCAGACGCTGACCGCTGTGCGGGAGCGCGCAGTACGCAAGAAGGGCGGACCGGGCAAAGATGACTTTTTGGCAATCGAGATTCACGAGCTCGACAGACGGAACCCGTTCAACGACAACGATCTTATTCCCGACTCGAAGCTCCTCCCACCGCCTTTCGACTTCGAGCGAACCACGAGGTTTATGTCCTACGGTTTCCTCATGTCCCCCATCCAGCACAGGTGGTTCGGCTTCTTGTCAAGGACTTTTCCAGTGTCAAAGACTGCGGCTTGGTTGCCTGCATTGAAGCGCGTAGCTTTCGATCAGTTCCTATTCGCTCCAGCTGGTCTGGCTGCCTTCTTCACCTTCATGACAGTTGCCGAGGGTGGTGGCAAGCGTGCTGTGCAGCGCAAGTTCCAGGACGTCTATGTGCCTGCGCTCCAGGCCAACTACATGGTCTGGCCGGCTGTACAGCTTATCAACTTCCGCATCATGCCTATCCAATTCCAGATTGTAAGTGTTGTACTCTACGTCATAATGCTAGCGACTAACGTATGTTAGCCATTTGTATCTACCGTGGGTATCGCTTGGACGGCTTACCTTTCCTTGACGAACTCGGCCGATGACGCCGCCTAAGGCTATCCGATCATGCGAACGAATTCCCATGTATATATATTATGCGTACACATAGGGCCAGGTCATGATGGTATCGGGTGATGCCCGTTGAGCTTTTTGCGCGTTAGCATGTTTGGTTGGGCATTTGCACGGCGTCAGGTTAGTTGACTCTTGATACGGGTCAATGTCGTTTATGTACAGCCTCGAATTTGATCAGAATGAAGTACTACCTTTATGCACGAACATCTTTCACCTTGCGTATGTTCACGAAAGGCTTGTTCATGACGCGCAGGGACATGGGAAGGTCCGCGAAGCTGCAATACCCTAACACCACAGAGTACTCTCGGCCGCGGGAGGACATGGACCTTGGCCGCCCACTTTGTGAAGCGCCAGGACGCGCGGGCAGCAAAATGTGTTTTATATCAGCTAATTTTGTTAGTCCGGTCACGTCAGCTTGCTTTTTTGTGGTTCGATAACGAGTGGGAGCAAGAAGCTTTGCATGCAGCTGGGAGGAACCTGTGGATTGCCCCGCTACACCCCACCAAGCCTGCCCATGACGATCTGAAGCTCGACAACAAACATTGAAACCACCCACGCTTCATCTTCCTCTCTCCAGCTTCTTGACGTAAGTGCAACTTTATCTGAGATATATAACTTGCCGTTACAACTTTCAATAGATCGTTGGTACATAGAAGACTTCACGAGACTCACACCATCACAGTACTACCATACACCCATCATGTCTCTCTCTAACAAGCTGTCAATCGCCGACGTCGACCTCAAGGGCAAGCGTGTCCTTATCCGAGTGCGTATATCTCCAATACTTGTATAACACACGCGAACTGTGAGTCTAATTGCATATCCAGGTTGACTTCAACGTACCCCTAGACGGCGACAAGAAGATTACCAACAACCAGCGCATTGTGGGCGCCCTTCCCACAATCAAACATGCAATTGACAATGGCGCAAAAGCTGTCATCCTCATGTCGCATCTCGGTCGCCCAGACGGAAAGCCAAACGCCAAGTACAGTCTAAAGCCGGTTGTTCCCGAACTCGAGAAGCTGCTCGGCAAGAGCGTAACCTTCACAGACGACTGCGTCGGCAAGTCGGTCGAGGACACCGTCAACGGCGCTAGCGACGGCCAGGTCATCCTCCTCGAGAACCTGCGCTTCCACGCTGAGGAAGAGGGCAGCTACAAGGACGACGAGGGCAAGAAGCAGAAGGTTGACAAGAGCAAGGTCGAGGAGTTCAGGAAGGGCCTAACTGCTCTTGGTGACATCTACATCAGTGAGTGGCCTTGTAACACAGTCGGTAGCCTCACAGTGCTAATCAATTGCAGACGATGCTTTCGGCACTGCCCACCGCGCACACAGCTCCATGGTTGGCGTCAATCTCCCACAAAAGGCATCTGGCTTCCTCGTCAAGAAGGAGCTCGACTACTTTGCGCAAGCGCTCGAGGAGCCCAAGCGACCCTTCCTCGCCATCCTCGGTGGCGCCAAGGTCTCCGATAAGATTCAGCTGATTGACAACCTGCTCGGAAAGGTCGACAGCCTCATCATCTGCGGAGGTATGTCATTCACCTTCAAGAAAACGCTCGAGGGCGTCAAGATTGGTGACAGCTTGTTCGACGAGGCTGGCAGCAAGACCGTCAAGGACCTTGTTGAGAAGGCGAAGAAGAACAACGTCAAGATTGTCTTGCCCGTTGACTACATCACCGCCGACAAGTTCGACAAGGATGCCAAGACCGGTTACGCTGAGGACAAGGATGGTATCCCAGATGGCTGGATGGGTCTCGACTGCGGAGACAAGTCGATCGAGCTGTACAAGGAGGCCATTGGTGAGGCGCAGACCATCCTCTGGAACGGTCCCGCCGGTGTATTCGAGTTCGAGAAGTTTGCCAAGGGCACCAAGGCGACGCTTGATGCTGCGGTTGATGCTGCACAGAGCGGCAAGATTGTCATCATCGGTGGTGGTGACACAGCCACTGTTGCTGCCAAGTACGGCGTAGAAGACAAGCTGTCCCACGTCTCGACTGGTGGTGGTGCGTCGCTCGAGCTGCTCGAGGGCAAGGATCTGCCAGGTGTGTCCGCCCTGTCAAGTAAGTAAACCAGTCACTCAAAGAAGTGAACGATGGCTCAAGATGGGGGAAGGTATATCTTCGAAGTTATGATTGTGTAGCTATAGCTCTTTTCGGTTCAATATAGAGATACCGCATCTCCACCTCTTGCCCTATGGACGTCATGTATGGAGAGCCTTCGTGAGGTCGCCTGTTCAGTCATGCAAGTATCTTGAGCGAACCAGATTCCTACTCCTTGATAAGGTCGTCGTGTCTTCCCGTGTCGAATCGCTTCTCGTTCGTATCGACTATCCGATGTATCGCTCATTTGCCTAGCTTCTTAAGCTCCTCCCTGTACATCGTTAGCCCTAGCCCTCTATCCGATACATGGAGCTCTTCTTACCTCAGCTGAACCGCAAAGTCGTCATTTGTGTCATCATCATCCCAACTCTCTTCCCAAAGATGTGTGTTGCCGTTGGGGATCTGTGTCTCCTCCTCAGTCCAGTCTATAGGACGTTAGCGTAATGCAAGCCTTCATTCGACTTCACACAGCATACCTTCTACAGGAAAGTCCTCAAACTCGTCATCCTCCTCTAGTTGTGTTGCGGGCTTCTTCTCGGGCGCCAGTGGTTGCTCGCCGTTCTTGGAGTCGTTGACTACGGCCTTCTTCATGTCGTTGCTGCCTTGTGCTGAACCGGACATTGTGACGGATTCGAAGATGCGATCGGAAAAGGGTTACGGGATCGATCGGGTGAGCTGGTAGAAGATGACGCGATGTTGTGCTTTGGTGAGCTTTGTGATGCGGCTCTAATGGCGGAGGAGGCGGCCATTGTCCGCAGGGCTTAGCGCGGCATCACGTGGCACTCATGGAAACTGGGTTCGCGGGGTATGGACTCTCACATGTCGCTGCTTGGCTCCGAGAAAGTTCCATTTGGTGCATTTGAATGTTTCGTTATCGCCGTCGTATACCGTATTCACTCGTTTGAACGCGCACCCGGAGTGAACTGGAGGATAAGCTACGGATGATGAACATGACGTACTCGTACTTTAGCTCCGAGCAGCCGGACGAAGCTGTAAGCACATCCCGTCTGGTTGGCTTTAGTAGGTTTCTAGACACGCGCTCAGCGTCTTAGCTGAGGTATCCGCTTTGTGCAGTCGTTTGAATATACTACTTCTTTTCCTTCAATCCTTTTTATCTCCCTTTCTCTCAGCTTCTTCTGGTGAACTCTGCCCCGCCTTCAGTCCCCCGCCGTGCAGGAATTATCTATACAGCATGTTCAAAGTCGGCGGTTGGCTCAAGGGCCATACCCCTGGGCATACAAAGAGCTTGGATTCTCTGAGCGAACTTGCACAGAGTGAGTCTTGCGACATAATGGGGCAAAACAGACGCTAATGCAACACAGTTGAGGATGCCATGAGCGGTACGAACTCTCAACCGCCCAGTGCGGTGGCGCGGACAGAACTAATCACACGCGAGCACAGCCGTCACCTATATCATGGCCGATGATATCGAAAGCGCCGAAGCACACCTTAGCAAAGGCAGTTCGCCATTCCACCAGGTACATTCCTATCTACCAGCCCTCGGGCCTACAATTCGGTTCTAGTCTCATATCATGTAGCTTGGAGTGGGAGTCTGTGTTTTCATACGGGCAACGTTAGGTTTCGAGCCGGAAATTGTGCGCGAAGGTCTGATCACGTATTCAACATGGTATCACAGACCTCGACTAACTGGTGTGGCCAATAGCTGCCAATGCCTTATCTCTAGCAGAGAACTCTGCTTACGAACGTCAACGCCAAGTTAGCAAAGACCCGAACGCGTACAAATCACCCATATACCCCCCAGGCACCGAATACGCGGTATGTCAGGCAGAGGCACAGCTGATGAGTGCCGTTGTCGGCGTGCTCAACGAGAGCTTGACGGAAGCCATCAAGAGTTTCTATAAGTTGAGGAAAGCGTACCTCGTGCTAGAGGGTGTTATGGAGAACGAGAAAAAATTCTTGGCGGAGAGGAGTACGAGTAGCGTCAATTCGGTAGGATCACGCGGCTCTTCGAAGGGCTCGGTTCGGTCAAACATGGCAGGCAGCGCTCTTAAAACCTCTCAGGCTCCTACTTCTGCCGAGCCGTTCGCTGCAGCATCAACTTCCAGTCTTAAACAAAGTACTACGGCCAGTCAACCAGCAACGAAGAAGACTACAGATGACGACGAGGACGAGGACGATTTTGTGGACGCTACAGAAAATCACACTGGTGGTGAAACGCCTGTGGAATACCAAGGGAACCTCAATATTGCCGCCGATAAAGGTGCCTCTGTCGAGCTAAACAATGCTCAGAAGAAGGTTGACATTGCAGCAAGCTCGGCGCCAGGGCTTCCCGCTAAGAACGAGAACCCATCGGACTCCCTACCAGACGCTATCGAATACTTTGAGCAACTTACCTTGAACGATGAGGGAGATGCAGACGCAGAAATTGCGTCATTCAGCAATCACCCAGTGGATGTCTTCATCCTCTCCGGATCCAACTTCTGCTTCGGCATGCTGTTACTCATTCTCTCGTTCATTCCGCCATCTTTTGCTGGTTTACTGAAGATTGTTGGCTTCAAAGGCGATCGGGAAAGGGGCATGCGAATGCTATGGCAAGCGACCAAGTTTCACAACATCCACGGTGCCATGGCCGGCGTTGTGCTAATGGGATACATTAATGGTTTCACAAACTTCTGCGATATACTTCCCAGCAAGGGCGAGGGTGCATACCCAAAGGAACGATGTCTAGCTTTGCTTCGGTACATGCGCGCAAGGTACCCTACCAGCCATCTTTGGCTACTGGAGGAGTCTCGTATGCTCGCTTCAGATAAAGAGTTGGAGAAGGCTGTTCAGTTCATGCATGACGTGGGCGAGTCGAAGCTAAAACAGCTCGAAGCGCTTACATGGTTCGAACGGAGTTTGAACAACATGTACATGCACGATTACGAAGCCACCGCTTTCGCTTTTGAGAAGTGTGTTGGCCTCAACAACTGGAGCCACGCACTATATTACCACATCATCGCCGCCTCCTACGTCGAGCTCTACAGAAAACACAAGACAACCAATCCGACTGAAGCGAAGAAATACGGCGCAAAGGCGGAGGAGTACATGAACAAGGTCATGCCGAACGTAGGAAAGAAGAAGTTCATGGCACGTCAGCTACCATTCGACATCTTCGTCGCCCGTAAGATCCAGAAATGGGAGGCACGTGCGAAAGAATGGAATTGCGACTTGGTAGACGCCGTAGGTGTCTCACCACTCGAAGAGATGATCTTCTTCTGGAACGGATATAAGCGCATGCGAAATGACCATCTTGAAGTCTCTCTTGCCAATCTGGCGTGGAGTGAATCATCCGCTAATCCACACTGGGACAAAGAGGGTGTGGACGAAAAATCTATTCTCAACGTCCTTCGTGCTGCTACTCTCAGAAACATGGACCGGACAACTGAAGCGAAGACCATTTTAGAAAAAGAGGTTTTGCCAGTTGATAAAACACTTCTTACAGGCAACTTCAAGGATAACTGGACAGCGCCTTGTGCGCGGTACGAGATGGCTGCGAACATCTGGCGTGAAGCTGATGCTGATGGCCATCCGGAGAAGAATCCCAAGATGCTGGTTCAGTGTAAGGATTGGCTTGATGAGGTTACTAAGCTGGGTGGGTTCGATTTGGATGCAAGGTATGTGATAGGTTTCTTCTCTTTGGAGTTTTAAGACTAACATGTGTGTTCAGAATTGGTATGAAGATCACTACCGGAAAGGGGACGTTGCGCAAGCTTGGTGTGCAGTGTTAGTTAGCAGGAGTTAGGGGCGACGGGTTCTATGTGTTTTTGATAAACGGAAGGATCCATAGATGAATAGACGACAGGGACAGCAATACATGACCCGTCACTGGTTCGTTACAGTGATACGGCCATGTTCAGTCCCACTGCTTGCCAAATGTTGTTGGTACTCATGTTGCTACGGTTTCGACTATAAACGACAGAAAATCTATGTATCGCCCATTTCAGCAACCTCCGAACCCAGAGAGCTGACAAGAAAAGCTAGTTGGTGATATCCTTGCTAGTAGGTTGCTTCTCCAGCCACTGAAGTTAGAAATCGGTTCTGGTAGAGACCCCATATACTCCTATGGAAGCACCTCTAACTTCCCCTACTTCGAACCAAAGTAAATCATCGTAACCTCAAGGTTTCATATGGGTAGTCGTACGGCCACTTTGACTGCTACGATCAACACATTTTTCCTAAAACTTTCCCAACTCACCATCTGCCATGGCATTTCATGGTTCGATATCTCCACATCAAGCACATATACGATACCCTGGCAACACGTACCAACCGTTACCTCCAACACATTGGATCCCTTGCATTCCCGTCGCGGCCCGCAGTCTTGGCATTGATCAACACTTCTTCCTACCTCTTTCCTAATAATGTCGCAAAGAGAGGGGCTCTCGGTAGGCAACCATTTTGGGAGGAACGACTCTGCTTCCGCGGAGGCAGGGGGATACTACTCGTGCGGCGAAACACGATAAGGAGCCTGTTTTGTACTATGGGAGACGGAAGTTGCCTTTTTACAGGGTGTTGATAATGTGATGGTCTGGATTTCGCGGTACAGGAAACGGGGTTTGGTGGTTAGGGGTATGTGAGTCTAGACTCTTGCATCGAGATGTACTGGAAACTTTCCTGAATAGGGCAATGGATAGATGGTGTGGATGACTGAGAAGGGCCGTCTTGACGGACATCTGGATAACTGGCTCGTAGGCGAAAAGGTATGGTACCGAAGAGAAAGACACCAGTTTTTGATGGAAAGAGAGAAAAAGGGTCAACGCGAATATAGTGAATCCATATATTCTCGTCTTTGCTCTTCGTTACCAAAGAAAGTAGAAAAGGAAAACAATAATACTTCACCTATCCTCCCTTTGACATGTCCTGCCCTTCACAAGTCTCTTCAAGCAGAGTTTGTGACTACATCCACTCCCTTGCCTATTCGCCCCCCAATCTATCCAACCATCACCACCACAACTCACCGAAGGATTCACGCAATGCGCCCGAGAAGCACCGCATTTGACCGACTAGAATCAACGCTTTTCCCCCTTTCCTTCCCATTGCAGTCGAATGGGGGGGCGTAAAATGCGTGACTGTGGCGAGGCCAAGGCGTGAAACAAGGGTAAGATTGAGGGTGGTGTTCGGGTAGATGACCCGGGTACCCGCAGAAGGGTTAGGTGCCTCTGCCGATGACATGCCGATGCCGATCCGGCCAAACACATTCCAGGATTTTAGTGGGAATAGAACGGAAATGACGAATGCTTTGGGAGATGGATCAGAATAATAAGTCCGAAGAAGAGCGACCGGAATCTATGGTTTTTGGCATTTGTTTCCTGTTGGAGTAATGTGATGGGACTGTTCGGGGCTGTTATGACGTTTTACGATGGAAATGGGAATGGGTCATGCCTGTACCTGATTGTGTAGGGTGGAGGCCTGGATAAGGGTATTACCGTGACAACGCCTCCCCCGCCCCTTTCAAGTAAAGATCAAACTACGCATAAAGGCATATTCTGTGACGCGCCCCTTCGCATGAGTTTGTGTCGATACCTTACCACATACTATCGCCCATGATGCCCAAATCGCCGATCTGGCCGGCTGCAATCTACGCATGAGAGCAAGATTGCCTAACACAGACGGATTGGTTGAGTAGGTACCAAGGTACATGTACTTGGCCGAACCATTGTGAAGAACGGACACGTAAGTCGACAAAATCGGCTTTCTTCTACAACCGATGGCAGAATGAAAATTGCTGGTTTGGGTAAGTGACAAGATTTTGTAATCAAGATTTGAATGCTGGGACCAAATAGGTGGTATGAGAGAGAGAACAAGACAAGACTGAAGAGGTGCATTATTCCGTCTCATGAGACGACACAAATTCGTGAATCATGTATGAAATGCCGTTTGGGTATCTGTACCTTCCCTGTCTATCTTGAGATACTATCACCATTTGAAGCATACCAGGGCATGAAGAATCATGGTAGCTTCAAGCATACCATATCAACAGCGTGTTTGCTGAAACGTGTAAGGCGAATCGGATGGCAAGTATCGGAGTCGATTTGGAGTACCCCGTTTCGTATACGACGCTTCCACATGTGGTGTTGCAACACACGCAATGATGCAGCAACTCAGCCATACGTGCATGTGTTCTGTCCTTGTTCAGTCCATCCTCGGTCTAACATTCCTCTCACCATCAGCAGCACCCATACCCCCTACGACGTCCTGCACCAACTCCCTCAGCTGCTGCTGCACCTCCTCGGAATCATAGTCTTCCCTCGCCGCGAGCTCCTCAATACGCCTCCGTATCTCAGGATCCGGCGCATTGACAGCATCTTCTTCCATGGTTCCCACATTGACCTTGACTCCCTCGGGTAGTGGGGGCGGCGGATGTACACTCTCGGTTTGTATAATACCTGCTGCAACTGGCTCATCACCAGTCCTCAGGCGATTCAGATATTGGTATACCTCATGTGTCTCGTCTTCCTCTTCAGCAATCTTTTCTTCAGCTGTTTGACCCTCTTGGTTCTTTATGTTGGTGTCTGCGCCCAGTTCCTCTACGAGACATTTTGCTACTTCGGCCTTTTCGCATGCGAAGAGGGGTGTTTCGCCGTCTTCATCGAGGATGTTGACGTCGGCATTGTATTTTTGGACTAGGTCGCGCAGGACGGCGAGTTGGTTGTATGAGGCTGCGGCGTGGACTAGTGAGTAGCCGTGTGCATCGCGCGCTGAGGCAAGATGTGGATGCTGCTCGAGCGAGGAGAGGATGGACTGCGGGCGGGTGTCGATGAGGTTGAGGAGGAGATCGATGGTTGGTGCGGGAAGCGCCATGGTGGGCTGCGCGTGAGGCTGGTCGGGAGTGCCGGACGTCGTTTTTCGGTATTCTGGGCGTGATTATCGATCTGGTGTGCTGCGCATTCGTGTACGCGCAACTCTCTCTCCCCTCGGACCGCTGCAAATCTAAAAATGACGTGGGTGGAGAATGCGGAGACTTTCCCACTTACCCTGTAGCGCACATCAGCTCGGGAATGTCAGCACCCCGGCCCCGGATCGTCTTGACCTTTCATCATCATGCATTTGATATATGTTCCATCTCTACCTGTAACCCTACCAAATCCGCACATCTTCCTTGGTTATGTCTACTGTACATGATTGCGCGTGTATGGTAATAGGCCTGGGAGACTGCGAGCCTCGACAGCCCGAAGTCAGGCCGATGCAATAAGGAAATATGTTTGGGCGCTGTGGGCGCCAGCTGAGACGATCAGGACCAACGCCCAGCGTTCCTCTTACACAGCCTCAAACCGTCAGCTTAGGCCTTGGCTATGCTCGCGTGCCCCCTTCACCCTTTTGCCGTCCTCTCTTGTACCTGCCTCGTAGTCTTTCTATTTCCTAGTTGCTCTTTCTTCTTCTACTATTGAAGAACGTTGACATCATACACGTCAACACCGACCGCAGCATACCATATCTTTGTAATACCGTTACACCGCGTCACACGCCACTAGACTTTCTTGTCTTCCTTGGCCGTCTCTAGCTGCCTTTAATGCGCTTGTCCCTTTGAGCCTTTTGGGACGTTTGGCGCCCTACTCTGGACTTGACTTAGACTCTTCATCTCACTCTCGGCATTAGACACTTACTTTCGCAAACATGAGGACCATCAAAGGAGTCGGCGTGCCATCGGTGCGCCTCATCGCATCCTACATCTTCGACTGGATCGTCATCATCGCCATCGCAGCCATTGCTGGCGGTTGGGAATATGTCGAACCATTCAAACGACCCTTCTCGCCCGTCAACCTCGACATATCGTACCCATACCAGACGAGCGAAATGATACCGACATGGCTTCTCGTAGTTGTTTCGCTCATTGCGCCTGCGGGCATCGTCTTCATCGTGTGTCTTATCTGGGTTCCTGGACCAACCGCCGAACGTGGAACGCCCAAGTCGCTCATTTGGAGGAGGAAGCTCTGGGAGTGGAACACCGGTTGGATGGGCCTCGCACTTTCGCTTGCGACTGCGTTCCTCATCACGCAGGGTATGAAGAATCTTTTCGGAAAACCGCGACCTGATCTGTTGTCGAGATGTCAGCCAGATCTGAACCGTATCCGAGACTACACAATCAACCCTGTGGGAGAGTTCTTCGATCCAGCATGGGTACTCGTCACCCCTGGAATCTGCCAACAAACGGATAATGATATACTCAAGGACGGCTTCAAGTCCTTCCCCAGTGGGCATGCCAGCTGTACGTCTTTCTCTCCACGCTCTTTAGCCACCTACTAACACACTTCTCTAGTCTCATGGGCCGGTCTGCTCTACCTCACGCTTTTCCTCGCCTCCAAGTTCTCCGTCGCAATCCCCTTCCTTCCCCCGCGACCGTACTCCACAAACCCCGCCCACACCTCCGCCGTATCCCCTTCAAACCTCAAGAAACTGGCCACGCTCCCTATCCACAAACAAGACTCCACCCTCTCAAATCCGAACTCCTACAACGACGACGCCGTAGTACCCATCCGCTACCAAAATGCCGCTCCACCCGTTTACACCCTAGTCCTCGTCTTGGTCCCCATCTGCGCCGCCATATACATAACAAGCACGCGCTTTACCGATTTCCGTCATTTCGGTTTCGATTTGCTGTTTGGTACGTTGATTGGCGTGACGTGTGCGTGGTTTTCGTTCCGCTGGTACCATCTCCCCATTACACGAGGCGCAGGATGGGCTTGGGGACCTAGGAGCTACGACCGCGCGTGGGGTATCGGTGTCGGTAGGGGAAGCTACGTCGGAACCGAGGGATGGAGTAGGAAGGGAGACAGCGAAACGGCGCCTAGACGACGGGCAGACGGCCAATTCAATGCGCATGGCAATGGTGTGGACGAGAGTGAACTGAGCGTTTTGAATCGTAATGGCGTACCGCATGCCGGGAACCCACCTAGCGTCATGCACTCGAGAAGTGGCACTGCACAGGATGTTTGATCCTTTTTTTCTTCTCTCTCATGCCAGTATATAATATGTTGGGAAGCATGGCGTTTGATCGGGTATGCGTTTCAGATGGGAAAGTAGTGGATATCAGGTGTTGTATACCAGGTTGGCAACTTTGCACATGTTCAAAGAGTACATCACTCAGAGAAATCTAGAAAGTAATTTTCAACCTTGTAATGATTATGTGCTGAGCTGTCGCCCGGTTTTATCATGATCTATCAAAGTTGCAGGGGGGCGCCCTGCGGCACGGTATTTGTGCTGACAGCCTGTGTGGATGAATGGGTTTGATCGGACATGGAGACCTTGAAATATAGCCTGTTCAAAGGGGATTGCTGTACCTACCAATAAGAGAGGAAAGTAAAAGTCGCTTGGGGTGTTGTCGCTTTGGGCTATCATGTCATGTCAAATCAACTGTACTTTTAGATGCTGCTATATGTACCCCTCTACCAGCTGGCAGTTGAATACCCCTCCTACACATACCTGTCGCCTCTGCTCCCCTGTCGTGTTGAAAATACGTGCTGCACCGCCTTGTTCTCCCCTGCTGCCCATTCGTGTGCGGACATGGAGATGGAACGGGCTCTCGTGCAAATCGCTAAAGAAGCCATGCCGAGAGCTCGTTCGCGCCCAAAGTGCCCCGTTGTATCGCGTCGGCCATTGTAAAGACAATTCGTCTACAAGCCCTTCTTTCCCTTGGCCCTCTCCTCGTCCCTCTTTTGGTAGATCATACCAGTGAATGGGTCCTCCCATCTGCATGCAATAGAGTATGCAGTGTGAACCAGTCCGGTAAGGAGTATACCAGCTGGCTTTCCGTACCAGATAGCTGTGGCCAGGAAGGACATGGCAGATCCGTGGTACATGGGTGAACTGGAGACGTTGAACGGGAAAGTCGTCACAGGCTCGTCCATGAGGATGCCGAAGTAGTCACCGAGGTAGGTACCAGTGACACCAAGAGCCCACATGGAGGTCAGGACGAGAGTATTTCCCATGACGAAGAGGGGAATTGCGGAGTATTTGATGGCAGGAGAAAGGAGGGTCGGGTGTGTGGGCTGGTTGGCGAGAGCTTCGTTGTAACTGTGGATTTGTTGTTAGAATATTGACTAGGTCGTGTAGACGTCGACGTCTGAAGACGGTAGTGGTTTCTTTGTACGTACAGGTAGTCTCGGAAGATACCCAACGAGAAGATGGTTACGGCGAGCGCATAGCATCCAAGTCGTGAGTTACCACCAAATAGCTTGGTGATGACCTTGTTGTGGTATTCTGAGTTTTGTTAGCCTCCCTTGACTGTTGATGCGACACCGAGCAACCTTCCGAGGCTCGGCTATAGTCGCAAAGTAACAATTAGGTTGCGTACCCTGCTGCGCGGCAATGCTATAGCTCCGTTAGTGATGGAGAGAAGCCATGGGGAATTTCACTCACTTCCAGAAAGTAGGGTTGAACACAATACTCGCGGCAGATACTGTCACCGTGTTAGTCGTCGCGTCCGCAAACAGCGGGGATGTGGGTGTTGGTACTCACCCCATAAACTGGGCTGACTGAAGTCAATGTACAAAGTCATGGTTCCGAAGTTGAGCAAATGCACTACACTTCATCAAGTTGCGAGAGGAGTCGAGGTAGAAAGGCTATGGAATCCACGATGCAGAAGGTGTGGGGGATGTGGACAGCTTGCCCAGGTGTTTATCATGTGCATTCGGCACTTGCGCCGTTAGCGAGACGTCATAAGCTCCACAAGTTCAAGACTTGCGGCAGGGGCACCTCACGGACGAACGCCTACTGATCGCATCGTATGTTACCAATTGTACCAACCAAGCTATGATTATATCATTTGAACTTTTATTAAGGAGCGCTGGTATAGTTCCGACCTCTATTACGACGTAATCAGCTTCTGCAGCCTTTACTGCGGGGTATACCATGTCTCGTAATCATGAGAAATCCAAAAAAAGAACGCCCTATCCAACTGTGCATATTCGTACATCAGTTCCACTTCTCAAGGAAACCGCTGATTTTGCAGTATTCCAATGTCCTTCAAGATCGTACACGATCACGTCGTGACCAACGAGCCCAGTCTCTACAAGCCGTTGTCGGCGCAAGTAAAAGGTCCACCAAAACCATCAGCCTTGTAGCCGTCGATGATGGACTGGACAGTTGCGTATGTACCCGCAGTCAAGAACAATAGGCCAATGAGGCAAAGTACAATGTTGAAGAAAAACCCGGCGTATCCACGGAACCCACGTGTCTTCCAGAAGTCCGGTCCCCACCTCTCCCTGCGAAGACGAATGTACGCTACGCCCCAGAAGATAAATCCGAAGAACGAATCGAACAGGGAGCTCATAAGCGAGAGCAAGTCGGAGAAGAAAGGAATGACCTCGGCGATGATGAAGGCGAAAACCCATAGCACAGCAAGGATTGCGATCCATGTGAGCCATCCAGCAACGGTGTGACCGGTCCTGTGTCGGGACTGAGAACCGTAGATGCGGAACAAGACAAAGCGAGCTGTTACCGAGGCATACAAAACACCGAGGAAGATGATTGTGGGTACCATGAAGGTGAAAGACACCTTCTTGTAGACTTCGTTGGAGATGGAGCCAAAGGCCGGGGAGGTCATGTAGTTGGTACCAGTGTAACCGTACACAACGCCTCCAACCAAACTGAATACGAGAACCTCGCAAATGGTGACAGCCCAGAGTGCCTTGGGGAAGTCTTTGGGTTCCTTCATCTCAGCAATGAAGCTGGGAAGGGTAATCTGGCCAATAAAGGTATAGCTAATATTCATAAAGGCACTCATGCCCATTACGAAAGTGGTTCCAGCTGGGGGTACGGCGTAAACCTGCAGCTCGCCTTCGCTTGGGTAGCCTGCGGGCTTACCGTCAACACCGGAAAATGCTGCCGCAAGGATGACGGAGATGAAAGTGAAGGCGGCGGACGCAGTCGCCAGAGTGGCCAAGGTGCTAAAGGTTCGAGGGAGAGAAGCCGCAAATGAGATGATGGCGGTTATGGCGGCGAAGACGATTGTGCAAGTACCATGTCCAGTGATAGTGTTCCACCACTTGGCTCCAACGAGACAGTGCAGACCCATGATAAATACGTCTAAGAAAGAAAAATCAGTACTAGGTTTGGTGCATGTGCAAAGGAGTTCCAGCTTACTGTTGAGGACGAACATGACTGCTGTCGCGTAGAAGGCCCATTTCTTGTTCCAGAAAAGCATCTGGCCAATATCACAGACGTCGCGAATCTGGGGGTGGCGCATGCAGAATTCCCTAAATAGTTTAGTATGGATAGGCGAAGAGATATCGCTGATGAGACCTACCATGTAGTCAAGGACGTATACAGGACGAGACCGGCAATGACAAAAGTCAAGATCAAGCCCGGAACGAGGCCAAGGATGGAGTAGGACCATGGAAAGGACATGATGGCCAGACAGATGTACTCGGAGAACAACAGCGCCGCAGTCTTTGGCCAACTGCAAGTGCGGTACTTGATGGCATTGTTGGCTTCCAGTTCGATCTGTCTGCCAATAGTGATACTGGCGTCAGAGTCGGTGTCGGCGGAGGTAGGTAGGATTCCTCCTGCTGCTTCAGCGTCGTAGCCCTTCTCTTTCTCCAATGCGACTCTTTCATTACTGCTTTGGCTGGTGGTGTCGGTAGGCGACGCCTTGCCGCCGAAGAACGACTTCAACGCCATTTTACGCAACGAATGCACCTCTTGTGAGGGGTGTGACAGAAAGAACGTCGGATAGCCGCTTCCGGGAGCATTAATTGCGGGTGTGAGGTCCGGAAGGTGTAATATCGAAGTGGATTGAGCAAACGACGGAGGAACCAGGCGCGGAGATTGTTAAATATGTTCGCGGGGGCAAGGTGATAGCGGATGCAGGGTGTAGCTGTGGAAAGATGCAAGCTAGGGCGCTGGGATGGCTCGACCCAAACTTGCGGGGGTTGGAAGAGGTTCGGTGAAGGCGAACAGGGAAGGCGTAAGAGTGGGGACTGTTCTTGCCTATGGTGTGCGACCGAGTTTGAATGCGACCTATGAAGCGCCGCACAAACACCAGCCGTTCGCTGCGCTATGACCGCGACACTCGCGTCTTCTTCCGCTCTCCCGCTATGAAATCTCAGTAAAATCCTCTGGCCTGACGCCGCGAGTGCCGCTCTCTGTGAATTGATCGTATTATCGACTAGGTTCTAGCAAGCGTGAAGTCGGCCTCGCCGCTACCACGCCAACGGCACAGATCGACCATTTCACTCTCACGCATGCGGAGTATTCCCATGTCCGAGGCTCATTACGTCAATCGTCGACTGCTCCAGATAAACAGACCGATGACGCTGTCGCGTTGCCGCATTCCTGCGCATCTGTCACACCCACTTTCTACCGCCACACCGTTGTACTGGCTCACAAGTCATACATCAAGCCTTGATGTCACTGTGGCGCTCGCTAAGCTCAATTGCTAAGCTACATGTCCAAGGCCTCCCAGCACCAGTAAGCTTGGCTTGGCTTGCTTAGCTTACGACATAACGTAGGCGAATTGCTACCACCAAGCCTCGCCAATGCCTAGCCACCAACGTCGCATCCTCCGCGTCTTTTGCTTGTCTAAATCAGTAACAGACGGAGTGTCGCGTTTAAGATATGGACTATCCTTGGAAGTCTATCGTATCTTTTCAGTCTAGCCAGGAAAACGGTAAGAACCACAGTGTCGGCCACGTTGTAGGGGTGGCTGTCCTGCAGGGTACGGATCCGCTATCTAAACAGCCGTGGACGCGCTTCCCAATTATCGTACTCCGAAATACCCGTGCCGCAGAATCCTAGATCTTGATGCACGATTTGCCAGGCGACTGGCAATTCAGCGGAGCTGCACTAGCCAAAGTGCACGCAAAATTGCGTGATCGTCATCTTACTTCCGGGCGCTGCATGGCTTATGCGCATTACTGATCCCCGACTTGGCATTCGGACAGAAAAAGCAGTGTCGTGTGCATTCGCGGTCGCGTGTCACTACAATGCGCACCGGATAGCCGCACCCACGTGAAGGAAGGGAGCAACATGTTAATAGACACACGGACATAGCAAAGTTATACTAGCCGGGGAGCGCCCATAACTGTATTACTCTTGCAACTGGTGTTGAAGTCTAGGAAGCGACTACCCGATGGACGAACCGACGACTGCTGCTTCACTAGATGCGAGGACCGACGGAACAAGTCTCCACCACCATCCATTTTGCTCGTGAGCTACCTATCACAAAAGATCCGGGCCCTTTTTTTCACCAAGACAAGCACCTTTGCTAAATGTGGTTCCGCCGACCACGGGCAGGAAATTGGGTTACTGACAACTGGTACATGTATATACCAATCCGCTAGGCACTGATGGATCCCAAAGTGACATGAGCGCTTAGGGATAACCCCCTGACAGACTTTTCCGTAACCCCTCCACAGCCAGCCTGATTATGACATAGTTTCCATGGCAGCAACGACGCCATCTCGATAGACAAGTAGTTGAAGTACTACACAACGGGAGCAAATGAATCCAACAGCACCGCAGTTTTGGAAGCGTATGAATGCCGTGTATTTACCCGTTCAATGGGTCTTGAGAAATAAAATCATACCACAGTATCATCCATTACAGAGTCTACCTCGTCCTCGAAAAAAGCAGACGCCCGCTAACATCCCTTCAAGAAAAAAACCCCCACGCCTTCAACCCCCAACCTTCTCTCATATCAAGCTATCATCTCCGCTACCCCAGTTCGTCTGCTGCTGGTTCTGTTGCTGATTCTGCTGTTGTTGCTGACTTTGCGTCTGCGCCCTTAAACTCGCCATACTATTCATCCCCATGCCCGAACTCGCCGTCCGATTCCCCATTGGCGGCGGCGCAATACTAAAAGTACCCGCACCTGCCGGTTTCAACGGCGGAGGCGCAATGCTGAAAGACGAATAAGGGGATTGCGTCCGTGATTGTGAAGGTGGTGGTGCTATAGAAGGGAAGCTCGACATGGAGTTTGACATTGTGTTTGTATTAATATTCGATGTACCCATACCGCCCCAATTGTTCGAGGCCATTGACGAGTTGCCTGCTTTACTCCAGTCGATACCTGGGCTTTGCATGTTATTGGTATACGAGGGTGTTGTGGTGGAGGTGGGAGATATCATGTTGTTCATGCTCATGGCTGGCCGGACTTGTTGTTGTTGAGGCTGGGTGAAGGAGGTGCTACCGATGCCTGGGTTTGCGGCGCTCAGGGCGGGGAAAGAGGAGTTGAGTGTGTTTAGTGTGTTGTCTGGTGTTATGGCTCTGCTTTGTGGTTTTGGGGCGCTGAGATTGGTGGTTGGTGGTGGGGAGACGGGGGGTGTGGACCAAGAAAAGGTTGCTGCTGGTGATGCGTTGTTGGATCTTGTTCGATTGGTGGACGGTCGTGAGGGGAGGACAGCGGAAGATGTAGTGGATGCTGAGGCGTTTGCCCATGGGTCCCCACCTAGCATATCTGTGCCGCCAGATGACCCTTGTTGTCCACCACGCACAAGCGCCTCGAAGTCTGTATCTCCGTTTCCGTTGCTAGTGTCGAAGCCATTGGTTGCTGATGGGCCGCCAAAAGACATGAACTCGTTGCGTGTGGTAGCTGTGGAGTTGTTTGCGCCGAGCTCTTGCAGCTTACGTGTCTGTTCGTTCTCGACACGCGCAGACGTCATCTTGATGAGGCTCATGTACGATTGGAATTGCTGTAGATTGAGCAAAGGTCCCAGGCTGAACTGCCATAGTATAGGAAGCACATCCATAGCAAGGAAGTCGCTGTCAACTTGATTGCTGATAGCCTTGAAGACATCTAGCGCAGCCATCTATACGATTGTTAGTCTTTTGCCCCGGTCTATTTCATTGCGATGCACATACCATAACAGCAGGCTCCTTCGTCTTGATGCCACGAAGCAGTGGTACAATCTTCTCCTGAATAGTGTACTTGTCGAGGATAGATACGCTCGAGCTCTTGGCCTTGGGTGCTGCTACCATTCCAGTAAGACCATCTCCTTGGTCGTCTTGCTGTTCGTTTCCTCCTCCACAGAGTGTCTTGAATGCCTCTAGACCGCGGATTTTGATGCCCATACTACTGGTTTTGGCAAAGATGCTGGCGATTACAGGGAAAAGCTCGTTCTTGACGGTCGAAAAGTCGAGAATCGGCAAAACAATAGGCAACGTACGTAGTGCTGCATCAACGAGCGAGTGAGTGGGAGATTCGAGGGCGTAGTTGATGATTGGGAGTATGTCATCTTTAAACTCCTTGCCGCTGGAGTTGTCTGCAGCGATCTGCATGTTTTCAAGGAGTACCATAAGTCCCGCTTCTTTGAGGCTATCCCTCTCTTGTTGTGGCGCTTTCGTGTTTGCAGCTGCGGCAGTCAGGAATATCTCTCGCAACTTTGGTATCACTTTCTCAGTAAAGGCTCGTTTGCCAGATGGAAGCATGGTGACAATCTTGAAGACGTTTTGGAGTATCAGAGTGAGCAGCTCCCGATCCTTCATCTCCTCAAGCAGGGCAGGCAATATCTTCTTGTCGAGTACAGATTTGGGGAACTGGTTCAAGATACGTGGTAGACCACGCATGAACTGTGACTTCTCATTGGGCGTCTTTCCAGGAAGGGAGTCAAGAAAGCGGATGGTAGATACGAGGATGTTGTCGAAGTATTGTGCTTGCTGAAACTCTCGGGCGTCCAGTCGTTGCGCCGGCCGCCGCGTTATCAAGCGATCTAGGACACCGTTTGCGAGATCTCGCGGCAATGGTTGTGAAGCCATGAAGTTGTTCGTCTTACTTGGAATTGAGGAGGAGGAAGAGAATGCCCGCTTGTAGGAGGAAGAGCTTCCATTGAATTCCAAAGGGCTCTTGTGCGGTGAGTTGTATAGTGCGATTATTAGCATACCCAGACTGAACATGTCTGCCGCAGGTGTTATGTTGTTATCCATGATGAAGTCGGGCGACGAGTAGTCTATGTTCAACTGAACGTATCGTGGCAGGCGGGCGTCGTGGTTCAGGACTTCTGAGAGCGAGATGGGCGTTACAGAGGTAGGCTTCGTGGAGTTCTCTGGAGGCGTCGAGAAACCCAGACCAGAGATCTTCCAATCGGACTGTCACGACGATCAGCAGGGCGCTTGTAGGGAATTTGCTGGCATTGTGGCTACATACTTTGGCATTGATAAAGATGGCTTCTGGAGTCAAATTCGCGTGGACCAATCCAGCGCTCTCGTGCAGGAATTCCAAGCCCTTTGCAATTTGTAACAGCCCTTTCTGTATCTCCAGCTCATCGATTTCGAGTTCGCGTCTTCGCTTCTGGCCATCGGCTTCTTCGACGACGTATCGGCTGCGACGTCCACCAACACCGCCAGCCTTCTCCTGCTCATCTTTTTCTTGCAGCAGTCCAGCGAGGGATGCAGTGACGGGCTCTGTCGCAAACATGAGGCCGCCACCACGAGTTTCCTCGACAGGCTCAGCCAGCTCCAACACGTTGGGATGTCGTAGCCGAGCCAAAGAACTGGCCTCTTTCTTGAGTCTTTCGACGACCTCCTCATGCGCGCGCTTGAGTCCTGAAGCGGCTGAGCGTCCGCCGAAGCCTGCGCCAGCTGGTGGTTCTAGCGACTTCTTGTCGAAGACAAAGACCGACGCCGCCTTGCCAGTCGACTTCTTCTTCGCATCGTAGATCTTCCATGGCCCGGAATGCGACGTGGGTTGCGGGCTGAGGGTGTAGTTGCTCGAGATGTTGGAGGTGAAGGACTTTAGGGCGTTGGAAAACATGTTGCTGGTGGTCTATTCGCGCGCGCGGCGATATCGTGGGTACAGAGCGAGGGCGTCATGGACTGGTATGTTGGCGTGCAAAGTGTTGGTATTCGCGTGAGATCTGAGACAGATAGCTGGGGCCGCCGAGGAGATCAGACACGGTCTCTCTTTCCACAAGACGTCTGGCGACAACCACAAACGAGTCTCACAATGTCCAGACGCGTCGACGATGACGAAAACCCAAAAGTCAATTGGTAGCCAAAGCCAAGTGTTAGCAACCCCACGCGAGCTGTGGAGAAGGATGGTCAGGGCCGCCTCTAGTCTCCCGCCTTGTGCATGACGTGAGCGCAGGCAGTGTGAATGCGGCCATCGGCACCAGCGAGGAGACCAAGCACGTGGATAACCTCAAATATCCGCTCTGGAGATTACCAAGATGACCATTGCGCCCTTTGACTGTCCGTCTGGTGGCTGGTGCAGGGCGCGATCGGAGGTGACTGTTCGTGGCTACATCTCGAGGTCCGATATCTCCAGGCCGCGGTCAGCTTCGGTCTTGTAGTCCAAAATAATTATCGTCTTCGAATCCACCACCTGCACCAGCTTTCCTCCCCGCCCCACTCTCTCCGCTTGCACTGCATACCTCACAATGCTTCCGCAACGGTCTTCGCGATTGCTCTCTTCCTTGTCCCGTGGCGCCTTCCGTTCGCCTGTAGCACCGCTCAGCGCGTCGCTGCGATGTCGGACCCAGAGACCGTACAGCATTCATGCTGATGTATCTGTCGGCGAGAAGATACAGGACATCGACCCTACCAAGCTCTCCATCACCAAGACGACGACGCCAAAAGACCTGCTGCCGCATGAGGAACTTGTCTTTGGCCGCAACTTCTCTGGTAATAGCTCCAATGGCATCACAATCCGTATCTAACCTAGCTTCAAGATCACATGCTCTCGCTCGAATGGACAGCAACACAAGGATGGCTACCAGCACGCATTACGCCCTACCAGAACCTCAGTCTGGACCCTGCGACGTGCGTTTTCCACTATGCATTCGAGTGCTTTGAGGGCATGAAGGCCTACAAGGACAAGAGCGGCAACATCAGGTTGTTCAGGCCGGATAAGAACATGGCGAGGTTAAACAAGTCATCAGCCCGAATTGCATTGCCTACATTCGACCCCGATGCCTTGATCGAGCTCATTGGCAAGTTCGTGAAGACGGATGAGCGCTTCGTTCCCGAGTACGTTCAGTTCCGAGTCTTCTGATGGCCGTGTCGTTCTAACCATAGCAGTGCACGAGGCTACTCTCTCTACCTTCGTCCGACCATGATCGGTACACAGCGCACCCTCGGCGTAGGCCCTCCCGCTTCTGCACTACTCTACGTAATCGCTTCGCCTGTCGGCCCATACTACCCTACCGGTTTCAAGGCCATCTCGCTCGAGGCTACAGACTATGCTGTGCGCGCATGGCCTGGAGGTGTTGGAGACAAGAAGCTCGGTGCCAACTACGCGCCTTGCATTGTCCCGCAGATGCAGGCTGCGAGCCGCGGTTTCCACCAAAACCTGTGGTTGTTTGGTGAAGAAGAGTACATCACCGAGGTTGGTACTATGAACCTGTTTGCAGCCATCAAGAACAAGGAGACAGGGAAGCCAGAGTTGCTCACTGCGCCTCTTGACGGAACCATTCTTGAGGGAGTCACGCGAGACTCGATCCTCGAACTTGCGCGGGAGCGATTGGTGCCAAAGGGCTGGACCGTATCGGAGCGCAAGTTCACCATGAAGGACGTAGCCGACGCTGCCAACGAGGGACGCATGATGGAGATCTTTGGTGCGGGTACTGCTGCCATTGTCGCCCCGGTGCGCAAGATCAGCTGGAAGGGACAGCTTGTCGATTGCGGACTTGAAGACCACGTCGAGGCTGGTCCAATTGCACAGCAGATGAAGGACTGGATGGAGGCCATTCAGTACGGCGACGAGGACCACCCGTGGAGGTATGAGCTTCCCAGTCACTAAACAGATCTCCAGCTAACATGAAACAGTTACAAGGTGATATAAGAAGCATGTGGTTGGTATCATTGCAAGACGCGCTATAGACGAGGTAAATAGACTCGAGTCAGCGGGGTCGGGACGCGGGGAATGTATATACACATAAAAGAGGCTTGCCCATAGTCGGAAAAAGAAGATTTGGCGCACGACGCACTGACTTAGTAATGGTGATCCTCCGGTAATGACTTCGCGATGGTGGGGTATCAGATGCAGATGGTGCCTGACTACGACCACCTTGGCTGACGTTCTTGGGGTACCGGTACTAGTCGCTCCTAGCTCCCAACCTCTCGTTACACCGACTCATCAACACAGTTCGCGCACCCCCCAAAACCCCGACAATTGCCCGCCCAGAGCTGCGCCGCCGCTCGTCAATTCCACCTCGACGCGCCTCCAAGACACGACCGGAGAATTCTCACGATGCTGGCCGGCGCACTCTGCCGCTTGGCAGCTGACGCTCCCAGGACCTCCCCACACGACATGCCGCACCTCGCCCGTTTCCTCCGCCGCACCCTCCTCGCCCGCAATGCCGCCCAAGTCCCGCATGTTCGCGCCCTCTCACGCGCCTTCGCATCTGTTCTCCATGCTCGTCGGTCCTATGCAACAACTACGCGCGCAACCAAACCAACTGCGACAGTGAAGAAGGCGGTCAAGGCTGCGGCAGCTAAGAAGGCAGCGCCCAAGAAGACGACCACAACAGCAAAGAAGGCAGCACCCAAGAAGAAGGCCGCGACAAAGACTGCAGCAAGGCGGACAGCGAAAAAGCCTGCTGCTAAGAAGGCAGCGCCCAAGAGGCCCCGCGTCAAGTTGACACCTGAAGAAAAACACAAGGCCAAGATCCGTGACCTACGCGTAAAGGCACTCAAGGAGCCCGTGACCCACCGCGCGCTTTCGACCCTCAATGCCTTTATAGCTGAGACGACTTCTGGTAAGGGTACTGGAAGGGCCAAGGTTGGAGATGCCCAGAAAGCGTTCAAGAATTTGAGCCCCGCTGAGCTCGAGGTAAGCCTAGGCCGCCTTCACAATCTGGCGCCTATGTACTAAGTTTTTGAAGCACTACAACCACATCGCCAGTGAGAAGAACGCCGCCAGGCGAGCCGAGTATGAGGCGTGGATCAAAACCTATACTCCCGACCAGATCAGGATTGCAAACAACGCACGTGCGCAGCTACGGAAGTTGCTCGCGGATACTTATAAGACGAAACCTGCCCATACTGACAAACTTTTGGATGACCGCGCCGTCAAGCGGCCAACGAGTATCTTCGCCACCTTTGTCAAAGAAAGGCATGCCAGTGGAGACTTCAAGAACATCAACTTGCAGGATGCCATGAAACTCATTGCTAATGAGTGGAAGGCACTAAGCGCTGGCGAGAAGCAGGTATGTATCCAGGACTACTCCCTCGAGACGTGCACTAATCTGTACAGAAATACCAGGACGGCTACGTAGCTCAGAGGGACACTGCAGCAGCTGCATAAAACATCTGCACTGTTTCGACATTGTGCTGGTGATGATTATTTTCAACCGAGGGGTAATGATGCAGTCTTCTTTACCATTTGTTCATTCGGAGCCACACCCATTTCCTTTGTCAGTCATGATTTAAGTCTCAATGATACCGTGTTTGTTCAGTCTGGATATTGGACGTCACTTGGTGTTTTTCTGGTTTGGAGGTGGTCGGTTCATGGCTGCAAATAGTAACATGTCTCTACGGAGACATGCTTATGTAGGTTCGTCACAGTACTGCAATGCTTCTTCCGCGACAGTATCAATTCGTTTCCCTTTGGACAACCGCAAGTATTGAGACTTGCTTAGGAGCTGCTCTATGCTTTATGGCTGCATGAAAAGTGGCATTGCGCACCAATCAGTTAGCGTGCTTTCCTTATCTCTCCACACCCTAGCCAAGACCAGCAATCTACTCATCCCACAACATCTTCCCCAAGGGTTGCCAGTAGATCATTTTCTGCGGTAGATAAGCGTGCGTTCTAGATATGCTCACTTGCGTCATTGGACAAGCCACATGCTTGCTTTGGATATGTAATCTCGGATATGCTGCATCATGTTCTGAATCTACACAACCTCGGCCCTGTAGGACTTGACCATGGCCTCTGACCAAGAGAACGGACACGAACGTACACCTCTACTCCACCAGAATCGATTGTTACAGCTTCAACACGAGCAAGATGAAGAGGCTTCGTCAATCATCGCATCCACTGTGACAAAAGAAGAACAGCAGTTAGCAGGAAGTACAGTTGGAGAACGATTACCGTATAACGACTATACTACAATCGACTGGCTACACGATCTGGTACTAGCATCTCCCCTTCACAAACCGGCGTGAGTATGCTGATGTCAAGAACAGGTAAAAGACTCCTACCGCTTCCGTCACATGCAATCCCGACGCGGTATCCGCTTCAAGTCGCTCGCTCTCTTCGACGCCTGCTCAGGATGGATCGCAGTCGTGGTCGTCGGCGCACTTACTGCGTGCATCGCTTTCCTTGTTGACATCGCCGTTGCCACTATTTCAGACTGGAAAGTCGGGTATTGCTCCGGCCACGCATTCCGGAACCGGGAAGCCTGCTGTGCTGAAAGCAAATCCTCGCTTTCCTTTCGTGGCAATGGGGTTGAAGAGTGTGAGAAGTGGCATGCATGGACCGATGACTACACATTTAGTTTCGCCATCTACGTCGCCATGGCACTGGGTTTTGGTATCATCAGCTCAAGCGCGACTATGTTGACTAAAACTGCTCTTCCGTCTGCTTCAGATGGCTCCCATTCGACCAAGAGCGACGACATTCCAACCACATCCATAACCTCTCCTCCTCAAGGCAAAGTAATGTACATGGCCTCGGGCTCCGGCATCCCCGAAATAAAAACAATCCTATCTGGTTTCTCTATCCCTTCCTTCCTGTCTTTCCGCGTCCTCCTTGTCAAAGCCTTTGGCGCCATTTTCGCCGTATCAACCGGTATGTGTCTCGGCAAAGAAGGACCCTTTGTCCACATATCTACTTGCGTGGGTTACCTAGTTGGCCGCCTTTTCCCCAAATATAAGGGCAATGGACGGAAAATGCGCGAGTTGCTTAGTGCAGCCTGTAGCTCTGGTCTGTCTGTAGCGTTTGGCGCACCTATTGGCGGGGTGCTTTTCTCTTATGAGGAGATATCGACCTATTTCCCTAGAAAAGTGTTGTGGAGGGCGTTCCTTTGCAGTCTTACCGCGGCCATGGTACTCAAAGAACTCAATCCTACGGGAACAGGCAAACTGGTGCTTTTCGAATCCAACTTTGGGACAGAGTATCAGGCTATTCATTACCTTGTTTTTGTACTACTGGGTGTAGCGGGCGGTGTCTTCGGTGGTCTATTTTGCAAGTTCAATTTCCTGTGGTCAAAATGGTTTAGGTCCTTTGGGCTTATCAAACGATATCCTGTGCTAGAGGTAGCTTTGGTGGTCTTTGCGACTGCGCTTCTTCAGTACCCTAATCCGCTGACGAGGGAACCGGGGGACGTTATTATTAAGAATCTGCTTGTGGATTGTGGTGATGATACATCAAGGACCTCTTGGGTCTGTCGGAATGAAAGTGTTGGCATGGTGGGAGAGGGAAAGACGAATTGGAAGTACGTGGGTTGGCTCACCTACGGTACCCTCGCCAAACTCGTCCTTACTACCGTAACGTTTGGTATCAAAGTCCCCTCCGGTGTCATCATCCCCGCGCTCGACGCTGGGGCTTTCTTCGGACGGCTAGTAGGACAAAGTATCAGTTCGATAAGTCCAGGTATCTTTGCCATGGTAGGCGCTGCGGCGTTCTTGGCTGGTGTATCACGTATGACTATCTCACTCGCTGTTATCGTAAGTGCCTTTTCTCCCCTCTTTTCCCATCATGTCTCTCTCGTCAAAGATGCTTACCCACTAATACCACAAAAGATGTTCGAGCTAACCGGCCAACTCTCCTACACCCTTCCCTCCATGCTCGCCATCCTAATCGCCAAATGGACCGCTGACGCAATCTCAACAGAAGGTGTCTACGACCTCGCTCAAACACTTCTTTCCCACCCCTTTCTAGACCCAGATACCGCTCTTTCCATCGTCCGGCGACACAAAGCTTGCGTCGAGGTTCTCATTCCGCCTCGACGCACAATGTCTGACATCACCGTCTTGGTTCCTGCAAGCAATAAAGTAGCATTGCATGTGTTGAAGGGGAAGCTAGGTGCGTTGAGAGAAAGGGGACTCATGGATGCTGGTCTTGTTCTTGTACAGAAAAACAACGGTGGTGAGGGTGTCGAGGTACTGCAGGGTTATATTTCGCAGTCTGAGCTGGAGTTTGGATTGACAAAACTCGTTCCTAGTGCGCTCGTGTCGACGCAGGAGCATGTCCAGGTTAGATTACTCGGTCACGAGGTTGATGAGCCAACGAGTCCAGCGACGTTGGAGATGGATTTGACGCCATTTGTGGACCGGACGCCGTTGACTGTTTGTGCGAAAGCGCCACTGGAATATGCCGTCGAGATGTTTGCCAGGTTGGGGTTGAGATACCTGATGGTGACGGAGGAAGGTACGGGACGACTGGTGGGTGTGGTCATCAAGAAGAGACTTGTGGGTTACCTTGAACATCTTAGGGAACATGGAGACAAGGACGAATAAAGGAGAACAAGCAACTACTAAGCAAATGCAACACACCATGTTTAGTGGACAATGTTTGATTATAGCATCTTTTCGCTAACAAGAAATTGAGACGCCTGCCATGCCTGTAAAGTTACTTCCGCAACAACATATCCAGGCAGGTCGCTCAAAGTACGAATTGAATTACAACGCTCGTGTCCACACGTGAAATTTCCAACAACCAAGCCCAGCGTGTTATCAGCCGTGACCAGCTTACTCCTCAGCCTCAAGAGGAGCCTCCTCGTCGTACTCATCCTCACCCTCGGAGACGGAAGCCTCCTGGTATTGCTGGTACTCGGAGACCAAGTCGTTCATGTTGGACTCAGCCTCAGTGAACTCCATCTCGTCCATACCCTCACCAGTGTACCAATGCAAGAAAGCCTTGCGCCTGAACATGGCAGTGAACTGGTCACCGACACGCTTGAAGAGCTCCTGGATAGAGGTGGAGTTACCGACGAAGGTGGAGGACATCTTCAGGCCGCGAGGAGGAATGGAGCAGAGGGCGGTCTGAACGTTGTTGGGGATCCACTCAACAAAGTATGAGGAGTTCTTGTTCTGGACGTTGCGCATCTGGTCCTCGACCTCCTTCATGGAGACCTTACCACGGAAGTAGGCAGAGCAGGTCAGGTAGCGACCGTTGCGGAAGTCGGAAGCAGCCATCATGTTCTTGGGGTCGAACATTTGCTGGGTGAGCTCGGGAACGGTGACGGCGCGGAAGGAGTGGGCGCCGCGGCTAGTAAGGGGTGCGAATCCGACCATGAAGAAGTGGAGACGGGGGAAGGGAACCATGTTGACGGCCAACTTCCTCAGGTCAGAGTTGAGCTGACCGGGGAAACGCAGGCAGGTGGTGACACCCGACATGACGGCGGAGACGAGGTGGTTCAGGTCGCCGTAGGAGGGGTTGTTCAGCTTGAGGGTCCTCATGCAGATGTCGTAGAGAGCCTCGTTGTCAATGCAGAAGGTCTCGTCAGAGTTCTCAACCAGCTGGTGGATGGAGAGTGTGGCGTTGTAGGGCTCGACAACGGTGTCGGAGACCTTGGGGGAAGGCACGACGGAGTAGGTGGCCATCATGCGGTCGGGGAACTCCTCACGGATCTTGGAGATGAGGAGCGTACCCATACCGGCACCAGTACCACCTCCGAGGGAGTGGGTGATCTGGAAACCCTGGAGGCAGTCGCAGCCCTCGGCCTCGCGGCGCACGACGTCGAGGACCTGGTCGACCAGCTCGGCACCCTCAGTGTAATGACCCTTTGCCCAGTTGTTACCAGCACCAGACTGGCCGAAGACGAAGTTGTCGGGGCGGAAGAGCTGACCGAAAGGTCCAGCGCGGACGGCGTCCATGGTACCGGGCTCGAGATCGACGAGGACGGCACGGGGCACGAACTTGTTGTTGGAGGCCTGCTACGGATCAGTATTGGTCTTTTATCTGCCGTATGGGTAATCGAGTAACGCACTTCGTTGAAGTAGACGTTCATGCGCTCCAGCTGGAGGTCGGAAGTGCCGTTGTAGACACCAGAGCCGTCGAGGCCATGCTCGCCGGAGATGGTCTGCCAGAAGGCAGCACCGATTTGGTTACCCTGGGGAGTCTGTTAGCTGTCGTCGGAATTGTCTAGAGAGGGAGAGCTTACGCATTGACCGGTCTGGAGGTGAACCTGTTGCAGAGAAACGTCGTTAGCTGTTGTTCTGTGTTGACTTGTCCCTGAATGATATCCAGGCGCGGGGCAGCGACGCGCCACAGGGACTTGCAGATTCGGGCGATACGTACAATCTCACGCATGTTGGCGGTTGGGGATGGGGTTAATGGGAATTACTGAGGCGAAAATGCGAGGAGCTGGGTTATAGCTGGTCGACGGTGCTGGTGGTGCTGGTGTGGAGAGCAAGAGGAGCAGAAGCGGTGAGTGCGTTAAAGATCTCTGTGGGTCGTCTGCACGGGCCGTCGGCGCTAAGGCTATTTACTAACAACGCGCGCGGCCAAAGCTGGTGCCTGTTGGACAGGAAGAGCTAGTCATGGAGATATACTGCACTAGCATGGCACAATTGTTGCTATCAGTTGATTCTGCCGAATAGTTTTATCGCTTTGCAGTATGCTGTGGCAACTGTTGGCTTCGTATGGTGACACGGCTGCTATTCAAGGCAGTCGCGGAACTCTTCCTTCCATCCCAATCCCTGTAAAAATCTACTCTCCGCATAGTCGACTGCTGCTGCAGCAGAATACCGCACAACGCTGATCTTGCAAAGCACATGCATAATTCCCTCCATAGCAAACACTATCCACCGTCACCCCTTACAGCTCCTTCTTAGTAGAGGCACGCGCATGACCATTTGCCACTGCGTCTCGTCGCTTGATAACCTGCGGCATCGTCCAGAAGTTGGGCCAGTCCAGCTCATACTCGTCTTGCCTGTAATTGAGGCAATGTCGGAGCCATACACCCCATACAATGTAGTAGTAGGCTCCGGTTCCAGTCATAAGATGCCTAATGCTGTGAGCTTTTGTCGCCTCAAGGATACCTGCAGTACTCACCACCAGCCATGACCCTCTAGTACAAAACCCCAAGGCATACCAATCTCCCTCCTCCACTGAATCAGTTTCGAGCAATATTCATTGTCGAGATGCCATACTGCGAAACCACCCAAGAAGATGCTCAGACCGAATGCGATCATCTTCCACATCGTAGTAAGAATCTGCTGGTCTCGCACGTCCTCCCTTTCTTGAACTGCCTCTACACCCCCGTGCGGACGCGGGTTCGCAGCTTCTCTCTCCTTTGACCGGAAGCGCGGGCGGATGTTCACTTCCATTACATACATGGCGCGGAACAGTACAATTGCCGTGAGGAGCGCGTAGGCGTTTTGATGGAAGGTTGGATCCTGGAGGTAATGGTAATACAGTGTGATGAAGACGGCGAGAGACACGAGTCCAATTGCCAGAACCGTAGAGTATAGCCTTGATTTGCCATAGGAGAACGTCGCAAAGTTCATCAGACACGTCGTGTAGATCATCGAAAGCTCATCTACAAGCTGCATGGGATCTAAGATGCATCAGATACAGCATGTCGCTGACTTGGTCAGTAGCGAACCTACATTTCAATGTCGCGTGGAAGAGGAAGCTTCCAGTTCCAACAAGCAGATAGCCAATGAATGCTACGAGAAAAACTGTGTCGTGTCCATTCTTCAAGCAATTGCGTATGCCTTTTGCTGCCAGGTACATGAACAGAAGATTTGTGAGTGTGTTGATAATTTCCGCAGAGTACTGCGTTACTACATAATTCTCCAGAACGTTAGCTGAAGCCCCTGTAGTGTAGTGATCCTATTAACAAACCTCTTCACACCAGTCGAGGGTAGACGTGACAGGAGAGAACCATCCGTCTTGTTCAGGCGGATACGGTATCGACGGTAACCGAGAGAAGAACGCGGCCATTCTGTCTCTGCTCAAATTATGAAAGGACAAGAGAAAAATAACGAGAACAGGGAATCTGCACGTCTTTGAACACGATATCAAGCTTGTATCTAGTCCCGGACTTTGCGGAAGCAAAGACTGGAAAGCGACAATCAGCGAAAAGAAAGGTCCATGCTTCAGCGATAGGCTATCACGGCTGTTGACCACCACGCCACGCAACCAAGGGTACACTTGCAAAAGGGCACCCTCAGTGCGATTTCTACTGCCGACCTATACGTCTAGCACACATGGGAGAACGGTTGCGACCAGCGGGCGGTGCTGTTTTCGGCGTGAATCTACTAGCCAATCACATGCGCGCAGGGTCTCGCAACTGCCGAACCGAGAAAGCTTGAGAGCGCAGCTGGCTGGCTGGCTGGCTGGCTGGCCGTTCTCACGAGACGTGCGAACATTGTCAACTTTTGAGAGACTCCGCCACCATGTCCATGTCAAACGAGGCCTTGCAGAAGGTGCGTAGAAATGGCGCATGACCAAGAGATAGGGAAGAGCTTGGGGTCTGACAACAGAAAAATCTAGGTCCTGCAAGAGATCAGCCAGAAGAAGGCTTTCGCCGAACAACAACTCGTCATCGTCAAACAACAAAAGGCCGCCAGGACACGAGAGGGTCGCATGCTCCAGCTCACCTCATCAGAGGTCTCGTCATTGCCTGCAGAGACTAAGGTGTACGAGGGTGTTGGGAAGATGTAGGTTTCATGCCACAACATTCGCCCCTTCGCAACTGCGGGGAAACTATGAGAAGCAGCGGAGAGACTAATCGTTGTGATTTAGGTTTGTCTGCACACCTATCCCAGATGTACAGAAGAGACTCGAGGATGAGAGTGAAGCGTTGAACAAGGAGATGACCAATCTGGACAAGAAGGAAGACTACCTGGAAAAGACGTATACGAATAGCAAGAACAGCCTCGAGCAGGTGCTCAAAGGTGCTGCTTGAGTCTACTGCAAGCACTCTTCCATGGTATTGAGATTGGCCCACAGATCCGGAAACAGGTATTGAGAAAACTGCAAAGAGTGTGTCAAGGTGTCTGCTCTTATTACTGAGTAGTGTAAGAAGCCACTTGCATATGCCAGCTGTCAAATAATACACCATAGCAAAATGATATCAAGTACCAACACAGAGAATATCACCGGGCGATCGCAACACGTTGGATGTTTGGAAAAGAGCTTGCCAGAGCTTGACCAAGTAACAAGTCTCATGAGGCACGAATCAACTTGCCTGTGCATCGCTTTTTATATACTTCTATCTTTTGAACCACTATCGCATTCTAACGAGCATTCCTTCAACACCCTCCAAGCACTTCCTCACCTCCTCCGCCGCCCTCGCAACATACGCTCCATCAACAACCCTATGATCGGCACTCCAGCTGAATACGCACTCCTCCCTCTTGATCAGCTCATCATTTTCCCCAAACGCCGGCACTACCCTCGCTTTCCCAATACCCAGAATACCAACCTGAGGCCCAACGATGACAGGTGCCACAGCACCACCGCCTATACTACCAATGTTGCTAACGGTAAAAGTCGCACCAGTGAGATCAGCAGATGAGAGCTTTCCAGCGCGTGCCAGCGAGCTGAGGCGCTGGATTTCTTGCGCTAGCGAGGCGATGCTATGGGCTTGTACATTCTTGATGACGGGTACGAGTAGCCCAGCAGGCGAATCGACTGCTACACCAATGTTGTGGCTTCCCTTTAGTACAATCTGTGGCTTGTTTGGGTTCGTAGTTGTATCCAGGTGTGAGTTGAGTAATGGAAATTGCTGGAGTGTGAGCGATACCGCCTTGATGATGATTGGTAGTGGTGTTATCCGATCTGGCTTCTCGCGACCTGCATTGTACTTTTTGCGGAGGGACGTAAGCGAGCTGAAGTCTACGGCGTCCGTGTACAGGAAGTGGGGGATTGATAGGGATTTTGTCATCTGTTTGAACATGCCAGACTGGACTGGAGTCAATGGCTTGACTTGATCCTCCATTTGTTGTGTGGCAGCAGGCGCTGGCATTGAGCTTGTCGATGGTGTAGTTGTGGTTTGCTTCATCGATTCGATGTGCCGCTGCACATCGTCTTTGAGCACGCGACCTTCCCTTCCTGTGCCTTGTATATCTTCAATCTTGATCTTGTGCTCCTTAACCATATGTCGCACAGCCGGCGTGGCGAGCGACGCATGCTTTCCTGGTTGTCTTTGTGTTGTTGGTTCGGATGGTAGACTCGTGCTTTGATCTAACGCGGGCAAATCTCCAGTCGCAGCCTTCGTATCGTTCCTTCCAAGCTCAATCCCCTGTTCTTGTGGTTCTGCAGTCATCGGTGCTCCCTGATCTGACTGAGTACCCCCACCTCCGGTAAGTAGGACCTCATCGTCTTGTTTGCCTGATCCTCCGTTGAGTAGGGCTTCGTCAGCTGCGGAGATCTCGCTTTGGATATCGATGTCTACTAGAGGCTTCTACTGTCAGCTCAAAATCTACAGAGAATCTTGAGGTCCATGCTTACCTTTCCAACCTTGGCCATGTCATCCGGTTCGTAGTACAACTTTTTGATAACGCCATCGAACCGCGAGGTAATCTGCCTGAAGTTAGTCGTTGCCGTCTTTGTCTCTCGAACAGTATATACCTCGACAGATGCTTTATCCGATTGTACTTCACAGATAGGGTCGAATTGCTCTACGCGCGCGCCGGGCTTCACGAACCATTGGATAACCTGGCATTCGGTAATACCTATGCACAGCATGATTAGCCCGAGGCACCGGCAGCTCTAATTCGCCTACTCACCTTCCCCAATATCTGCCAGAAGGTACGGTTTAACTACCAATAGTCTTCTTGTTTCCCGGAACCCTCTTCTTTGCTCTTGTGTGCGAATGTTTGCATTCCTGGGAGCCGTAATTGACGCACGGTGGGCGAGGTTTGAGCGTGAAAACAGACGGGATGCTTCTCTGCATGCGAAAGACTTCATGGTGGGCGTAATGCGCGTGCAGATTCTTTCTGTGAAAGAAACATATTCATGTACTGCCGCCGAGGTGGTAATTGTGAAGGACCACAAAGCCGCGAGTTACCGCAGCCGATGACACAAGTGGAAGCTGGGGTAAGCCACTAGAGAACTTCTGGTATAGCGTATAGCGGGTTAAGGAATCAATGGGTACAACGGCACCTGGTGTCATATTCTAGGATGACCAGATGTTGTTGCAGAAATATCAGATTAAAAAAAACTTTCATCGTCAGTTGTTGTTTTCGCTACCTCACGACTCTCTGATAAGACGACGCTTGAATCTATGCCGTGATGCTACACGCATACCATGACAAGAAGATTCCTTCAGTACCTGGCGGCTTTCTGGACATTACCTAGGTACAATGTGCAATGTAGAGCACATAAAGAAGTAGCCAGTACAAGCTTTTCCTCGTGTGATTGGAGGTTACAGTCAAAGCGAAAACAACATCGATGGCAGACTGCCCATCCAATACGAATAAATAATGCTATGCCGCTGCTGGTCCCCTTCCAATCCAAAATCGAAAGCTACGGAATGGACCTTTCCTCTTATCTGTGTTATTATACTGGAACCCAGGACCCAGCATAAGCTGGTTCGTGTTGAAGTACAGCCACCCGTCCAAGATAGCCATGGAATCAGCATGTTGAATCATCGCGTTTCTCACTAACGTCTTCACCACGTAGTCCTCCGGTGGGATAAGACCAGATCCTCCAGGTGGGTTGCCGTTGACTGTCATATTAGCTTCGGATTCCAGTGTGTCGACGTAGTATATAGCATTCTGTTCACTTGCTGCGATGTATACTCGGCCTCGATCGTCAGCGGTAAAGCCAGCTTGTTCTGAACCACATTGGCCTGGATTCTGTACCGCGGCGAGGACTTCGACATCTGTCAACTTTTGATCAACGAGAACCTCCTGTGATATGTAGTAGAAGCGCCGGGAGGCTAGCACACCCCAGTAGAAGTTGCCGAATGCTATGATGCAGTCAGTAACATAAGCGCACGCTACTTCAGCACCACGTACCTAGAGCGATCCCATCTGCGGCCGTCGTGAGATGACCCTTCTGTGTACCGTTCCAAGTGTAGATGAGCTCTCCACCATATGACCCGACATACTTTTCATCTGCTCGAACGACGCTCGTATTGAGCAGTCTGCGTACCGCGCTACCATTTTCAAGATCCACTGCTAACAGTGAGCTATTTTTGCTGGCATCTGTGATGAAAGCGTATCCTTCCCTTCCGCCCAGGGTTGTGTTGACGCGCATATCATTCATGTTCATCCTATGCGACAATAGATCTTGGGGTATCACATAGGTTCGGAGATGCTCTGCCGTCGTCTCGTTGAAGCTCATGAGCTTCGCGCCTCCGAACAGCGCGTTGGTGTCTGGGCTAGCGTTGAATGGAATCCCGCTATCTACCACCCACAGCCTCCCTCGATCGTCTAGAACGATGTTCTGAACGTTGATGAAGCAGGTTCTCGGGTCCTGACCAGCAGTGCAGTTCTGCATACTTGCGTTGGGCCATGCTACTTCGTCGTTGTAGGATGTACAAAGCACCACGTTACTTGGTGTTTGCTCAAAGTTGCGAGGATATGTCAAGTATAGGTTGCGAGAGGAGTCGACAGCTAGGCCAGTGGAAGGTTTTTGAGAGTCGTGGACAGGTTCCAGTGGCGGCCCCACGAGTGTGAAGTCTTGAGGATAGGCGCCAATAGTGTACCCGGGATCGAAGGGACGATAGCCACCTGACGGTGTCTCGAAATAGCCCGATCCCAAAGACACGGGAATGAGTCCTAGTGTGCCTAAGACCGTGGACCTCATTCCGAAGTATTGCTTTTGCAGTTGCTAAGTATTCCGAGGTGGTATTCAAGATAGCTGTATGGATCGCTGTTCGTACGGTCTTATGAATTTTACGTTGGTATTAGTATTGTGAGGTGATTAAAGACGAGGAGCTTCGACGAAAGAGATTCAGATGTTCCAAGGTTACTGTACGAGTCTCTTGAGGGGCCAGAGGACATCCATGACCTTCGCATTAGTGCCATGTCCATTGGCTGCCGATCGAATGGAGACATGGTAAGGTCCAGGTAACCCATGATGGTAAAGAGGGGTACTCGGGAGGTAACATAGGCTGTATGCCGTGAACACACAAGGAAGTCCGAGGATAATGGCTACAACATACATCGAAACTTTGCGTTGTATGCTAGATGGGTGCGATTGGATTCTCTTCTCATGATACGCAAGCAATTCTTAGTCCACACAGAAGAAAGCTTAAAAAGCGTGTTTTGAGGAGATGACACCTTGATCGCCCGACACTAGTCGCGGGCTGATCGATCGAGATGATGGTGCGGGGATGACGTTGTCGCGCGGAAGGAGTGGGCGCACGACCCTTCGTGATTTCGCGACTGCCGAAACGCGTCTGCTAGGCAATGTACTGTCAACACTCGCATTAGACAACGCCGACAGCCATGCGCAGTTCCGATGTCCACGTACGCATTGCAAACGAAGACAATGCTACATTCAGCCTCTGAAACCCCAACCCAACTGCTACGTTTAGCCGCCAAACGGGACGATCCCAAGACTCAACTGCCCTCGAAGCAGACGAGAGACTCTCTCTGCGGTCTCGGAGCCTTCAACAAGCCTTTCACGATTCAAGCACATTCAGAATCGCCTTACAAGAATAAGCCCGTCATTTTCAGACCGGTACGAGTGATTGGGCGTTCACAGCTGCCTTTGACCTTCCTCGACATTTCCGATGACGAGAACTTCGCCCCAAATAGCCTCTTCACCGCTCAAATCGATATATTAGAAGACAGAGAGCATGGCAATCAAGAACATGCAGTCCCCAAGATACTCGTTGCACGGTTCGAGGCGAAGAACACACTATACGCCATAGAGCGGGTACAGCCACGCATCTATAGTATATGTAGGCTTGCGAATTGGCTTAAGGAGAAAGACGTCACAGACTTGTGGGATCCTACAAATCTGAAGGTGCTGCCAACACGCCCGAGAACGGAGGCGAGTGCGGCTGGACGAGGAGAATGGTGGCAGCAAGCCGCGGTAGAGACGCACATTGTGGAACTACCAGCGAAACGAGCGCGGATGACGATGATACGACCGAAATTACGACCAGAGACAACGATGGAGCATGCACAACAGCCAGACATGGCTCCGGAAGCTTCAGGAACCGAGCATTTGGACACGATCCCCACCGAGCTCCCTCTAGAGCTCATGCCGGACGCGCCATCGCCGCAAGAACAACTCGATCTCTTGGTTCAACACTACTTGGACGCAGTCTACATGTCTAAGACCTCACTGGCATATCTTGCAAAGGGCCCGATCACTCGGATACGGAACACGTTCACCTCGGCTGAAGAGGGAGCGCCAGCTACACATGAACTCGTCGCGTTCTTAAGGACTATGTTGCTGAGTCCCAAAGCTAGCGAGAAGAAGTATCACGACAAACTACCATCGTTGATCAAAGAAATTCCACCCGGAAGCTATTCGGATGATGAGCACGCTGCAGGCGCCAGCAAGCCGAAGAAGTCAAAGAAAAAGGTGAAGCTCAGTCGAGAGGGCGTATACCCGCAAGAAGAGGCGTTGGTCAAGAAATGGTGGCAGTCCGAATTGCCAAGTGGCGACAGTATGGCTACAGAGACTCTAGATCAGCGCATCAAGAGGCGTATCGGAGATCTCCGGGTCCGCGAGACGCTCGCTCAGCTGATTCTTATGCTTGAGATCGTCGCACTGGAAGCTCTTTCTACAAGTAAACCACTAGAGCAGCAAACCACTGCCGACGGAGCCCAGACTCAGAGCGAGCCGAAGAAGCGCAAGAAGAAACTCGACGACATTAACCTTCAACTCGATTTACTGCTGGACAAGCTATGCATCTGGCATGCTACTGAAGAATTAGGCATATTGGACTTTGATGCAAAGCCATCAAGACATGATGGATCCGACGGATCTGGAAGGAACGGTTCTAGTGATCGCTTACACAGTTTCTGTGTTGAAGTCATAATCCCCTTCTACATCAACCGACTACCTGAGCAGGCGCTCGTGGTCAACAAGAAGCTTGGTGGGCCCACGCATAGCTTGCCAACCAAACGAAAGGCAGTGAGACCGCCACTCACCTCACGCAAATCCGGAAGTTCAAAGGAACCTGACGTGAAGAAGTCACGACGCTCATTAGCCCGTGTTGCCACAGACAATACGGGACGGACCATTGAGCGAACAACACCTTCTCTGAGCCGATGTGCCACCGATTCGGCACTTCTAGACGGCATCAAACGAGAGGGTAGTGAGGTCCCTCTTTCAGCCATACCTTTTCGACGGAGCCCGTCCAAAAGCGCTCGGCAATCGATGTCCCAGATCCGGCATCTGCAGGGCCGTCAAATTGATCTCGCTCAGCCTTCGGCTGCTGCATCAGCTAAGATAAAGCACAAGCAGCGAGTCGAAGAGGATCTTCAAGAGGCTATATTAGCGTTGAAGAAGCCCAATCGTGGACTAGCCGCTGGTGGCTACGTTGCCGACATCGAGCAACGTGGTCTGGGCTTGCCCAACAAGTCGAGAAAGCCAACGGTTACCGTAAGAAAGACTATCAAGGACGTTCAGGTATCTGCAACGCCTCGGGTTGGCAAGAGGACGAAGAATATGGTTGAGCAGACGCCGACCCACTATCACTATGACCCGTTTGTTAGGTCTCCCGGCGCGGAAGTGCCTTCTTCCAGCGGACTCTGCGTGCCGTCTTCAGGAGTGCGTCCACCAGCTGCGATGGTGCCGGCAACGGGCCACCGCCACACGACGGCTCGAAATCTAGCGCAGTCGGGCATTGCCGAGACACCGTCCAAGGCGCCAAATAGCCAACCCTTCTCGACAGATTCAGTCCGGAGGAAGATCTTCGCAACGCCATTGAAGGCGGCGACGTCGTCTTCTTCGGGCGGCAGAGATTTCGCGCAGTCGCATGTGTTCGAGACTCCTGTCAAAGCTCGAGGCATTTCACCTCATGACGATACCGACTTTGCACTTCCTGCGCTTTTTGCTACACCCACCAAACCTGTGTCTGCCCCAGAAAGCGGGGTCGCTCCAGCGGCACTCGCTGCATCGAACAACAATGATGCCGAAGCGTCGATATACGATGCCCTTGGATGGAACGACGATGATAATGGCTTCTGATGGGATTACGTCCGTTTCTTATATATTTTGGATATCTGCGTTAGCGAGCGAATAATAGATCTACATACAACGGAGCATTGGGCGGCGTGCATAGCATTCTGGAATTTGCATAGGCGTACGAAACTATATCATAGCTACACGGTTCAAGATTCACTGGATGATTGGTATGAGAGCAACATAGCATAGCAATCTGATATATGCCTTCGCGTGCGCACCTAGCTCAGTCCCCCTTGTCCCCATGAAGTCCAAGCTATGCTTACCTGAAGAGGGCAAGTCCATAGTCGGCGCACAGATGCGGTGATGATGCTTGTTCTAGATGACGATGGATCGAAAGAAGAATGGTTTCGCATGTGCGTTGACGTATCCGTGTATCGTTCTACAGTGTTTCTTTCGGGGAATTGCACTTTTCCCGAGACGCGATGCCATTGTGTGATCGTGTGTGAGCCGACAGGTACCCGTACCATGAGGAACCAGGGATCGCCGTTATAGCGTATATAGAGCCGGCGTCCCTTGCAGTAGACGACTTAGGCCAACGCTGGATAGGAGAGTCAGCAAATCACATTGCAGCGCCCCCGTGGCCGCGTTGGTAATTTGCCGGGGATCACCAACAATCGGCCCTTAGCTTATGCCCCTAAAGACGCCTCCAGTTGCCGGCTGGTCCATGCTGCCGTCTGTCCAAAGCCCTAATCACGCTGAAATTATGAAAATCAGAGACACGCGCCCGGTGTCTTTCACTTCTCGAGTCCTGATTTACCTGCCGTCACACTGCTCCCGACTCAGTGTGATATCACACAGGGAGTTCTCGTCGCCAAACCTCGCGCCCCGAACATGCTCAGTACTGCAGCCAAGCTAAGATAGCCGACCCCAACTGGACAACTGCAGGTAACCATGGCTGTCGCTGCAGCTTCCCGTCCTGCGCCCCATGGACAACGCTCGCCAACCCTCAGCGATGCGGGCATGATCCTCCCAACTTTTGAGGCCGACTTTGAGCGCGAGGCTTTACCTGCTCCCTCTCCAGAGCGCCCGCCGTCGCCGTCGGACCTCTACAAGCACGCAAACTCAAGTCGAGTCAGATTAAGTTCCGCACCCCAGGGCCGGCGCCGCGCCTCACAACAAACAAAATCCCCGTCCCTATCAGCACAGTCCTCGCGCTCCACGCTGCGCAACATGCCCGACTCAGAGACTACTCCTAAGAGTGTGCGTGCCCGTGATGATGCTTTTGCCTCGTCTCCCACCATCCAGAACACACTGAGCAGCCATTCCCCTGGCAATTGGCATGGTCAAGACCACCACAAGATTAGCCCTACTTCAAGCTCGATATTCAGCGAAGACTTTGAGCACTGGCCCGGGTTCGATAGCCACGACAGCTTCGAGGACAGTGGAGTAGATCTCGAAGAGCAAGAAAAGCGCAACCACTCTGCGCAGGATAGCGACGCTGGCGACGGCATGGGCAATGAGCGATGGCGCGAGGACCGCACTAGTGGCAGCGACGACGAGAACGACCCGTACTCATCTGCCGCGCTCAGTAGGAGGGCAGAGATCATCTTGGCAAATGCGAAGAAGCGGCTGAATGTATGCGCTTCTTCACGCTACCATAGACTAGATGTTTGCTAACAAAACTACAGGTAATGGAGGGTAACCTCCGCGGTGCACGAGAATCACTAGTCGTATCACCCACCTTCCACTCGAGAAACACGTCTTCCGACTTGACCTCACACATTGCGGCTAGTCGCGACCGTGACCGACGGCTGTATGCTGGTATAGGACCAATACCTCCGCGCATCAACTCATATCGCCAGTCCCTCCTCACTCCAAACGGCAGCAGCCCCAGCCATACACGGGGGATGAGCGAGACGTCGGTGCCACTCCCTTTCACGCCTTCGCACTCGTATCTAACGCGGACTACATCCAACAAGCGAGCATCGAGTGCATTCGGCCATATTAGCGGTCCATGGTCGCCTGAAGGCTACGGCCAGGGGCGTTTCCCTATCAAGGAGTCTCGAAGTGTGGAGCATCTCCGCAATCCTCGTACAACCTGGAACAGTAGCGAACGCGAGCATGCTGCAAGGTCCGCGTCGAGAAGCTCAAGGTCCCCGACTGCGCTGGAGACTTTGCCAGAAGACGAGGATGGAGCGAGGGTCCATCGGTCCACTTCTGCAGCTAGTGGTCTTCGTGACCAAATGAATGATCTCAAGGGCAGAATCTCCAGTCTGAAGCTAAAGGCACAAGAAGACCACCTTCGACGTCGAAGCATGCAAAGCCTACGCGCGCCGAGCCCCTTTACATCTTCCGAGACATGGGATGCAGGAAACACAACAAACGCTGGCTTGGGTATCACGACAGACCCCTACGAAGAACAAGAACGACCGTTGACGGCCACTACTACCACCTCTCAGCAACATGGCGAGAAACTCGTAACTCACTCCAGCAAACAGACCCAAGGCCCCAACGGACACGCATACTCTGTCCAACCATACGACCAGACGGAGGAGGAATCGAGTGAGTCAACAGCGTTCGAAGACGATGATGCCGATGAGACTGAGTCTGACTTCGTCTCTGTGAATGGAGACGATGAGGAACCTGGCCCGGATAGTGTGTACGAGGACGCCGTCTACGAGATGCCCGTAACGGAGCGACATGAAGACCGTGTAGATGCATTCGACTATGAGACTTTCTTCCTGCACAGTGCAATGGGCACTTACAGCCTAGAGGACCGCCGATCGAGTACCAGTTCCGGTACTTCTACCGAAACGACCCGACCTGTGACAGCCGTCCAAACCACAGATGGACTGAGCACTGCTGAGAAGAGAATCTCAGTTCACCAGCGGAATCCCAGCGTTGACTCAGTCTCGACTGTCGCCACATTTGCCACTGCAGCAGAAGAACAAGACGACGACGACGACGACCAAGAGAACGAGCACATGGATCAATTCTCTCAGCAAATACTGTCAAACCAAAATCAGCCTCTCTCTCGCCCTGGTACCCAAAGCGGCCTCCTCTCCCTACGCTCAGACTCGGCCATCAACATGCGACGCGGCAATGGCGCGTCTCCAACACAATCGGCATTATCACGTGGCTCGTCTTCGCCTGGAGAGCTCGCCAGCGGACTTCAAACCTCGAGAATATTCTCTATCCTTACGGAAGGCTCTAGGGACGAACCACGGGTAGCACTCAGCGAGGAAGAGACGCAGCTTATCTACGGGCTTGCAGCCAGTATCCAGAATGTCTGCTCCAATCTACAGCACACATACGGCGATGCATATGAACGCAAAGCTTTGCGACGAAGACTTGATGAAGCCCGCAAAATACTTAATGGTGAGGACATCGAAGATGACCAGTCCTTTTAATGCGTCACATTCGTTCTTTTGATTTTCTTTTCTTCCGAATTACGGTAATGTCTAACTCGACTGCAGCGGTTTAGCGTCTCTCGTCTCCACCTTTCACGAGCTTACTACCTATTATGTGTAATTTCGGGACATCCCATACTTTCTCTTCCATTTTGTTCTTTTCTTTGGCAGATTTCTTGTATCTTGTCTAGGGGGTCACGACTATTGGATTATAGATAATTTCTCTTATGTGTATTGATACCCGGGATGCGGTGGTGGCGGGGTCATAGGACTCCGGTGTATGTGGACACGTTTTTTTCCACATGGCAGTGCAAGTACTTGTTAGCTCTAGAATCTAGCATGCCCATCTTCCATGTACGTAGGGCTGCCAGAACCAATCTATGATCTACAAACCCAATCTACAGATCTGCCTTCCCAGCACATTGGGCCTGACCGTTTGTCAAGACCAGTCTCTAGAAAGCTATCAGAAGACGGTGGGATTCTAGGGTGGAGTCGGGCGCGAGATTTACCCCTCCCGAGGCTGTCACGAACCTAGATCCATGGGAGGATTGCCTCCAACTTTGGGGGTAACAGCCCCACCAAACACCGTCATGCCTGGACCTTTTGACATTAAACGCATGCAAAATACAGCCCGCTCTGCGTTGGCCATGTACCGTCACCCTGACAGCGAGCGAAAGCGGCAGCTCTAATGCACGTCTCGTACGCGTACAGGTTTGCCGCGCTCTGCGATGTGTGCCGGCAGCGCGCTGCTATTGGGTCGAGCGCGGCAGCATGAAGACTGGCGGTGTAGAGACGGCCATGGTAACCATATGCAACACAAGATGCCAACAGCACGGATACCCACTAGACACTCCGCAATTGGCCCACCACGGCGTGGCTGGGGGCGTGCTAGACAGAGAAGGATGGGTTCCGAGAGTGCCATGCTGCGTGCTGCACCCGGCGCCTCCAAACTGAAGCACAACATTGAATTATCCACAACACAGGCTCATGCAATGCGCCCCGGCCCTAACCGTAAATTTTCACCCAGCGGAATAACTCAGACCTGCCGCCCGCATCGCGCATCGTCGTTTCCCTGCATCTGATCTTATCTCGACATCTCACGATATCTGGGACAAGCCTCCCACAACAACCACCCTCCCCCAGCAGCTCCGGCTGAATATCCCTCGACGAGCCACCCCTCATTTTTGGAAATCTCGCCTACGGCTGGCCCGGGCGCGTGTGTGTGACGACGGTGGATGAAACGAACCGCAAGCTCCAACAGGCTTGGTGTGCGCAACGAGCAAAGCCTATTCGACCCCGATAACGATTGGCGTTGCGGAAAGACATCCATACACACTACACAGTCCTTGTGACCACTCGCGACGCCCGTTCCCCTGCTTTCGCCTCTGACGCTGACTGAATCTGAATCTGTGCGTCTGCAGTCTCCTGCATACTCCTGTACCTGCTGCGACGGCGACTCTTTAATTCGACGTTTACCGATCGCCTTGTCTTAGAGTTTTAATATTTGGCTGGTGTAATTTGCGACGGATTGCATCACCATCTTCACTTGTCGAGGGCCATATTTTTGCCCACGTGTACTACTACAGCTCGACGCATCGAGACCCCGCAGCAGCAGACGGCGAAGGAAGTCACGCTGCACCATCCCGCCTTCGTACCGTATACGAAAACACCTGCCGCCTACGCATTTGCATCCTCGCCGCTCCACGCTCGCGGTTTCGCACGAGCGCTCATGTGCCTACCTCCGCCCTGCTCCTTCTATTTGCGCGTCTCACACTCGCACAATGTCTCTTGTCAGCTCTCATCGCGCCGCCGCCGTCGCGCCATCTGCGAGACCAAGGACCCTGCTGCTTTCGAGGACTGGATCGGATGAGCGAGGTTGGGATACCAAGAGTCGAAACATGCAGCTCAAGGATGATTGGCCAGCAAGCTATACCTTCGGAAACACAACAGCTTGGGAGTCTGAGAATGACTGGCCCATTGCTGAGTTGATGGCGGACATGCACCAGGCGCTGGATCGGCTGGAATGCCCAAGCGCTGGAGACAAGAGTTCGAGTAGAGGTTTTATTCCGGTACGACGACACTGCTTTGTTTGGTCCTTTGCCCATATTTGGTTCACGATCACCCCATTCCACACTGCACTGTCAACCGCTTTTCGCGTTTATTGATTCCATGGCTCATTTTCTAACAACTATTCAGCGGCATGATCTTACAACCAAATTGTCGCGCTCTCTCCCATCAACATTTGAGTCCTCACCGGAATCATGGAGTCCAGCACCGCGAAACTATGGACCCCCACCACCACCATCATATGATGAATCGATTGCAGACATGCCCCCAGACTACACTTCCACCGATGCGCCAGCCTTTGCGAAAACGCTTGATTACTTACCATTCCCTTCTTTGCGCGCTTCATTATCCTCTAGTGTCAATGGTTTGCGCAAACGCAACATTTCATCTCCAACGTCTTCATTCTTCCTCGATGTGAAATCTCCATATGTAGACATCGACTTTGGCTACAGTGACACCGGCATCAGATCGCATGCAAAGAAGAGCAAGAAAGCAGCAGCCACTAAGAAACCTGCGGCAGCAGCTGCACCAGTAGACGAAGGCAACAAGGGAGAGGAAGCTGGTGGTGGCGACAATGGTGGGTGTGACCCGCCTGCAGATAGCGGGGCTGGAGGCGATGGTGGCGACGGTGATAAGGGGAAGAAAAAGACCAAAAAGGAGAAGGAGGAAGAGGAGCGCTTAAAGAAAGAGGAGGAGGAGCGTGTGAAAAAAGAGGAGGAAGAGCGCCTGGCCAAGGAAGAAGAGGAGCGCTTGCAAAAGGAGGAGGAAGAGCGTCTTGCAAAGGAGGCTGAAGAAGAGGCCGAGCGCAAGAAGAAGGAAGAGGAAGAAGCGGCCGCTGCAGCTGCAGCGAAACCGTCGATACTAAGTGCCACCTCAGGCTTGAGCTGGGGGAAGGAACCAGCTTCAAACACAGACGACTGGGCTGCGTTTGGTGCGGGCGCTCCCGGCAAGAAGAAGAAGGGCAAAAAGGGGAAGGTTAGTCATTTCGGCTTTTTAGTTACACATAGCAGCACGCTAACTCACGACAGACGGCCGAGCCCGCACCCCCGCCTCCTCCTGATCCTCCAGCGGAACCGCCAACAACATTCGACGACATCAACCTGGACGAGGCAAGTGCACCAAAGATTGACATGAATTTCGGTGACACGGGCGCAACTAAACCTGGATTTGGACTCCCTGGGCTTGGCAATTGGACTTCTGGTTGGGGCTCGTCGAATAAAGACACGAATGCAGAAGGCGACAACCCCTGGGGTTCCTCAGATAAGAAGAAGAAGGAGGATGGATTCGACTTCGACTTCGATGCATTTAAGAACCCGCCAGCTGAAGAGAAGCCAGCTGAAGATGACGGATGGGGCGGCTTAGGTGCTACAACGAAGAGCAAGAAGAAGAGCAAGAAAGGGGCATTGATTGATGACAGTGTACCGGAAGTTCCTCCCCCTCCTCCACCACCAGAGCCTGAAAAGAAAGAGGAGGACGACTCATGGGGAGCATTCAACTTTGGTGGCACCGCAAAGGACAAGAAGAAAAAGAAGAAGGGCGTACTTGAGGAGGAGCCCCCGCCACCTGAGCCAGAGCCGGAGCCTGAACCCGTACCCGAACCTGAGCCGGAACCTGAACCTCCGAAGGTGGAGGTAGATCCTTATGCGGGGCTTAGTAAGTCACAGGCGAAGAAGCTAAAGGCCAAGTTGGACAAAGAGGCGAAGTTGAAGGAAGAGGAAGATGCGAAGCGCCAGAAAGAGGAAGAGGAGGCTGCTGAGATCAGGCGACAGGAGGAAGAAGAGGCAGAACGGATACGCCTAGAAGAGGAGGAAGCCGAATTGAAGAAGATGGAGGAAGAGGAAGCCGCCGCCGCCGCTGCTGAAGCCGAGAAGAGCAAGAAGAAGGAAGACGACCCCTGGGGCGATTGGGGCGGTGCAGCTCCGACCGTCAAAAAGAAGAAGAAGGGCAAGAAAGGTGTAGAGGAAGACCTTCCGCCACCTCCACCACCACCTCCTCCCGAGCCCGAAGCCGAGCCCGAGCCCGAGCCTACTCTCGAGGACAAGCCAGCTGAACCCTGGGACGATTGGGGCTCGGCAGCTCCTATCACCAAGAAAGGTAAGAAAAGCAAGAAGGGCGTCATTACTGAACCGATCGTCGAGGAGCCGCCGCCACCGCCAGAACCGGAGCCTTCCCCACCACCAGAAGAAGAGAAGGGCTCTGACTGGGGTCTGAGTTCGATATGGGGTGGATCGAAGAAGAAGAAGAAGAACCACTCTGTTGAATTAGACTCAATTCCCGCACATTCACCAGAGCCCATAATCGAAGAACTCGCTTCTGTTCATCAACCCGAAGACGTTGAAGAGCCCAAGGAAGATGAATCCGACGACTGGGGCGCGCCATCTTGGAGCAAGAAGAAGAAGAAGGATCCAAAGAAGGATGCGCCGGTAGAAGTCATTGAGGACACGATAACACCTGTTCAAAAGCCCGATGAGGATGATCCTTGGGGTAGTGCAGCCTTCAACATCGGCAAGAAAGCAAAGAAGGGCAAAAAGGGGCTTGTTCCGCCGAACGTGCCAACACCCCCAGGAGAGTTTGATTCAGAGTTTCCTGCACCGAAAGAAATCGAAGCTCCTCCGCCAGCCGAAGATGAAGATATTTGGGGCGCTGCTGCTACGACAACGACAAAGAAGAAGGGGAAGACCGTGGGCAGTCTTCTCGGCAAATTTGAGCCCCAAGATCCTGTCCCAAAGCCGGCAAACGACACTTTCGAGGATCTTATCTCGCTTGACGATCCACCACCAGCTGAGGAACCAGTTGTGGAAGAAGCGCCGGTCGAAGAGAAGAAGAAGAGCAAGAAAGATAAAGAGAGCACAAAGTCGAGCAGCATATGGGGCTCTTTGGGTGGCTCGTCCAAGGCGCCTAAGAAGGAGTCTACCTTGGAGAAGAGAGCACGTGAGAAGCGTGAGAAGAAGGAGCGAGAGGAACAAGAGCGTCTAGAGAGGGAGGCTGCTGAGAAAGAGGAGGAAGAGCGTCTCGCTCGTGAAGCTGAAGAGGCGGCCGCGGCTGAACAAGCGCGTATTGAGGCCGAGGAAGCCGAGGCAGCACGTATAGCGGAAGAAGAGCGTCTAGAGGAAGAGAAGAAGCGAGAAGAAGAGTCAGCAGCATCGAAGCTCGCAGGTTGGGGTGCAAGCATTTGGGGCGGAGGAAAGAAGAAGGAGACGCCTAGAGAGAAGAGAGCTCGTGAGAAGAAAGAGGAAGAAGAGCGTTTGGCCAAAGCAGCTGCTGAACAAGCAGAGAGGGAGCGCCTCGAGCGTGAAGAAGAAGAGCGTCTTCAGCGCGAAGAAGAGGAACGACTGGAACAGGAACGTCTTGAGCGTGAAGAGCAGGAACGCATCGCGGCAGAAGAAGCCGAGCGTGCTGCTGAAGAAGAACGAGCGCGTATTGAAGCTGAAGAACTCGAGGCAGCACGGATAGCGGCAGAAGAGGAAGAAGCTCGTCGTATCGCTGAGGAGGAAGCTAAAGCAAGTTCTGGATGGGGTATGTTTGGTCTGGGTAAGAAGAAAGAGTCGACAAAGCAGAGACGCGAGCGAGAGGCCAAGGAGAAGAAAGAGCGCGAAGAACAAGAGCGGCTGGAACGTGAAGCCAGAGAAGCCGCCGAAGCCGAAGCCGCTGCTGCTGCTGCTGCGGAAGAGGTAGAGAGAGCTCAGAAAGAGGCTGAAGAGGCCGAGTTTGCTCGCATCGCCGCTGAACAGGACATGGTCCTCGAACCTGAGCCACCAGTCTCTTCGAAAGAGAAGAAAAAGAAAAAGAAAAGGGGTGTTGTTGAAGAACTTCCCCCACCTCCTCCGCCTCCACCAGCCGAACCTACGAACGACGACGACCTATTTGATCTTATCAAAGATGAAGATGCGGGCGAACTTTTGGCCGAGCTCGAGAAACCCACTTGGAAAGAACAAAAGCAACAGGAAGCAGCTAGCGGCTGGGGCAGCGCATGGGGTATCTCTCTCCGCAAGACAAAGCCTGAACCTGCACCCGTGATTCCCGATCCGGAACCGGAACCAGAACCAGAGCCCGAGGTAGAAGAACCAATCCTTGAAGAGCCCGAAGAGCCTCCAGAGGAACCAGAACCTGAGGTCGTCGAGGAACCACCTCCACCGAAACTCTCGTCAAAGGAGGAGCGAAGACTCAAGAAATCCAAGAAACATCGACATGCCGAACCGGAACCGGAACCGGAACCAGAACCAGAACCAGAGCCAGAGCCAATTGTCGAGGAACCAGCGCCAGAGCCGGAACCAGAACCCGAGGTAGTCGCAGTGGTTGAAAAGCCTCGTAAGAAGCTGTCGTCCAAGGAAAAGAAAAAGCTAGAGGAAGAAAAGCTGAAAGAGGAGAAACGACTGAAGAAGCTCAAGAAGAAGGGGATAGTCGAAGCTCCTGTGGTGATTCCTGAACCCGAACCAGAGCCTGAAGTGCCTGCTGAGAGGTCACCTGGAATTGGCGCATTCCCTGATGACGACGGCGACATGATGGACTTTGAGGATGCGCTAGAGCCACCACCAGAAGAGCCTGCCGAACCAGAGCCTGAACCAGAGCCTGTCGTTGAACCCGAACCAGAACCAGAACCAGTACCTGGACCTTCCATTCTCAAGGAGTTGCAGAAGCTGAAAAAGACTAAGAAGAGTAGCAGATCGAGAGGCATGACTTTTGACGACCCTCCTCCACCGCCACCACCGCCTCCAGAACCCGAGATTGACCCTGAATCTGAACCAGAGCCAATCGTCGAAGAGGAAGAGCCGGAGCCGGAAGCTGAACCTGAACCTGAACCTGAACCAGAGCCTGTTGTAGTGGTGCCTGAGAGGAAGCTCAAGAAGTCCAAGAAAGATAGCAAAAGAAGGACACGTTATGCAGAGCCGGAACCCGAACCTGCACCTGAGCCAGAGCCGATCGTTGAAGAACCGGCAGAAGATGCAGAGCTTGTTGACATGGACGACGAGGAGGAAGACGCCAAACTTCCCACACCACCTCCAGAATCTCCAAAAAAGGAGCGCGGCAAGCTGGGTCGCAGTGCTACCACCGCTGGGGGCTGGGGCCTCTTTGGCGCAGCCAAAACCACTAAGACCAGGAGAGTATCCGGTGGTGAAGAAGGCGTAGGCAAGCCTGATATGCCACGCACGAAGTCGGCACGAACCTCGTCCACCCGGGACAACGATATGAAGTCACGGTCATCAGGCTCGAACGAAGCGCACACATCTAAGCCAATAGTATCACGTTCCAAGTCAACACGCGCTGCTACTGGACTAGGTGCCATGTTTGGTGTTGCGGCGCCGCCCCCACCTTCGCGCTCAAAGTCGCATCGCACCAAGACGTTATCGCGCCGACCCTCAATCGACCAGGATGCTGCTATGATGTCGCCGCCACAAACGGATACAGATGCGAGGGTCCCTTCAAAGGCTGCCAAGATGATGGGCATGAAAAGCTCGTCGCGCAGGACCAGTACTAGGGACGCCAGAGACAAGGGCAGGTCTTCTCGAGGTAAGCCGTTCCCCGCTAAGCACGATGCGCCTGTCATTGGCTGGCGTAGCCGTAAGCAAACACATGGAGCTAACCGCATGGCAGCTGTTCCAGACCCATATCCTGTAGACGATGACCAAGATCTTGACGATGAGTCTCCTCCCCCAGCAACCCGTCCAGAACCATTGCATCGCAAATCCAAGCGCGACTCAGCGCAACCCCTAGAACCCGTGACTGCACCGCCTAGTGCCGACGATCCCATCATCGTCGACCCCATGGATGTGGACCCTGCCCCAGCTGAGGCTGAACGGCCCCGCCGCGAACGTGAGCGGGAGCGACCTCGTCGTGCGCGCGGCAACTCTGATGCCATGGGCACGCTTGCTGGTGTCGCAGGTACTGCCGCTGCTGTAAAGGGCTTCAAGGGAATGTTTGGCCTTGGTCGCAAGAAGGTCGCACCGGAAGAGGCACCCCGCGAGCGCCGCCGCACCGCCTACGAGACTGAAGACGAGCGCAGACATCGCAAGCGATCGACAACCCGCGGAGGCGCAACAGAAGACGAGGCAAAGCGACTGCGACATGAGCGCCGTAGTCTACGCAATCCTCCGCCTGAAGATGTTATGATGTCTGGCGCAAATGGCACACCCGACGACTACGATGCCGAGCGAGAGGCACGACGAGCTGAGCGCAGGGCTAAGCGCGATGCGGAGAAAGGATCTCGACGTGCAGAGCTCGAAGAGGCAGAGGCTAAGGCAGAGCGCCGCCGTGAACGTGAGCGCGAGAACGAGCGAGCGACTCTTGCGGAGAAAAAGGCTCGCCAAATGGCTGAGTTGGAGCGTCGTAATCAGGAGGCTGAGGAGCAACTGCGCCGCATGGCAGAGAAGGAGGAACGCAAGAAGGCACGAGGCGGAGACGAACGAGAGCGCGAAAAACGTTCTTCACGCCGCAAAGACAAGGACCGCGAAGAACCCCGTCCGAAGGCCGAACGCCGTCGAACAACGCACGTGGACGAGGAAGCTGAACGTCGCCGTCGTCACGAAGAGCGCCGTGCTGCTAGACGCAACTCTGACTACCCAGTCCAAGCCAGCGGTGAGCCCATCACCGACTACTTCGACGAGCGCAACGGCGCAAAACGTTCCAAACACCGCAGTTCGCGCCAGGCTGCGGAGGAAGAAAACATGCCGTACCTCAACAACAAGAGCGGTGATAAGACCTCCTCGTGGGTCGAGTCTCTCTCCAACGAACCACCGCTCCCTCCACCTATCTCCGAGACGGTCCTCGATCCCGCCCCGGGCATGCGGGAGGAGCTCGATGACGAAGAAACGTTCTCCCAAGACGAAGACGTCCGCCTGCGTATCGCCGGCCGCAAAGGTCCCAAGCGTGACAAGGAGCGCGCCGAACGCCGCAAAGCCGAAGACAAAGAACGCGAGCGCGATAGGTCTCACAAACATAGTCGACGGGCGACACACTACGAAGGCATGAAGGTGCCAGAGGAGGAAGTGGAGAGGAAGAGGACCTCGCGCAGGACGAGCTATGCGCCTGCGTATGAAGAGCCCCCTGTTCGCACTTGGGATGGCAGACCAGCCGTTAACGGCGGTGCGCCTACTGCCAAGAGGGGAAGCTGGATGAAGAAGTTCTTTTAAAGCTACGACTCTTCTTTTTTTACCGCTCGCTTTAGATTTTACGATGTAATATGGGTTTTACGAGATGGATTTTTGCATGTGTATATGTTTTTGAAATGTTTGGATTACGGATGGAACGAAGCGAAGCGGGTTTGGCTACTTTCTGATTTGATGGTTTTCTCATGCATTGCGCGGCGTTTTGAACCGCAATTCTTTCGTCAGACTTTGGACGTATATCCTTCTGGTTTACTTTACTACTTTTATTCACGAGAACTATTTTACTTCTTCATTCTATCTTCTTGGGCATCTCCCAGCTACTGCGTTCTTGTTATACCCCGGGTTTATCACATCGTTACTTGAGTTTCCTGGGTACTTCCGGAATGGGCTGATGGGAGGCACGAGAAAGTGAGATAGATACCCCTCGCTTAGTTTCTCAATACAAGCGAGCATTGCAGTTGTAATGAGCCTTGCCGGTGCACATGTGAGACCTCGGTGATTCAGATATTGTGCAAGTAGAAATCTGCGTTGCTTAATCATCGTTTGGTATATCAGATACTGCTTTAACCCAGCCACCCAGGACGCCTATCGCCGAATCCATGCTAGTTCCTCGAGGATGCTATTGAACTACTCATAACCCTCCGTGCTCCCTATTTCTGCTTCCTAGTATTGTCGTTTTTTCGTCTGTACAATAGTGAAAAAGGCCGTCATAGGCCCAGTTGTCATAGCTGCGCAGCTGCTCCTTCAACGCCTTCCGCGGTTTCCATGTCATCATCATCTTCGTCGTCATCCTCCTCTTCATCCTCCTCTTCAAATCCAGTCTCCATCTTCAGTGTCTTCAGCCTGTCTTTCATCTCGTCCTTCTTGTCTGCTTGCCATCGCGCCAGCGCTGCTGCAGAGTGTACTTTGAAGCCGAAAACGCGGGGCTCGTACCGCCGTTGCGACTTTGGCGGCAGCATCGCGGGGTAGACTTGGAAAAGGATGTTATGGAATGAGGTGCCGAAGTATGCACCGTCAATTACAGCGTGACGTGAAGACTTGGGGTTGTAGAGGTCTTCGCAGCGAGCGCAGTAGAGTTTTACGGGTGAGGCATTGGGAACGTCTGATTGACCCATTGGGAGGAGGGGTTGCGATTCGCACATTACGCGGGGGCATTTGCCGAAATCGGATTTCTTGAACTTCTCGAGCTAGAAAGCGTTGTGTTAGCTATACACACGACACATATAGCGTGGATATCTGACGTACCATCTTTGCTAGACCCCGAGTCGTGACGATGTACCTTGCGTGTACTAGTCCATAAAGATGCCGTGCCGACTTCTCGATCTGTTCCCGCATATCATCATCGCAGTCGAAGTCGAACACGTCCGTTACAAGATCGAGTGCATATTGGTAGTACTGAACTTCGGTGTTCAGACCCGTAAGATTGAAGCGATCGGTGAGGTACTCTTCGTCAATCTCGCAGAAGTATTCGTTCCCTCGTGAGGATATGAACTAGTCATTGGTTAGCATATGCTTGAAACCGCGTTCATTGCTTCTACGTTTTCGTAGTTCGACCACCAGTCTGACCACCACGGACTCTGCAGGATCATGAGCGGACCCCACTCGGCCGCGAAGATCCGGTCATATTCCGAGTCAATTACATGGGTGCACATGCGTGTGGAGATATAGCCGTTCTGACCGCAGCTACCGCTGGCGCACGGTCAGACGTGACCTGCTATGAAGAGCTGGTAGGCCATACCACGCAACTAGGAACCTTCTGTTCCACTCCCACTCGCTCAGTGTTCGTAGAGCCATGGCCGACGCTCAGACGATACCAACGGGGATAGTGTATGAAGCTAGGGTACTCACCCAATCTCGCCAGTAGCTTGTGTAGTCGCTATCCGTGTCGCTATTGAAGTCGTCCATGTTGCGCTTGCTCTCGGCGACGAGCTCCGAAGGATTTGTGCGTTTGTATGTACTCTTTGTAGGCTACGACCACCGGCGTGGTGGGGCGTTGCGATCAGGCGCAAACACGGGTCGGGACGCGGTTGCGGAGTGAATTGCGCGCCCACCTAGTGGGATGGGAGTCGGTCGCATCCCACCTTGTTTCTCCGCTCCGGTGGCGCTAGTCGTTTGGGGCGCGTGCCCATCAGTACGACAGCCCCATACTTCCCCACCAACCATCTCCAAAAGGGTCGTCGGCAATCTGTTTCAAGTTCTGCATGAAGAAAACGATCTCGATTGAACATCCATGTTGATGGAGGTTTTCTAGGTTGCCATTTTATGGGACAGTGGTACGAAGAAGCTCGTTTTTTTGTCAGACCTCGGGAAGTTGTACGAGAAGCACTAGAATGTACTCCAAGGTATACGTTGCAATATACGTTACAACTCGGATAGAAGTGTTAGCGTATACCTTTAGGGTAAATTGCGATGTTCGGGGTATACCTCATGAAGTACAGGCTTCGTCGTACCTCCATATGAAGGTTTGCAAGGTCCGAATATACGAGCTTGTCTATCTTCCAATAGGGTTTTTTCTCTATATCCAATATTATTTCCCCTGATTTTTTATATACATGACATAGAAAGTAAGGATCTAATCCACTTTTGAGCTTTTGATATGATTACAAGACCTGCCAAATTCCCAATCAAATTCTAACCTGGGAAGCACACATACGAACAAATCTCCGGGGCTGAAAACTCACGGCCCATTGTAGACTTCGATCATCTTTTTTGAGCTCACTATTCACAAATGCTATCAAGGGGTCCCGGAACTGGTTCTATTCCTTATTGGTATGGTATCATCGTACTTCAGACAAGAGGTTTCGTCGTGATCGCTGGCAACCGGAAGACTTTGGCAGGATCACGCTTCTGGGAGGCCATCTCCAACATCCAAGGGCGAACTACTTCGTAAAGATCTTTGGCCGCTTTGGCCGCTTGGCCGGAGTTTATGGATCTGATTGGCGTGGTCACGTAAAGCGCTTCCAAATGTGTGGCGTTCGTGAGTAAAGGAAAAGAGAACACTACTCCAGGTCTTCGCGCCAACAGGTCTGCTACACCGAGCCTGCGGGGTAAGGGTAGGCTTCGGATGAATTGAAGCGAGAAGGCGTTGAAGGCGGCTACAGATTCGAGGATGAATATGTTTTTACCTTGGAATAATATCGTCAGTCCAACAGCGTCAAATGTTATATCTAGCCCATGTATGTAGAAGCCCCAAATTCTGTTTATTACGTACCATAGAAGACTGGCGCACTCTCCAGGTTGGTCTGGCGACAGACTTGGGACAAATGTACTCCGATTCGCATGTATCCAGCATCGCTACGCCTGGGGTGACGCATGCCGAACTTTTCCAGACCGGGTACCTGGACGTTGGGTATGTCTTCAAGGTCTGGAAGTAGCAGACACACTCTGTAGAAGCGCTCAACAGTAGCTAATCGTCAGTCAGCTTTATGACCTGACAACCAAAGACTGGACAGGTAATTACTACGGGTATGTTGTTGGCCTTTACATGCCGCAAAACGAGTAGAATTTTCCTTGTCGACTAATGCGTACTCGTAGATCACGATGCGGATCTCACCCGCCATGTCGAGGAATGGGAAAACAGTGTCATCTTGACGCGGCGGTGCGGTTGGATCTTGCTCATCACGTAGCTTCTTATGTTGCTTCGTCGTATTAGTGCTGCTCCTGTTTGTAGCCCGCTTTGCTGGAGACATCTGATCCTGCGCTGTATCGCTGTATCTTTGAGAAGTGCTCAGGAGGAAGTAAGCGTAGGAAGTAGTGAAGTGAAGTGGGAGGAGAAATATAGAGATTGCTGGTGTCTAATATGCCTTGAACCAACGCTAACGCCACTTACTAGGAGAGGTTAGTTAGTGATAGGTAGAAGATGCTGCAACATAGCAGTAAGGTGAGGTATAGATCCACCAATGAGATCTACGTATTGTCAGTCATGGTCTCAACAATGAGTTCACCACACATCTAAAAGTTATTGGCGGGAAGAGACGTGAGACAAGCCAGTTTATTCTGGATGAAGCGCCAAAACCATATTTATTCCATCAGTCCCACCTTAGGTTATTGATTGCTCTCCGTATGTGTTGCGCTCCCAACGCCTCACAGGATGCTGAACTATCACATTCAGGCCTTCCAGCATGTAACTGCTTCATCTCATCACTCCAAGAATGCCTGCCATTATGCCAAGTCTCCTGCCTTGCCTCACTCTCCTTTACTAGATCCAACAATGGTCGCGGATTGCTCCCTCCGCCATAGACCTCTGTCTTCAACGCAGTCTTGACTAGTTTCTTCCAGTCTCTTCCCTCAATCTCAATGTTAAATCCCATCGGGCATTCAAGAGTGCCAGTGTGCAGATGCTGCAAAGCCGGGTTGTTATCACCGATTCGGTATGGTTTCTTCTGACCGGTTTCCTCCAAGCGTACGGCCTCGCGATCAACCTCGATAAGCACCTTGTTGAAGCGGTCCACAATCGCCTTCATCACAGATACTATTGACTGTACATTCTGGATCGCAGAGTATGATTCTTTCGGGCACTGATTACAGTGTATCAAATCCGAGAGCGCTGCCATTGCTTTTCGTAGAGGCAAAACAACCTGGGGAAAATGAAAGGTGACAACAGCTTGTAACTCTGTAAGAGTCAACCATGTCGTTGTAAGACATGAGCACTGTCCCATGGTTGATTGCTCGGAAAAGGTATCGTGAAGACCAATAGCCTGGGTGTCAGGTTGAACGTCCGGCGCTAGATTCCACAGCAATGGGTCGATGGGTGTATCCAAAGTGTACCTGCAGCGGCTTCAATATTCATCGGTTGTCGTCTGACGGATGTGACATACACATTATTGCACCCGGATGGCATTTCAAACTGATCTTGAAGGCTGAGGCCATGATGTTGCGGTGTTATAACCTCATTTCCTGCCGAACCATCTGATGATTGCACATCTTGCAAAAGGGGCGGAGAGATCAGACTGTCCAGATCTGCAAAGCTTGGCATTCCAGAGAGGTCATTCCAAACGTCGGTATACTCGTCCTGCACTAATGCAGGTAACCCCGTAGGCTCGTCCGCTTCGTCTTCCCTCAATCTCTTCCTGGGACGACCCATCTGCTTTTGCGGCGAGTAAACACAATCGATCTTCTCTTTCTGGCACCGAACGCATCTCGGCTTGTGGCCCGAGCATTTCAACTTTCGTGTCCCTGAGTATAGTTGAGCGTCGTGCGGGGCAGATGGGAGCCTAGCTTGAGGTACTCACGGCACTCGTCGCAAGCCGCATGAAGTTTTCCCGTTGGTTGCACGTTCTGTTGTACCATTGTGTAGTGTCACGGAAAAGCTTAGACTGGAGAGGTGATAGCGCTGAAAGTGGGGATCTCGAGCCAGTATCAGAATGTTGTTGTAGTTTTGCGTAGGGTCAGGGATAGCCATCCGGGAACGCCTAAATCCGCCAGCTCTGCCATGCACATCCCCATAAAGAATGGTTGCGCAGATTAGCCCCACCTGATGACGGGATAACGTGCTGGATTATCGACCATTAACACATGGAATCACAGACCCTTGTTTTCCATGAATGTTAGGTAAGCTGTTCGTTGGTGTACTACTCCAACCTGAAACACAGCTATCCGCGGTCGTATAGGGCCGAATTAGGTGTGCAACCTTGGAAATATTCGCAGTGACGGGCATGCCGGGTCACGGTGTGCTGTCAGTAGACGAACCAAGCACAACAGGAATTAACAAGTTTGACCAAGCAGGTGCGACTGCTAGTTGTTGAAGTGAGGCTATACGTGCCAGGATTCACGCCGAGCCGCCCTCATTGACCAATGCGATACTGAGCCCTTTGCAGCATGCTGGAGGCTGAGTACGGATCCGAATATCGATAAGACCGCAAGAGCCACCCTGGGACCCAGTGCGCTGGGTGTGGCAGGACAACCGTAATGTTTCACACAGTTGTTCACCGCTTCTAACGCCAAATCTTGAGTCTCACATGGCTACCCAGAGGCTTCGCGCAACCGCGCAGAAGACTCGAGTATTGGCAATCAATCTGGAAAACGGAGGCGCATACCGCGCGCATCTGGCAATCTACGATTGATGGAAAGGGCGCAGCAGCTCCGCCTTCTTCTTGCATCTCTCCCATCTTGGGATGGTTTGTTCGTAATCACCTCCACCGGTTGGAACAATGTGCAGCTGACTAGGGTGTCCCATGTTTGATGGCGCGCGCCCTATTGCTAGAGGCGCACAAAAGCTGATGCCTGATCTCTAGTGGTTGCGATTCCGATGGAGGCCACAGTCTACCAAGGTCGCAAGGTTTGAGGGATTTGTTTTCTAAACTAAGTGTGAAATGCGAGGTTCTCTAGAGGTCGGGAGTAGGTGCAATCAGACTCGAAACCCCATGGAGAGGCCGCGCAGCCACATCAAAGGATGAAATGGAGCGTGCAGTTTGGCGAACGTGATACCTCTTTAACCTAATCGGGATCTAGGGCTGATGGAGGATGGCGCCGGTGGGAGAAGTTATTGGTTGGGAGCCACCGACACTGCTGCACGTTTTTGTGAGTCACAGAATTCGGCCCTTTCTGGCGCCGCGCTCGCTTCCGGTTACTTTTAATCCCCCACTTCCCTCGCTGCCTGAATTTCTCCCTTCTATTCACCTCAACACACTACAACACGAAACAATACACAAGACAGTCACAAACAATGGCTGCCTTTTAACTTCCCCCGCGTCTCTCCGTCGACTAACAGCCGACACATTGGATTACCCAATCATACCCACTCTCCCCACTTCAACTACAACCTCAGAGCCTTCCTTTTTGGAACCTCTGAACTCAAGTCTAGCCTCGCGCAACTTTAGTTCGCCGTCTCCCCTCCCGTTCGACTTCACGTCGACCATCACGGCTTCCCAACAGTCATCATGGCTTTCTTCACCAGCTCCCAACGCCTCTCGGCAACCACAAAATACGAGTCAACACGCATTCGCCCATCCGCAGTCGGACTTTGTGCTCTACGAAACACCACCGGTCTCCCAACGGCCTCTGCGAGCACCGAGCGCTCCTCAGCCTGGGCATACGTTTAACAACGGCCAGCACTTCTACGCAAATTCTGCCCCGTCATCTACTACAGAATTCCAACAGCCACGGTTACGCCAACGTCCTCCGGTTCCACTGTTCCCCAGCTCTAGCAACAACACTCCCCAACTGCACAACGTCACAAACATGGCAGGTACGACGCACGCTTTCCCCGCTCTCGATCGCGAGCTCACCTTCCCCGCAGACTTGAATAGCAACAACTCCTTCGACTCGGGTGCGAGCCTGATGTCTAACTTCAACAACGGAGTCTTCTCTATGGACTCGGTGTCCGCATTCACGGCGATCAACGATCCTTCAGTTGCCGCCGGGTCTACGCGCACCGTGTCCCCCAAGGACATCTTCAATGATGCCTTTGGGTCTGCACCCCCTTCTGCGGCGTTTACCAACTTAACTTCCCCTGATATTGGTGACTCCCCTTTCATCAACGATAGCTTCGAGTGCTCCCCGATGTTCAACGGCGAGCCTGTTATTTCCGATACGAGCGACTGGTTCTCCTTGTTCCCTGAGCAGGAGACCAAGGTTCCTGATACTGTCTACGCACCTGCCATCTCCATGCCCATGGACCGCACTATCAGCAGCCAGTCTATGGAGCGATCCGGTTCTTCCAGCACCGGCTCTCCTCTCGTTTTGGACAACTACTCTCGACGAAAGTCATCCGTCACCAACTCACCTGCAATAAACGGCATCAGCAAGTCTCGTCGGCGCAAGGGTCCTCTGCCCAGCATCACCGTCGATCCTAGTGACAAGATCGCCTTGAAGCGAGCACGCAATACTCTTGCTGCTCGTGAGTCGCGTCAAAGGAAGTTCGACCATGTCAGCACTCTCGAACAGCGCAACTCTGAGCTCGAAGCTGAAGTCGAAAAGTGGAAGAGCATTGCTATGGCTCATGGATACAGCGGACAATGAATGTCCTCGTCTCTCTCATATGGTTCCCGGTGGTCGTAAGGAGCTGGTGAAGAAACCAGCCTTGCCTTTCGGCAAAAGTTTTCCTTTCCGTGTTGTTTCTCGCGGTATTTCCTTTTGCTTCTGTCGCCTTCCTATCTCCGGATGGATGGTGTTTTCGCGCTTTTGCTCTTACATTGTTATCGCCGGTGTGCAGTCTCCCCTTGTGGTTTTCGATTGACTCCGCCTGGTGTAGGTGGTAATGTGGTGTTGTTCGTTTCTGATCGATGCATCCATAGTTGAGGAGCGCTTTCGTGGTGAAGTCTCCGGGATAGTCTCCTTATACATACCTGATATTCATAAATGACTCTATGTAGTTGTGACTCTTGTGATGTTCTATGACTCAGCCTTGTCCAACACTGGCTGCAGTGTTAATGACTGTTGGTTATGGCTCACATTGACACAGGGTGATCAAGTTCGAATTGACATGACGTGTGCTATTGTACAACAATATGCGCAATGTCAGCGATACCACGACATGCGATACGGTCTACTGGATTGTTGTCTTGGTGCGCATGTTGGTTTGGCTGAGCGTAGACGTGGCGATGTTCAGTACAGCAACTCGAGGCAAAACGATTCACTCCTCTAACCACACCAGTGTATGCTATAACGATATCTCAGCGTAACTGAAGCCGAGCAATCCCCAGCAATCTATCGTCGTGCCATATCCGCGAGTGGGCTCCACTCGCTTGACATTATAGTCCCTAGTGGGGCGCCCCCGCATCGAGTGCAAAGCCTTCACCCCTCGCTCGTACCGTGAGACATGACCACTTCAAGTATATAAAACCGTATAACACCTCGATATACATGAAGCAATCAACGGCAAGATGGCCGAGATTGCTGTTCAGGGGAAAGTGGCCACGGCTAGACTTGCAGCTGTAGGTTATTCGGTATGCATAGTAGATGCGCCTTTCACTTCCCCATAGGATGAGCGGTTGACGACGACGATCGTAGGTGGGCAATACCCTACTGCCGCCCTATGTCGAATTGACAATCCTCCAATTGCATGTCCTATCATCAACACCAACGATATATGAAACGCCCATTCTACCGCAAAATCCCCTCACAGACTGGGGAAACTATGTACACGCACCAGATCAATGGCTTGGGTATCTCCAAAATAACATTAGTGTTCCCGTGTGTGAAGTTTGGCCTGAAGTAACGCGCATATCTGTGCCTGGCTGGACGGTACAAGGCTTACTTCACCTGCATCAACTGCACGCTCTCCAAACCTCCTCCTAGCCCATTTGCATCTTTTGGTCGTCTTGCTGAGGCTCTTTTGATGAGATTGATAGGCCCTCCATGGCAAGCTTGGCCATGTACTCGTCGACCATGAGCTTGATGTTGCGATATTGAGCGCTGTCAATGCCGAACGTTGCAAGCGCGTTGCGAAGGGAAGATTGGAGCTAGGGCGAGTTAGCCGTATGCCAGCCTACTGCTACGCACAGCATTACTTCGAGGTAGAAAGGACATGACATAACTTACGGACATGAGCAAGTCGTCTGGCTGAGCTGCCATGGCCACCTCTTGATGGCGGAGCACTGGGGTCTTCGATATGGCTTATCTGTTCCCGACGTTGGTGCTGCGTACGATGAATCAGCGAGTAAAAGCGAGAGGTATGGAGACGCTCTAGATGTCCAGTCAGTTCTTTTGAGTCACGAGCCCTAAGCTGGGCTGGGTATACCCTAGTGACCTTTCGAAGATTAGTGTTCTACTAGAGTTGCTGGACACTCCAAAGGTTATCTCTCTTGCACTTTGACACATGGGTCCACTAGGCAACACTTCTATGTTCGGAACAAAAAAAAAGCAAAAAAAGAGCAAAAAAGAAGACAAAAAGATGTTGATGAGGGTGGGATTCGAACCCACGCCATTTCTGACTGCGGAAGTTGCTTAGAAACCTAAACGCAGCGCCTTAACCACTCGGCCACCTCACCGTAAGTTGTTCGATGAATGAGTTCAAAAATCAAAATAATATATCCCATTTGTTACAGCAGTCGGCTTTATCCAACGCCGGAGCAAGAGTTTGCACTTGACCTGTGCGGCGTACTATGATGATGAGGGAGTTCATCTTCCAAGAGCTAAGTGCGATAGGACTAGGCCATATGCTAGTTGGCATCGTCATCGTGTCATGCCGTCTTGTTGGAGCAATGGCCAAAGCACAGCCAATCTGCCATGCTTATTCATCCAAACTCGAAAGGGACCTGACGTCTTCACACTCTCCAACTCTGCATCCTACATTGACCAAAATACATCATTTTTCCTCTAGAATTTGGAGTCCTGCTGTAGTGTGCCTTTCCGTTCCCATCGCGGTACCATCTCGCGTTTATAAGCCTCTTATCCAATAGAGGGTCACAGAACGAGCTTCGTAGTCTTCAAAGTGGTAGCTAGTAAAACTACATCCCTTACCAGTGCCATTGTCAATTTATATTCTCTACTTTCAAACTACAGGCGTGGAGAGCTGAGAGGCGCATTGCGAGCATGTACTACTCAGCTGTAGCCATGCATAGGCGCACAACCAGCGATCCTCGTTTAGTGAGGCTCGCTAGGAAACAAGAGCAGGCTTCAGAACATACGCTGAAGAAACAGGGGCGCAGTGCGAGTGCTGCCACGTAGAAGTAGCTCACATAGGCGCACAATCAGTAAGGCTCATCCAGCGAGGCTCGCGAGAAGATAGGAACAGGTGCTGGGAACTAAGATGTGTGCTATGGGTACACATCACTTCAATGCAGCCACGCGGAGCTCCTCAGTCACTATGGACCCTGATACGGAAGCGTTGATGGCTGCGGTGGCGAGGTTTGGCGCGTCCCGTTGCGCTGTCGCGCTCTGCATGCGCTTCGAAACTCGACGAGCCTCAAGCTTCACTGCACCGCAAGCCTCGTCCACGCACCTATCCCATCCCGCATCACCTCAGAATGAAGAAGCAGACGACAATAAAGAACTTTTTTTCGAAACGTTCATCCCCCGATGCTGCGCATGACGATGCCACCCCGAAGCGCCCGAAACTCGGCTCGCAATCGGCTGTAGCCACAGAAGAAGCTCCTCCCATCGTCGGAGAAGAGCCAAACCTCGTTAAGGAAGAGTCTATAGATTTCTAAGCGTATATTGAGCTCATCAACGCCCTCCTTTCTAAAGTCAATGTCAACGACAGGCCATTCTGGGAGAACCTGTTAGGCGAATTGCACGAGAGGCTACCGGACGAGCAGCAGGAAGAGGAGGCTGCGGACGAAGCCGTAGCTACACAAAGCATATTTTTAACCGCCATACAGTCATTTCTGCGGCGGTAGATTTATGTCTGCCCATTTAAAGCTGTAGGAAGATGCAGCCACGAGACAAGCTTCTTCGATGCGTACAGGGGCTTTTGCCGTCACGTCCTTGATGAGCACTCAGATGATGGCGTAGTGGTTAGCTACGCGGTTTCAAAGATTGAAGACGGCACAGCAAAGATCCCTTGCCCAAACGGCCGCACACACATGTCGGTCACTCACCAAAGGGCCAACCACCATGCCAAAAACGAGGATTGCACCGCTACGCCCCCAGCATCCATGCAGTGCCCTTGGCACCCCTACACTGTGTGCTCTGCATCTAGGACAGCACGGGCATTAGCAAGCTACCATCGCAGCCACGAGCAAGACTTGCATGGCCCCTACCAATGTTCAAAGGCTGCATACGGCAAGTTCTTTGCATCCCTATACGTTTTTGCTAGCCATGAAGAACGCTGCGACAAGAGAGAGGCCACCCTTAGCAGCACCAGCTACCGCTTCGCTCTGACAAAGGCCGCAGAGATCAGCCACCCACACAGGATCATCATTGTTAATCGCAGTTCCTCACATCCTCCGAAGGAGTGGAAAGCGAAGACACGAAGCATACATGAGAGTCTCCCTGTCATTGGAAAGCCAATCCTGGCGCACTATGTTGCAATGGGCAACAGCAGTGAAGGATCTGGAATCTCCGCTGTCTTGCAGAGCTGCTCAACTGCTCGACACGGCAGCTTCCCGCACCGGCGGTCAATCAGAGTGTCTCCCAGAAGAACCTTCACCAGCGCCTCTCCCTTCACAGGGCTTTCAAGTTCACCGCAGCGATCGTTGGAGATATCCAGGCCGCCAATGACTCCGGCATCACACCTCTCCTCATCTCGGTAGGCCTAGACGGCTGGACCTGTGACGTGAGGATGATTTTTCCGTGGCTGCAAGCCTCAAACCTCCTGTTTGAGCTGGTCATTCCAACCGCGAAGCCGGTATATGGCATGACAGGTCGTTTTGCAGAGAAACATGGCGATATCTACTGGTGGACATACCAGGCCAAGGCAATCTTGCAGGCGCTGAAGCAAGGTGCTGGTCACGATGGAATGACAGACGAGCTGATTGCCGCCTGGTAGCACCTCCAGTCCAGCGAAGAGGTTGCTTTTGGCATGTAGTGCGGCCGCATTACAGTCGACACAAATCCCCAGTTTCCCGAGGTCGAACAAGCCAGCTATGCAATCGGCTTCCGTCACTTTCATGCCTGCTTGCCCCTTGTAAAGGTCTTTTATAGTAGTCGCTGAGACCATTGTCAAGCTGAGCCGTTTGCTTCTCTGCTCAAGTCGAGTGGGCGAGTGCCTGAAGGTAAGGCAGCCACAGATCTAGATGCAGCGAAAGATATCGTCAAGGGGTTGTTATTGAGCACCTTTCATCCTACGGGTACGTGTGTCATGATGCTGAAGGAACTCGATGGTGTCGTGGATAGCAGACTAAAGATATACGGCACAAAGAACCTGAGGGTTGTACGCGTCAATCTTTCCGATGGAGGCGTTGGGAAACATCCAGGCGACAGTCTATGCGGTGGCGGAGAAGGCAGCAGACCTTATCAAGAGGGACTGGACGAAGTAGTAGTGATCTGCAAATGTATCTGAGTGCCTAAACTTCATCCACATCAGCCGCCACCAGAACCATTATCCTGGAGTGTCGTAGCTCTTAGGCGACCAACTCGACAGCGTCATAAATCCTCAAAGCTCCAATTACCCACTAAGCCAACCTGTTAGGCTTGTGGTGAAGGCATTAGACACAACACGTGTGCGGCAGTGCAACAGGCAGCAGGAGTAGGCAGTAGTCACATGGACGCTAAACTAGTGCAGCACGGTCCATCCCAGCTGTCTATATCAACCCACCCTTCCCACGTCCCTCTCTCGCTCATCAGCTCTCTTTGCCTAAGGCTTAGATCAAGTGTAGTATCTGTTCTTTATAGTTTAATCGCTATAACGCCACTCTCGGTGGCTTTCGGTTATCTTTATTTTTGTACCAAGACCTTGGGTCCCTGAGCTTGCTCATACCCGAGACATAGTGTCGCCAGTATCATGCACTACCTCTGGCAGACGCGAACTTTTTCATTGAGTGTTTTCGCTTGCGAAAACCTTGAGGAAGAAACAAAAACTTGCTCTCTCCAAATCATGCTCGAAATGGCTCTGAACAACACCTACACAGGCAAGCTGAGATCGCCTAACCCCAAACGCCCTACCGCAGAGTCCTAGCGCCACCGGAACCTACCATATACGCTGACGTTGTGCTAGTCACAACGCTCACCCCTCCACAACTCTTCAGACTAACCACTCTCAAAGATGAGTGGTAATACAAGACCAAAGAAGAAGCGGAGAGGCGGGCCTCGTAGTAGAACAGGTATGTCTCATTCAAATTTGCAATCAAGCCCAGATAGGCTAATCTCATCAAGGCTGGTACGTTGCTGTCCTCGTCGTGAAAATCTTTACTTTGGACTAATTATGTTGGTCCAGCGCTACCTGCAAACGCCGCCACACACGCTGCGATGAGAAGAAGCCTGTGTGCGGGAACTGTGAACGCCTGAATCTTGAGTGCGAGCCATCCGAAGAGGTTGCGTGGGCTGCTTCCCATACCGACACAATACGAGATCAACCAGACAATGATGCGCCTTTACTTGTTGACGTGTTCAGGACACGTATGAACGATCTCGATCTCTCCCAAGATCCGTTATTAGGTCAGAATTACATACCTGTAACTGGAATTACACCACCAGGACCGACCGGCTCGAATGGTCTGAAGAAGATACGATTGACTCCCGAAAGCGCTTTCCTTCTCCAGACCTACGTACGTACTGTCGCTACCTGGATGGATATTTTTGATCATAGTAGTACTTTCCAGCATAAGATTCCACAGCTAGTCCTGGCATCACCACTCCTGTTCCATTGCGTGTGCGCTTTCACCGCCAATTACCTAGCCCTTTCGAACTCGAGCCATGACCCTTCTTGGCAAGTCACAGCTGGCAAGCACTATGGTGAATCTTTGCGCCTGCTAATAGAAGCTTTGAGTATGCCGTCGCACGAACATGCGCTGACCGCCAGTATGCTGCTCTTGAGCTACGAGATTCACGGAGCTTTGCGGTCTGAAGACTATCGCCGTCATTTTCTAGGCCTTACAGTACTCATCAAGTCGCGGCATGTTACTGCGCAGTCGAGCGGAACGGACCTTGCGAATTTCTGGATCTATGTTCGACACGAGATCGTTGTTGCGATGGCGAGCGAGCAGCCACTGATACTGGACCCTGCAGAATGGGAGGTATCTTGGATTGAGGGCGAGACTAGAGAAGATGTGCTTGGAAATCATGTTCTCTGGATACTAGCGAGAGTAATTAACCTCATCTTTGGCCCAGATGGTCGAACAGCAGCCGGTAAAGAACAACGTCAGAACTTCTTGCATGAAATAGAGATATGGCGCAGGGGACTCTCCGATACCTTCGTGGGCATCCCATATGGTGATAAAGACGCGGATGGCTTTTGCAAAGTGTACTTCCCAGTGGCTGCTGCTGCCGCTGCGGCGTTTTGTGCGTACATCTGTGTTATCGACTCTCAATGCATTCTAACATCTCTAGGGTACCATATAACACATATCCTGCTCTATGCGGAGCCGGAACTCCAAGACGAAGCCTACATCCCTCTAATCCAGGAGCAAGCTATGAGAATTACTGACATAGCCATATCGGACTTCCCCCCAGCGCTAATGGTCTTCTCTACGCATGGTTTGTTTTACGGTACGTATTCGTTCTTACAACTGCATATTGTCACACAACAAACCCATCGCAAAGCTGACTCTGGTGAAATGCAGCCGCGAAGCATATACACAGTATATCAAGAAAATCACGCATCTGGAACATTCTCAATGAAGTTGAACGCCAAACTGGATACAATACAGGAACGACTGTGAGGCTTCTCCAAACCTTAGTCGAAGAAGACGCGCAACGTCACAACGAAAGCATCCCGCGAACTACTCCCACAACTCAGAACGGGACCTGATCCAAATGCGACGGCGGAGGACCCCGTGTCTTACGAGTTTCTTCGTACTTAGTAGCTGGGCATCATCCGATATCGGAACGAGCCGCCTTGTCGATCAGCCTCAGGCACAAATGAAGCCAACAATTGACCGAGCACAGCGGCGAAATCTCCTGGAATGGTGGTGGTTATGGTGCGCTGTCAAGACTCTTGGCCTATCGCTTCGCACGAACGTAGCCACAGCGGCAAGGCTCCAGGCTAGTGGCGCGCAGAGTATACCTGTCACTGGCATCCATTACCGTCACCCACGTACCTACTCAGGCCCAACATGGTTCGTGGATTGCGCTTTAAGGCGTCCCTAGTATATCAATTAATCAACCTGGCCGGGGTCGATCTAGGCTTTACAATTTTTCTTCGTCGAACACATACTCAAGACCAACCTGTGACAAACCTGTGAGTTTCATTTTAAAATCGCGCGCTGCGAGAAGGATCGAGCATAGGCGAGGCTTCGCCACATGCACAGCCCAGACACCCTGAACACACTCGGTTAGGCAGCAACATAGAGAGTCGAGAGATGTTCCATGTTCAAGTAAGCGACTGGGCAACGCGAATCAGCAGCCTTCCCAAGACCTCCGTAAACAGATCGCATGAATTTGCCTAGTTTTTGGATGCCATTCACGTCAGAGTTTCGTTTGAATGGGTATTCACTCAGCCACTGGCGAAAAATCGTTTTCGCATAGCCTCGACCAAAACAATGGTACTGACTTCTAGATATACTTGCCACTCTAACCAGCTTCTAGCGTTGTCTCATGCTCATTATACCACACTTCATTATGGCACCTCCACCCGATTCCCAGGAGGACCGTGCAGCGTTCGTTGATGCTTGTATCGCCGCCAAGCAAAGGAAAGCGCGGGATGTCTGGGAGTCACTTGGCTTGACCAGTGGGAAGGCCAATGACTTACAGAAAGGGTATTTTGCGAAGGAAGAAGCCAACGAACTTCAGGCAGACGTTGAGCAGATAGCAAAGTTGTTTACTACGTCTCATCGTTGCAAATTGGAGGAGTCAAAATCCTACTTGGCGGATGAGAACGCCTTCTCCGATGACGTTTCCAAGCTTGGACAGAAGTACGGAGCAAAGATATGGGGTCGTTTAGAAGATGGCGAGATACGCTTGTCAGGTCAATCTCAAGGAAGTGATAACGATCAGTATGACTGGGATGACGCTGGAGGCCGCAAGAAGTGAGTTTCCTGTTGGGGTATAACAGTTGACTTTATTAATTATATTAAAGCATTCTCTTTTTCATCCGCTGCTGGATCATATGTATCGTCGTAGCTCCACGAAAAGGGAAAGGGAAAGGGCGAGCCCGGGAGTCAGGTCCATCTGCAGACCAACACAGCCATACCATTATCGACCTCTCGGATCCTGGTAGTCCCGTTACTCCAGGTATGTCGTTTCGGGCACCAGAGCCACCGTGCATGTATCCAACGCCTGAACCACGCCGAGAGGCGACAACCACCGGTGCTAGCGATAAGACTTCGAGCACTTTGCTCAGCTCCGCGACTCATGCTAGGAGTAACAGCAGCACGACACCAAGTAAGAGAAAAGCGCACGACCCTCACGAACGGACGCCTCCTGGGAAACTGCCGAAGCCTTCGAAGAGCGTTCAAAGAGTTCCATTACTCTCTCAAGAGCGACGAGATCCCTACTCTATTCCCAGATCCCCTCCTGCATTTCCAAATCTGAAGCACTCGTCATTCGAGAGACGAAGAGAGACCACATATGATACAGATGCGACATGGGTGCCGCCTCGAGAAGCAACGGCAGACACGGAAACAGTGGTCGATGGGGAAGAGGTTCATCCTGAGGAAGTTGGTAAGTGCAGCGATCCGAGAAAAGAACAAGCGTTTGAGCTCACTCATATCTCAGATTCGTGCCTGCAGAATGCTATTGCCATGGCCCACGAAGACGAAATGCAGTACGAGTATGAAGATGAGAACGCCGCTGGCCCATCGGGTACCAATCGAAACCTTCTCAGACAAGACTCGGTTATCCCGAATGACGCAAGAGACGCTGATATCCATCCCTCAATCGATGAACCTTGCCAAAACGAGGACACAACAAGCGATGCGTACAACGACGCGATCATACAATCCCTCATATCCGACTCGGAACCTGCAAACAAGCAAAACCGTTCCTACCGCCTCGAGCTCTTCAAACTCCTCGTTTCCTACCTTGATGGCATTAAACAGTTCGAATCCATTAGCCACGACTTCGCCGCCGAAGAACGTATGAACTTCCTGCTCAACCATTTCCAGTGCACCGACACAGCAACTTGGCGTTCCAACCACAGCGGCAGCGCTGTTCGCTTGCACTTCGCATTGGAACGATGGATGAGTATGCGCCACCGCCTAAGCGCTTTCCGCAGTGCAACGGGCTGCTTCGGCCAACCGGGTCAGCAGTGGGAGGAGTTTCTGCGGGGTCTGGACAATGTTCCGCATGCGGAGGCTATCTTGGCTTTTGTAGAGTTGAAGGATGATGGAGAGTTAGAAGAGGGGAGAGAGCTTGTTGCAAGACATGGGTTTGATGAGGATCTTATGGTGGTGTTTGATGGGTTGACGAGGATGAAGGGGTGTAACGGGCCGGAGGCATTCAAGGGCGTGAAAAAGTTTAACAAAGCGTTGCTGAAATGGTTTGAGGAGTGAGCGGGTTGACTGGAATCATGACTATGACGATGCAAATGATCTTTCAGTTCCTGTACTAGTAAACATTCACTTTTCGAATCGTCCCTTTTGGTTTCCTTTCACGACGCAATAGGCGAGTCTTTCGGTACCTGAAATGACACTGGATTGAATCTTGTAAAGAAGGAGATCTAGTATGCAAGAGGAAAACACATAGAGACATGAGAAAACTGCGGCTTATGCTTCCCCCCAACACACCTATTCCGACCATGGTATCTTTGATGCCGCCACTTTGGTTCCTCCAAACTACCCGTGCCGCAACGCCCTATGTGAAACTCCATTTTGTGAACCTCAAGCCGCCACACGCGGAGTGGCCATCCATGCGGTCGAATTACCGATGCCCGTATAAACACCATTCGTAAATTCCCTTTGCAACGCCATCGATATATATGTATGCTCAAACGCCGTGTCGTCCATCATGCTCATGACTGCTCGTTGATGTGACCGTTCGTTGTAGTCATGACAGGTACATGAACCTTGACGGTAGAGATGTGGTCTTGTTCATCGGTAATGGCCACCTCGGTTGTCTGGCCATCGGGTATCATCTTATGTTCTAGACTCCAGCCCGCCCTTCGCGCCAATTCGGCCACGACAACGTCGCAGTCACCGAGGAGGTTGATGTCAAAGTTGATGTGGTGGATCGGATCTCGCGAGATGTAGATTTGCGGCACGTCGCGGGGTAGGAAGTTTGGGATCTCCGACACGGGAGCCACTTTCATGCTGGTGCCCATTACAATGACGAGATCCACCTTGTCTTTATCGACGTCTTTCAGCCGATCGAAGAAGTCGTTGGGAAGGGCTTCGCCGAAGAAGGTGATGTCGGGCTTCATGATGCCTGGCTGTGGGATGTCGAATGCGCCATCTGACTCGGAGTCTTCGTCGCTCGATCGCTTCTTCCTGCTGCCGTTGCCATTGGAAGTCCGCTTGCGCTTCTTGCTGGGCTGCGCAGCAATCTGCTCTTTACACCGCTTGCACTCGGCTGGCTTTTGCGCGCGCACACAGTCGAAGATGTCCTCGCCTGGCACCTTGAACTTGCATTTCCTACATGTGGCAGTCGCCCATGAGCCGTGGCACTGGATGAGCTTCTCCTTGCGTATGCCCGCATGTGCCTCTACATTGTCAATGTTTTGTGTGTAGTTTGTGAGTAGCTTCTGCTTGTCCTGTAGTAGACGTATGAACTCGTGCGTGGGCGTCCACTTTTCAAGATCGGGTATGATGTCGCCGGCTAGCGCGTAGAAGGTCTTGGGGTTCTCGTCGAAGTTGTGGATGTCAAAGACCTCCTCGGGCTCGTCGAAACCCATCTCTCGGAGTCGCGAGTAGAAACCCGTGTTCTTGGAGCGGAAGTCGGGTATGCCGAGGCTCGTCGATATGCCCGCACCGGTAATGACCATGATGTTGTTGCGTTCGCGTAGCAGTTTGGCCGCGTCGTCGATGGTCTTATACTGAGCAAGTCGCGGGCGCTTGTTCAGTTCGCGGTTGATGGCCAGTCCCAGCAGCTGGTAGAAGTTTTCGTCGGGCGCATCCTCGAGGAACTTGGGTATCTTGACGCCGAAGGCGGTGCACAGCTTGCGCGCCGTCATCTTCTCGCTGGTGATGTTCTCCATGACGAAAGCGCTCGCGCCAATCTGGTGGAGTCTTTGGCGCAAGCGGCGTGCTTCGTCGGCGGTGCATGTGTCTACGCCTATGCGAGTGTCAATGGTGGTTATGGTCAGAGGCGCACACCAGGCCAGACTCACCATCGTCCGAGTACTCAAAGGCTTCCACTTCGTCTAGAATCTCCTCGTACAGGGAGGCTTGGTCCCACGCGCCGCCATCTTCGTCATCATGCTCGGGCGCAGGCGCGTCCTCGTCTCTGGATTTGGTCGCGCCTCCCGCTCCTGGTTCCGCCTTGATGCCCGCAGCAGGCGGCGAGGCGGGGTGCTGGGCAACGGCGGGTCCCTCTGAGGGATGGGCAGCCATGGTGTTGTCTCCCGCGTACACTCGCTGTCAACCAGTGTTACGAGTGGAGGGTTGAAGCGAAAGGTGGTCCGACGGGTAAGTTGGAGACACACGACACTAGCCTCCTTTAGGCTGGGCGGAGATGGCCGAACTTAGTTTGCCATCCTCCCGGACTACTTCGGTGGATAACGTCCATGGATGCGCTGCGAGTTGTCGTCGTCTGCTTCGCCAATCTCAGCACATACAAGTATGCAGTATCGAACAAATATGCATGAGTTGCGCACCGCGACGCAGCCACCCGGAACTTAAGACTAACAGACAAATCACAGCAGGAATAATGCACCTTTCGGCATACCGAGCCCCTCGTTGATTGGCTCCCCCACTGTCCCGCATGCCTGCTACTCGTCGCTTTTTCGTTCAATGTCCTGTACAAGGCTCTATGCTTGTCGTATAGTCAAGATGAAAAAACTACTTGTTCTCATTCTGTCGCTGTTTTTTTTTTTCTCGACTCTTCATGGCTTCAATAACTACCGGGCTGGTCTCTTCTTCACTTCCCACAACCGGACGATTGCTGGTTGACAGCCTTGACAATCTTGTACAACCACCTTCAATTCTAGCCTCGCCTAGAAGTCGATACCGCGAGGCTTCCATGTTACCCAACCCGCTACAATCTAGAAACGGCACGTTTCCATCGAGCAAGTTGGAATCACTTCCCGCTGAAATAGTTGACCAGATACTGTCCTATCTCATACACCCTTGCTGCCGCTTACCAGGTCTCACCGAGGCTCAGAGCAGATACGACGTTTCGGAAAAACAGAAGCGGAGTATCAAGGACCAAGAAGACCTTACTCAAACACCAGACAGCCATCGTTGGGCTGCTGACATCTTTTCACTGCACTTACACTCTCATCCCTTCAATACTCTCTCGCTCACGTCCAGGCGGTGCAATGAGTTCGTCGAGGGGTACTGCTTACATCTCGTTCGGCAATGCAACATGTTCAACCTACCGTTCGCCCAATTGGACAGGTACGGCATTGTGTACCCTGATCTCAGTCATATCGTATACCGACGACTTTGGCTGCAACGTGCTCCACGGCGATGCATCTATTGCTCTGCAGTACTAGACAACTATCCCTTTCCACTTGTCAAACGAATCGTTACGACTTGTGAAGGGTGCTTTTATCGTCAGACCTTGGTGTGTATCATCTGATCATGGCTTCTGGCCTTCATTTGCATGGGCTAACGAAAGTTTGTAGACCGTTGACGAAGTTCAGATGCAATACCACATCTCCACTGCAACTTTTCTCGCCTCTCGACACATCAGAGGCAATCCTGGTTCAGTATGGGTCTTACGCACCGATGTGGAAGAGCTGGCCCTGCAACTCTACCGTACCCGAGAATTCCACAATGCTCGAAAAGAGCAACTTGGCAAGCCGTGCTCTCTCTGTGCTATCACCAGGTTTAGACCGGGGTACCATATCGGCAAGCCACGGCCAAACCAAAAGGCGACTGTACGCTTGGTAGTAAAGAATCGTCCAACGAAGCGTTCGGCGCGATCTTGATTAATGCACGGTAATCCCTTTTGTTCAGGCTGTCTTCTTACCCCACCATCTTCTTCTTTTCTCCAGCAATGCTATGAATTTGTCTGCTGAAAGCGAGGCTCCCTTCTGGACCTAGGTTATACTTCGTCTTTGAACAACTCTTGATTGTATGTTAAGTCTCCGCTTTGCTTCCTGGGCCTCGATCGTACATACAAATCATATCTTTGGGTCCTTGATTGATATGCATAATGTATATCCCCTCATTTGCAATTTCACGCAACCTCGGCTCGATGCATTGAGGGCCTATATACACACCGGTCCACTAATGGCACTACGAAATACTACGACAAATATAATTTCGGAATGTGTTTGTTCCAATCTTGATGTTAGCAGTTTTCTTCTTCACACTTCTAATGAGGCGATACATAGAGCTTGTGAATCCAGCCAAACTTGGTGGGAGAAATTCAGCATTCTGTTCTCTCGTGCAAATTCAGACTTTATATACAAAATGGTTATGTACTTGACAAAACATTTACAATACTGCAGGTTGGTGTTCACATGTCAACGCGTTGGGCCATGCGTCATAGGGCTGCGCAACGCGTTTCCTTGCCGAAGGCCCACGCGACAAAAGTTCGGCCCGCGTTCTTTGCGCAACACCAACGTATTACCAGTCGCACCTGTGCCAGCCCCACGCCCTCTCTCGTCATAAACCGTACAATATGCTCGATATACACCGTCCCGATTCCGCGCCCGATACCAAAATCTACTTCTCCCACTGCGTCCTACCGTCCTACATCGACCCGCAAAATGTCTCGACGAAGAAGAAGCCCTTCTCAGCTTTCAATAAGCAGAAATACAGCCATACTATGGACCTAATCCTCCCCGAAGAGTTATACGAGCTTGTAAGGAATGAAATGGACCGCTTCGATGGTCCCGCCAGAGCGCAGTATGCGCGGGTGCATATGAAGCTTGGAGAGATTATCGAGAGCGAATTCCTAGACACCTACATCAAGCAAGGAAACATCATGATGCTCAGCGAAGGCCGACCACTCATCGACGACCGATTCGAACTATACGAAGGCACTCTGCGCATGGAGCTCACGCGCCCGACGTATGAACGATGCGGCCTCCAGGGCACCCCGATCGAAGACGGCGGCAAGAAGCACCAGAAGCAGCGATGGGTGGTGGAGTACGATCTCCGCGCAAGCTCAATGAAGCACGGGAAGAAGGGGTTCTCAAGACTAGAATGGGCGTGCAAGAATGTTTTGGATCGTTCGCTCACCTGGCTCTTCTGTAACTTGAACCCCTCCTCCGCCGAGTCGCTTGCTGAGGGAAAAGAACCGATCTCGAAGCACGCGCCTTGGCTTCACAATATTGTTCCCGAGGAGACGAGGATGGGTAATGTTATTGTGCCGCGGCTCTCCGTCAGCGACCTCACGAATCTGTATGCTGAAGAGGACGCGCTTGATCTTCTTGAGTACCTCCACATGCTGCAGCTGAAATCTCCTCGAGTGGAGAAGAACGACAATATAAATCCACATCTGTCGCGCTACGAGGTCCCAGACCTGGGAAAAGGTGTGACTTCCAAAAACTTGGTCACCGTGCGATGGAGAGGATTCATGTCGCCGGCGTTTGTGCGCAATATCTTCCTCGTGGTAAGAAAAGAAGGTTTCAAAGGCAGGAAGGGAGTCAATGGTACACAAGATGCAGACGTCGATATGGAAGGAAGCGGCATGGCGAAAGAGGACGAAGATGAGTGGTTTGCTATGAGTGCACAAGCTTTTGGAGGCAAGAATACTTGGACAGTGATACAATTTGCAGGACGCCAAACACTCGTTTGGGAGATGGAAAGCTGAGCTGAAGGATTGGACGCAACTTCATCAAAGAGAACTAAATCGCTGCATCTCTCACACGGCAGTCCCGATCTTGAGCACAAGAACATGCGTCAGATACTCGTCCACAAACCTCTCATGCACGAGAAAGAGCCTCAACCAGAGCACAGGCTCTAGGCTTGCACAGTGCGGGATAACATTCTCACCCAGCGATTCTTGGCGTAGATGTACCACCACATGGCAGCAACCAAGCAACATACCCACAGCATAGCGCTTCCGAGGGGTGTCTGGGCCCCTACAGTATGCAGTTCTCGTAGGTACAAGAGTGTACTGATACCTATTCTTGGGTGGCTTCCAATGCAGGGTGCAGGGCGACGAGATGCATGATGCCACGCACATGCGATGGCGTAAGTACTTTGTACGATGGAATGCAGTCTCGTCACTTCATCACGCTGTGTTTAGTATTGTTATTTGTGTGTTTGAGCTTGCCGTCGCATGACTTTATGCATTGCGACAGGGTGTCAGGACAGTGTATGCGGTGTATGAGAGCTTCGTTAGTATCCCTCGGTTGTTATACAATTTGTAAAGGCTACATACCGTAAAGAGTAGGTATTTAGAAAACGCATCTTCTTTGCGACCATCGTAAAGAGTTGCTCAATAGCTTTGCGCCTGTATCTTTGCACCAGCACGCTCACCATAGTAATGCGATCCGTGAAGACGTTCAGGACAGGCACCAGGTTGCAGCAATATCAAACATCGTCTTTCTCAAACTGCTGTGGGAGGCAGGGTCATTTCTTTTATAGTGTAATCAGCTACTCAGTAGAGCCTCTTCTTGCTACCCACTTTCTCCTCCGTCCAACCTGTCTTCCTCAACTGACCCTTTTATGGTACTCGGCCGGCGCACGCTATCTACACACTCGCTCTATGATAAAAAATCTCGAAAAATTCCTCCAGCATGTGACAGACCAACCACGACTTCTTGTCCCAAACCCTAGCAATGGATCAATCGCCCATCACTATCGCTACCACCAGGATCTTCACTACTATTTCGAGATTCATGCAGGGTAACGTAGCTAAAACAGAGTTTCTGTCGGCGAGCTAAGTAGACGAGAGTTTCAAGACGGATCATTGTTTAGAGTTTGTAACTACCCAATGCCCAAGGCTTGGTTCGATAGTCGCCTCGGCACAATGCTCGGTGCGAGAGATGCCCAACTTAAGAATGAGATATGAGAATTTAAGCTTCTATCAAACGTTGAGGCTCTTTTTACCTTTCGCATGAACGGCGCGAAAGCTTGCGGAGTGGCGACCGAGTTGCGTTCTTGTGCCGGTAGCAGAACACGTTGTCACGTTGTCATGTGTTATGACATTAGCAGGTGCACGGTAGACCCTGCATTTGCTCAATATTCCTACCTAGCTACTTGATTAGGCTTCAAGTTCGAGGTGTGTTTGGTAGATACATGTGGTATGTTTGTCTCGCACGATAACGTGACGCCGTCTGCTGGATACAACGTATGTGGAGCTTTTAATCACCAAACCCAGGATTCTGAAGGTGGCGTTGCATCGTTGTATGAAGGGATGTCTGCATGAGCAGCATGATCATCTCGGCGATGACAGTGCGTACATACTTGCAAGCAAGACAAGGAAGCATAGCCAGAAATCACGGGGCTTCCGTTGACCCTGACAATCTAGATATTGTCGATATCCCATGTTAGGCAGCAATGAAAGACGATGCTGATGCCGTAGTTCGGAATCCATCTCGGGACTTGTCAACACAAGCATACCGGTCCGCAGCCACTTGATAATACGGCCCTCATTTCGATGAAGCCGGGTGGAGCATTCGCTATTCGACACGAGAGCCCATGTTCGAATTCAGAGAATCAGGAGACATCAGTCAGCGTAGTACAACTTCGGGGCAATGGTACCGATGGCAAAATATTGTGGCTTTACGAAGAGGATGAACTTCACGAGCAAAGAGTCAGCGTCTTTAGTCCAGTATGCTGCCGGGGCTCTCATGCTGGTGATCGAAGGGCTTCACGCAGTGTTCTGCGTCACGCTTCCTCGTGTGTGTATGCAGCCAAGTAAGCCAGCCCTTCGAGTGGCTGATGACTGAGCTGGGATCGAGTGCCTGTCCTGAGTCAGACTTCTAGGAGCCTACCATTGCTGCAGAAGTCAGTCAGCGCATTTCCTTGCAAATATTGATTCTGAAGGGCCTGAAATACTGAGCAGACGAATAGGAGCGATCATAGGTATAATCGAGCAAATTCAACCCTGAACATGCACATCTCAGCGAGGATTCCTTGACTCTCGACTCCACGCGCCCACAGAAGCGCTGTCAACTCCACGCCTCCACTTCTATCGTGATCCGCATTACATCCCCGATAAAGTAAGGCTGTATAAGGATCTTGCGAGCTTCTGTACTCCACAATACAAACTGTTTCTCCGTCTCCACGCTCACCGGCTCGGAAAGTTTCGGCCAGAGTCTTGGCTATCGTACCTGAAGAGCTGACAGTCGCGGGGCTTTCGCCGAATCGGAGAAGTGGTTTAGGTAATCGAGTCCACTTCACGATCAGAAAACTACTTTGTTTTTCGAGGCCATACAATAGAGGTTTTGCTGTTGTGTCATTCGACACGCGACATTTGCAAAAGGAACATGGAGACAAAAAGCTTGGTACGTTGAGTAATCCACTAATTGTTCGCCTGAAGTTCAAGAAGCAAATTTCGTTCGTTTCCAAGACGGGAGAAGGAAAGCGAAAGCACGATGCGAGGCCACCCGTTGAATGCTTAGCTGCTCGCCCGAGGAAAACCAATGAGTATGCGACACTGCACATACCAAGGCGGTAGTTGGCTACCGTCCTCGTGCAGTTTTCGTTCCGATCCGCACCGCTAGTGCTTAAGGCGGGCTAAAAATACGCCTTGAGCTTGTGCTCAGGTGAGCTCGCAATCCACCACTCCACCACGGTACGAAGTGCGATCGAAAAGTTTTAGTGACGAGGTGGGCATTTCGTATAGCAAAAGCTGCGGGGTGTCTTAGTGATGACAACCCACTTGTAATCGCAAGTACCTAGTAAGCGGCTGCCCCCACATACAAGGCTGCATCGGACGATAGGAGGTAGAGTGAACATGCTGTTGGGAGATGCATGATCCATGCACGTGCAGGACCTTGTTTTCTTGGTAGCGAAAGAAAGAAAATAGCCCGTCTACTATGAGTCTAAAGTAAGGTTAAGTCTTTTAACCCTTCTCGGGGATATTGCGAAAGGTGCTGGGACGTTGCGCCTGACTTGCAATACACCAGGTCGAAATGCTGCAACTCTTGTTAGCCGCTCAGAAAGCGGAATGTTTCTGAGACACACGGTCGCTGACTTACGCCTATCGCCTAGGGGAACGAAATCATGTCATTGATAAAGCTAACGCCACATTGTCCATGTTCGTCGCGGAGATGTGCGGCGACGGAGAAGCAGGGACACGGCAATGCGCTGTTCGTTTCAATGAGCAGTCAGACGGCACGTACTTGCCGTGCCTCTTCCATCATCATCTATCTCTCACAATCATCCGTCTATGCCGTTCTCCTAGGAGGCTTCAAATTCTTTCGCTATGACACGCACACTGGTTCCAAGCGTTCGGACGTCGGAGAGGAGATCCATACCCTGGAGCGATCACATTAGCCCGTATTCCCCACCAAGCTATCAATTGGCTGAACCCACATCGTTCGATGTTTGCCACGGTACTGCGAGAAGGTGTCCACGCTACGACTTGGAGACCTGCACGGCCCTTCCAAGCTTATATTCCCACCTTCCGGGCTATTGATGTGGCAGAATGCCGGGACTTTGGTTCGTGTCACGTCAGGAAAAGTGGCTGCGCTTGCGATGCTTGCATTGTGCAAGCAATAGGTAAGCCAGCCACGAACAGGGGTTTGGCACTGGTTTGTTGGCATGAGAGTCAGTATGTTAGCGCCGATACCAGGGCGTAAAGGCGGTTGCCGTGGCGTGTCAACAGATAAGTTTGCCTCGACTTCTGCCTTGGTATCCGAGCTTTGTCGTTGCTAGCATGGCAGGGTAGGGTTCCGAACATGCCGATGGTGCATACCGTGTGTGACGTTTTGATAGCTCGAGTAGTGCAGGTGGGATGATGATGCAAGGCGCCTCTAAGTAGGTGGCAGTGTCAGTATAACAGAGGCACGACAGATTCAACAAGTACATGGTTTAGATTGTGTGGTAGGGTAAGAATCATGAATTCGTCTAATTGGTGCCATGTACAGCAGTCTTGATACATGTAATGCGCGCTCAAACAACAGCAAAGGTAAATCAAATAATTAGAGGCCTGAAACTAGCACCGAACATGGGCCACTAGGGCCGCCAGAAATGTCCACCGTGCTTCTTGCAGGCACTCACTGACGCAGTAGGAGTCACTGTCGTTGTCTTAGTAAATGTGGCGCCGAAAGTGATGACCTTGGTCGTGGTGGCAAAGGCGAGTTTGAGCTTGGTTTTTGTCGGAGTAGGCAGCGTAGTGGTCAAAGTGAGAAGTCCGGAGAGGACTGTGGGAGGTGGGAGGGTTGTCGTAGCAGAAGCTGTGAGCAGGACAGTTTCAGTCGTGGTTATCGCCGGCGCAGTCATAGTAGTAATCACTGAGACTGGAGTCCCGTAAGTGACAGTCGTCGTGGGAGCGTCAGGGGCACGGCGCTCAAGTTTTCCAGCCTTCTCCGCGCGCCTCTGCTTTGCGGCTTCAACACGAGCGCGCGCCCATTCGTAGTCGACTTCGCGGTCGCCCTTGCGAACAAAGCGGTGAAACTTGGGGATGATAGTGGGTGTCACCATAGCCGCGGGGTGGATCTTGGTGGGCGAGTACTCGCAAGGCTTGTCAGGCTTGCCAACATGAGCCGGAGTAGTGCAGGTGGCTTGGACAGTCTTAGTAGTGACACCGAAGTGCTTGGTCCAGGAGAGCTTGGTGCGGGTCATAGTCTTCGTAGAAGTCGTGGTGACTGCCTTGGGCCTGATTGTCTTGATCTTCTTGGCCGTGCCACTGGGTACGGTGACAGTCGAGGTTGGTCCAGCAGTGACAACATCAGTCGAAGTGGTGGTAATAGTTTGAGTCATTGTAGGCGTCTCAGTCATAGGTGCTGTCACTGTTGGAGTGTAGGTGGTTGTGACCTTTGTACCGACAGTCAAGTAGAGATCTGGGTTGGTCAGTAAGCGGGTCAATTATGTTGGTGAACACACGAAGCCATACCTCTTTGCCATGCGAAAGGTTGACCAAGAGTACCATCGGCGTTTTCGCCGTTGTCTCCCATGACTAGAAGTAGCCAGTGCCCTGAGGTCATCTGGTTCTTTGTGATAGGACATTTCGACAGTTCGTTCTCATTGTCAGGGGTAGTAGGGATTTGGTCGCATATGAACTCTGTTTCTCCAGGCTGTTCATCAGGTGCGATGAGCATGACATCGGCCTCGCCATCCTTGTTACAACCTTGGAAGTAAGACACAGCACTGAAGGCTTCGGTAGACGTTGAGTCAATGAAGTAACTTCCTTCATCGACAAAGTCGACACCATATGAGTAACAGATAGGAGCATTGCTGGGAACTTCGAAGGGGGGGTCGGCATTAACGAGGGTGATGGAGGCGGCAGCCACCGTGAGGAGCATAGAACGAGAGTGCATCTTGATAGTAGGCCAAGCAAACGATTGAAGATGCAGGTATGATACGCTGAATGTGATATGTAGAGTCAGTGGGCCATGACCTCTTTTGTACCTTGTATGATGGTCAAGCTGAGCAGGTTCTTCAAGAAAATACGGCTTATCTTTTGCGCATACGACTGTGCCCCGACTGCCGAGTAAGCCGGCTTGGATCGAAGATGCAATGGAAATAGTCCAATGAAAATAGTCATGGCAAGTGCTTGATCTAACACTGTCAACACGGAAGCTTAGAAGCGAACTTGTGGCAGACTGGAACATGTGGGCGGGGCAGGCGGTCAGCATTTCGTAAAGACAGTAAAGCAGTGTTTCAGCGCCTCATCAGTACTTAGCCCTCGTAAGGCGTCACATCGCTATGCAGAAGGAAGAAAAGTGGTGCCAAGTGGAGGAGGTCAAGGCGTGCGGCCGCTATGAAAGCCACTCGGAATTAGTGCCAGCCCGTGCTTGGGTTAGCGCCCATACCGCTGAACCGATCTTAGTGTTCACGTCACTTCACTCGGCCCCAACGTCCGCATATTCTTGCAGCATCCTGCCCGGTTAGTAAGTTATTCATAGCGATCACAGGTTCGTCAATCGCTGGCCAACCCGTCGCGGTGTCTCCGGTGTGTTTCTATCAGCCGTGCATGCCGATCCAGGCGTTTGTCAATCAAACTTTTACCTCCGCGCTTGTGTCTATTCGTGGGCGCATACCCGTCTACTGACATAGTCGCTTTCATGAGTGAATCTCAAGCTTTCCTAGCGGCTGGCTTGTCGGCCGTTTACTCGGATGCATAATTTGGTCATTGGATGCTATCGAGTAAGTTCCCGGGTCGGAAGGCCATCCCTGAGACCGCACGTCGAGCTACACAGCATGCATGAGAGGCACATCACACCACCTTGCAGGAGGCGAATACTGGCAAGGCTATACAGACTAAGAAATTGCCCTGAGCCCCATCCAGCTGATGATGGCTCCGATAAGCCCGCGTCTGATCGGGTCAGTACAAGCCACAACACAGGGAAACCCAACATCCATATCTGATGTTCAACGTCAGCAAGCAAATGGAAGGGATACCGTTGCTTCGAAACTTCTGTCAGCCTGACTCTGCACTCGGGTTCTGGTACCATCCTTGAAGAACCAGTGGATTGGAATACGGCTGGTCCATGTACCCTCGGTTAACCCTCGCATCTGCCGTACAATGTTATTCTGGTAACAGAGTTCAACACCCAATTGGATCCGCTTGGGTAGCTTGCCTCGGTACCTGATGGAATGGTTGTGTTCCCGTTTTCCATTCGCGTGCGTCAAGCCACATGGTCTACACAAGAAATATGCGTTCTCCATGCTTTTGTCACGTCGGAAACAGATTCTGTATCAGGACTAAGGCACGCCTTACACTGACTTCATACACCAACATCCGACTATACCCTGTGAGCTCTCGTCTCCGATAAGCATACGGTAGCTCGAAGTAGCGGCCGTGGCTCTGTGGAGTACCCGATCTGCAATTCAATAGATCTTGCATCCGACAGGGGTCTACCATCTTACGCGAGCTTATAGGATCCTTTCCCTTAGGAGTCCTTTCAACACGAGTAGGGCCGCCCATCACTCATTGTTTCTAGTAAGTTTGGAACTGCCACCGAATTAGCGCTGGTGTGGTTCCTTCACACCGGAATCCTAATACGGAGTCATGTCCGTGCACTGTCGGAAATCTTGGCTTCATCGACTTCGCCTCGTTGTCACCCAGTCGCCGATATGCTCGTAATTGATCCACTATGGTTTGCTGAGCTTCAGCCCATCGGTCTTTGTATTCACCGACAGCAGAGATTTGCCTAATCAGCGTTAACGATTAGCTTCTAACGATCGGGATCTTTCAAGTTTGCCTCGTATGATAGCACGAAGGAGAATCACTAGGGCGCTTTTACGTTGATCTTACTACCTGAACTATGCGGGTCTAATTGACATGCAGCAATAAGCGAGAAAAAGTCGGTGTCACGGCAAGGAGGGCTGGCTGACTTCGCCCTGGGCAATACCCACGGCTAAGCACGCACTGCTGCCCCATTCGATGACTTGCACTTGGGGCGTCTTTCGAGACCGAGACCAACTTCATATAAATTGACACCTGTACGTTGGTCAGCCCCTGCATTGCATTGATTAAATCCAGGGCTCATCCATCATTCATTGGCCTGGTCAGCATCTCTGCATATATACCGACCACAGTTCCGCTCTTTCCTCGCATTCATATATTGCATCCGTATATTGCAACTTAAACCACCATGTTGGTGCCCTCATTAGCCGTATGGCTTTCCTTTGGATCGCTTGCACTCGCTGGTCCACTACGGGCCGAACCGCTCTCAGATGAGTTTCCATCGTATGAGCAAATGGTCAAGAGGCAAGATGGTGCTTGTACCAACACAGCACGTACTCGCAGCTGCTGGAGCAACGGTTACAGCATCGCCACTGATTTCGATGCTAAGGCTCCTCCGGATGGCACCACTGTAACTGTAGGTACTTTCTTGCATTGTTACTTGACCCTATGCTGACATACTATAGTACAATTTTGAGATCAGCAATGTTACACGGGCCAATCCTGATGGCAGTGGTACTTCCAAAGAGATGATGCTGGTTAACGGCCAATATCCCGGTCCTACTCTGCGGGCAAAGTGGGGTGATACCGTAATCATCAATGTCAAGAACAGTCTCGAACATAATGGAACCGGTATTCACTGGCACGGTATCAGACAGTTGAACTCTTGCCAGGATGACGGAGTTCCTGGAATCACCGAATGCCCAATTGCCCCTGGTAAAACTCGCCAGTACAAGTGGAGGGCCACTCAGTTTGGTACATCTTGGTATCACTCGCATTTCTCAGCTCAATATGGTGATGGTGTCGTTGGCCCCATCATCATTGATGGACCTGCAACTGCCAACTATGATGTAGATCTTGGCGCTCTTCCCATCACCGACTGGTACTACACACCGGCCTTCACACTGAACGAGCAGGCACAGCATTCTCAGTTTGGACCTCCCAAAGCTGACAATATTTTGGTCAACGGTACTCATATCAATGCGGCCAACGACAACGGACAGTATGCCAAGATCAACGTGGTCAAGGGAAAGAAGTACCGCATTCGTCTCATCAACACAGCCGTCGACAGCACGTTCAGTGTTTCCATGGACGGTCATCCATTCACCGTCTTGACCTCCGATTTCGTGCCCATCAAGTCCTACGTCACCGACCAATTGACCCTGCAGATCGGTCAACGGTACGACGTAGTTATCACTGCTAACCAGACTGTCGATAACTACTGGTTCCGTGTCGCCGTTGGAGGGTGTGGTAGCAATGCCATGACGACGTCTGGCAAGCAACTAGGTGCTATCCTCCATTACGATGGCGCAGCCACAACCGGCAACCCCAAGTCTACCACCACAGTTACAATGCGCACGTCCTGCGACGATGAGCTCTCCAGCAACCTCGTCCCCTATGTACCTAATACCGTGCCCAACACCGTCATGGGAGATGTCCAGGGCCACAAAATGGAAGTAGATTCCTTCGCCGACCCCACCAAGAACAACCTCTTCCGCTGGCTCATTGACGGCACGCCACACATTGTAGACTGGAACAACCCGTCTCTCGAGACCGTGCTCGCCGGCTCCAAGTCCTTCGGTCCAAACGGCAATGTCTACACCATGGATGGATCTGGCTGGTACATGTGGTGGATTCAATCCACGTCCAAGATCGCACTACCCCACCCCATCCATCTCCATGGCCACGACTACTACATCGTTGGCCGTGGTGCAGGTACCTGGGACGGTTCTACCAACGGTCTCAACTTCAACAACCCCACGCGTCGTGACACCGCTGTGCTGCCGGCTGGTGGTTACATGCTCATTGCTTTCCCGGCTGACAACCCGGGCATGTGGATCATGCATTGCCATATCGCATGGCACGCGAGTCAGGGTCTCAGCCTGCAGTTCATGGAGCGCATGGGTGAGATCAAGGGTAAGTTGGGCGACACCAGTGTGCTCAAGAACGGGTGTGACGAGTGGGATTCTTACTGGGCTGAGGGGTCAGCACCAGATGCTGATAGACCTTACAACCAGACGGATTCTGGTATCTAAATGACGACTGAGATAGTTGGATACGAATTTCCTTGATGGGATTGGGTTTGGTGGTTTGAATATTGGCGTTGCCCGATTGGGTTAGAGAGGTCATGCTGCTTCACAGGGCAAGCTTATTATCTTCGTATTCGACTTCTTCATAAATATTACAAAGCACTCTATTTTCAATTCGCAATTGCTCGTATTCATTGATTCTGTGAGCTATCGTTGTATTTGTGATGCATCGAGCGCCATGGAGGTATGTATATTCTGGTCTAGAGTTCATCTTTGCCCTCATCTTTGTCCTCGTGCGCCGTCACCTTTGTTCGTGCTTGTTCGATAAGACCTTTCCGTACCATACTTGTAAGCACCTCGTAGGCGACTTGTGCCGCTGCCATTCCTGTGGTTTCTGCGGAACCATCATACGCTGGACTGACTTCTACAATGTCTGCACCAATAACGTTCATGCCTTCGATACCTCTCAATATGCGGATGAGTTCACGCGTAGTCCAACCACCCGGCTCCGGCGTTCCGGTGCCTGGTGCTAGCCCAGGGTCGATCACGTCGATGTCGATACTGAGGTAGACCGGCATCTCGGTTCCCACTCGATTCATGATAGAAGTAATAACCCCCTTTACTCCAATCTCATCGATATCGTCTGTTGCAATACGTATCCAGCCTTGCTGCGAATCGTCGACGTAGTCGTCTGGCTCATCGCCCGAAAGCCGTGTCCTCAGTCCAGCGTGCACACTGGAGCCGTTTGCGATTAGGCCTTCTGTTGATGCGATCCAGAACATACTGCCATGGTTGAAGAAAGACTGTGTAGAAGGATCTTCTTGGTCGATCCAAGCGGATGGGTACTTCGCAGGGTGCCAGGTATCCCTAAATATTGGTGTCGGAGGTCAGTACATGCCTCACATGGTTCGTACTGAGACATTGCTTACAAGTGGGCGTCAAAGTGTACTACGGCAATCGGCTGCCCATACACATCCTTTAGAGCCCTCAAAGCAGGGAGTGCGATGCTGTGATCTCCACCCAGAGTAAGCAGCTTCGGCTTCTTGAGATACTGCACGCCGCTCTCTGTACTCTTCTCGGTCGCAGGCCTCTTCCCAAGCTCAAGAAAGGCCTCGCTCATTTGTTTCAACGCCAGTGTGTTGTCAAAAGGTGTGATTGGTATATCTCCGCAGTCGACGATTTTGGCCCATGACGTGTATGGATTGAGGTTGGCTCGCGGGTTGAAACCACGGAAGGACGTTTGACGACTTGATCCTGCGCGGATTGCACGAGGACCGAATCGAGCTCCCGGTCGGTAGGAGACTGCAGTATCGAAAGGCGCACCTAGGATAGCAATGTCATATGTCGTCTCTGGATGAGTCAAGCAGCGTGTGTGCGGTAGATGGGCGAAGGTCGAGATGCCAGAAAAGCCCCACTAAGCACTTGTCAGCTGATTTGAATACTGCTGAATGTGAGACTCACATCTGTACCCCACTTCCTCTCTAGCTCATCTAGTCGTTCTTGGGAGAAAGCCTGTTGGTCTTCGACATGATGAGTTGCGTGTGAGGACACACAGGCTGCACTCGCAGCGACAGCTACCCAATTCCACCGCATGACGTCCGTGAAGTAGAACCTCGAAGATTGTAAGTGGGAAACATCGAGTTGATGTACACGTGGGTTGGCGTGTAGTGCGATCAATTATGTAAACCGCATCTTATCGTGCGTCGATGTCATTCCGATCCCGCGACCGGCGTTGCGGGGCATCCCAGAAAGGCAGGTCCATCCTCCTGTGCCCGGGGACGGTGGCATTTAATCGGCACTGCACTTGAGAAGCTCAGAGAAACCGCATGGGTTGATATCATCGAGAAGTTGAGACAAAGGATGAGATGGAAAATGAGTGGTGACGTAGCGGGCTTATCTCGTGAGAACGCGTCTCACGCTAAGCCTTCGACCCGCGACGCGACCTCACACTCAGGGTGCTCCAGCTCAACTCACGACCACAACCACATTATCTGACGTATTGCGCATCATTTCCGAGCTTTTCTAGATACTGCCTTCTGTACTCGCGAAAAATACAAAAGAGTTTGATTAAGTGCCGGCGCCATGCCCGAGGTCAGGACGCGTTCCAGTCGCCATACGCATGATAGTTGCTGATACCAGGTAGATCGCAGAAGTTGCGCGCATTGTCAGCTTCCTGAGGAAACATGCTGTTGGCAAAACCATCGAGAATGTCAAGGCACAGGAAGATAACGTGCGCCTTTCACCTCCCATCTTGACTAGAGGAAGTCAACTTACATTACCTAGATCGTCTTTGGAAAGGTCGGCACTTCAGCATCCGCCTTCCAGGAAGCCATGAGCGGAAAGAAGATATTAGACGCGCGACAACAAGGCAAATACTTTTGGCTAGTCATGGACTCACCGCCGCATCCTCTAATGCATTTTGGAATGGCAGGCTGGATGGTTCGTGGCCTCCATCTACGAACTGCGTAAGAGACATTTACTGACTTGGAATACCTGATTTAGAAGTTCAGCAACGACGAAACAGCATACTATCGTCCAACCAAGCCCGGAGAAGCAGAGTGGCCGCCCAAGTACTGGAAGTTCATCTTGCAGTTGAAAGATTCCAAGAACGAAGTCGCGTTGGTAGATGCGAGGCGGCTTGCTCGTGTTAGATTGGTAGATGCTGCTGCCGAGGACATGAGAAAAACTTCACCATTGAAAGAAAATGGACCGGATCCTGTGATCGACAAGGACATTTTAACAGTCGATTGGCTTAGTAAGAAGCTGCGGAGCAAGAAGGTGCCTGTGAAAGCATTGCTCCTTGAGTAAGTGAAGATATTGCAAGCTGATTGCATATGGAATGAAGCTGATGATTAAAAGCCAAGCGAATGTGTCGGGTATAGGCAACTGGGTTGGGTATGTTAACACATCAAAAGTTCAAAACAGAATCGCTAATACTCATAGTGACGAGGTTATGTATCAGGCTCGTTTGCATCCAGAACAATACAGCAACACCTTCAGCGATGAGCAGATCAAGCGGCTGCACGATGCCATTATGTACGTTTGCGATACTGCTGTAGCAGCCAACGGAGACTCGGATGCCTTTCCCAAAGACTGGTTGATGAAGCATCGATGGGGCAAAGGCAAAAAGGAAGCAAGCAAGCTCCCTACCGGTGAGAAGATCACATTCCTCAAGGTTGGTGGGCGAACTTCGGCCATCGTACCAAGTCTCCAGAAGAAGACAGCAGCCGTTGCTGGCGATGTGTCGGAAGGTGCAGAACAAGAGGATGCAGAAGAGGATACAAAGCCTAAGAAGGGCGGAAAAAGGAAGGCCAAGACCGTCAAAGAAAAAGACGACGAAGTTGAGGAGGAGGCGCCGGCCAAGTCAAAGCGAGGACGTAAGAACGTGAAGGAGGAAGTTAAAGAGGAGACTGTCAATGCTGTTGAAGAGAAGCTACCAGCAAGGCCGAAGCGTGGCAGCAGGAAGGCGAAAGAAGACGTTGAGGCGGTTGAGGGGAAGGCTGAGGAGGAGGTCGAGGAAGAAGCAGCTGACGAAGCTGAAGAGACGCAGCCTGTCAAGAAACGCAAGATTGCTTCGAACGGCGCCGCAAAGAAGACCAAGGTTGCTGCTACAGAGGTGGCCAAAGGCGACGCTACGACTGAAAAACGGCGATCAGGACGTCTGTCGAAGTAAATGGCTGTTGCAAAAGCACCCGAGTAGTTCCCATGGCTGTATTATGAATTGTGTCTAGTTTGTAGTGTATTTTGGTAGCTTGTTCAGATAGCTCAAGAATCTTGCGCTATTTCCAGCATGTGTCTCAGCGAAGACGATGTAACAACTGCATCCAGGCGGGGTGTAGAGATGCGCACGTGCATGACGAGGTCGAGGTGCGGGCGCTGTGGTCCTAGCACTCCGACATCGAATTTCAGAGCTCCCCACACACGACGTAGTGCCACATCCGCTACCAGCCACCAATACAACGGCTGTTTGTTCAACAACCATTGTCGCAATGATATACTGCGCCGACTAAATCATCCTCCCATCAACCTGAGCCCCTTCCAATCCCGTCGCAATTGCGTCAACTTCTCAATTCCGACTGGAAGTAATTCGTAGACGGAACCTCATCCACGCTTCGCATCTTCCAGACACACAACCGTCGCGATGCCACAACCACTTCCCAGCAAGGAGCAGACGCTCTTCCGATCGCTCGTCAAATTCTATGAGGGCAAGCTATATAAGAAGGGTACGCGTCAATCCAAGGACGACAGACACCACCGCTGACCCCGCCAGGCCTGAAAGCTGCCGAGCAGATCTTGAAGAAGCACCCCACACATGGCGACACCCAAGCGATGAAGGCCCTGATTCTCAACTCTCAGGGCCAGGGTGACGAGGCCTTCGCTCTCTGCAAAGAAGCCCTCCGTAACGACATGAAGTCGCACATCTGCTGGCACGTCTACGGCTTGTTATGGCGATCGGTCAAGAACTATCCCGAGGCGATCAAGTCCTACAAGATGGCTCTGCGCTTGGAGCCTGGCTCGTTGAATATTCTCCGCGATCTCGCGCTTCTCCAATGCCAGGTCCGCGACTATGAAGGATACATCGAGAGTCGGCGAAAGATGATGCAAGAGCGGCCGCAGCTGCGACAGAACTGGACGGCATTGGCGGTAGCTTACCATCTGTCGGGCAATTACGCCGAGGCCGAGAATATCCTCAAGACCTATGAAGAGACACTCAAGCAGCCCCCGTCCAAGCAGGATCTCGAGCACTCGGAAGCGACCCTCTACAAGAACATGATAATATACGAGTCTGGGGACGTGGAGCGTGCGCTGAAGCACTTGGATGAAGTGATGCGGGTTAGTCTGGATCGAAGCGCTGCGCTGGAATTGAAGGCAAAATACCTCCTAGAACTCGGACAGAAAGAGGAGGCTGAGAAGGCCTACAGGATTCTCCTGAGCAGGAACAGCGAGTACCGCGCATACTTCGATGGCTTGGAGAAGGCCCTCGGACTGGACCGATCCAACAACGCCGATATCGAGAAGCTGAACGAGCTGTATCAGTCTTTCGCTAGCAAGAACGAGCGCAACGACGCTGCGAGGCGGATACCCTTGGACTTCCTTCAGGGCGAGACTTTCAAGACGCAAGTGGATCAATACCTCAGGAGGATGCTGAACAAGGGCGTACCCTCAACCTTCCCCAACATCAAGTCGCTTTACCGGGACGAAGAAAAGAAGGCCGTCATCGAAGAGCTTGTGCTCGGCTATGCTTCGGAAAAGCAGACGAACGGTGAGAGCAACGGCGACAACTCTGATCGTTTTGAGCAATCCGTGCTATACTTTTTGGCTCAGCACTACAACTACGTTCAAAGCCGCGACCTGAAGAAGGCCATGGAGTATATAGACAAGCTTCTCGAGAAGGACCCGAAATCGGTTGACTACAACCAGACAAAGGCCCGGATTTACAAGCACATGGGCGACGTTCAGAAAGCTTCGGAAACGATCAACCATGCGCGAGAGCTTGATGAGAGAGATCGATACATCAACACCAAGTGCGCCAAGTACCAGCTACGAAACAACGAGAACGAAACCGCGCTAAACACCATGAGTAAATTCACTCGCAATGAGACTGTGGGCGGACCCCTCGGCGATCTCCACGACATGCAGTGCATGTGGTACCTACTTGAAGACGGCGAGGCGTACCTGCGACAGGAGAAATATGGACTTGCTCTCAAGCGCTTCACAGCTATTGCCGATATCTTTGACATATGGCATGAAGACCAATTCGACTTCCACAGCTTCTCGTTACGAAAGGGCCAGATCCGTGCTTACATCGACATGGTCAGATGGGAGGACCACCTCCGTGACCATCCTTTCTTCACTAGGGCAGCTACTCAAGCAGTCGAACTATACGTACGGTTAGCAGACAACCCTAAGTTTGCGAATGCAGACGAGCTTGATCTTGAGAAACTAGACCCTACAGAGCGTAAGAAGGCTGAGAAGAAGGCTAAAAAGGAGAGGGAGAAGGCTGAGAAGGCTGAGGCAGAACGGAAAGCGGCAGCTGCAGCAAAGGCCACTGCCAAGGGTGATGATGGCGAGACTAAGAAGGAAGACCAAGATCCAAACGGCGAGAAGCTTCTGCAAACAAAGCAGCCTCTGGAGGATGCACTACGTTTCCTGCAGCCGATGCTTGAGCTAGCTCCCAAGAACATCGAAGCTCAGAACGTAGGTTTCGAGGTCTACCTCCGACGCAGTAAGCTCCTTGATTCGACATGCCGCATGATATATGTGTTAACAGCTATCCAGACAAATATCTGCTCGCCCTGAAATGTCTGCAGGCCGCACGGGAGATCGATCCGGAGAACCCGAAGCTGCACGAGCAGAGCATTCGCTTCCGTCAGGCTAGTAAGTCAAGGCCAAGATGCCTCGTTATGTGTATCACTAACCTTTCAGTCACTAAACCCGCTGAGCCTCTCTCATCTCAGGCCTCGGAGGTTATCAAGGAGTCTTTCACCACACCGCCTCCGGATGCCGACCTTAAAGCCTACAATAATGACTTCCTTAAGAAGCACTCGCAGAGCGCACGCCACCTGCAGTCCGGATACAACGTCCGGTACATCCTCGACAACAGCTCGAAATCTCAGAACGAGCAAGACCTACAAAAGACTCTGGAACTGTCGAGCATTACGATAGAAGAAGCTCAGGCTGGACTTGCGTTGCTCAGCCAATGGAAGAGCGAACAGAAGGTCAAGGACGACTACAGGGCGAAGGCCGCAGGTCGTTGGAACGAGGCTACCATTTTCAAGAACTAAGAGCTATCTTTAGCTCGAGTGGAACGCTTTTTAGTTGAATGACCGTATATGTGGTTATGATTTACGCATTCCATCTGATTACAGGTCTGGTAGATAACGCGCAGCATGTGCATTTGCAAGGCGTTTGAACGCTACACAAAAGCAATGAATAGAAATCAGCAGATCACATCAATGGCAGACGTGAAATCTAGAACTCCAAGGGATGATCAACAGGATGTCGAGGGTTGCGTCACACGTAGGAGAATCCGGAACGTGGATGCTTCCGAATGTCTTAACAGCCAATCACAGCTTGCGCAGTACGAAAACTGCCGTTCGCGGCTAGCTTCAGGACCAGTGTGGGGAAGTGTCACAGCCGCACCTTACGAAACATTCAATCTCGAATTCGACAACCTTTGTACGCTTCAACAGCGTTCTGTATATCGTGTCAGCATTCGCATTGCGTATATACGACTTCAACGTGTCGTAAGCTCACCAGGAAACTCGATCGCTAACTGATCAGTTGCTTCTTCCATATTTTTACGCCACAGTATACACTGTATAGTCACCGGCTTCCACGGTCAAAAGACATGGCCACCAGACGATCACATAACAAGACAAGACTGGGCTGCAAAGAGTGCAAGCGAAGGCGCATAAAGGTGAGTACTTCATCCTTGTCTCTTCTTACACCCATATGTACACGGGGCGGGTAACGCCGGCTTGATGCATCTCAACCATGTTACTTGCCCAGCGCCACAGGGTAATCAAGATGCTTATCCGGAAGCCACGTCGATATCGACCAGGTTTTGGGCTTTTGAAGGCCCTGTAAATCATGGCGCCTTGAAATAGACGAAAGACATGCTAAGAAAGGCATCATGAACCTTTGATACCGACACCTACATGGGCTACGGCAATGACCTGCTTTCAGATCGGACCAAGTGTTGGTTCTTCAGTCTTCCATAATACTAAATCGAGTTCTAGTGCGACTGCAAGCATCCATCTTGTGCGAATTGCGACAAGAAAGGTGACACTTGCAGTTTTCTCATGCTGGCACCTTCGTCACGACTCTCAACAACTTCGAAATCGCCCATATCAACACAACATCACATTATATCACCATCTCCTACACCGAAATCACCAGAAACCCGAAACACACTGGCGTATTCGCCAACGAACCTCATCGCATTCAGTAACGAAATAGCACTTGCGACGCAAACACCACGTCAGACCGAGGTGTTTTTCGACGATTCACCCCTAGACTTTTCCACGAGCTTGCCTATATCTCCTTCTCAGCGGGGATACTTTCCAGAGCTTACTATACCGCCTTACCTCCGATTAGACGATGCCTGGAAAGACATTAGGGAGCTTCTTCCACCGCCGCTACAAGAGGTCTTATGTCACTATGAATTTACGACTTCTCTCACTCTTGCTAGTGACGATCCCGCAAAAGCAGCTTGGCAAACCTATGTCCCCGAGATGGCGCAAAACCATGACTTTTTAACGAATTGCGTGCTCTCAGTGGCCTCTTTACATCTCGGTCGGCTTTACGATCGCAAAGAAGACAAGAGAAGGATGAACACTTTAGCAGCGGCGCGTATGAACAAAGCTCTCGTGAGATATAGAACGGAACTTGAAAACATAACTCAAGAGAATGCTGCAGCACTCTTCGCAAGTTCGACATTTACGGCCGTGTATCTCTTCCGCACTTCCGCGATAGATATCGAGAATCTACGGGCTTCAATATCGCCAGATACCGTTGTTCCGCCACCAGATATAGTAGACAAAATGTTATCCTGCGCACTAAGAACAATATGGGGTCTCCGTGGACCCTTGACTGTTCTTCTATCAGGCTGGAACTGGGTCGTAGGAAGTAAAATGCAGCCAGTCACAGCCCGAGAATGGTGGCCAAATACCTCCGTTCCTGCGACTCCACGCGCCCTCACGGAAGACCAACGTCTCGAAGCCATCGAAAAACTATGGATGGAGAGCGAAACACCTTCAGAGCCATACTGCGTCTACCTCAACCAAGCTCTCCTCTACCTCCGTCAAAGCTTCAATTTGATCAGCCAACTCACCTTACCCGAACGCTATCCGCCCATGACAGCAGTGCCATACTCCATCGACGACACCACCATCTCCACGCTCACCGACCGTGGCGCTATATTCGTCTGGGCGACCCGCATACCCCGCGAGTTTATCGCTCTCATCGAGGCTAAAAACGCGCACGCACTTGTCATACTAGCCCACTACGCCGTCTTGCCGGGCCGAGTGAGGAATGTATGGTGGCTGGAGGGTCTAGGAGCTGACATCGTAACGGCGGTTGCGATGGCGCTGGGTAGGGAGAATTGGGCGTTGATTGAGTGGCCTGCGGGGGTTGTGGGTGTGGATTTGGAGAACGCGTTTGGGGTGGGAAGGAGGAGGGACAGACTCGAGGGCAGCCCTTCTGAGATGCATATGGATGTTATATGAATGCCGTCTTTGTTGTTCTGAAGAAGATGTTCGATCTCTAATGGGAGAGTTTGTATAAATCATCCTGTGACGTGTATCTAGGGAGTGTAATGGTGTCGCTGTGACAGCTGTAGAGTCGCTCGAATGCACGATTTACTCCAGGCTCCAGAAGAAAAGAACACCCCCCGTTCTAGAATACTGACTTTGCTTGCCCGCGCATACCTTGTCAGAACTCTCTCGCAATTCAACGACTCGAAACGCGATGAGTCAAATAACGTATCATGGACTGATTCACAGAACATACGTGCTACAAAAGCGTCCTCGTGGCAATGTCGTATGATGCTACCCGACAGACTTTGAGTGGCGCACGACATGAACCATGTGTAATAGTGGTTAGAGCCATCATGATCGGGGAAATGTGACAGGAAGAGTTTCTCCGTATAGTTGGGCACCATATTCTTCGCGCTGAACAGTACCACGGACTCACATTTTGAAAAGTGGCGCACACATGTATGCCTCTCTACCGTGCCATCTATCCAAAAAGCCCACTTGCAGAATACGGAACACCTTTCGAGAGCCAGAGTTATCACAAAGTAGTCTCAGCCCATGTAGAGCAATCGGGCAGGCATCCCCTAATTACCTCCGTCGTTTTAATACACACACACACACACACACACACACACACATACAACCATTTCTCCCTACTGTTGCCCTGCCCCAAGCTTTGTGTAACCTACGTACGCACATATACAACATACATCGACCCCCAACATCACAATCAACAAGCCAATGTGTTATCTTGCTGTAAGAAAAACGCCCTTGGACCCAACAAAACGCCCGAAACCAACATTGGATATGATGCGAATGAAACATTCCAGAGTTTGTAAACACCGAACCTCGCCGTCCAGCCTGATACGTTCGTTGAGGAGCTCGCCGTCCATCCATCCGCGACCATCGACAGCCAATCAAGCAGCGTGAGGTCTCGTATTCAAGCAAGGTAATGGGCAGAAAAGGCCGTGTATGCGGCCAGTACAGTACAGTACAGCACAGCGCAAGCAAGCAAGCAAGCAAGCCCCCAACGCATGAAGTGATCGCAGAGGTGCACGATCGTGAAACCTGCTTCATGTACACGCCACAATGCATCATGTTGTCCAGCACCTTGAAAGAAGGCAGACAGAACGCAGCTGGTGAAGCGCGCGGGGGTAATACGTGGGAAAGTATCTATGCGATTATTACATTGATGGCCAGGCCCACGCCATCATGGCGTTGTTCGCTTAGCGTGTTGGTGTATACGAAGACGTGGGCGTGGGGCATGGAGTGAGAGGTTCGCGAGACATCACAAAAGCCACACAGCTCGTGGCGTGGAACGGTTGAGGACGGCTAAACTGCCAGACAACGATCTGGTTCGTTGAATGATCCCGGTCGACGGCCCGGAGCTGTAACGTTTGACCGGTAGATCTGTGGCACAGGTCATTGAGCAATGCACTTCAGCTGCAGTATTTATTGCCTCCGTCGCACCAGTCACAGTTACGATCGGAAGGGCAGAATCGGGCGTTAGGCCCTGAGGGGTATATTATGCGGTCGCAAAGGGTATACATATGTTGGATATTGAAACTCAGATGCGCTTGCTGGTGGAACATGCCGGGGGTACACCAACCTTCTAGAATTTGTTGCGGAGCATGGACAAATGCAATGAGGGGCTATGGGTACATCACGCACCGAAACCTAAGCCATGAACAGTCTCATCATCTCCTAGTGCAAGCCGCACTTCGTCTTCACCGACGCCAAGCCTCACGCGGCCTACACGCTCGCCATGTCGGGCCTCTACTCCTATAATGCCTGCCTCTGCAAGCTCGGTGGCTGCAAGTGCAAGACCGAGTGCCCTTGCTGCCTTGAGGTCCGATTGTTTCAAGCCAAGGTTAACAACAGTGTCTCTATTCTTCGACGGCGTGGTAGACTGCGCTGTGCCGTTCATCATTTCGCTACTGCCGTCCTCAGGGGCGAGGATATAATCGTGCACAGGCAGCAACTGACTCATGAGCCCCAACCGTTTGGCTTCATCGACAACGTCTCCAAGGATCGCTTCGCCAATGCCCGACCTGCGGATCCGTGCCAAGAGTGCCGCAAGGAATACCTTGGACGCCAACGGTAGAGCCCGCAGTGCTTGCTGCAGGGGGCTACTCGTGGCCTCATTGATGGCCTGTTTGATCGTCGCCATAGTAACTATACCTTTCCGCCCCGCCCGATCTTTTGACCGACTATCCGGATCTCCGGTACCTTTAATTGACCGAGCATTTGGTGGTAGATTTCCTTTGTTACCCCGACCGGTCCTACTCGGGGTAGCTGGCTGCGCCTCATCGTCCCGGTCCTGCGATATCGTTTCCGATTCGGCGATTTCCACGGCACGTCTGCAAATGTCTAACGCGCGTCGCGCATCGCCGCTAACAGCTGCCACCTTGCGTGCAGCAAACTGAACGGCGTCAGGATGGACAATGTTGCCTGGTACACCTTCGAGCCGCGACTGGATAATCTGCATCAACTGGTCATGTGTATAGCCTGGGAAGGTGATGCGCGTTAAGCCTAGAGTATGCGTGTTAGCCCCTTGTCATAAAGAAACGAACGTACCCGATGATATAAGTCGCACCGATAACATCAAATTGATACGCAGATCGTTTGGAGAGAATCGGTGTCTCCGTCTGATATTGTAGCGTATTGATGAGGGGGATCGAAGTATGCCAAACACGTGGGGCGTTCCTGAAGGATCGCTATGCTAGCTGGGACATACCTAGGCGGCTGCTGATCTTATTGCTTAACGTTCGTTCTGGCAAGTCCATAGTGTTCGCTACGGCGAGGACAATCAACCTGCTGTGCCGCAGACCAGGCCAGTTGAAAAAGTTGTACATGACGGACTGATTTTTCGTAACGAGTTGGTCGAGCTCGTCCATCAGGACCACGCAAGGTACCCGCCGCGGACTAGGGGTGGAGAACTCGCGTTCCAACAGCTCCAGTGCATGTGACGGGCTCACCCGGTCGCCGCGCAGTGCCTGCCACAGCAGCGAGTATGATTGGTGAGGGTCTGTGACCTTCATGCCATTGATCTCAACAAATATGAAATCGTCTAACTCTTCGGCTTGAACTGAGGCTTGCAGTTGGGCAACGACCTCGCGCACAGTTGCAGTCTTCCCTGTGCCAGGCGTGCCCGAGATGTAGATGCAAGAGCCCGAGCCGTCCGTGATGGCCGCGTCCAAATGGCTGTAGACGGTGGAGAACTCCTCCTCTCGACAAGGGAGAGCGGCAGGTACCGAAGAGACATGGAGTTGATTCCGCGCGATCTGGAATGGTGAGTTTAGGGCCGAAGGGTCGAGCACGCGTGTGCCAAGCGGTGTGAACTCCAACTGCTTCTTGACCACTATCCTTTTGTGTGTTGGAGTAAGGAACTTCCTGGTAGCCGGGCTCTTCCTGGTCGATGTGGGGGTGGTCGCTTCATTAATTTTCCGGCGCTTCCGTGGAGTTTTTGGCAAGTCATCATCGTCCGAGTCAGGGATCACGAATTGGTCCAAGTCGGGCTGCTGTTGCTTCTTAGGACGACCGGCAGTTCTCCTAGTGGCTTTGGTCTGAGACCCCACAAGATCGACCAATGTTGGGATGTCCTTGGCCTCGTTGTATACGTCTTCCCACTTGAATTCTGGTGTGTATGTGGTCGTGCGCGTATTGCAGCCCCTCCGACAGACGAAGACCTTGCCGTAGTCTTTCGAGGCTTTTTTCACGCCAGCCGGGTACAGCTCCTGGAAACGATCTAGGGAGAATATCTTGGCAGTGCCATTGATCGAGGCTAAGGGGTTGTCGTCGAATGCGGCGGATATGTAGAGTTCGTTCTATCGAATGTCAGTGTGCATAATTTGGGATACGGCCGAGTCGACGACTTACGGGAAGAAAGTCGGAGCGCTTTTTGCTCTGGTTACGGATCTCCTTTTCGGAGGAGAACCACAAGAACTTGGCCATCTTCTCGTCGTCTTCCGGGTCTTGGTGGAAGTCGCAGATGATGCCGACCCATGCCTGGTTGCCCTCAGCCTTGAGCAGTACGGTATCTCCCACTTTGCACTTGAAGTTGCCCATGCGCGCACCGACTATGCGCTTTCCTGGCGGTGTGGGCGCAGTCTTTCTCTTTCTTGGCGAGGCATTCTCTGGCTGCGCATCGTCGATGCCATTCTCATTGTAGATCCATTCCCAGGGGTGGTCTTCGTAGCCAAGCTCGTCGTCGGAGTCTTCGCGGAATACTGCGCCTCCAGCGAGATATTGTCGTGCCTTCTCTACGCGCGAACGCTTTGTGGGAGCCATGTGAGAGTGGTGGTGGTGGTGGTCGCAATTGGGTTTTGTCGCTGACGTTGCCTGCGTGGATCTGGAAGGCACGACGCGTCGCGACAGGCTTGGCGGAGCACGCGCGGAAAGAGCTATGATCTCACCGCTTGGGGCACTTTCTTCGCGCTGTCACGACGTGTACATCACCATCACTGCACATTTTATGCACATGTCACGATTAATCGCATTTACTCTCAATCATTTGCAAGTCAAACAGGAATTAGAGTGGATAACAATATTTATTGCTGTACGATCCAACCACAGGCTCGCACTGGCACTGGGGCTGCGTATCATGGCGAGCTTCGTCCCCATTCATGACAAAACAATCTCTGTGAAGAGATGAGGAACGCCAAACACCATTTCTCCATGGTCAAGCGAGGGACCTTTGCTAAAAACGACCGATCGCTGAAATGCAAAACAAGAAAACTATAAACACAGAAGAGAGAGACAGTGTCTCGCAGAGAAGAGAAGTCAAGGCTCGCACACAACCGCCGCGTTCTCACATAGTGGAGAGGGCACGCAGCGGCGGTGTTCGTGGCATCGAGTTGGGTGTTGTCGGAAAGTCGAAAGGCAGTGTCGTCTACCGGTGGCCGTCAGCGCTTGCTCGTCGAAGTAGCAGCAGCGGGTGCAAGAGCTGGGCGTTTTATGCATAGTAGGGCTGGCGGGTGGGGATCCTTACTGAGTCTGCGTAGGAGTGTGATGGTAGGATATCGTTCCCACAAATCGCCGCGTAGCCGACACCGAAGGGGCTGGTGTCTTCGTCGGCGTAGTACTCGTTCTTCATGCTTGGTACGAGGCTTGGTAGGCCAATAGAGTAGGAAGACGAGTGAGGCGGCGGCAGGTAAGTGTAGCTTGGCATTTCCGGTGTGAGTGTGGTTGGTATTGTGTGGTAGGGCGAGGTGGAGTACGGCATTGAGTATGCAACTGCATCTGGCGCTGGGTATGCTGACGAATACGATGCTACGGAGAATGGAGGTGGGGTGGTGGAAAGCTGGCGCGTGTACTGATGCGAGAACATGCGATCCTCGGCAGGTGGGGTGGTGTATGAGGACTCCGAAGACGACGGAGAAGGAAACTCCTGGCGCGGGGATCGCTGTGGTGGCTGCAGCTCGGCAGGCTTCTGCTCAGGTGAAGCTGAGCTGGAGGCAGCACGACGCTCCTGCAACGGGATTAGTATGCTGTTCCGAGCGATACGAGGCGTGGTAGCACAAGAACTCACCAAGTCTTCGAGCCTCTTCTTGAGCTTCTTGCGGTAGTTACGTTGGGCAATGCGGTTCTGTATCCGCCTGCGCTCAGCGAGATCTGAGATCTTGGTCCAGTCTTCGTTGGGGTTTGCCGAAGCAGAGAAGGCTGACGAGGTGCCCGAGTATCTTGTGGTAGTGGGAGCCGGGTTGGCATATGGGTAGCCCGCGTGTCTATGCATGATGAGGGTAGATGTGGGGGACATTCACACAGCAAAGGATGAGGAACGAAGAAGAAATATGGAGCGGGATATCTGGTTATCAGTGGGATGATGAGAGGCTCAGTCTGGCACTCGGGGGTGACTGTATATTTATCTCGCCGTCCTGTCTACGTCCGCAGTCGTTCTTGTGGAGCACAGACATGCTAGTGTTGGTCCCCAGCTTCAGGCCCTCGCATGCACCCTGGGCTACGCGATGCGGGCTCGAGCATTTCTCAATTTGGTACGATTTGGAGCAACCCTGGCCGGTGTACTTTCACCGACTGCGGTCTTGTAAATTTAGTATGGGCGCTAGCGCGGGCTGGCAGCGGGGCCAGTGAGGGACGGGCAGGCTGGCAGCTGAGGGCACGGAAGCGTCGGGCTGGCAGTGTATTGAAACCAAAACGGTCTACTGGGGAGCGGTGTCTTGATCCCATGTCCTCTTTACAGTTCCCTGTCGCGTCCCCACCAACCCTGCTACCCTGGCTGCTGGCACATTGCACATCACAAACAGCCCTATGACCCTAGGGCCTGTCAGTGCCCCGTCACTGAACGGTCCAACCTCACGCGGCGCCGGGTCTGTCATTATCTCCGTCCCTGCGTGCGGCGTGCGTATGCTCTCCCGCATGCGTCCATGTCTTGCGAGGAGTCGCTATCATCACGCGTCGGCTCTCGTCCGAAGGCCCTCGCGGGGGAGGGAGCTTGGTCCGTTGCAAGTCGCGCCCATGCCAGGCCGTCTCCTCCATTGTGCCGCATGCCCGCCCACACATGGCATGGGGGCCAAAAGCGAACGAACAGATGAATGCGAAAATCACCTGCAAACAAGTGCAAACGTCTCGCTGTCGTGGGTAAATTGCGCCTTGACCGGCTCACACCAGATCATCACACTCGCTCAGCGCCCGCAGCCATTGGCTGCTCGCCGCTGCGCCGTTGTGCATGCGCAACCTCTCGACGGCCTGGCACACCGCGACTCGTTTCTGGTCCCTAGCATTCCGACAGCTCCGACAGCTGCTTGACACCGACTCTCCACAATCCCTCGTGGGAATCAGGAAGCCTGCTGTATCAGGACCATATCCTGCATCTAGCTAGCACAAGGGCACCAACCCAGCCGTTCCATTCTCTTAGTCTGCTTTGTCACGCGGTACCTAAGAAAAGTACGCTGGCTGCAAAAGCGCCACCACTCGATGAGCCCCAGACGTCCACTTCAAAACAGCATAGCATTCCACCAGCCCTACGCACTGTTCCATGTTCTTCCGCAGCCGCATCAGCACCTTACTGCAGTGTCGGTGAGTTCTGGGCCCGAATGCGCATAGTGGCAGTCAGCACAAAGCTTAGCTATGCGTTGTTTCCACCAACGACTTAAGGAAAGCCAATCACCATTGGAATTCTATCATCTCGAAACACTGCCAGACACGCCTTGAACCTCGTTTGCTGTTGGTAAAATGCCCTGCTAGCGCGTTGTTGCCGTTACTTCCAACGGTACGCCCTACGCCTGGCGGTCGAGGCTTGTGGGCTTCGCGCCTTCCGCAGCTGCGCCTTCACTGAGCCGCCAGTGCAAGATATCCAAGAATATCTTCACTCAAGTAAGGTACAGTTTCAAGATCGCTTCTCCTAGTCCATTGTGCGTAATGGTCGTCGCTAAATCTTGGATGATTGCCTGGCACTACATAGCGCTATCATGTGGTATCTTCTACAATCTCATCATCTATCAATGGCTCGCATTAAACTACTGCAGACGCCCTGGTGTCGAGTCACATCTGCCGGCTGTAGGGAAATTACTAGCCATTTCAAAGCGTGGTGGCGCATTAGTTGCTGAGATGTAAAGGTATATCGTCCCATTGATCCTTGGCCATGATAGGCAGATATTGACTATCTTCAGCCCTTACTAGGGGCAGTCCACGCGCACGCTATATAGCTTGGTGTTGTCAATAGCACTATCACTGCATAAAGCATGGAGATTGCGGGGGCCGTTTCACAACCATAGGAGCAGCGAGTTCAGTTGATTCCGCAGAACATGACTGAGACACACACGTGTTGGCCCGTAGATCATGATGGCTCTCTTGCGCTACTAATCAAAGAGGAAAGAGGGCATATAGATGTGCTACACGTGTTGCGACCTCGACTTCAGCTATGGACCATGACGACTCAGCTGCTCTTGTAGGGCTCCTCGATTCGATGTTGGTTTCGCTATGTGTGGGGCTTTGAACCTGTCTAGAGCGACTCGCCTCAAACATTGGAGCCCATATCCCCGCGCCTGAGAGACATTCCCCACTTCGCTATCAGACCTTCAACTATAACACTTTTCTAACAGCGTCCAGATAATGACAGGGGATATGTTTGCCGACAGTGCTGCACCTGCTGTAACTGTGCAACGTAGCTCAGGAGACAATGGCATTGCTGTTTCGACTCTCTCGTTGGTGATGTCTCATCCAACTAAAAGGGGACCGTTTCGGCTTTTCAGGGCAATCGTGTCGGATATATGCAGAATATACCTTTTACCCCGACACCGCGTTAGCAACTCGAACCCAGAACACAGACTAACGGCGTCGTGGACCGCTGGAGTCGTCCACCCGCGCCGACATCCAGGCTAGACAAGCTTTTCCCGCATACGAAACTTCCACGGTCGTGGTACCGGGAGACTCTTCCTTCCCACATGCGCTTGTTAATGTCCGCCAGCATCCCAACAACTCATTTTCACTCCTTCTTCGCTTAAAGCAAGATAGACTGGCGGTCGAAGGGGAGTTACTGAGTATCTGAATCATGCTATTGCTGTAGCAGGCACAGTAACACATCTGCTTCGCAGTACTCTCGCCCAGCATGGCTGAGTTACGCCCTGTTGGCGGAGCCCCTCGAACGCGAATCGGTGTTCTGCGCTCCAGCGGGCATCAGGAACCCCAGCTTGGCACGCATGACGTGGGCATCTTCTTTCGACTTCATGTACCGAGTTGGCTTGTCGTTGTAGCGCCCAAGTTCACACATTCCACACCGTTTAGGCCACCACTATGCTACGGTAACAGATGGCACCCCGCAGCAATGCCTGCCAACACACAAATCGCGCAGTGCATGTCCAGGTTCATCATCGGTCCACGATAGCTGAAACGCATATTTCCTATGCGAATGCTCAGGTCTTGTGAAAGTGACACAGAAGTTGAGGTTGTTCCGACGGTGAGTCTGTAGGGCGTGAAGACCCACGTGTGCCCCCAGATGGCTAGCGTCGTTTAGGAACCCTGCTATCGGTTCTTGTCGCGAGCTCTGAGTGGTTGGACAATTACCAAGACGAATCAGTTTCCTCTTTGGGGCGCTACGCGACCGTTCTATCGGGCGTTCCGTGCAAATCTCACCGCTGTACGCAATACATGCTCGAGAGACGAGCATGTTGCGAGAGGTCATGTGATTTCATATGGAACCGCAGTACCGGGTTGACTACCAGCATGCCTGGAATCCTTGGTACAGTGCTGCTGTCCCTGGCCGGATGTATGCCCAAGAGGGGTATGAGATGAGTTGTTACACGCCAAGTGCAATACCACCTACATGAGCGTGTTTGTCCATACCGAAATACACTAACCAGTCAATCGCCATACGCGCGCTCGTTTCTATTTTACTGCTTCAGTGTCGTCAGATGGCGATACTTCAAGGGTAACCGCTGTGCTAATGCCATTCCTTCCATATTTATCGCAAAAAGCAAGAAGCACATTTGCAGCACGCAAGCGACAGACGCGCTGATTCGTCGCGATCGCGAGGGGTAACGGCCTATATTTAGTGGCCGCTGTGCCAAGTCGAGCCACCCTTCTGATGACAGTAACTCTCCCACCCTCTATCGCAGCCCTACAGCCCTACGACGCACACAAGCCAGCATTTGAAACACCATCATTGGTCTAGCGATCATGCGGCGCATGAACCCCTCCTTGTGTACCCACTGCAATTCTTCTGGCCGTGCGCTGTAGCACCCGAGCAAAGGACTGTGACAATTGCCGTTCATCTAGTACACCGAAACTTGGTGAGGGGTACTGTATACGTCCTTGTTTGCAACCACCTTGTACGGTATCCAGCTCACCGGCAGCAGGGCGTAACCGGTAGCAAGGGACGACCAGCGTAGTGGGAAAGCCTACCGCTACTCTTTCTATCCCTCGCTGAAGTCGCTGAACATCATTTCCATATTTCATCATTGACAAGAAGACCAAAGCCGCATTTGTCGCGCATTACGCAAGATCGAGCATGTTCGCTTAGAGGGTTTGTGTATACCCAAGCGCCGGTTATTATCCAGTGCCCTGTTCACCGATAATCATTGGTCGCCTTGCACACGGACGGTGTCGCCAGCGCGGTGCTTCCGCACACGGAGGTCAGACCTCGTGGCAGAATGGCAACAGAAGGTCTCGGCCTTCGAGCTTTCGTAAAGCAACGTGTGCAGTCATAACACGCGCTCGCTTCCGTCATCATGCAGCTCAAGGCAGACATCCACGTTCAGAGAGTGAAGGGTCACAATCAGCCGCAGGATCCCGCCTCAGGTCGGTGGTCGAAACACACGATCAATCAAACCCCAAGGTTATCTTGACACGCTTCGGCTCAGTTTTACAGCATTAGCGCATTCTAGACCAGGAAGCTGTGAAGTGACGGTTCTAGCCCTATCGCCGTCGAGGCTTGATGGCGCTTCCGTGCCAAGAAGGAGACTTGCCTTTCTTGACCGTTCAGCCGTCCTCGCGGGAACGGTAAGATCCCTGAATGAATCCTTCGAAGCCCCCGTTCACGCCCGTATTGTGAGCCGGTCTTCGAAGCGCTCGGGCGTAAAGCTGCGCCGCAGGCAAAGGAATTCCCAATCAAACAGAACCACAAGAGCGATATTGGAACAATGTGCACGATTCGGTATATCTTTGGCTTGAAGATGTTGATCCAACGCACAGTCTTATGAATGCAAACAAGTCAATTTGTGCCTCTTTCCTAACAAGTGAAAGACCGGCTATGCCGATGCATGGCATCGATTACTGCCG